TGGTAAGATTATAATGAGCAACAGATCTGGAGTTCCATCTTGTAAGATTTCCTAACCCTTGTGATCTCAGAATAATCTGATTATGTCGGCGGTTTTCTATATAAACCGTCGTGGTTATTTCAATTCTTGTCGTTAGGTAGATCTACCGACGTAGGATAACAAAATCGAAGAAATAAATTTTTTAAAAAAAATTCTTATTCAGACGACGGTTTAAATATAATTTATGACGTATAAAGTGGACAAATACGACGTTAAATTCTATAATACGTCGTTATATGAAAACCCCAACTTGGTAAGATTGAAAGATGTCGTCGTAGAAATACGAGAAAGACGTCGTTATATTTACCTTTGCCGTAGTTGTACATTAATTTAATACGGCGGTATTTTGTATTTTACCGCCGTGGATTTATTTGTAATTTTACGTCGCCTTATACGAAAACTTGGTCGTGTTAATTTCTGGGTAAAAACGACGGCTTTTTTTGAAACCGTCGTCTTTACTTTCTACGTCGGTCGGTTCATAACTTCCGCCGTTATTTGTTGGCTATGATTTTACCTCATGAAAATCCTATTTCAATAAGACGTCGGTTTTTAAATTAAGTACGTCGTGTTTTTGGAACAGCCATTTGAAACTCCATTTTTTAGTTGTCTAATGTGTTATTACACGGCGGTTTTATAAAACCGTCGTCTTTTAAAAAACAACGACGGTTTTCACGTAGACCGTCGTGTTTTTGTGGTCGTCTTTTTCACTTTTTGTAGTAGTGCATCTTGATCACAAGTGATGCCCTTCCAACGACAGCAATCAATGGATGTCCAATTTAAAGGAGGAGAAGAGAGAGTGGAGGCAAAGGACAAGAGGGAGCTGCGTTCAATTTGTTTGCAGGCATGAATATTTGTGGATATAATGTAAGGGAATAAGAGGAAGAGAAGGAAGGCGTGAGCCATTAGGGTATAAGCTTGCACTAGCATGTTGCTTTGTGTATGTGCCGTTGCTCACATGTATATTTATATATATATATATATATATATATATATATATATATAAGAGCAAACATGCTTGAAAAGGATGCAAACATCACTACTAATTGAGAAGTCGGCAAACAACAACCACACAATGCAAATTATTGATATTGAAACCCCTTTATACGTCGAAGATATATTTTCCATTAATGAAACCAAAGAGACGACCCCTTTTTTGGGCCACCAGGAGTGGACTTGACCGACTTAACTTGAGGGCTTCACGAAGTAGTCAAAGTTGTTGCCGTGATATATGGTGATAATTTTTCATGGAAATTTTTGGAAGATATATGGTGTTATTTTTCTTGGCAGACAGACATGGCATGTGGCCTTAGAGTGATGGGCACGTCTGCCACTAACCTTGCTTGTAAATAATCGCTCATGATTTGTATCAATTGCCTTTTGGGTTTGTTTGGGATGTGAAATTGGGTGAGTTGGTGATGATCACTTGTTCTTGTCTTTAAGTTACTAAAGCAAGCAGAAGCACTGAGACTGAGAGAGACAATAATTTATTTGTGTAATTGCTTTGTGGGTTTTGTTTGTATTGTTGAATGGGATGAATGAACTAATGATGAAGTGAATTGGGTTGTATTCACCATTGTTCCTATATTTAAGTTACTAAACCAAGCACAAGCACAAGCAATGAAACCAAATAGACGACTCTTTTGGCTCGATTTGGTTCACATAACAGATTTGAGGGGAAATCATTTTCCATGTCATTTTTCAAGAGATGCATGGAAAATGGACGATTCATTTTCCACGTTGGGTAATGTTCGCACACGGGGGAATTCGAACCCTCTCCTTCCCCATCCTCTTGCCCGACCTTATCCAACATGAAGTTATTATTGGAGGCTACAACGTTAATATTTATACTTTCTCTTAAACTTTCTACAGGCTTTTGATAAAAACAAGGGAAAAAAAACTTTCTACAAGCTTATTTTAATCTTCCCTATGATATATTTAATCTGTTTAATGTTATTTATTATATTATTATGGAGGTGTATTATCTATTATCTATCTATATATAAAGCAAAAGCTAAAGAAGGTGTAGTAAATTATTATATATATATATATAAATGGTGTTTTTAATTTTCTTTCATTAATTACTACAAATTTGCTAAAGTCATAGTATTTGTCAGTTCGCTATATGGTTAATTTAAATCACTCAAACCTACCATGCAATACATTTCCTTCCAATTTTTTGTGATAAAATAGTAGATAATTGACTAAATAAACATCTTCTAAAGTTTTGATAAAAATTTCCAAGTATTTCTCACAATTTCAATGGTTTTTATTCAATTTTTACCAATATCGATATTTACATCAATATATCTATATTTTTGGACCACTGATATTTTTGAAACCCTCGATATTTTAGACCTTGATTTTGATCACTTGTTCTTGTCTTTAAGTTACTAAAACAAGCACAAGCACTGAGACTGAGAGAGAATAATTTCTTTGTATAATTGCTTTGTGGGTTTTGCTTGTATTGTTGAATGGTATCAACCAATGATGAAGTAAATTGAATTTTTGTTTTAAAATGATGTGCCAACTTTTAAATCCCTTAGATTAAATTTTAATGAGGTGACGTTTGAAGAATAAAAGTAAAATAAATCATGGCAGAGAAAATTAGAGCAGAGGATCCGGCTCCGGATGCAAACATCACAAAGTATTCAAAGTTGTTGCCGTGATATATATGATAAACAGAATCCTTGTTGAATTCAAATTGGAATATGTTTTGACTATTTCCTTTTATTTTAAGGCGGCTGATAACTGATACCAGCGCATCTTCCATGTTAATCACTCAAAGTCCAAGTTCAAAGTTGTTTTTTCTTGTTTTTCTTGTTGATGGTGGATGTGGACCCCACCATCTTGTTCTGTCTATTTTGTCAATTTCTCCCACTTTCTATTTTGCTTGTTTTTTCTTTTGTTGCCCACCGCTCACTTTTGATCCCTCTGTTCCATCTTCTTGTGCGTTTATCCCTCTCTTGGGCTGCGTACTGCTCACTCTTTATAGTCTGTTTCAATTATAAACTCATGAATTTTAGTAAAAGTAAAATGAAATTCTTTTAAGTCCTTGGGTTATAACAAATCCCTATTTTTATTCTTTTTGGTGCAAGAATGATAATTTTCTATCTTGTAGTGTAGTACGGTAGTATGACCACATAGTACTTAAAATGGAAAAATATCAACTTAGTCCATTTATATTATAACACTTATATGATCTATATTCCGTACAAGAGTGGAACTAAAATTTTTCCAAAGGGTGCACTAATATTTTGTTAAACGATAAAACAAAATTAAGTCAACCCAAGAACAACTAAATTTTAATTTTTTTGAACTTGAACGATTCAATTAACATGATATAAACTCGAAAACTAGGACTTTTCTTAACTACCCAGCCATAAAAGTGAAGAATTTGCACATATGGGAGTTGGCTGGGGTGGGCTAAATGTCAAAATCTTGAAATTACTTGCTATAAAAAGTATTTTTGACCAAGGTTGCACTGGGCTATAGTCGAGGGTAGCCTATATCTAGTTCCACCATTACCACGTGACCGGACTCCAACACTGTTGTATAATTTCTCGTCAATTACAGAGAAGGTGCCTAATTTAAAGCACAAACTTCTGTTAAAATATATAGTTGCATAGGAAATGCTTGAAGCATTTGTTTGCATTATCAAATTGTCCATCTCTAGGTAACAAAGGGCCATAATTAATTAAACGTAGAACTGTTGGATTTGTTTAATTCATGACAGTTCACCAAGGAATTTCATAATGTTTCTCAAAATATGATGAGGGAGGGAATTACTTTTCCCTCATTGAAGGACATTCCCAAAAGTTCAATATTCTTTTGCTCTTATGTTTTATGTCACTGACGATATCAAAATACAATTAATATAAATGAGGCAGTTTGTAGAGGACAAGCATAAATCTTTTTCATGTATAAATCCTATCCTAGGATTCTGATGTGATTACTTTTTTTAATCCTATTCATCTCTGCTCACCCCACTTGGTCAATACCGGACATTAAGAAATTTATATCATTCGCCTTCAAGCACAAGAAATATCTTATTTCCCATGATAATCCAACTTGTACCTCGTTGGTCGGAAAGCACCAAAGATTTTCCCTAGTTACCTTCACAGTCAGCAGACTCTGGAATGGATAAGTGAAAGAGAATAGTAAGAGAATCATCAACTGAAGGAGCTGCCGTGGGTGAGGCTGAGACACTCGAGGTAGCGCAGGCGACTGGGCAGAAGAAAAACTAGCCAGCTGCAGCGACAACAGCTGCACTGCTCCAGCCATTCTTTTTCTTCACATGCGCCAGTTTTCGTTGCTTTTGGCATTCAAGGAACCACTTCGGAAACCCATTCTCGTGAAAAACATGTGGCCTCTATATGACGGTTACCATTACAGTAAGTGCAATATATGTTTTCTTTTTCCTCAAGGGTTGGACAGGGAAAAGAAAAACTAGCAGTAAGGGGTTTTGAAACCATTACAACAAAGGATTCAGTCTTTCCATCCTTCTTGAGCATCGTCTCCCGACTTTGGGCCTCTTTACAAATAAAAGCAAACGACTCCTCAAATTTTGGCAATGGACTTAACCTCAATAAATCTCCTCTAATTTTATCAAATTCATCATCTAGACTTGCAAGAAAATCATAAATATGGTCTTCCTGCATCTCAACATGAATCTTCAAATCATGAGGACACTTCAGTTGATTGGATGACGAAGGTCTAGTTCCAACCAAACGCTCTTGAGCTCAGCAAAGTACGATGCAATATTGCGACCTCCTTGAGTAATACGGGTTGCTTTACACCTTAATTCATAAATCTGCCACTCATCATACGCGTCATAATACATCTAGGCTGAACTGTCCTACACATCTTTAGCTATTGGTAGATCTAAGAAAAATTCTACCAAATCAGGTTCCATGGTTTTTATCAACCATTCTTTAACAATGGAATTCTCAATACACCACGAATCAAAGCTCGAAGCGTCTTCCTCCACTTGAGCCACCTTCCCTGTCAGATAACCTCTTTTTCCCTAGCAACATCTTCGACCAAGTGCTATAGTTCTTTTCATTCAACCATATGGTGAATGGGGCATCAAAAGTATCATTGCGAACTGTAATAATTGGTTGCGCCATGTCAGGAGTTTTGCTGGTTTTTGAAGCACTTGACTTTGCAGTGGTGGTGGGGGTGTCTAGGGTATCTTCGAAAACCATGGAGAGAGTACAAGTTTGGAGGGTAGTTTGCACCAGCTAGGATCGGCGGGTTTTTGCTTTTAGGGTCTTTTGTCGCACTTGGTTTGTGACGACGAGGATGTTGCCGCAATTTTGTGGCTTTTTTATTATTATTATTATTTTTTTTGTGTTTGGTTGCCGTCGGCAGTATAGGCTACTGATGGCTAGGGTTTTTTGTATTTTTGTTTGAGGTATGGGGGTTAGCTAGCTTTGATCCCAACTCAAACTGAACACAGAAGGATTGAATAATTGTGAATGATATTATATTTCTTCAAGAGGAGGAGGATATATATGCAAGTACAAGTTGACTTTTCCTACAAAGAAAAGTAATAAGCTAATTCAAAAGGAATCCTAACCAGGTAATTATTCTAATTAGATAACATGAATTACACTAGGAAATAAGGAATCAAGGGATCCCTAAATTATGGCACATGAATTCATTTCCTGTTGGGGTTGGACCAACAAAGCTCCTGGCTGTGACTTTTGTTTTTGTTTCTTTGTTCCTCGTTTATCTATGTAGCTAAACTATTACATTGTTAGCCCTAAAAAAACTTGTTTGTACCATATTTGGAAAATGAGCCAAAAATGGTTTTATTCTCAAAAAAGATCGATTAAACCCAAGCCCAACCTCTTTCCTTTAGAAACGACAAAAAATTGCTTTTTTTTATTTTGGGCCAGTAGTGGGTAGAAGCTTCTTAAAAGCCCATAGTAACAAAGGACCCCAACTTTGGTCCACACTAAAGTTAAGAAAATTGGAAACCGTTGCACATCGACCCACGTGAGGGTCTGAAGATGGATTGTTACCATTAATGGCGACTTGACTGCCGTCTTTCCCAGGACGAAAAGCAAGTTGATAATAGGTGCTAGAGTCGGAGGAAGCTGATTACTAGCTGGATTTCCAACTATGAAAGGACACAAATCAGAGTGGCATCCTTTGAGACCAATAGTTTTGTTTGAGATTGGTTTTCCTCCCACCTATGGACCGGTTCATAAAGACAGATCAACAGCTGACTTTGGATAGCAGCCAAATATCCTCTTTTAGCCTTCATCATTAGGAATTCTTGCCTATAAATACAGAGGCTCTACAACAGCAAAAGGAGACTCTCTCTCTAAAAACTAGACGCAACGTCTCGAAAACACTTGAAAAAACTTCAAGATCTTTTCAAATAGCCTACTTATTGTTCAGATAACCAGTTGACTACTCATGCGTTTATCTTTTGTTGTTCTTCCATCCTTATGGTATGATTCTTGTTAAAACAATCGGTTTGAATTCCTTTAAACATATTTTATGTTCAAACTGGATAGAGAAATCTCCAGCTTCTTTTATATTGTAACTGGTATTTAAAATTAGATAAATGGAAAAATCTTTGGCTTTCATTTTTATTTGTTATTGTACCAGAATTGGATAGAGGGATCTCCAACATCTGAAACCTCTTTACTTTCTGAAATTTGCTTTAGCTGCCTCATTAAATATCTACCATTTAGTTGCTTTATACACTCTTGTAGATTAACTTATTTTCCCACCTTTGCATATTCAAGCCTATCGTTATTTGGACCCAAGATACGGGTTTAGGCCCCAATAGGGCTTTATTAGTATGAAAGTAAGGTACCCTTCGTATCTATTAAACCAACAATGCACGAGTGAAAGAATATTGAAGTCCTCTTGATTAAGGCATGGAAAATAACTCATCCAAGCCAATACCCCCCTTCGAGCACAATGGCTTGATCAAGAGTCCAGAACAAGCACGAATCCACCAAACAGATATCCTACATCGCATATGCCAGGTCTATTAGGCTGGTCTCATACCCAATAGTGGCACGCCTAAGCAATCCACGATCAGGTCAGGAGAAGCAAATCATTAGGGCCCAACCTGAGCTCGTCCGTTCTTGTCAACCTGATCCAACTTTCAATTTTGTTCAAGAATTGGAAGAATCCTTTCGTGAGCCAGAAATCTAATCGGGGCATTGGTGTTGACCCGACAACCTTCCCACTTTCTAGAGCAGCTCAACCCAGAAGAGACAGAGTGTCGAAAAAAGGGACCAACAAAACTATTATATTGTTTAATTTCATATTTATTTTAGACTAACCTATTAGTGATGTATTGAATCGGGTCAGTGTTTTGCATCTACTTACAGAAGTTCCTATCTTCTCTTAGAAAACAAGGTCATCATCTGCTAAACTTTAGGTCACATCGTTCAGAGATTGAGAAATAACACTTTTCTTTCAGCCCGATTTCTCAGGCTCCATTGTTTTCTGATAGCTCTAAAGTCTACATTATTTTCTGTAAAGCAACCACTTGAATTTACAGAAATCAACTGAAACAAATCTGGGCTTCCCAAATTTCCAATCCCTCTCTTATCTTTGCATATTGTCACCAAATTGCTCCAGAGTTCCTAGAGTACGAAGAATAGAGAAAAATACTCGAAAAATAAAATAAATTTGAACCAAAACATAGCTAATCAGATAGTAAGAAAGAAGAGGGTAAAAAAAAACATAACTAATTACCATGACAACAACAATAAACGAAAATTAAAGACTTTCAACATTTCATTTCATTATTTATATGTAGACAATGCCACCACCACCACCACCGTCAAACTCCAAGCAAAAAATGAGCTAGCTACTTGGGTTGACAAATCTGGTTCAAACATTACATATATTTTTTCATTTGACCAAGCTTTTCTAGGGAATTGGAAGGTGCAGTGTAAATCTTCATCTTGACCACCAATTCTGCTACTTTTAGGGTTCATAAAGGGCTCAAGATAGAGTAGCAGAATTTTTCAGATGTAAGAGACAACTCACTAAGATGTTGATCAACTAATTCATCCACTAAAGCACAACCTTGATGCACTATGAGAATCGACGCGCTGGCCACAATGTTGGGCGATGCCAATGCATCTCCCAAGGGTCCGAGCCAGTCACCCCACTCGGTTAGCCCGGTGAGTGGTGAGGAACCTGTTTGCCCTCTTCCCACGATATAAAGATCATAGTCAGTTCCCATGGCGCTTATCAATTTGAGAGTTTCCTCCCCATTGTTCACCACCTCGTTAATTAATCTTATGGAAGGTTGGTTCCTAGTATTGAACACGAAGCTCTCTATATATTGGTCGTCTAGATGTTTCTCCTTCTCGTTTTCCTCTATCACCTCTAAAATATTCCTGTATTCGTCCTCATCGTGATCATGATCATTATTATTAGGATTGTTGGGAGGGAGATCTGAATGAACTGCCGCATCTTTACTGACGAGGAAACAAACCACAGTTAAGCTGATATTAGGTTGACCGCTGGCCCACCAATGAAGAGCATGGCACAGCGGCAGCCGCCATAGCCATCTTCATTTTTAATGTTAGATGAATTGGTGAGTCCACGATCCACGAAGATTGCCACCGAACAAGAAGCGTTCTCTAGAAGGTTCTTGTTAATGCCTGTAAAAGAGGGGTTTCCGTTGTCCATTCCCCCCTCAATGGTGGATTGCTTGTGGAAAGGAATGATTATAAGGTCTGCACTCTTGTTGTCCGCAAGGTTGCAAATGTCCTCATGCATGGAGGTGTAAGAGGACACAACAGTTAGTGCCTCCACGAACAAGCTGCTCTCTTCACTTTCGGTCTCAAGTTTTTTAAAGGCAGCGAAAATTTGGTCAGAAGGCGAACAGTGCTTTTGATTTTTGGCTATAATTTTACTTGTCTTACGAATATTGCAGCATGTGTCGTGGACTACGAGCATGGCCACTGAGCTCCACCAGATGAACCGCAAAGACGAATATCGGGGATTGTTTGGTGGATTGGAAGCCTCTAAGAGATTGATGATGCTTAAAACATTGCTTGAATGGATGCAAGTAAGGATTCGAAACTCTGAGTTGGGTTTTATCCTTCTTATGCTTCTGTGCGTGTGCTTCTTAGATGGCCCATTCGACTTGTGAATCAAAGCCAAAATGGGTCCAACCGCTGCCGTCATTATCAAAATTGCAAGCATCATTACTGAAAAAGTATTGTGGTCCAAAACCTGCATTTATATATATATATATATATATATATATTCGCAAATTAAAACAATATAAAATCAGGAATTAAACACATGGTTTTAAGATATATATTTCTTAGATGTAATCTATGTGTAGTATTGTTTAGGGGGACACTTGATACCATTGTGTTAAATTTCAGAGAGACGGGCTAGTGGTCCATTATCAGCAACACCGATATTATCCTCAACTTGATTAATTAATCATGGAATATTGTGTGCATGTGTGTGTGGAAGAGGCAGCTGCGCATGCAATAATGAAATAGTTGTACATAATAGTATATACATACATGTAAGTCCCGCCCAGAACTGAGGATTATATAGCCAGCAGGCCTTTGGTGTTCATGACTAGTCCGAAAGCCAAACTGTCCGTCACCGGCATTTTGTTAATGATGGCAGCGACAAAAGTCACAAGAAATTTAGCGAGGAAAGCCAGGGCAACAATTGACATGACAATTTGAAGGCTTGTACTACGAAAGACAACAACGACATGCGTTCTTATCCCAAGAATCAAAAAGAAGAGGGGCAACAAGATTTTTGACACAAAATCCTCAACCTTTTCGGTGATTGCAGTTTTGAGCTCTCCCTTAGGCAAAATGGCTCCCAACATGAAGGCCCCAAGAATGGAGTGTGACCCATACGCATCACTAATGAACCCAAACAGCAGAACCCCGGCCATGATGAAGCATATTTGGTTGTCCATGTCGTACTTTTCGCTGAAAAAGCTCGTGTTGCGAACCATCCACAACAGCGCCGGACGAAGCCCGTATACACAAAATATGATCAATGTGAAGGTGGACAACACTGTAAAGTTTGCCATCGCTGACTGTGGCCACCATGATAACAAGAAGAACCGAAGAAAGGACTCGGGCAACTTTGGCGAAGTTGGTGGTGGTAAGGGTGATGCCCTAGAAGAAAGTGTTAAACGTAATGCATTTGTATCAGTTATTAAAGTAGAGTTGTATCTCTTGAGAAGAGTTATGTTTAAGAAGAGTTGTATCTCTTTAGAAGTCAAGAGTTGTGTCTGCAACTCTTGGAACTAATCCAAGAGTTATGTCTGTTATGAAAAGATCTGAATATTATTATAAATAGCCAATAAGATGGCTTAGTGTTGTAATCAATTTTTAGGAAATCAATAAAGCTTCAGTATTTCTGTTTAAAACTCTCTTCCATATTCTCTCTTATCCATCTTTCTCCAACAAATTTGGTATATCAGAGCTAATCGATCCCTTCGCTGTGTTAATCATGGCATCAAGTTCAAATTCCTCAACCATTGGAAATATTCAAAATTTAATGCCTATTTTCGATGGAGAGAATTATGAATATTGGAGCCTACAAATGAAGACCTTGTTCATCTCTCAAGATCTTTGGGATCTTGTAGAAGATGGTTACGAGGAACTGGAAAAAACTTCGACGGGAAAAGCGACACCGGAATCACAGCAAGCACTTAAAGAAAATAAGAAAAGAGATGCCAAGGCTTTATTCCTAATTCAACAGGGAATAAGCAAAAATCTCTTTCCAAGATTACTTTCTGCTACGACATCAAAAAATGCTTGGGAAATACTCAAAATTGAGTTCCAAGGCTCACAGAAAGTGATCTCCATCAAACTCCAATCCTTGTGGCGAGAGTTTGATAATTTATTAATGAAGGAGAATGAGTCCATTCAGGTTTTCTTCACAAAAGTTTCTGGAATTGTTAACCAAATTAGAAGTTATGGGGATACAATTTTAGACAAGAAAATTGTAGAGAAAACTCTACGTAGTCTACCGCCAAAGTTCGATCATGTTGTTGCAGCAATAGAGGAGTCAAAAGATCTCGCTGCACTTTCGCTCCATGAACTAATTGGTTCATTGGAAGCACATGAAAAAAGGATTAATAGGTCTACAGACCACTCCTTGGAGCAAGCTTTTCAATCCAAGTTGGATTCGAAGGAGAAAGAAGACAAACAAAAAGGAGAATCTCAAAAGTCCCAAAACAGAAAAAGTAAAGGAGAATCTCATTGGCGGAAGAATCACAACAAAGGCAACTATAACAACAACAATCAGCAAGGACGTAGCCATCAAAACAACCAGAATGGTAACCTTGTCCCTGAATGTCGTGTTTGTAAGAAGACTGGGCACAAAAGTGCAGATTGTTGGTATAGGTGTACCCGATGCAGAATACCCAACCATTCTCAAAGAGATTGCAGATATCAGAAAAATAATGAAGCCAATTTCACAGAAAATAATGACTCTCCAGAGCAACTATTTTATACATGTCTCAGCGCTCGTCAAGAACCACAAGATATATGGTACGTGGATAGCGGATGCAGTAACCACATGACAGGAAACAGACAATGTTTTGTCAAATTTGAAGAAAATGTGAATTCACAAGTCAAGCTGGGAGATGGAAAGCTTCACAACGTGAAAGGCAAGGGTATTATCTAGTTCAAACTCGAGAAGGTACACCAAAACTAATCTATGATGTGCTATATGTTCCTAACTTGGCACAAAATTTATTAAGTGTAGGACAACTCCTACAAAAAGGCTTCTCTGTTAAATTTGATGATGATCACTGTGTTATTTCTGATAAAAAGAATAACATTGTAGTGGCTAAGATAAAAATGATGGCAAACAAAGTCTTTCCGTTGATCATGACATCAAAAGAAAACTATGTTTTGAAAGCTGAAAATGTAGAAGAATCACACTTGTGGCATATGAGATACGGACATCTAAATCAAAGAAGTCTACAGCTCTTACATCAGAAAGATATGGTGGTTGGCCTTCCTTCTATTCAGTCTGAGAAAGCAATATGTGAAGGTTGTATTTTTGGAAAATTCCACCGCTTAATATTTTCACAATCAACATGGAAAGCAAGAGCCCCTCTTGAGTTGGTACATGCAGATATATGCGGGCCGACTCGAACACCATCTTTTAATGGCAAGAAATACTTTCTTCTCTTTGTTGATGACTATAGCAGGATGATGTGGGTTTATTTTCTAGAACAAAAGTCAAAAGCATTCTCTTTTTTCAAGCAATTTAAAGCCTATGGAGAGAAACAAAGTGGATACAATCTCAAGACATTGAGAACTGATCGTGGTGGAGAATTCACATCAAATGAATTTTCAGAATTTTGCAAAAGAAATGGAATAAAAAGAGAATTGACGGCAAGCTACACTCCACAACAAAACGGTGTTGCGGAACGAAGAAATCGAACCATTGTGGAAATGGCAAGAAGCATGTTAAAAGCAAAAGGTCTGCCAAATGTGTTTTGGGCTGAAGCAATTCATACTCAGTGTTTATTCTCAACAGGTCACCTACCAAGTCTGTCAAGGATATGACTCCTTTTGAAGCATGGCATGGGTTTAAGCCAAAGGTTGATTTCTTTAAAATCTTTGGTTGCATAGCCTATGCACATGTTCCTTCTCAAAAGAGAGAAAAGTTTGATGAAAAGAGTGAAAAATATATTTTTGTGGGCTATAGTGACAAGTCCAAGGCATACAGATTGATTGATCCAAGAACTAATAAGTTGGTAATTTCTAGAGATGTTATTTTGATGAATTCAAGGTATGGAGATGGGAAAACAGACAAGGTGAAATACAGAGTTTTTTGCTGGAACCAGAAACATCAAATTTAGAAGAATCTCTGCTGCCCCAAAGTCCAATTTCAAAGGCAAGAAGTCCAATTCCAAGTGCAAGAACATCTTATCCTAGTTCACCAGATTCAACTCCTAGACTAAAATGCGTTCATTGGCAGACATATATGAGTCGTGTGATCTTGCTTTGAGTGTTTTGGAGCCTCAAAAATTTGAGGAAGCAGTGAAAGAAAAAATTTGGCACGACGCAATGGAAGAAGAAATTAGAGTTATCAAGAAAAATTCTACGTGGGAGCTTGTTGATCGGCCTAAATCAAAGGACATCATTGGACTTAAATGGATCTACAAGACAAAATACAATGAAGATGGCTCAATACAAAAGCATAAGGCTCGGTTGGTTGCCAAAGGCTACTCTCAACAACCTAGAGTAGATTTTAATGAAACGTTTGCTCCGGTTGTACGAATGGAAACTATACGAACTGTGTTGGCTTTGGCAGCACAATTGAAAACTCAAGTTTTTCAATTGGATGTCAAGTTCGCTTTTTTGAATGGAGAACTTGAAGAAGAAGTTTACGTGGAGCAGCCGCAAGGATATATTGAAAAGGGAAATGAAAACAAAGTTTGTCGACTTCGGAAAGCACTATACGGCTTAAAGCAAGCTCCAAGAGCCTGGAATAGCAAAATTGATCAATATTTCTGTCAAAGTGGATTTGTAAGAAGTCCAAGTGAGCCATCACTCTATCTCAAGAAAGAAGGTACACATGATTTTCTTATTGTGTGTCTTTATGTTGATGACTTGATTTATACAACTACCAAACCAAGGATGGTAGAAGCATTCAAGAAGGACATGATGAAAGAATATGAGATGACTGATTTGGGTTCTATGAAGTATTTTCTAGGAATTCAAGTCCAACAATCGAAAAAAGGGGTTTTTATGTATCAAGAAAAGTATGCAGAAAATCTCTTGAAAAGGTTCAATATGTTGAACAGCAAGCCAATGGATACTCCAATGGCAATTAATTTAAAGCTTTCAAGTAATGATGGAGCACCAAGAGCTGATGCTTCTATGTATAGAAGTATTGTTGGCTCACTTATTTATTTATCTAATACAAGGCCAGACATAGTTCATGCAGTTAGTGTTGTATCTCGATTCATGAATGATCCAAGTAATCATCATTTTGCTGCTGTTAAAAGAATACTAAGATATGTGCAAGGAACCAAAGGATATGGCCTCAAATATACACAAGAGAAAGAAAGCATTTTAGTTGGGTTCACAGACAGTGATTGGGCTGGTGCAATTGATGATAGAAGAAGCACATCTGGGCATGTGTTTTTCTTGGGAAAAAAAGTTATATCATGGTCATCGAAGAAGCAAAGTACAGTGGCATTATCAACAGCCGAAGCGGAATATATTTCAGCCACAAGTGCAGCATGTGAAGCAGTTTGGATTAGAAGAATATTAGCAGATCTTCATCAAAAGCAAAACACTCCAACAAATTTGTACTGTGATAACATGTCCACAATTGCCATGACAAAGAACCCAGTCTTTCATAGCAGGTCAAAGCACATAGAACTTCGTCATCATTTTATCAGAAAATTGGTTGAAGATGGAGAGATTGAATTGCAATTTTGTGGTACTGATGAGCAGATTGCAGATGTTTTTACAAAAGCACTTCCAAGAGAGAAGTTCTACTATTTCAGAGAAAACCTAAATGTCATAGGACAAATGCATTAAGAGGGAGTGTTAAACGTAATGCATTTGTATCAGTTATTAAAGTAGAGTTGTATCTCTTGAGAAGAGTTATGTTTAAGAAGAGTTGTATCTCTTTAGAAGTCAAGAGTTGTGTCTGCAACTCTTGGAACTAATCCAAGAGTTATGTCTGTTATGAAAAGATCTTAATATTATTATAAATAGCCAATAAGATGGCTTAGTGTTGTAATCAATTTTTAGGAAACCAATAAAGCTTCAGTATTTCTGTTTAAAACTCTCTTCCATATTCTCTCTTATCCATCTTTCTCCAACAGAAAGGACCATAAGTGGTAGCCTTTAGTGGGCGGGAGTTGGGTGTTAGGGTTTTGTGCAGAAGATAGCCAAGAGGGAGGGGAACCAGAATTCCAGCAGTGGCAATGCTCCAAACTTTTTTTCTGGCCTACAAAATTAGCTTGAAATCGACCTCTAAGCCCTGGAGGAACATGTAGTAAATCAACCCCAAGGTGGCCATTGTCTCTATGGTCAACGTGCTTTTGACTGGAAATAGGTATTTGCGAGAGAACTGGGTTTTCTGGATATAATATGGACCCAAAATTATGCCACCCTGCAATGTGCGTGCATGCATGCCAATGTATTATTATTTGTCTTTGTCATTAAAATATCAATATTATATGTATAGATGTGATATACTCAATTAAAATTTGTGTCTGACCAGGTAATCATTTGTCTCTTGCAATAAAATTTTGATAATAAAGCATAGAGCACAAAGCACAGAGCATAGAATTACAGCTTACTTACAATAATGTAAGCAACGATGCGAGGTTGGTGCAAACGTGCAAGGAGAAGCTTGAGAAGGTGTTATATAAACATAATGAGACCTAGTTGAGTGAAGAAGAGAGGAAGAGTTGAAAGCAAGGCATTCTCAGCCTTCCACACCCCAGTCACGTGTGTTATCGTTTTATTATAACATACCCTCATAACATCTACTTCTACTACCCCGCCATTGCCCCGTAGCGCATCATCCATTATGTATGATACTTGTATTTACAATTCTTTTTTATAAAAGTGTTATTAAAGAATTGGAGGATTCGAACAAAAGACCTCTAGTGCAAAAGTAACTGCTATTACCCACTTGAGCTACAAGCTCTATTTACAAATTAGATAATAGGAATTCTGGGTTTCTGTCAGCCCTCCCTAGCTACCACAGGAGGTCTTTCTTTTGCCTTGGATGACGTCCAAATCGCTAGAAACACCACTCTCATCAAAGACAAAGACAAAGACTATGACAATGAAACTAGAAAAGAAAAGTGATTGTTATCACACAACACAAATTAAAGAGGAATAAATAGAAATTAAAGTTTTGATACTGAGGGATTAATTAGTTAATTAGTTGCGCCTAAACTAGCTGTAACCTCTTCTTAATTTGTTGGTTGTTCGTTCAGTTTGGTTGGCATCCACACATTATTAGACTTTTATTTTTATTTTTGGTGACATCCATATGTGCATTTGTTCACCCGTTTTGTGATCACTCCTGTGGTGGAAGGGCAAAGTTCCCCACTGCCTTGAAAACCAATGACTGGTCAGCAAGTCAGCTTTCTTTGGTGTATGAGCGTGCCACTGCTAGCAATGAAGATTCTAGCAGACTTATTCTAGAATAGATAACTTGCGCCCCAAGTTACTGATTTCCATAAACAAGCAAGTTCTTTTTTTGCCTCAGACTGGTGAGGACTTTAACAATTTATCTCAGTATAAAGAGGTTGTTCTGGCCAGAATGGTTGATGGAATTTAAGCTGTCTTAGGCAGAACTGCGTTTTACAAAACTATAAACATAAATATCCAAGCTAGAAAGATGAAAGGACAGCTGGAACTCCATTTCTGCCTAGATAGGAGGTTCTGATCTGGGCTGGACTGGAAATATCTGGGCTGGATTGGACTGTTAACAACTTTAGCTGCTAAGCTTCAACTGTAGATCGATACCAAACTTCAAGCTTTTGTGAGGCTTCTAAGTGGGCAGAACTGCGGCTTCTTCAGTCTGTAAGGGCAGAAGTGGTTGTTCTCGAGGACTTCAGTGGGCTAGAGACTGCACTGTAAAATTTGTTGAGGTTTTCATGTTTGGGAAAAGCTCAAGCTCTACCTGTCTTGGTTTTTTGCTAAACCAAATTTGTAACTAGAGAAATCTCGTTTTGAATCACTTATTTTCTAAGTCTGAGCCTTGGGAATTCTGATCTAAAGTTGGTTTTCACTTGGAATTCAATTGAGCTTTTGGTTGATTTTGAGTTGTTTATTTGATTGATGACTTGAGTGTTGGATTGATTGTTCTTGCCCTGTTCACTCCTTGTATTTATAAGAGATGTTATTTGGAGTAGGGTAATTCTTTTAAATAATCGGCGTCAATTTTCTTTAAAAAGGATCTTTCATTTTTAATTGTAAAGAAAGGGGGTTTTGATCAATTTCTAGTAGAGAAGCTCTCAATAGTCAGTTCTTAAGATCACTTCCCTATATTTTTCAAACTGTGATGGTTAGTTTGATCTTCCATTTGAACAACTCCCTGTCCTCCTGCTTATCTCCTTTTGAGAACATGGTCTGCTTATCTCTTGGGAGAATCACCATCTTTGGAGAAAAAATATTATTTCCAAATATGTAAAAAGGGATCTGATCTTCTGATGGCAAAGATTCAGAGAAGTCTTCTCCTAGCTGTCTGCTTTTGTTAATCCCAGTTGAAAATATTGACTTTTCTAAGTCAGAAACATCACATGGGTCTGTTCCTGTTTTGGTTTTCTTTCTTTTAATAATGGCAAACCCAAATTCGAGTTGAACCATGAACTGATTCCTTTCTTTTCTCTATTTCTCCGAGGCCCAGGTTTTGCGTTCTTAGATACCTCCTGAGCTGGGCTTCTTTTAGATGTGGGCCCTTGATTATAATTTGGGTCCTGAACTGCCTGGTTTTGTTTTTGTCTCATCCTTCTGGGCCTCCAATGCTGGGCTGAGTGTGTGTTTTGGCCCAATTTCAGGGAATGCAGGTGGCTGTCCAAAAATTGTCATGAGCTTTTGTTTTCCTTGGGCTCTGTGTCAAATTAGGCCCAAACAATGCCCCCTAAGTCTGAATCGTTTTTGAATGGTTTCAGACTTAATGACTTGGGCCATTAATTTGTGCATGCCAGTTTCTTTTCGTTAACCCACATTTGCCACGTCTTCCTACTGAGCTATAGTTCTTGGGAAACTGGGTAGTTATTAGCTCATTACTAGCTAGTCATCATCAAGTGTCGTATCATCTTCTCCTTCCCTGGTTTTCAAACTTTTAAAAGAAATCAAACTCAAAGCTTCTGTTCATTTCGAAAACCTAGCTTCAGACCTTGATTTTCTTAGTGTTTCAGAATTTCCACTCTTTTTTTTTAGTCAACTCTGCCTTTCTTACCACCTCCTTTGTTCCTAGCTCAAAACTTCTTAACATGTCTTCTCCGAAGACTCGTGCCCAGGGTTCGTCCTCCTCAGTTCCTCCTGATTACATCACTGGGGCTGGGGTTGACAACCATACCATAGAGGTCAGAAGCAAGCTCCATCCTTTTGCCCAAAAGAACTTGGATGAGAATGTCCTTCACCTATTCAAGAATACTATGGTTTTGGGTCCACACTGGTTTGGCCCAGTTCCGACTGAGATGGCAAAATTGATGAAGAAGGATGCTGAAGCTCCTTTGTGTTTTGAGAGCACTTCTGCCTTGGCCTCTCATTCTTGGGTCAGCAAGAATATGAGCCGTTCGTTCCCATCCAGTGAAGTGAGAAACAGTTCAATGAAATGGGTAGACTAGATTGACAGACTCCTTCCAAGATATGGAGCTCACTGGAAGAGGGCTGAAATATATGATGCCATACTTCTGTCCAAGCATTCCATCAATAGAGATGAGAACCTCCTGGCTGCTGCTTTATGTTTCTGCAATTCTGCTAGTAACACATTTGACTTCCGTGTGGGCCCCATGGCTCCAACTCTGCTGGATATGGCGTAAATCTTTGGGTTCAAGCCCCATGGAAGACCTGTGGATGCAGTAGGAGATTACCAGGAGAAACTAGCCAAGCCTTTCACTATCTCTCCAGCTCTTATCAACTAGAACTGCTCCTTCTCCAACTACCTGAGGAAGTTCAGTGCTGAGAAGGACAAGGACCAGCAACACATGCTATTCCTTCTGTACTGGCTGAATAGGTTCATTCTCCCCAATCGGTCTTCAGCAGTTCTGCTTGAATACAAACATTTGGTAGAAGCATTGCACAACCATACGGATGTAAGGGCTTGGCCCTACAGTTCTGGCCCATCTTTTCAAGAATCTGCACACTGCTACTTTGGAGAATCCTCTGAGCTTGTCTGCTCCCGGCGCATTCTGGATGATCCAGATTTGGCTGCAGGTTTATTTCACAGAATTGAGGTTTCCGGACATCATTCTGCTTGAAGATCAGGTCATGGCAGCTCCCTTGATGTCAGTAGAGGTGCCAAAGCAATCGATCAAGGAGTATCTGATGTTTTTCAGGCACTGTACTAAGAGGTCTGCAGCTCAGTGGCAGGTGGTGATTAGAAGATCATATGCCTGGTTCTAGGCTGGATACAGACTATTTAAGAAGGAGCCAGAAGAGGAGGCAGCCAGAACAGACTTTAGGAAGAAATTCCTAAGTGTCACTTTGCCGAGAGATCTGCCTCATGGAGGAGGAAAGCCTCCAAATTATCATTTGGGGGCAGAAGTCTACCATCCCAACTTCGGTGCAAGGCAACTTGGCTGCCCTCAGTTCATTCCACTTAAATCTTAAAGAAGTTGCAATCGGGGCACTTCTTGGAGAGATGCAGATGACCTGGAGGTGCACAAGGATGCTAGATGTGCAGTGAACAAGATAAACAATAGTGCAGATGCCTTCTATCCCTCATGGGAACCGAATTCCTGTAGTTCTGCCGAGTTCGATGCCTAGTGGAAGGTTAGGTTCCATGATCTACCTGCTTCAAGCACTGCACTTGAGGTGCTTTTTAAGGGCTGGGATGGATGGACTGTCCACACAGGAGAGGAGACTCACAAATTTATGGTGCAGACCATCAAGGACATCAATGCTCAAGTTATAGAAGGTAGTGTCTTACTTCTGTCTGTTCTGTCTATCCTTTTTGTAGTGATGATGTTTTAATACTTTGTTTTGTCTGCAACAGATCCCTCCTTGACACAGAACATTGGTGGACAGTCTGTCCAGGCCAGAGAAGTAATTGGTAATTTTTCTATGCTTCTGTTCCTTCTGCTTTTTGTCTTTCTCTTGATTGACCTTCTAACATGTTTGCTTCCTGTGCAGTCACTTCTGTTATTGCAACTGGAGATCTGGAGCTGCCTTCTGGAGAAGGAGAAGAAGAAGAAGAAGAAGATCGGGCAGAACAGACGGCTGTTGAGGCCACTCCTTCTTCTGCCAGAAGAAAAAGAAAGGAAACTGCTCAGCCTGCAGCTTCAGGTGAATTTTGACAGTTCATAATTCTATTATGTCATGTTCTACCTGTTTTAGCTTACGTTCTAATGGCCTATCTTCTGTCTACTGCAGTTGGGAGTCCCTCTCCTCCTCCTACTAAGTCAAAACAACTTAGAAAGAGGACTATAGAGGAATATGTGGCCGCGGAGGCAACTGCAGCAGTTCCCACCACAACTTCTGGCACAGATGAAGAGCTGAGAGAGGCTTTTGAAGCTGTGGAGCAGGAGAAGGAGTTAGAGGCTCTAGAAGAGGTTGGAGAAAGACCTCAAGAAGAAACAAAGACAGTAGAAGAAGAAGTGAGTCTCTGATCAACAGATCTGTTTCTATCTTTTATTCTTTCCATTTTCTAACTTTTGTCCGCCTGTCTGTTTGTCTGCAGGAAGAAATTCCTGCTGAAGTGATTGTAGAGAGCATCGCTTTGGCTCAGAAGCAGCAAGAGAAGACAAGGGTAGAGCTAACTAGCTCATAGCTGGCCCAGTTTGAGGATCCAGAGGCAGAACACTCTACTACTGCCCCAGCAGCTGAGGAGCAAGTAGGGCAATCTGCATCCGAGCCTGTGGAGCAGGCAAAAGTACCTGTTTTAGTTCCAGAAGCTGTAGTGGAAATGGCTGCAGCTGCTCCTGAAGTGGTGGTAATTTTCTTCCAATTTTGGTCATATTTTCTGCAATTCTGTTCTACTTCTACTTCTTTAACTATTTTAGTCTTTTTAGGTATAAGTGCCTAGATCTGCTGGTGTTCTGGCAGTGGTGACCAGTCCCTTGAATCCTCCAATCGTTGCTGTAAGTATTGTTGTAATTCTGAGCTCCTTTCTTATGCTTCTGCCTGAGTTTGACTTATGCTCTCTTGTGCAGATGCCTATTCATTCTCTTCCACGTTTGTTCGCTCTAAATTTGAACAGATAAGAGTTTAGGCTAACTTACAAGTGTGTTGATGGTTGAGGATTGGAGTGACCTTCTTCCGTGATGTCCTAAGGTTTGAGCAGGGGCTGGATCCGAACTAAGGAGGGGATACCAGTGTGGTACCTGCCAAAGGAACTCCGATGCCAAAGTTAGTAACTAAGAGCGATTCTATTGACAGTGGAAGCACTTAGTCCAATCAGAAAGTCTTACCACTTGGCTGGGCCAAGGGCCTCTATTTATAGAGAGCATTTGTGATGCTCCTAGCACTTTGTTTCGATGTGGGACTCGTGGGAGTGTCTTCGGAGATCGACACGTGCTCTGACAGGTTCTAGCAGAAGTTCTGAGGTAATCTGACATAATTGGATTGACGTGATGGTTGGTCGCTCGGCAGACCATGCTGAAGGTTAGTGAAGGGACTGATGGTGCGTAATCGACCCCCTGAATCGGTACAGCGTGCCGAAAGAACATTCGATATGGCCCGGTTGAGCTGGTCTCGGCTTTGAGGGTGTTCCACGTGTCACGACGTGAGTAGGCGGTCAGACATGGTACAAACAGTAGTCCCTCAAGTTTCCGATCGAGGAGGAACTTCTTGGTTGGGGACTTGCTTGTCCCTGATCTCCGGCATTCTGACCCGGGAACGAGAGTCTGTCGTTTGTAAGTCGGTGATGATCATGTAGTTCCCCAAGTCCCCAAGCCAAGAGGTTGGTTTGAAGATTGGAAGGGAACGGCAGGAAGAGGTTGGTTTGCTGAAGGTGGTTGAACGGTATGGAAAGCATGAGTCAGGAGGGGAAAAAAAACTCGACCCATGCATGCCTGCCGTTCGGCACGAGAGGTGAGTGAAAACTCGACCATGCGTGCCTGCCGTTCGGCACGAGAGGTGAGTGAAAAACTCGACCCATGCGTGCGTGCTGTTCGGCACAAGAGGTGAGTGAAAACTCGACCCGTGCGTGCCTGCAATTCAGCATGAGAGGTGGGTGAAAACTCAACCATGCGTGCCTGCCGTTCGGCACGAGAGGTGAGTGAAAACTCGACCATGCGTGCCTGCCCTTCGGCGTGAGAGGTGAGTGAAAACTCGACCATGCGTGCCTGCTGTTCGGCGCGAGAGGTGAGTGAAAACTCGACCCATGCGTGCCTGCCGTATGCTGGGAAAGTTGTGCTCTGTCTCAAAAAGGAGAAGAAGGGAGAAGTCGAAATGTTCGAAGTGTAGGCGCAAGTGGGGAGGTGAGGGCGGTTGGGCTCCCCTGTGCATGGGTGACACGTGTCGGCAAGGCTGCGAAGACTTGTGATGTTTCGGTTCCCAATGCTAGGCTCGTCCTATAAATTGAAGGAAGAGGCGGTAAGAGGAGGTACTTGAGGTTCTGAGAGCAAATGGAGCTTGTGAGAGGCGATTTCCAGCGAGTGCATTGCGGCGTTGTAGGAGATTTCCGGCGAGTGTTTGCGAAGGCAGAGCGATTTCCGGCGACTTCCACCACCGTGCAAAACAAGGTATGGTAATGTTTTCCCGCCTAGCATGAATCAAATGCTTGTATATTTGCATGAACACGTAAGAACATAGATGATCGTAGATGAACATTAGCTCTTGGGCTCTAGGATAGGGGTTTGATTCGAGCATGTCGTTTAGTTTTGGTTTGCTTTTGTTTGTAGATGTCAGACACCGAATCAGACTATAGTCGTAGCCCAAGAGCGTTTGATGGAGAATCGGCATTGGCGAGCTCGACCGCAGGGCTTGATAGTGCAGATTTTGAGGAGACCGAGGGAAGAGAAGTCACGGAGGTGTCTACCGATACGGGGAGCACTTCGAGTGTGGAAGTAGTGGGGGCTGACGACGCCCACCCATCGACATTTGATCATCGAATGGGAGAGGCCGAGGCCAATGTGTTGGTTGCTGATCCTAGGGAATCGGTAAAGATGCGGATCCCAGGGCCGTTAGAATCGCTGGGCAATCCGAAGAGAGAGGTGGTCTTCTTCACGGATGTCTTCAAGCACGGGCTTAGGTTGCCGCTGAGACATTCGGTACAGAAGATCCTGGCAGCGATCGGCTACGCCCCTGGGCAGTTTAATCCAAATTTTTGGATTACACTCTTGGGGACGGTCACGACCTTCAACATAGCTGGTGATGGGGAGCATAGCTATGAGCAATTCGCCCATCTATACAGTGTGACGAGGGCGAAGAGCGCCGATCAAGGGGGGTGGGTGCAGTTGAACTATTTGTCGGCGGGGCAGAAGGGGCACTTCGTAGTCGTGGTGTCGACCTCGCAGAAGACCTGGCGTCGGCGTCGGGTGTTAGTGTCCGGAGCTTGGGAATCGGCGCCAGGAGTGATTGTAGAGAGGCATATCCCCACTTCCTTCCAGACAGTCGGTAGGCCCATGGGGTGCCGTTCGGTAGCAATAGGGCCATATTTTTTTATATTTGTTTTTAATACCGAAGCTAACTGGAGGTTGTATTTTTGTGTTTCAGTGTCCTTGAAACGGCCGATCGCTACGAAGAGGGAGATAAAAGTGATCAAGCGCGTTCGGTCAAGAATAGCTGAGAAGGGTCGTGTGCACAAGGCTCTGCTAGACTACAAGAACCTATTCAAAGCGGGTCTGATCAGTGAGCCAGAGTACCTCCGAAGGAAGGAGGAAGAAGAGGAAGAGAGGCAAAGTAAGTAATGTCGTTCGACCTTTCATTGTTTCATTTTATTGTGACGTATGCCGAATCTACCCTAACTCCCCTTTGTTTTGTGCAGTGGCAAGAGAGTGGGCAATGTCCGAAGCGACGAGGAAGACACTCGAGTCGCGAGGCCGAAGACGAAGCCACCTCGCCAGGCCAAGGGTGCATCGGCACAGGAGGGCACGCCGGGCGATCGGCGGCGGGAGAGAAGGGTGGCGGAGGCCGACCTGATCCGGGAGGCCCATCTCCAGGTGACCGGAAAAAGGGTGATTGAGGGTGCCCTCGATGTGACCCCTCTACCGAAGAGGCCAAGGGGGCCGAATGAGGAAGCAGCCATCCTCGTGTCAGACGAGGAGGATGCCGAAGCGGAGCCGGTGAACATCACCTGCCCTCGAAAGGTGGTACCGTTCGTGAACTGCTTCATCGACGGTGCTTAGATGGAGCTCCCAGAGCTGGAGTAGCTGCCAAAGAAGTCGGTGCGCGAACAGGCTGGACGTGCCTTCCACCTCCAAGCTACCGTAAGTGTGCTTACCTTAGTTTTGTCCAAGGGTTGAGGTGATGGGAAAGTGCTAACGTTTGTGTTGTTTTGCAGGCTAACATGGAGATGTGGCTTAGCATGAAGCGGGCTATCAATGCAGCCGAGCACGTCCAGAAGAAGTATGAGGAGGGCTGAACCAAAATTGCCGAGGCTGGGAAGCTATTCCAGGATGCGGATCGGCATGCGGAGGAGAACGCTTCCAAGATAACCGAGCTATCCTCCAGGCTGGCGAAGGTCGAAAGGGCGGCAATGGATGCCGAAGAGGCGAGGGCGAAGGCAGAAGAGGCAAAGGAGGCCGAGCGTCGGTCTCGGGCAACGGAGTTGGAGACGGCCAAGAAACAGGCCATAGCTGAGTACCGAAACTCGCCGGAGTTCGTGGCATTACTGGACAAGGAGGTGATGGAGCAATGCGAGGATCTCATCTACCGGTTCAAGCGCTTTAATGCTGATAAAAAACTGAACCTGAACTTCGTTCGGGATCCGCCGCCGTTGCCCGAGAGGGTAACCGAGGACATGGTCGAGGCGTACCTCGAGGCGTACCTCGAGGAGGATGCCGAGGTCGATTCCTTGAGTGGCTCAGAATCGGACGGTCAGGAGGAAGAATCGACTTCCCCTGCCGAGCAGTTGAGTGCCCGAGACGATGAGGGGCCAGCACCCCCCGCTTCTGCTACCGAGGTCGATCCTCCAACTCCTTGACTGCTGCCCTACTTGTCTCTTTTTTTGTTCTAATATATAAAATTAGTGTTCGGATATTGAGGCCGTTCAACCAATTTTGTAAAGACAATTGCCCAGCTTGAGGCTTTAGTCATATCCAAGTCTAATTTGAATCAGCTTCGGTGTTTGTCCTTGTTGCTGAATATAAGCATGTATGCCGAATTGTGTAAAAATAGGAAAACGATAATGTTGTTGAAAGAAAAATTGTACAAAAGTGTAGTGGTCGAAGGTCCAATCACGATAATGTTGTTTGACATTCCAAGGGTGGCTGAGGGTTTGACCGTCGAAGCCACGTAATCGGTAGGTGCTGGGTCGACAGATGCTGACAATTTCATAGGGTCCTTCCCATGAGGGGCCGAGAGTGCCTTCAGTAGGATTTCTTGTTGCTAGAGACACTTTACGCAAAACCCAGTCGCCTATCTTGAACAATCGGTGTTTTACGCACGAGTCGTAATACCGAGCCGTTCGTTGTTTGTAGGTAGCGTTCCGGAGCTGTGCTTGCAATCGGTGTTCGTCAATGAGATCTAGATTGAGGGTGAGCTGCTGTTCATTCTGTTGAGGGTCGTAAGATGCCGTTCTGCATGTGGGCGCATGTACTTATACCGGTACGACAGCTTCGGTACCGAAGGCTAGGGAGAACGGTGTCTCACCAGTTGACCTTCGGTAGGAGGTATTGATGGCCCATAGTGCTTCTGGTAGTATGGCAGGCCAATTGCCCTTGGCGGCTCCCAGCTTCTTCAATGTTTTCTTGATGATCTTGTTGATGGCTTCTACTTGCCCATTGGAATGTGGATGTGTCGGAGATGCAAAGAAGATGCTGATGTTGAATCGGGAGCAGAGATGCCGAAACCGTGAGGAGTCGAATTGCTTACCGCTGTCCGTTACGATGGCGTTTGGTAGGCCGAATCGGCATAGGATGTTTTTCCATACAAAGTGTTCGATCTTAGCTGTCGTTATTGTTGTGAGGGCTTCGGCCTCAGTCCATTTGGTGAAGTAATCGACGGCTACGACTGCGAATTTAAGCTAACCCATGCCTTGCGGCATTGGGCAGATGAGATCGAGTCCCCAATGGGTGAATGGCCATGGGCTAGTCATCGGACTGAGTGGTTCAGCAGGGACTTTCGATACAGATCCGAAACGTTGGCACGGATCGCACCTTTGCACAATCTGGGTAGCGTCAGCGTGGAGAGTTGGCCAATAATAGCCTTGCCGAACGACCTTGAAGGCCAAGGATCGGGATCCTGAGTGGTTACCACACGCGCCTTCGTGTATCTCACACAAGATGTAGTCTCCTTGTTGTGGTGTAACACATCTCAGCAACAGCAGGGAGTAGCTGCGCCGATAGAGGATGCCTTGCAACAGAAGGTAGCGAGCCGATCGTCGTCGTACTGCCTTTGCTTCGGCTTTGTCAGTTGGTAGGGTGCCGTCGGTGAGGTGGGCGTGGATCGGGTCCATCCAACTAGGGTCCTGACGGACGGTGTTGACATCGGCTTCGGCCGTGCTCCGCCGAGCGAGAACTTCTTTGGGGACGTGGTGTCCGACACGGTCGTCGATTGCTGAAGCGAGCCTAGAGAGAGCATCGGCGTGGCTGTTCTCAGATCTGGGGACCTGGTAGATGTAGTAGCTTTTGAACTGTTTGAGCAATCGGCAAGTTTGCGCGAGATAGGCAGTCATTGATTCTTCTTTTGCTGCGAATTCGATGATTACCTGGTTGACGACGAGTTGCGAGTCGCTACATATCATCAATCGTTTGGCACCCGAGCTTTGGGCAAGCCGAAGGCCTGCTAGGAGCGCCTCGTACTCGGCCTCGTTGTTGGAAGCACGAAATTGGAAGCGGATAGCATATTCGATTGTGGTGTCATCCAGAGTCTTGAGGACTAGGCATACGCCGCTGCCCTGCCGATTGGATGAGCCGTCCACGTATAATGTCCAGTGAGGGCTGTTTTGATCGAACGTATTGTCGGCCGAAGGTGAATCTACAAAAGCCGAAGGTGGTGCCGTGACAGGGTCGATTGGTTGACCATGGTTGGTTGGAAATGTGAATTCTGAGATGAAATCGGCCACGGCCTGTCCTTTTCTGGAAGGCCGAGGGTGATACCTAATGTCGAACTCGCCAAGCTCGATGGCCCATTTGATCAGTCGTCCTGATGTCTCTGGCTTCTGCAAGACTTGCCGTAGGGGTTGATTGGTTAATACGTCGATGCTCTGTGTCCTGTAATGCATGGCTCATATAAAAGATGGGGAGCTCAATGTCGTTCGGTCGACGGATGAACACGGAACTCAGGGCCGACGCCGAGACCAAGAGATAGATGATGAGGTCTTCTCCGGGAAGAGGGGTGGATAGCAGAGGAGCTCTGCTCATGTAGGCTTTCAGATCTTCGAATGCTCGGTCGCATTCAGAAGTCCAATCGACCTGCCGTTTGCTCCCTTTGAGAGCTTTGAAGAAAGGGGCGCACTGATCAATGGCCTTTGATATGAAACCGGCCAAGGTGGCGACTTGGCCGGTGAGGCTCTGAACCTCCTTCTTCGTCCTCGGCACCCGCATATCGATGAGCGCTCGGATCTTCTCGGGGTTGGCTTCAATCCCCTTTGGCTAATCATGAAGCCTAGGAATTTGCTGGAAGAGACGCCGAAGGCGCATTTGCTCGGGTTCAGGCACATGTTATATTTTTTCAGCTTGCCGAACATGAGTGAGAGGTTTCGAAGATGATCGCCGGCGGTCCGACTTTTGACTAGCATATCGTCTACGTAGACTTCCATTGAAGTGCCAATGAGTTCGGCAAAGATTTTGTTGACCAGTCGCTGGTATGTAGCTCCAGCATTCTTTAGGCCGAACGGCATGACGTTGTAGCAATAAAACCCTCTGTCGGTAATGAATGCTGTATGCTCACGATCCGTAGGATGCATGAAAATCTGGTTGTAGCCGGAGTAGGCGTCCTGAGGAGCTCATGGCCAGCCGTGGCGTCCACCAGTTGGTCAATTCTTGGTAGTGGAAAACTATCCTTCGAACATGCTTTATTCAGATTGGTGTAATCCTGGCACATTCGCCAGGCGCCGCCGGATTTCTTCACCAAGACTGAGTTGGCGAGCCAAATGGGGTAGGTGACTTCGCGGATGAAGCCGATTGATTGAAGCTTGTCTACTTCGGTCTTCATGGCCTCGTATCGTTCGGTGTCATAGGATCGTCTCTTCTGTCGGACCGGCTTGAAAGAAAGGGAGATGCTGAGCTTGTGGCTGATGACGTCTGGGGAGATCCCAGGCATATCGTTGTAAGACCAGGCGAAAACTTCTGAATTGGCCCTTAAAAAGGTAATGAAGTCGGTTATGAGAGACGGGCTGAGGGAAGTGCCGATTCGGACCTGCTGATCCTGTGCGTCAGAGATGGAGATCGTTTCGAGCTCTTTAGCAGGTTGAGCTTGCGGCGTGACATTGTCCACCCGGGGGTCATCGGGACGTTCGGTCCCTCCTTTGCCGTTTGGCATGCTTGGGCGGGTAACGGCCAGTGTTTCGGGCGGCCTTTGCCCTGACGTCCGAGTTGCTGATTCCCCCGTGGATGACATGTAGCATATTCGTGCGCTCAATTAGTCCCCCCGAACCTGACCGACTCCTGAGTGTGTTGGGAATTTAAGCAGCAGCATATGTGGTGACAAAATAGCTTTCATTCAGGTGAGGGCGGGCCTGTCGATGATGGCGTTGTATGCGGTCGAACAGTTGACTACCAGGAAGTGAGTGTAGATGAAAGCCCTTCTGGAGCCGGAGCCGACGGCAAGGGGAAGCTGGATGCTCCCAATTGGCTCGACCACATCGCCCGAGAAGCTTAGAAGAGGAGTGATCTCCTTGTTGAGGCTTTGATGGTCAATTCCGAGGCCGTTGAAAGGATCGGCAAAGAGTACGTTGACCGAGCTTCCGGTGTCGATGAGGATTCGGCCTACGTCGAAATCGGCAATGTCTGCTCGAATGATCATGGGATTTTGCTGTTGTGCTCCTCAATGAGGCTGAGGACCTAAGGGTGCCGAACGGCACGTACGTAACTCTTGACGGACCGACGGCTGCAGTCAGCGATCGGTGTACCGCCGCTGATCATGTTGATCTGCTGATTGCCCTAGTGCTCGGGACCCGATTGTGCACTCAGATACTGGTCTAGTTTGCCGTCGCTGATCAGTTTTTCAATGATCCTTCGGAGGGCGATGCAGGACTCAGTATCGTGGTCGTTGTATTGGTGGTATCGGCAGAAGACTCTTGTATTCTTGTCGACTTGACGAGGGAACTTCCGGAGGCTTCGCTTCGGAATCATCTGATTTTCGGCCATGAGGACATGTTCGTAGGTCGAGTTAAGAATGGTGAAGACCTCCAGCGGTCGGTCGCTTTTGGTGCTTTGGAAGTTTCGGCCACCTGACTCCTTATTGCGTTTGCCTCCGTCCTGCCGACCCTGGAACAAGTCCCTTCGCTTATCCCCCGTTGTGCAAGGTGCGGGCACAGTGGGTGCCGTTCGGTAGGGAGTTTGATTAGTGGTCTGGTGGATGCTGAAACTTGTGCTTGCCGTCTGGCCAGGAGATGCCGAAGGCTGACTTGTGCTTGCCGTCTGGCCAGGAGATGCCGAAGGCATTCCTTTAGAGTTGAAGTGTTCGGCCTTGGCGTGAATGGTTGCCTGCTTCATAAGTTCGCCATAGGTGGTCCAATTGCTGCTGTGTACTAGGTAGCGAAATTGGGAGGCTCGGAGACCACTTTTGAAGGCGCCGAAGGCTGCTAGGTCGTCGATTTCTGGGCACCGAGAATACTCGTGGCTGAATCTAACTGCGTACTCCCGAAGGGGCTCACTGTCTCCTTGCCGAATGGTATAGAGGTCGTCGGCAGAGTATAGACAATCGGTCTGTATCATAAAATGATTGCGGAAAATTTGTTTCAACTGGTCGAAAAAGTTTACCGTACCTGGTTCCAGCCAATAAAACCAATTCAGAGCTGCCCCATCCAAGGTAGATGGGAACAACAGGCATTTGCCTTCATCGGTGAGTCCCTTGCAACCCAAGGCCGATTGAAATGTGTGAATGTGGGTGACGAGGTCTTCCACTCCCAAGTAGAATGAGATTCGGAGGGCCTGTACCTCTTTTTCAGGTCGGTAGAATCGGATTCGGCAGGTGAATGGTCCCGATTGTACCTTTCCCCAGGTTGGTGTCCGGATTTGATTCTGCTCTTCCTCAATCCGATTGACTTTTTGAAGGAGGAGGCGGATTGTAGGATCGGTATGAGGGAGGTTGGTCCCGAAGGGTTCTGCCGTTTGGGGGCCGGTTGGGAGGCGACCCTCGTGTCCTTATGCCTCGTGGCCCGCCGTCGGACGTTCTTGCCGCCGATCGTTCCTTCTGGCCAATCCGGATGTCGTCGACTGGCGTGAGAGTGTCGTGCCAAGGGAGGTCAAAATGTAGTCGGATTCGTCTGTCTCCTCTAGGCCGATCACGTCGTACCTCCGTCGAAGGGGAGATTTTGGTCTGAGTACGTCCAGATGCCGATTGTTGAGTTTTGCTTGGATGGGAATTGGTGATGTCTGCCGTTCCCGTCGTCAATCGTTGATTCTGTCGTGGTAGTCGGAGTAGACTCTGTCGAAGTTGGCACGAACAGTCTTCGGGAGGTGGATGGTTCGCCCTGAGCTAGCTGCTTTCCAGCCTTTCGATCGTAAGGCCTTGGTATGCTCTTCAGTGATCGTTCCTGCTGAAGCTGCGTGGTTTGTTCCAAACTGTCCTACAGTTGGGCTGAACGTGATTGTTACTCGTGAAGCTGTTTCTGGGTGTCGTCCAGTATGGAGGAGAGGATATTGTTGTGTTCTTGCATCCTGATCATTTCCCGCTGCAGGGCTTCCATCCTATCTTCCAAGGTGCTTTGCCAACCATGCGTTTCCACTCGGGGTGTGCCGGGTGGCACATCAAGGTTCTCTCGGTCGGCGAGGCCAAGGATGGGACCGTCGGCCGCAAAGGGCAAAGGCGGGTTTATAGTTTAGAAGTAAAAGGGAGATATGGGCTGATTGTCAATCGGTTTCCCACAGACGGCGCCAATCTGTTCGCGCTAAATCTAAACAGATAAGAGTTTAGGCTAACTTACAAGTGTGCTGATGGTTGAGGATTGGAGTGACCTTCTTCCGTGATGTCCGAACTGAGGAGGGGATACCGGTGTGGTACCTGCCGAACGCACTCCGATGCCAAAGTTAGTAACTAAGAGCGATTCTATTGACAGTGGAAGCACTTAGTCCAGTCAGAAAGTCTTACCACTTGGCTGGGCCAAGGGGCTCTATTTATAGAGAGTATTTGTGATGCTCTTAGCACTTAGTTTCGATGTGGGACTCATGGGAGTGTCTTCGGAGATTGACACGTGCTCTAACAGGTTCTGGCAGAAGTTCTGAGGTAATCTGACAGAATTGGATTGACGTGATGGTTGGTCTCTCGGCAGACCATGCCGAAGGTTAGCGATGGGACTGATGGTGCGTAATCGAACCCCTGAATCGGTACAGTGTGCCGAAAGAACATTCGGTATGGCCCGGTTGAGCTGGTCTCGACTTTGAGGGTGTTCCACGTGTCACGACGTGAGTGGGCGGTCAGACATGATACAAACAAGGTTCTTCTAACATGGCCTCCTTTGCTTATCCAAAACTAAGTGCAGCTGGATGCCCAACTGGACAAGCTGGAGAAGCTTAGTTCTACTCCTAGCAAAGCAAAATCTAAGGCAGTGGAGGAAGCTATGGAGAGGCTAAAGATCTGGCAGTCCACTGAGCTGGAGCTGGATGAGGATAGGGAAGCCATTGACTAGCTGATGAAAGACCTGGACCTGCTGCACAGACAGAACATATCTCCCAAGCCCATACTTGAGATGAGCCTTGGCCTGGCAAGAGATGTGCTTAACCTCCACGATCGATATGAGGATCTCAAGCCTACCTTCAAAACCTCTGAGTTCTGCAAGGCTACTCATGAAGCCAACCTGGCTGATTTTGCAAAGCAGAAGGCAGAACTGGACCAGATGGTGTCGGGATACAAGGAGGCCAAGGCCACTGCAGACAAGCTGGAGAAGCAGATTGAAGAGCTTCAAAAGCAACTGGCAGAGTGCAGGGAGGTGCAGAACAAGCTTGGGGCTGGACTGAGCTCCATGACTAAGGCCACCTTCCTTGTGCAGAGCATGGTTGCAGCTTCTAGGCCAGCCCTGGAGATTGCAGAGGCTTCAATTCATTAGGGGGTGATGCTTCAAAAAGAACTTTCCAGCTTGTTATTTATTTATCCTTTCAGTTTTTTTGCTTTATGATGAACAATTTGCCATGGGGAAGGCCCCATGGTTATCTATTTTAAATAAAGTTTATTTTTCTTGCTGCAATTTTCGGGTTTTTAATTTTCTTTTGATGAAATAAACAGAAGTAAAAAGTACAAAAGGAACAAACTGTAAACAACTTTAGAACCAAGATAACTCTAAATAGAAGTGAATCCCACATGGTTGGATAAAACTTCTTTAACCATTTGCCATTGATTGGGGCTGCATGAATTTCTCCATCTCTATCCTGCAACCTGTATGCCCCCATTCCAAGGATCTGATTGATTATGAAAGGGTCTTCCCATGTAGGTGACCATTTTCCATAACCAGCCACATGTGTTCCAAGGGGTAGAACTGCTTTCCAGACTATCTCTCCCTCTTCAAAACTCTTGTTCTTGACTCTTTTGTTATAGGCTTTTGACACAGCTTGCTTTCCTGTCTGGAGTTTATTGAGGGTGTCAATTCTGCTTGCATCCAATCCTTCCAGTTCTAGCAGCATGGCTTGAGAGTAGTTTTCTCCTACCAGATTATGTTGGTGAGCAATTCTGAGGGACTGAACAACTATTTCCATAGGCAGAATTGCATCATGACCATAGGTTAATGCATAGGGTGTCATGCCAGTTGCTTCTCTTTTAGAAGTTCTATATGCCCACAGAGTTTCTGACAACTTCTCATGTCATTGCTTTGGATTCTTCTCAAGCATTTTTCTGATAATGTTGATGATCACCTTGTTGCTTGATTCTGCCTGTCCATTAGCTTGAGCATAATAAGGAGTGGATTGAAGCAGTTTGAATTTGAATGCTTCTGCCATATCTAGCATATCTCTAGATATGAAAGAAGACCCTCTGTCAGTTGTGATTGATTCTGAGATGCCAAATCTCTATATAATGTGTTCTTCTATGAAAGTGATGATCTCTTGAGATGTAGTGGATTTAACAGGCTTGGCTTCTACCCACTTAGTGAAATAGTCTGTGGCAACAATGATAAAACAGTGCTGCTGGCTGCTGGCTGGATAGATCTTGCCAATGAGGTCCACTGCCCATCCTCTAAAAGGCCATGGCTTTACCACTGGATTCATGGGAACTGAAGGAGCCTGCTGGATTGGGTCGTGTCTTTGACAAGATTCACACCCCTTGGAATAGTCAATGCAATCTTTCATCATGGTTGGCCAAAAGTAGCCATACCTTCTAATTAACCAGCACATTTTCCTCCCACCTTGATGAGCTCCATAGATTCCTTCATGGGTTTCTCCCATGACTTTCGTGTATTCTTTCTTCCCAAGGCATCTCAATAGTACCTCATCCTTGCTTTTCCGGACCAAGTCTCCATTCCATATAAGGTAGTTCAGAGCCATGATTCTGACTCTTTTTTCATAAGGTAAGGTTGGATACTGCAAGTAGGTTATGATAGGATTTCTCCAATCATCTTCAATGATTATGGCAGAATTGACATCTATCTCCATCCCCCTGGTCAGAACTGATGGCAGGCTTTTCTTTCCCACCTTGATGATCCTCTGTACACAGTCTTCAGGCATTTGTATACCTGTTGCTACTTGGGCCAGTTCATTGGCTGCACAGTTTTCCTCCCTTGGGATGTGTTCCCAAATAGCTTCTCTAAATTCTGTTAGAAGATTCCTAGCTGCCACTAGATACACAGCTAGAGAAGGACTAAGGCACTTGTATTCCCCAGCAATCTGTTTTAATACAAGCATTGAATCTCCCAGGATTTCCACAGATTGGATTCCTAGTTCCACCAGCATTTCTAAGCCAATGATTAGAGCCTCATATTCTACCCTGTTGTTGGTGCACTGAAAATCCAATTGGAAAGAGTAACAGTGTCTGATTCCAAGCAGTTCTTCCAAAACAATTCCTGCCCCAGAAGCTATATAAGTTTTTGATCCATCAAAGTATAGCTTCCAAGGTGTGAGATGAATTGAATAGATAGGATTGTTGAGGCAAGTGTGAGCTCTGGTCAATAGATCTGCATTTGCTATGTCCAAAGAGTCCATGTTTTCAATCTCCTCCCCAAGATGATCTGCTAGGAAGTCTGCCACAGCTTGTCATTTGACAGCTTTCTGAGGAACATATCTGAAGGCAAATTCTGTCAAGGCCAAGGTCCATTTTCTTGTTCTTCCTACTTGAAGGTCTATTCCTGTTTCAATCTTAACAAAGAGGAGAAAGGCTGGATCTTTCCTGCAGAATTGGATATGAATCTCCTTAAAAAATTAATTTTTCCTAAGAGACTCTGCAATTCTTTCTTGTTCCTAGGCGGTAGAGCTTCTATGATGGACTTGCTTTGTTCTTGTCGATTTCTATGCCTCTCTGGTGGACCAAGAATCCTAGGAAATTTCCTGCTTGAACTCCAAAAACACATTTCTTTGGGTTCATCTTTAGTTTGTGCTGCCTCATTCTTAGGAATGCCCTCCTTAGATTTGGTATGTGGTTTCCCTCTTCTGGGGATTTAATCACCACATCATTGATATACACTTCCGAAGAATGTCCTATCATATCATGGAAGACAGAATTCATTGCCCTTTGATAAGTGGCTCCTGCATTTCTCAAGCCAAAAGGCATTACAATGTACTCAAAAGCACCTATATGTCCTGGACACATGAAGGCTATCTTGTGGATGTCTTCTTCTGCCACCATGATCTGATTGTAACCTGTATTGCCATCCATAAAAGATAGCATCTGGTTGTGGGCAGCTCCATCTACTAGCATGTCTGCCATTGGCATAGGGTACTCATCCTTTGGAGAAGCTTCATTTAGATTTCTGTAATCCACACAGATTCTGACTGCCCCAGTTTTTCTTTTCAGAACTGGTACAATATTAGCTATCCAATCAGCATAGATGGCTAGTATGATGAATCCTGGTTTGAGCAACCTTTCTATTTCTTCTTTGACCTTTAGTTTTGTGTCCATGGACATTCTTCTTCTGGCCTGTTTGACTGGAAGGTATCCCTCTTTGATTGGCAGCTTGTGCTCCACTAATTCCCTGTCTAGACCTGGCATTTCATGATAATGCCAAGCAAAACAATCTCTGAACTCCTGCAACAGTGCAATGAGCTCACTCTTGAGCGGTTCTTTCAATAGTGTGCTAATAAAAGTAGGCCTTGGATCCTCTTATGTCCCTAAGTTTATTTCATGTAAAGGATCTTCCACTTCTGGCAGAGAGTCATCTAGTGCTGCTGGAGCAAAATCTAACACTTCCTCCTGTAACTCTTCTTCCTCCTGGTCTTCCGTGCTCTCATGGCAGGATCCTGCATGAAGAGCTTCCTTTCCTCCCAATATATCAACAATCTTTTTGTAATGGATCGGATTGTTGCAGCTCGATCCTTTTCTTGTTGATAGGAACTAAACATCAAAGTTCTGGAGTTTTAGAACAAAAGGTCTATTCCAGTCTTCTAAGGAACTAGCTAGACCATCTTCAATGAGCCTCTGGGCCGGGACACCATGGGGACGGCCGTTCTGGTTGACTCCAAGGAAAGTGAAAGGACCAAGGTCATCATGGTAATACCTTGCCTCAAAACACATGGCAGAAGGCAGAAATGGTCGTGGATCGGCCTCTACTATCTCCATGTAACCTTCTTCATTCCACAGAGCTAATTGCTAGTGAAGAGTGGAGGGAACACACAGACTCTGGTGAATCCAGTCCCTGCCAAGTAGTGCATTATAGGTGGTGGAAGTGGTGACTACCACAAAGAATGCAATCTTCAGCTCTTTGCTTCCAACTATGACATCCACATCTAGGATCCCATGAGTTTTGGTGATGCCCCCTGCGAAATTGATGACAGTCAAGCGGGTTGGAATCAAATCCCTTTCTATTCTGCCCATCTTGCTCAGCATTCTGTGAGGCAGAAGGTTGATGGCTGCACCTCCAAAGTTTGCTGTTATAAACAAGGGTCTTAGGTGGTTTGCCATCTCTTTGGTTGGTTTGGAGAAGCAAAGCTGGTCTGCAGCCAGCTTGTTGTCAGTTCCTTCCGTCCTGGGATTGCCTACTTGCTATTCTGGCGTCTCTTCTGGCTCTGCTAACCTGCATTCGAAACTTTCCTGGGAGAAAACATCTCCCTCTAGAGTACTTTCTTGTCCTTCTGCAACTCTAAACTTTTCTGGCATAATGAACACCATATTGATGCCCAAATCACCCTGCAACAGGTTTTCCAATTCTGCACCAAAAGCTTCAGTTTCTGCATCTAATTCCCCATCATATTCCATCTGTTCCTCCCCGAATCCTTCTGTTCAATCTTCCTGTTCTTCTGTTTCGAGGAGTGCATTCTGGTCATCTGCAGATGGCTCATAATCTAGCTGCTCCTCTTCATTTTCCTTAGTCCAGTCTTCTTGCCCTTCTACTAGAATAGGTTCAGATTCTCCTCGTATCTGTGAATGTTTAAATTGATTGTCTGAGGATGAAGCAAGATGGATAGAAGGCTTAACTGGAGATCTAGCTTTCAACATTTTCTGTGGCTGGATTACTTGTTCTGCCTGGGAAGGTATTTCCGAATCTTTCCCTTTTCTGTCAGAAGTGGTCTCCGGAGGTGCCTGTGCATCACTTTTGTTCTTGAGGAATATGCAGTATTGCCTTTGAACCCTCCTCTTATGGGTTCTGGTTAATTCCATAGTTGGTCTGCCACTTTTCCCGACAGCATACCACCTTCCTTCTATGATAGCAGCCAGAGGTTTGTCATTCCCGGGCATCTTGATTGATATTTCCTTCTTGGGCTGCTCTGTCATCCTCCTGCTGTGCTGGGCTGGTCTGGGATACTCCTTCCACCTGGCTCTATCTCGAGATGAGGTTCCAATCCTATCAAAAACACTCGGAATGGGCTGACTCTGCCTGTCCAGGACCACTTCTAGCTCAGCTTCACATTTGCACTTGCTGCAGAGCACTACTCCAGCTGAGATAGTTGCTTTTGGCCTTTCAATAGTTTCCCTTGAAACCATTCTGCCTCTGCTGGAACTGGCTTCCGTCGTTGGCCTGCTTCTCTTCTATTCTGGCCAATTTAAGTTGACCATGTTGACTTGTGGTTGGAGAAAAGGATCTATTGTGACTAAATGAGATTTATCTGCCAGTTTCAACCTTCCTACTGCTATTCCTTCCCGTATAACATCTCTGAAAACTAGACAACTATTGGTAGAATGGTTCTAAGAGTTGTGCCACCTGCAATACTGCCTGCCCTTAAGCTCTTCTGGCTTGGGCATCCTGTGGGGTGTCTCTATTGCCTTTTGCAGCAACATTAAAGCATCCACCTTGGTTAGATCAAAGGAATAAACCTTGTTCTGTGTTGGTTTGCTCGGAACAAACCCTCCTGTGAAAGGTGGTGGCTTCTGATCCTTTGGTGGCTTAGTAAGGGCCTTGCAGCTGATGGGATGTTTCAATTTTGCCATTTCTGCTACTGCAACTTCTCCCTCCTTTGAGAATTCTGCTTCCTCTTCTGATTATACCTGAACCAGATGTATTGAAGAGGAAGGTGACTTGTAATACGTGCCTTTGGATGAGTTCATCTTCTGCTGTTCTTCCCTAAGCAATTCCTCATACTTGGATGCTTTATCTGCCAGTTCTGCCAGGTCTCCAAACAGCATCCCATCAAATTTTTTTCTTAGAGAGATCTTGAGGGCAGCTTTAGCCATCTGGATGAAGTGTCTTTCTTCCATAGGGATTCGGCACTTCATTTTGAGCTTCCTGAACCTGGTTATGAAGTCTTGAGCAGGTTCATCTTCACTCTGTTTGAGGGCAGCAAGGTCACTGATGGTGACTTCTGGCTGAATCCTGTAATAATAGTCGTGGAAAACACTTTCCATCTGCTCCCAGGTTTGAACAGAATTAGCTGGCAGGTTGGTGTACCAAGTAAAAGCTTGTCCAAACAGAGAATTCCCGAAAAGCCTCAACTTCAAAAGAGGATTGTTCTCTATGGCTATGCACTGGACAAAGAACCTACCTATATTCTCAATTGATGAAGCATGGGGATCCTCTCCGTTGAATAAGGTGAAGTTTGACACCTTAAAACCCGGGGATAGAAGTATTTGATCGATATAAGCCGGATATGGCTTCCTATAGGTGGGCCTTTCTCCTCTTCTGGCTTCAGGCTCCATCATCTCTCTGATCATCCTTTGTAATGCCCCCACGTCATTCAGAGCATTGACAGGGTGGTGATTTCGCCCCTGTTCTGGCTGGGCGTGATCAATCCTGGGCTCCGCTCTGTATGGCCTGGGCAGAACTTCCTCCCTGTGTTCTTCCTGTTCTTCCAGATCTGGATTATTCCTCCAGTTTGCCCCCAGCCTGTTCCTATCATTGTTGGCAAAAAGGTTATTACCCCTTCCGCCTCTTCTGCCTCTTTCAGGTGGAGGGAATGGATTGGGATCCGTCCTTCTGGGTCTATAAGGCAACATTGCTGGTGGCTCAGGCAGAAGTGCCAAAGGTTGATCCTGTGGAATAGGGTGAGGTTCTGGTTGGTTCTGTTGCATCTGAACTGGTGCAGGGCCTTCTGGCCGAGCTGGGGCCTCATGCTCTTGGACAGGAAGGGCTCCTCCCCTTTGTCCAGCCTGAATTTCCCCACGTTCTGGCATCCCAGCTATCTGTGCAATAAGAGGATTCTCTTGATATGGCCATGCCAATCCTGGTGGGGGACCATAGGGAAGGTTTAGCTGCTGGACTACAGCATCCGGATTTGGAATTCTGGCTATGGCAGCCTCACGGTCCTTCCTGAACTACCTGTTGACCTGCCATTGCATCATGGCTGTCATATTATTGAGAGTGTCCTAGCTCCTTTGTGTTGTGACTTCTTGTCGCAACACAGATTCCTGAATCAGGTTCATCCTTCTGGAGCCAGTCTTGGACCTTCTACTCCCTGTGCTGCCGTGTGCTGAGTGCCTAGCATCACTTTCCTTTGACTCCAATCCTTCCCTGAGAGCCACCTGGTTTATCTCCATGGCGTGGTGTGGGTTCTGGCTAGAGCTTCCAATATTCATAAACTTGAGAGGAATTCTGTGAGAATATGTATACTGAGAAGTCCCACTGGGCGTGCCAAATTGTTCACCCGTTTTGTGATCACTCCTGTGGTGGAAGGGCAAAGTTCCCCATTGCCTTGAAAACCATTGACTGGTCAGCATGTCAGCTTTCTTTGGTGTATGAGCGTGCCACTGCTAGCAATGAAGATTCTAGCATACTTATTCTAGAATAGATAACTTGCGCCCCAAGTTACTGATTTCCATAAACAAGCGATTGTGAATTTGGGTGAGGAATATCTCCCAAGTAAGTTCTTTTCTTGCCTCAGACTGGTGAGGACTTTAACAATTTATCTTAGTATAAAGAGGTAGTTCTGGCCAGAATGGTTGATGGAATTTAAGCTGTCTTAGGCAGAACTGCCTTTTACAAAACTATAAACATAAATATCCAAGCTAGAAAGATGAAAGGACAACTGGAACTCCATTTCTGACTGGATAGGAGGTTCTGATCCGGGCTGGACTAGAAATATCTGGGCTGGACTGGAATGTTAACAACTTCAGCTGCTAAGCTTCAGCTGTAGATCGATACTAAAGGTTAATTTTGGCAGAGCTTTAATACACTTCAATGCCACGTATGGGAAGTGTCTCACACACCAGAATATTCCAATGTCACATGTGAGACCTGATAATCACATATTCTTCCCATACGTCGGAAAATTTCCAACGCCACGTATGGGAAGTATCTCACAAGCCGGAATATTGGAATATGGCCATGCCAATCCTCCCCTTTGTCCAGCCTGAATTTCCCCACGTTCTGGCATCCCAGCTATCTGTGCAATAAGAGGATTCTCTTGATATGGCCATGCCAATCCTGGTGGGGGACCATAGGGAAGGTTTAGCTGCTGGACTACAGCATCCGGATTTGGAATTCTGGCTATGGCAGCCTCACGGTCCTTCCTGAACTACCTGTTGACCTGCCATTGCATCATGGCTGTCATATTATTGAGAGTGTCCTAGCTCCTTTGTGTTGTGACTTCTTGTCGCAACACAGATTCCTGAATCAGGTTCATCCTTCTGGAGCCAGTCTTGGACCTTCTACTCCCTGTGCTGCCGTGTGCTGAGTGCCTAGCATCACTTTCCTTTGACTCCAATCCTTCCCTGAGAGCCACCTGGTTTATCTCCATGGCGTGGTGTGGGTTCTGGCTAGAGCTTCCAATATTCATAAACTTGAGAGGAATTCTGTGAGAATATGTATACTGAGAAGTCCCACTGGGCGTGCCAAATTGTTCACCCGTTTTGTGATCACTCCTGTGGTGGAAGGGCAAAGTTCCCCATTGCCTTGAAAACCATTGACTGGTCAGCATGTCAGCTTTCTTTGGTGTATGAGCGTGCCACTGCTAGCAATGAAGATTCTAGCATACTTATTCTAGAATAGATAACTTGCGCCCCAAGTTACTGATTTCCATAAACAAGCGATTGTGAATTTGGGTGAGGAATATCTCCCAAGTAAGTTCTTTTCTTGCCTCAGACTGGTGAGGACTTTAACAATTTATCTTAGTATAAAGAGGTAGTTCTGGCCAGAATGGTTGATGGAATTTAAGCTGTCTTAGGCAGAACTGCCTTTTACAAAACTATAAACATAAATATCCAAGCTAGAAAGATGAAAGGACAACTGGAACTCCATTTCTGACTGGATAGGAGGTTCTGATCCGGGCTGGACTAGAAATATCTGGGCTGGACTGGAATGTTAACAACTTCAGCTGCTAAGCTTCAGCTGTAGATCGATACTAAAGGTTAATTTTGGCAGAGCTTTAATACACTTCAATGCCACGTATGGGAAGTGTCTCACACACCAGAATATTCCAATGTCACATGTGAGACCTGATAATCACATATTCTTCCCATACGTCGGAAAATTTCCAACGCCACGTATGGGAAGTATCTCACAAGCCGGAATATTGGAATATGGCCATGCCAATCCTCCCCTTTGTCCAGCCTGAATTTCCCCACGTTCTGGCATCCCAGCTATCTGTGCAATAAGAGGATTCTCTTGATATGGCCATGCCAATCCTGGTGGGGGACCATAGGGAAGGTTTAGCTGCTGGACTACAGCATCCGGATTTGGAATTCTGGCTATGGCAGCCTCACGGTCCTTCCTGAACTACCTGTTGACCTGCCATTGCATCATGGCTGTCATATTATTGAGAGTGTCCTAGCTCCTTTGTGTTGTGACTTCTTGTCGCAACACAGATTCCTGAATCAGGTTCATCCTTCTGGAGCCAGTCTTGGACCTTCTACTCCCTGTGCTGCCGTGTGCTGAGTGCCTAGCATCACTTTCCTTTGACTCCAATCCTTCCCTGAGAGCCACCTGGTTTATCTCCATGGCGTGGTGTGGGTTCTGGCTAGAGCTTCCAATATTCATAAACTTGAGAGGAATTCTGTGAGAATATGTATACTGAGAAGTCCCACTGGGCGTGCCAAATTGTTCACCCGTTTTGTGATCACTCCTGTGGTGGAAGGGCAAAGTTCCCCATTGCCTTGAAAACCATTGACTGGTCAGCATGTCAGCTTTCTTTGGTGTATGAGCGTGCCACTGCTAGCAATGAAGATTCTAGCATACTTATTCTAGAATAGATAACTTGCGCCCCAAGTTACTGATTTCCATAAACAAGCGATTGTGAATTTGGGTGAGGAATATCTCCCAAGTAAGTTCTTTTCTTGCCTCAGACTGGTGAGGACTTTAACAATTTATCTTAGTATAAAGAGGTAGTTCTGGCCAGAATGGTTGATGGAATTTAAGCTGTCTTAGGCAGAACTGCCTTTTACAAAACTATAAACATAAATATCCAAGCTAGAAAGATGAAAGGACAACTGGAACTCCATTTCTGACTGGATAGGAGGTTCTGATCCGGGCTGGACTAGAAATATCTGGGCTGGACTGGAATGTTAACAACTTCAGCTGCTAAGCTTCAGCTGTAGATCGATACTAAAGGTTAATTTTGGCAGAGCTTTAATACACTTCAATGCCACGTATGGGAAGTGTCTCACACACCAGAATATTCCAATGTCACATGTGAGACCTGATAATCACATATTCTTCCCATACGTCGGAAAATTTCCAACGCCACGTATGGGAAGTATCTCACAAGCCGGAATATTGGAATATGGCCATGCCAATCCTCCCCTTTGTCCAGCCTGAATTTCCCCACGTTCTGGCATCCCAGCTATCTGTGCAATAAGAGGATTCTCTTGATATGGCCATGCCAATCCTGGTGGGGGACCATAGGGAAGGTTTAGCTGCTGGACTACAGCATCCGGATTTGGAATTCTGGCTATGGCAGCCTCACGGTCCTTCCTGAACTACCTGTTGACCTGCCATTGCATCATGGCTGTCATATTATTGAGAGTGTCCTAGCTCCTTTGTGTTGTGACTTCTTGTCGCAACACAGATTCCTGAATCAGGTTCATCCTTCTGGAGCCAGTCTTGGACCTTCTACTCCCTGTGCTGCCGTGTGCTGAGTGCCTAGCATCACTTTCCTTTGACTCCAATCCTTCCCTGAGAGCCACCTGGTTTATCTCCATGGCGTGGTGTGGGTTCTGGCTAGAGCTTCCAATATTCATAAACTTGAGAGGAATTCTGTGAGAATATGTATACTGAGAAGTCCCACTGGGCGTGCCAAATTGTTCACCCGTTTTGTGATCACTCCTGTGGTGGAAGGGCAAAGTTCCCCATTGCCTTGAAAACCATTGACTGGTCAGCATGTCAGCTTTCTTTGGTGTATGAGCGTGCCACTGCTAGCAATGAAGATTCTAGCATACTTATTCTAGAATAGATAACTTGCGCCCCAAGTTACTGATTTCCATAAACAAGCGATTGTGAATTTGGGTGAGGAATATCTCCCAAGTAAGTTCTTTTCTTGCCTCAGACTGGTGAGGACTTTAACAATTTATCTTAGTATAAAGAGGTAGTTCTGGCCAGAATGGTTGATGGAATTTAAGCTGTCTTAGGCAGAACTGCCTTTTACAAAACTATAAACATAAATATCCAAGCTAGAAAGATGAAAGGACAACTGGAACTCCATTTCTGACTGGATAGGAGGTTCTGATCCGGGCTGGACTAGAAATATCTGGGCTGGACTGGAATGTTAACAACTTCAGCTGCTAAGCTTCAGCTGTAGATCGATACTAAAGGTTAATTTTGGCAGAGCTTTAATACACTTCAATGCCACGTATGGGAAGTGTCTCACACACCAGAATATTCCAATGTCACATGTGAGACCTGATAATCACATATTCTTCCCATACGTCGGAAAATTTCCAACGCCACGTATGGGAAGTATCTCACAAGCCGGAATATTGGAATATGGCCATGCCAATCCTCCCCTTTGTCCAGCCTGAATTTCCCCACGTTCTGGCATCCCAGCTATCTGTGCAATAAGAGGATTCTCTTGATATGGCCATGCCAATCCTGGTGGGGGACCATAGGGAAGGTTTAGCTGCTGGACTACAGCATCCGGATTTGGAATTCTGGCTATGGCAGCCTCACGGTCCTTCCTGAACTACCTGTTGACCTGCCATTGCATCATGGCTGTCATATTATTGAGAGTGTCCTAGCTCCTTTGTGTTGTGACTTCTTGTCGCAACACAGATTCCTGAATCAGGTTCATCCTTCTGGAGCCAGTCTTGGACCTTCTACTCCCTGTGCTGCCGTGTGCTGAGTGCCTAGCATCACTTTCCTTTGACTCCAATCCTTCCCTGAGAGCCACCTGGTTTATCTCCATGGCGTGGTGTGGGTTCTGGCTAGAGCTTCCAATATTCATAAACTTGAGAGGAATTCTGTGAGAATATGTATACTGAGAAGTCCCACTGGGCGTGCCAAATTGTTCACCCGTTTTGTGATCACTCCTGTGGTGGAAGGGCAAAGTTCCCCATTGCCTTGAAAACCATTGACTGGTCAGCATGTCAGCTTTCTTTGGTGTATGAGCGTGCCACTGCTAGCAATGAAGATTCTAGCATACTTATTCTAGAATAGATAACTTGCGCCCCAAGTTACTGATTTCCATAAACAAGCGATTGTGAATTTGGGTGAGGAATATCTCCCAAGTAAGTTCTTTTCTTGCCTCAGACTGGTGAGGACTTTAACAATTTATCTTAGTATAAAGAGGTAGTTCTGGCCAGAATGGTTGATGGAATTTAAGCTGTCTTAGGCAGAACTGCCTTTTACAAAACTATAAACATAAATATCCAAGCTAGAAAGATGAAAGGACAACTGGAACTCCATTTCTGACTGGATAGGAGGTTCTGATCCGGGCTGGACTAGAAATATCTGGGCTGGACTGGAATGTTAACAACTTCAGCTGCTAAGCTTCAGCTGTAGATCGATACTAAAGGTTAATTTTGGCAGAGCTTTAATACACTTCAATGCCACGTATGGGAAGTGTCTCACACACCAGAATATTCCAATGTCACATGTGAGACCTGATAATCACATATTCTTCCCATACGTCGGAAAATTTCCAACGCCACGTATGGGAAGTATCTCACAAGCCGGAATATTGGAATATGGCCATGCCAATCCTCCCCTTTGTCCAGCCTGAATTTCCCCACGTTCTGGCATCCCAGCTATCTGTGCAATAAGAGGATTCTCTTGATATGGCCATGCCAATCCTGGTGGGGGACCATAGGGAAGGTTTAGCTGCTGGACTACAGCATCCGGATTTGGAATTCTGGCTATGGCAGCCTCACGGTCCTTCCTGAACTACCTGTTGACCTGCCATTGCATCATGGCTGTCATATTATTGAGAGTGTCCTAGCTCCTTTGTGTTGTGACTTCTTGTCGCAACACAGATTCCTGAATCAGGTTCATCCTTCTGGAGCCAGTCTTGGACCTTCTACTCCCTGTGCTGCCGTGTGCTGAGTGCCTAGCATCACTTTCCTTTGACTCCAATCCTTCCCTGAGAGCCACCTGGTTTATCTCCATGGCGTGGTGTGGGTTCTGGCTAGAGCTTCCAATATTCATAAACTTGAGAGGAATTCTGTGAGAATATGTATACTGAGAAGTCCCACTGGGCGTGCCAAATTGTTCACCCGTTTTGTGATCACTCCTGTGGTGGAAGGGCAAAGTTCCCCATTGCCTTGAAAACCATTGACTGGTCAGCATGTCAGCTTTCTTTGGTGTATGAGCGTGCCACTGCTAGCAATGAAGATTCTAGCATACTTATTCTAGAATAGATAACTTGCGCCCCAAGTTACTGATTTCCATAAACAAGCGATTGTGAATTTGGGTGAGGAATATCTCCCAAGTAAGTTCTTTTCTTGCCTCAGACTGGTGAGGACTTTAACAATTTATCTTAGTATAAAGAGGTAGTTCTGGCCAGAATGGTTGATGGAATTTAAGCTGTCTTAGGCAGAACTGCCTTTTACAAAACTATAAACATAAATATCCAAGCTAGAAAGATGAAAGGACAACTGGAACTCCATTTCTGACTGGATAGGAGGTTCTGATCCGGGCTGGACTAGAAATATCTGGGCTGGACTGGAATGTTAACAACTTCAGCTGCTAAGCTTCAGCTGTAGATCGATACTAAAGGTTAATTTTGGCAGAGCTTTAATACACTTCAATGCCACGTATGGGAAGTGTCTCACACACCAGAATATTCCAATGTCACATGTGAGACCTGATAATCACATATTCTTCCCATACGTCGGAAAATTTCCAACGCCACGTATGGGAAGTATCTCACAAGCCGGAATATTCCAATGCCACGTGTGAGACCAAATAATCATATTTCTTCCCATACACCAGAAAATTTCCAAAGCCAAGTATGGGAAGTCTAGTATCTGAGGGATGGTACTCAACATATATAATCCGTATTCCGAATAATTATAAATCTCAAATATCAAAATAATAATAGAGATATTCACAACTTAACGATACAAGTCTATAGTAGAATGCAACGTAATTTAATCAATGGAAATAATGTTATTTTAAACCAACGATCATGCACATAAGCATAAATTTCATAAAGATCCTAAAACAATTTAAATTGAAATCAACACTTATTTTCACACAAATTCCATAAAATACTGTACCCCACCATTAAAACATTATTCTTTATTATAATCAAAATAATATTAATTAATGATAAGCAATAATCTTTAAGGAAAATCCCATATCGAATCAATTACCAATCTAAACTTAAATAACAATTAAGACTCATTTACAAGGTTATCCTAATACCTTCGAATGGTGAAATTACCTCGGAAGACTCACGGTCAACCGAGGGGTCAAACTTCCCAACTTGGTCAACTGGGCCCACGGGACTCACAACCTCCTATCACAAATCCGGGAGTCCCTAAAGGTTCCAATATGCCTAGGACACATGTCCCGAGAGTCTGGTCTTGATCAGATGGTCGGATTACTCACGATCGGGCGATTACTGTAAGCCTAGCCTTAGGGTTGGCATTTCCAGAGTATTCGAGACTCCGTTTAATGATCCGTCGAATCCTATACGATCCTAGAATTTCCTAGATCAACATACTTGAATTCGAGTTCGATCCAACAGTCTGAACCTATCAAACCCGGAAATTGCGCATTAGGTGAAATCCGTTTGACGCTCAAACGATATCCAAATTGGAATCCGAGCACGTCTACGCGCTCGTGACCACTAGGAGATCATTTTAAGATACAATGTCGGTCCACCACACTGACCACGTGCTGCCGCACGCGCCGGCAACGTATGGGTGGCTTGATCAAATTTCGACAGCTAGAAAACTTCAAAATTGAAAACCCAGCTTCCTACCCTAGGTTCATAACATCGATTGGCCAAAACCTAAATTCTAAATTGAGTTTCTAAACACGACTATCGTCCAATTCTTACACAACAGGCAGCTAGAGCGTGAAGAATAGGTGAGAAATCGTACCTTGGTGTCGGAGATGGCAGTCGGAATCGGCCGTAGCGACTCCGTGAACAACAGGAGAAACTAGTCGATATCGCAGGTGAATCTCAAGCTCTCCGGCCAGGAAAAGGGGTGGGTCGTGACCGTGGCGTCGAGACGAAGCAAATGGGACCGGTGTCGGCCCTTGCCGTGGGCGAAGCTGAGAGAATAGAAGAGAGAGGGAATTGGAGTTGGGGAGAGAGAGAGGAGAGAGAGAGTTGCACGTGTGCATCGAAAGAGAAGAAGATTTCTCCTTTGAGATTTTCTATTTAAACCCCACACTTCTCTTAGTTCACCCCATATTCTAAGTTCACCCCAACTTTTAATTTAAATTTTCACAATTCCTAAAAAACCACATTATCTTTCCAAACTACCCTTAAATACACCCCAAGCTAAAAAAATAAGAAATAAAAGAAATTTTCTATTTAAACCCCACAAGCTTCCCTTAGAGGAGGAATTACGTTCTGCAAGCTCTAATGCTAATTCATTAATTTTGAATAATCTCTAGAACATACAGTAGTGTTGGAAACATGCTGAGGGTTATCTAGTAGCACATGAATGGCATCCACCAGAATCTATGCCTGTTTTGCTTGTTGTCCAGCCTCAAAACTATTTGCATATGGGGATTCCATGGGAGGCTATACGAGATGGAGGTGGCAAAGTATTTGCTAAAGCATGGCGAGGTTTTGACTAAGGTGACAATTTGTTATACCCATGATTTGGGTGTAGCAGAAGAGATGAGGTCACGGCAAGAACTTTCGAAGTCCCAAGGGGTTCAAAGACTTGCCAAGTTGAACTTTTGGAACTCAAGTCCTAGGTCTTATGATATATTACAACATTTGTGAATAGCATACTTTCTTTTTCGATGAAAGGTGAATTTATTAGCAGTAGTTTTGGAGGAATTGGCGTATGGCCTTATTATATATAATCAGTTTTGCAAAGAAATTCACAAGCTATGTTTATGGTATAGGATCTGAAGAAAAAATAATTCTAGAAACAAAATAAAGATTTCGGACTAAAACTATTCAAACGCGTAGACAAGTAAATCGCCAAACTATGTGATTCTTGAACAATAAAATCTGCAACAGTTAATATTATTTAAGAAATACATAGGAACTGTGTATCAAGAACATCTCCAATATTAGAGACCCATATTTAGAGCCCTCGATTTCTAATAAAGCATTGCAACCATGCATATATATGCACATAAAATAGATTTATGCCCTTATCGTTCTTAATATGGAGTGGTGGGGTGTGTGTATAAATGTAATAGGGTTAAGTATTAAGTTGGATGACCTTTTTTGTCTTTTTACACAATAATAAAACTACAACTTAATGATTTAAGTATTTGGGTGAACTAAGAGAAGTGTGGGGTGTAATAGAAAATCTCTTCTCCTTTTTCTAAAACCAACTTCAAGTTATTTACGGTTATGCCACTGAGACATTTTTTATCGCCACTTCTTCGTTACAACTCCGATTCGAGCCTACTACGCGTCTACGGACTCATCTCGATACGATCTGTGTAATAATACCACTTGCTGCCCCAAAATCCTTCCGGATTAAAAAGTGACCAAAATACCCCTATTCCGAGGGCAAAATTATAAATTCATATTTAATTTAATTTAATTAATTAATGAATAGTCATATTTTGGGTTGGGATGTTACAGCATTAGACTCTTCTTAATTAAGCTGTAATTTGGTCCACTTTCGCGACTAGAAATTGTATGATTGTAGAAGTGAAGAGAGAATAGGAAGTATATATAGAGTATAGAAGGCATCCATTCTATTTATCTGAAAGGACACTACCAAATATCATATCTGTTGGTATGTACCATTTAGCCAAAAAATACATTGATTAAACCAAAAGACATATTGATTAATCAAAACTCTTTGCCGTAGAAATTGAATCTAACTTACTCTATCTATATATTATATTATTGAAATCTTCAACAAGCCTTCCCAATTTCAATAATATGTATATATATATATATATATATAGTAATCCACACTTCTCTCAATTAAAAGTAAACAATTCCACACTGAATTGTAACACCATCACACCAATATTATCATGCATACAAGAAGATGTCTTTCGAATTAAACCTTTAATTAGTGTAAGTAAATCAAAGTTTTAACAAAGCCTATGGTGGCCTACTCAAATAGAATTTAGGATTATGAATAATTCTATTATTCTCACAAGGAGGTATTTATAGTGATACAAATACAAGTCTATCTATGAAGTAATTACAATAAAAAAAATAGAAATAAATTCAATCCCAGTCAACTGGTATTCCTATAACTACAAATCAATTACAATAAAGGTAATTGTCTATAATTCCTATTGTGATTCAGTGATTCATGCCAACACTCTCCTTCAAGATAGTGCATAGATGTCACAGATGTCATGCTTGAAAAGTGAATCAGTAAAGGCTTGATTTGGTACAGCCTTTGTCAATATATCCACCAATTGTTCAGCAGTCTTAACATACGAAACTTCAATAATCTTCTCTTCCAATTTTCCATAAATAAAGTTCCGATCAATCTCTACATGTTTCGTTCTATCATGTTGAATTGGATTTTTAACAATCTTAATTGCTGACTGATTATCACAATACAACTGCATAGTATCCTCAGTAGGAAAACCCAGCTCCCCCATAAGCCTTTTCAACCATAGCAGTTCGCAAACACCTTTCACCCTAGCCTGATACTCAAAAAATGGTAAGTAAACGCAGGAGAAGTAAGAAATTGGAATCATTCTAATACCCATGTGTAAGTAAATGCAGGAAAAGAAAGAATTGGAATGATTCTAATGCCTCTTTTTCTCTGTTAAAGTAAGTTTTCTTAATGTTTTATTATTACTAAAAATAACTGAAAGAATAAAATTTTGAATAAGAGATGTGGATGTCCGACTCAAGCTACCATATAAATTATAGTTTACAAATTAATGTATATAGAATTGTGGTATGAGTTAAAGAAGGAGATATAAAATTATGGTATATGAGTTGTATTATTATTGGTGCTTGATATGATATAAGAACATGGTAGGCGAGCTTAGTTTGCGCCAGGCACGCCCTCAGTGAGTGTGAGAGTGGAGGGATCTCCCGTTGAATTGAGATTGATATTCAGGTGTCAGCTTACATATGATAGAGGAAATGAAGAAAGATTCTGCTACTTTTGAGGAAAGATTCACGGGACAGATACTGCATACAGTTGTTGATTTTGATCTATAAAAGTCAAACTGCCCAGCATTAAGACAATGCCGCCCTAATTAGAATCTTAGGGCCTGTTTGGTGGGCTGGACTGAACAAGACTTTTTCAATTAAAATGAATTACAATCCTGTCCGTCGTTTGGTGAGCTTAAATGCACAATGGGACTGGTTATGACTCATATTTCCTGTTGGATAACAATCCAGCATACCCTAGTATTGTAAACCTGAGGGGAACCTCGGGTTTAGAACAACATCGCCTCCTTTCTCCTTTCTCCTTCGATCGTCTACGGCCTACGCTTCCTCCCTCCTTCGTTCTTCTACGCCCTTACCTCCGCCTCTGCTCTTTCGATTGTCTACGCCTCTTCCTCCTCCTCCTTGGCTTTTCTCCTCGGCTATCGGCTATTTCGTACCCAGAAGTGTTGGATCCTGAGCAAGCAGTGAAAGAGCTATCTGGTAATCTAATGACTAATACTATTAATTGGATATGCTGTGTATGTTTTCTCTTCAAAATTCCAGATTTAGTAGGGTTGGCATACACTATCATGGCCTGATATATTTTGCTGTTTGCTGTTTTGGGGTTTTCTTGTTTTTGTTAATTCTTTTGTTTGTTGGAAGAAGAATGAGATATTGTGGATGGTTGGGGTTTTGCAGGGTGGGTTTTGAGTGGACCAACAAGTCTGAATTTTGGGTTCATACTTGCATTTTGAATGTGCCAGCAAAGATTGTATGTTAGCTTTTTTTTTGGGTGATTAATTGGAGATTATGAACATCAGTTTCAAGTGCTGGTCCTTGTTGCTATCAGTTTAAAATATTTTTTCAAGTCTTATGAGTGAGTTGGGTTCAAAAGCAATTTTCTAAAGTCATATTTTATTTATTTTTAATTATGAAAAGTTTTTTGTGTCAATTGCTTGATCTGCTGTTTTATGTAGTTTTTCAATGCTTGATCTGCTGTTTTGTGTCAATTGCTTGATCTGCTGTTTTACTTAGTGGAGCAGTTCTGTTGATATATGCAATGTTCACTTTGATTATAGGCTCTTGCTGGGGGTCCCTTGATGCAAGCTCGCAACTTTGCTGTTATGACTGGTGTCAATGCTGGCATATCCTGTGTCATGAAAAGATTGAGAGGTTTTTACCAAAAAAAATTGAGAGGCAAGGAGGATGTTCAATCTAGGTGAGCCTATTCTTTCCTCCGTATTGCTTATGACATCCCAATCACAATCAATTAGTGTTATGGTTGAATTGAGTCTGGCTGTTAATTTTGATTGCTGCAGTGAATCATTCTAGGTAGAAATTAGCACAATTTCTTCATGTTCAATCTTCTGAGATTCACCTAAAATTATATAAGTTGTGAAACAATATTAGGTTAACCCTTCTTTTGAAATTTATCCTATCACCTTTTAGACATCACCTCGATGCCTTTATGTCTGTATATAGGTCATTTGAGGAGTAAGAAACAGACCTTAGTGAATTTGTTCCTTTGGTCCACTTATGGAAAAGGGAAACTTATTGGCTCCCTGTGTTTCATAGAGATCATAGTTCTAAGGCAGAATTTCTGAGGTACTCCCTGAAACTGAAGATGCTTTTTTTTTCCTGTCCCAGAGCCATTTTGCTATTTGGTTCATTCTATGAGCGTTAGACCTGGATCTCTTTCTTTGCCTTTTGCAAATCTATAGTATGATTTTACTTGAAATAATTTGAAGATTTTAATTTCTGCTTTGATTGTCAAACTATTTATTTATCTATTAGTAATGAAGTCTTTTTTGGTACAAAGTCCCAAGATCTTTCTATGTTATCAGAACAGAACAGGATATCTTTCTTTATGCATCAGCCTTTGACTCTGAGTTTTAGGATTGAGATGACTATATGCATTTCATATAGTCATAATTAAGCATTAAATTGGTGCTTACTAGCTATCCAAACAATAATACAACTTCATTTTTTCAACAAACAAATAATAATGCAACGAAAAGTATAATTGTTTGAGGACTTCTTTTACATAATTAGTTTATGTTTGAGTATAGAAAAGAAAGTCACAGATTATGATTTTGTTCTTGCCAATATTGTTAATGGCAGGGTAGACATGGATCGAAAGAGAAAGAGGAAGATTGTGACAACTCTAGTTGCAGTAGAGTTAGAGAAACAACGTTTGTGTGCATCCATGATGTTAGTAACTGTCATATATGCTTTGATAGCATGGTACTATGAAAAGTACTATCTTAAGAACCGAACCTTTGTTAGGCATGAGACTTGTTTGAGTGTTCTAGACAGATTTATAGGACATAGTGATATAACGTGTGTGAATGAACTTCGAATGGATAGAAAAACATTTGGCATGTTGTGCGAATTACTTCGTACTCATGGAAGGTTGAAGATGTATGGCTCAGTGGCCATTGAGGAGCAAGTTTGTATGTTTTTATATATTCTTGCCAAGTTGCCTGACCTTTCCTCCAATCATCAAATTGGTCTTCGCCCCCATCTCCACTTGTCCACTTTCTCCACCTACCATTTTTATGGTTTTTAAACCCTTATCACCCCCTATTAATTGGTCAAGAATAAAACCCTTATCTTGGATCTTGGCATTCCCTACACATCGCATTCGTAGAATCGAACCCTTCACTTATAGTTAATAAAAGGCTTCTTCAAGTGTCTGCAGCTCTGAAAGTAGTTAGTTAGGCCATGGCTGCTAGTCCTTCTCCAAACCCCGTGCCGGTTGCGTACCGGGGAGGTGCTGGCATGGTGCCAGTATGGTTGAACAAAGGGGACAACGCATGGCAAATGGTAGCAGCAACACTCGTCGGCCTCCAAAGTGTGTCGGGTCTTGTCATCCTGTACGGAAGCATAGTAAAAAAGAAATGGGCAGTGAACTCAGCTTTCATGGCTCTCTACGCTTTTGCGGCCGTCATAATCTGCTGGGTGTCGTGGGCTTACGAGATGTCGTTTGGGGACACGCTCCTACCCTTCTGGGGCAAAGCTGGTCCTGCCTTGCGCCAGAATTTCCTCATCAACCAGGCAGCTCTGCCCGCGAGCATGCACAACTTCAGCGACCAGAAGACTGGAGACTCCTGAGACCACACCCTGGTACCTGATGGCGACCATGGTGTGGTTTCAGTGCGTGTTTGCAGCCATTACAGTGATATTGCTGGTGGGGTCGATGCTTGGGAGGATGAACTTCAAGGCGTGGATGATGTTCGTGCCGCTTTGGCTTACATTTTCATACACTGTCGGAGCGTTCAGCTTGTGGGGTGGAGGGTTCTTGTTCCATTGGGGTGTCATGGACTATTCCGGTGGTTACTAGAGAATTCTTGCAGGATGCTCAATGGCACCCAAAAAAGACAAGCAAAAAGAATCAACCAGACAATCTAAGCCATCTCAGTCGCCCTCCCAGTCGCTCCGAATCCTTCCTTCATCTATGAGTCAAAATAAGCCAGAAATTCCCAAACAGGTAGTCCCTTACCCTGGTCACCCACCAATTTCAGTTGCCACACCAATATCAGTTGCTAACAAGTTTTCTGCTTTAGGTTCCACAATTGGCCAGATACGCCCTAGTTACCAATCGACCCTAATCTCTAGTTATGATCCTTTCTCAGTTGATCCTTCAGTTGGTCCCTCAGTTACCTTCAAAAAGTCATCTCCTTATATGCCCAAAAGTACCTCTCACTTATTTGTTCTTGAGCCTATTTATGATATTCATTCTGATCCAGTTGAAATAGCTAAACACTATTTTCCTCCTGGATTCCATTATATGCCTCCTAGCCCATACAAGTCTCTCAAGTATTATAGAGATATATTACTTGAAACTCAGTCCGTTGAAATCAAGCCGATAAGGGATCGAGATCATCCTGAGATCATCCTTTATCATTCCCTTTATATCCATAAGATCATAAGCTAAGAATCCTTCAGTAGCCACCCTTATGAGTTGAAAACCCTTCAGTCAAAATTGCAATATAATTATTCTGATTATATTGAAGCCTGGTACTCTATTTTCCTCCATCAATCTGAGGATTTTAGTCATTCATGGTTTATAAATTTTGACAAGAAATTCAAGTCTCCTCTTCCCTTCTGGTTTCTCCACTGGTGGGAAAAGCATGGTCCAGTTGATGAAATTCTGCCCATCTCAGATCATGAGCTAATTCGTCATTATACTAAAAAAGTCAAGTTCTCCAAAGTTGATTTATTTTTCCCGAAACAGTTGCTTTTTATTGCCAGATACAAAGTTCCTTGGATTCTCAAATGGTCCTACAAAGTTGCCAGAGATACTACCAGAGTTCTTGCTCGCCAATTCTCAGTTAAACGGAGGGACAAATTTGAAGTTGACAGAATTGCCAAATATATATACAATGATCTGCCCCAAGAACCTATTCCGCATCCAGTCTCCCTCACTGGTTCGACCCGATCTTCTCTTTCAGTTGAAGGAAAATCGAAGTCCGAACTCCAAGAAATTGCCCGTCAGTTGATAATCCAAGCCTCTCAAATGGATGATGATGAAGACAATGATTCCCCTTCATCGTCCAGTTGTCAACCCATGCAAAGCCCTGCCAAGAAAAAGTCTTGGTATGAAGATAGTCAAGATCCATACGATGCTTATGATTTGAATTCTGACTAAGCATCACAGTTGCAGACACAATAATTGCCTCTAGTTGCCGACACAATAGTTGCCCCGGAGTATGATTGAAGTATCTTCAAAAGCAGTCAGTTGCCCGACATTTCACCTTGAGTAAAAGAAGAAAGTTGCCAAGTAAAAGTCAAAAGTTACTAAAGTTATTCCTTCTCCAGACATAATTGAAAGTTGAATCAGGTTGCTCTCGTGCTTCCACAGTTGCCTCTCCATTATCAGAATTGCTTTCGGTTACCCTAGTCACTTTTCAAAATAACCCTAGTTGCTTTTGTATACCATAGTTACTTCCCTTAAGCTATTTAAGCCGGCCTTAGCCTCAGTTATATCCATATTACAATTTACATTTCAGTCTTTTAAAGATTCTCTCTGAACACTTTTTCGTAGATAGCTAGGCTTATTTTTTCTAGAAGGAGGGATACTGGCAAGACCATACTGTTCGCAGAAATTTCCCAACTCATATTTAGCTGATTTCCTATCAGACTGTATTTGTTTACCAATTTTAAAGTCAATACACATTTTCATTCCAACTTGGTTGATTGTACTTATAATATTTCCATACGTCAAACTATCCCAATCTATATGACCTTGTTCATTACTCAGAGTTGTTCGCATCTTATGGGCAAACAGATTTGGAAGGCCATTAACAAATTTTTCTTTCCAAAAAGGCTGATTACTATCATCTCTAAGCACGACTCTAGAAATGAAGACATCTTTGTACCATCTGAGATCAGACAACTTAGGGCATCTAAGATTGCTCAACTGATCATGTATCCTACCAATGGTATTACTAGGGGTTCCAGTGAAATGCTCAATTATTTTGTAAAACAAAGTATTGACTCCGTCTTCTATACCTTGACCTATTTGTTCGTTAAATATAGGGAGACCGTCTTCATTAAGTTTTACAGCATGAATGATCAAGTTTTTAGACTCAGGAGTTAAGTGTTTATCCCACCAATACCTGAGAGTACCAGTAAATCCGGTGACTAACAGGGGTACAATCTCAGACTGTCTAAAACTGTTTTTGGTAATGTAACTATTGGCAACCATGGACATGTGTTGTAGCTTATTAAAGATTTCTTGCTCAGAAAGACCATCAATGTTCCATTCATACAATTTATCAGAAGAAACTGAAAACTGGGTTTGAAAATTTCTTTCTTCGAATTGGATATCTGGAGGTGTTGGTCTAGGATACCAATTCTTAGTTAAACTAGTAGGGCTTATGTGTTTTTCTAATTTTTTGACTTTGGGCTCAACTTGGACTTCTAAGTTTCTGAAAGCATTTTCAATTTTTGAAATATTGCTGGTTTCATAATTTGTCGTCTCTGGCTCGGACTCAGAAGGATTTGCGAAGGAATCTAGTGTTTTAAGATCAGATTTTTCAGCTTTACTTGGGGTTAATTGTTCTAACATTTCTTCAATTTTCTTCATTGTTGGTTTAATTTTAAGCGTAGGGCTCGACTGGAGATCCTGGAACTGAACTATCGGCTTTTCAACTTTTGTTTTAGACTTAATTTCTGGGGAACTTATTTTATCAATTTTTGTTTCGATTGTATCTAACTGTTTTCCTATGACAATTAGACTCTGGTTGGTATAATTCTTTTGCTCAATTAACCTTTTACTTTCATCATCATTTTCATATGTTTTGAAAGGGCTAGCTAGTATGGGCGTATTCCTATGGTTGATAATTATGGTATCAACTGGGGGGTGACTGGCTTCAACTACTGATCTATCTATCAATTTCCATTTTTCTTTAGTTAGGGTTTTTAGCTTACTAGACATGTAACGGCTTTCAACAAAATCAAGGTAGAAAATTTCAACTTTGGCAGATCGCATATAATCTTTCCATTCGTTAAAGATTCTTTGACGACTTTCATTATCAGGACAGGCTTGGTGGTAATTATCTCTTCTATGTTGATTTTCTGGAGATTTAAGGTGAGAATTTAGACATTTCCAATTAATCTCAAATTTCCTATTAAGGGTCCTAAGCTGGTTATCAACTGCTGCAAAGTTTTCAACTAAGAAGTCAGACTGTGTAGGTGACTCAGGGGAAACGGACTTATCGTCTTGAACTGGTGCCTTACCGTAGCAAGGTTGGTTTACCGGAGAGGATTTTCTCAGGGATTCAAGTTTGAAATCAATCATGGCTTTTTCTAACTCTAGGTCTCGTTCTATAGTGGAGGAAGAGGCAGCAAAAGAGCGTATAGCAGGGGCATGTCTCTGGGACTGACCAGGGGTTGGTAACTGTTGTAACTGGACATTAGACTTCTTTAGGGGTTGATTATCAAATCTGATTTGTACTGTGCCATCTAGGTATTGTTGAATGGTGGGACTTAGACAAATTTAAGCCCCTAGTTTGGTATATGCAATTATGCAATTAAAATAATGCTTATAAGAAATTACTCAAAATAAAGATAACTAAAAGTATCAAATTTTATTTATACTCACAACAGCAATGATTGAATGATCGACTGCTGCGAATGATCGACTGAAGTACCTATTTCGAGATACGAACTCTTGATTAATATAATACACTTCGAAACGGGAATTCACAAAAGAGAATACTTAAATCCCCAAGATCCCGGTGTGTGTACGTCCAATAGGATATCCTAAGGTCCGGTTACAAGTTTGGGAATTGCTTCCCATTCTACAGTTATCGTTAATCCCACAAACTTCGAATTATTGAATTGGAACATCCGGGGCTCCGATTCACGATCCACGAATTCCTATAGGATTCTAAGAGTACCTAAATCAACATACTTCAATTTGGAAACGATCCAACGGTTAGAACTTATCGAACCCGAATAACGCACAATATGCGAAATCCATTCGATAGTCAAACGACATCCAAATTGAGATCCGTAAAATCCTATGCACTCGTGACAACCTAGGGATCTCATCAAGATAAAAAGCAACTTCACCAGCCTTGCCCACGCGCCGCCACACGCGCCGGCAGCGCGTGGGTGTGTAGAGAAATTTCCGGCGACGGAAAATCTCCACACCGACGCTCACCCTTCCTACCCTAGCTTCTTCTCAAGGTCAGGATCACTTTATTCAACTACCACGAGGTGCAATTCGCACGGGAACTGGCCGGAATTTAAATTTGAAAACCGGCCAAAACCTAGGTTTCTAATTCGGTTCCAAAACTCAAAATCGATCCAAACCTAAACAACAGTCAGCTAGAATACGTAAAAAGGAGAAGAAAACTCACCAACTTTACCTGAAACAGACAGCGGAGGCGGCGGCGCAACGATCAGAAACTTCCGGTTCGAACCAGTCGATATCGTCGACGATTCTCCGGCTTTCCGGCAAGGAAATTGGGTGGGTCTTAATCAGGACTTCACGACGAGTCAAACGGGATCGGTCTCGAGGGCTGAGGTGGCCGGACGTGGTGGCGGTGTGGGTTTTTCTGTTCGGTTTGCACAGTGACGGGGGAGAACTATCGCACGCAAAGGGAGGAGACGCGGGAGAGAGAGAGAGAGAGAGAGAAAGTGAGGGGTAAATGTGAAAAATCTGATTTTACCCCAAACTTACTTTAAAATAATTACGGTTCCGCCACTGAACCTAATTTGCTCGCCAAAACTTCGTTACAACTCCAATTCAAGGCTACCGCCTGTCTACGGTTTCGTCTCAGTACCACCTACGCAACCAAACCACTCGTGGTCCCGAAATCCTTCTGGATAAGAAAATGACCAAAATTACCCTTAACCCGAGAGTAAATTAATAATTCTCTTAATTTAATTAAAATAGGAATAAATTTTGAGTCGGGGTGTTACAATAGCACCTTAGGAGTCGCTGAATCTAGTTTATGTAATGGCCCAGTACACTTTGTTACCCAGATTTCACTGTAAGCCTTAGTGATCCTCATATATTAAGAACTTTAACTCTGAATATTAAGACTGAAGGTTACAATGTCCTCCTAGGAACTCAACCTTTAGCCTTAGTTTATAGAATTTACTACAAAGTTACAGGCACTAATATGAATTTCCAAGCTCTTAATAAAAGCCCAAAAGACCAAACTGTTTTGATACAAAGTCATACACCAGATGCCCGGATCCAAGTCCCTCAAACCATGAAGTGGTCAGAGGTTACCCTTCCAAAAGAATGGACCTTAGTCACCGAGAGTCAGCCAGCTCCCATACAACGCAGTCTAAACAATTTAGACTACATTCAACAATACCTAGATGGCACAGTAAAAATCAGATTTGATAATCAACCCCTAAAGAAGTCTAATGTCCAGTTACAACAGTTACCAACCCCTGGTCAGTCCCAGAGACATGCCCCTGCTAGACGCTCTTTTGCTGCCTCTTCCTCTACTCTAGAACGAGACCTAGAGTTAGAAAAAGCCATGATTGATTTCAAACTTGAATCCATGAGAAAATCCTCTCAGGTAAACCAACCTTGCTACGGCAAGGCACCAGTTCAAGACGATAAGTCCGTTTCCCCTGAGTCACCTACACAGTCTGACTTCTTAGTTGAAAACTTTGCAGCAGTTGATAACCAGCTTAGGACCCTTAATAGGAAATTTGAGATTAATTGGAAACGTCTAGATTCTCACCTTAAATCTCCAAAAAATCAACATAGAAGAGATAATTACCACCAAGCCTGTCCTGATAATGAAAGCCGTCAAAGAATCTTTAATGAATGGAAAGATTATATGCGATCTGCCAAAGTTGAAATTTTCTACCTTGATTTTGTTGAAAGCCGTTACATGTCTAGTAAGCTAAAAACCCTAACTAAAGAAAATGGAAATTGATAGATAGATCAGTAGTTGAAGCCAGTCACCCCCCAGTTGATACCATAATTATCAACCATAGGAATACGCCCATACCATCCAGCCTCTTCAAAACATATGAAAATGATGATGAAAGTAAAAGGTTAATTGAGCAAAATAATTATACCAACCAGAGTCTAATTGTCATAGGAAAACAGTTAGATACAATCGAAACAAAAATTGATAAAATAAGTTCCCCAGAAATTAAGTCTAAAACAAAAGTTGAAAAGCCGATAGTTCAGTTCCAGGATCTCCAGTCGAGCCCTAAGCTTAAAATTAAACCAACAATGAAGAAATGTTAGAACAATTAACCCCAAGTAAAGCTGAAAAATCCGATCTTAAAACACTAGATTCCTTCGCAAATCCTTCTGAGTCCGAGCCAGAGACGACAGATTCTGAAACCAGCAATATTTCAAAAATTGAAAATGCTTTCAGAAACTTAGAAGTCCAAGTTGAGCCCAAAGTCAAAAAATTAGAAAAACACATAAGCCCTACTAGTTTAACCAAGAATTGGTATCCTAGACCAACACCTCCAGATATCCAATTCGAAGAAAGAAATTTTCAAACCTAGTTTTCAGTTTCTTCTGATAAATTGTATGAATGGAACATTGATGGTCTTTCTGAGCAAGAAATCTTTAATAAGCTACAACACATGTCCATGGTTGCCAATAGTTACATTACCAACCACAGTTTTAGACAGTCTGAGATTGTACCCCTGTTAGTCACCGGATTTACTGGTACTCTCAGGTATTGGTGGGATGAACACTTAACTCCTGAGTCTAAAAACTTGATCATTCATGCTGTAAAACTTAATAAAGACGGTCTCCCTATATTTAACGAACAAATAGGTCAAGGTATAGAAGACGGAGTCAATACTTTGTTTTACACAATAATTGAGCATTTCATTGGAACCCCTAGTAATACCACTGCTAGGATACATGATCAGTTGAGCAATCTTAGATGCCCTAAGTTGTCTGATTTCAGATGGTACAAAGATGTCTTCATTTCTAGAGTCATGCTTAGAGATGATAGTAATCAGCCTTTTTGGAAAGAAAAATTTGTTAATGGCCTTCCAAATCTGTTTGCCCATAAGATACGAACAACTCTGAGTAATGAACAAGGTCATATAGATTGGGATAGTTTGACGTATGGAAATATTATAAGTACAATCAACCAAGTTGGAATGAAAATGTGTATTGACTTTAAAATTGGTAAACAAATACAGTCTGATAGGAAATCAGCTAAATATGAGTTGGGGAATTTCTGCGAACAGTATGGTCTTGCCAGTATCCCTCCTTCCAGAAAAAATAAGCCTAGCTATCTTCGAAAAAAACCGTCATTATTCCCGTAGGAAGCAATTATCCCAACGTAATAATGATGATCATGAATTTTACAAGAAAAGAAAATTCTCTCCTAAGAAAAATTGGTCGAAAACCCCAAAAGGTCAAAAGAAGAATCGGTCCAAAAGAAATAATAATAAAACTAAAGTCAAATGTTTTAAATGTCAAAAATTTGGTCATTATGCCTCTGAATGTAAAGTAAAGGATACTATTAAACAATTGAAAATTGCAGATGACGAAAAAGAAAAGCTGATAAAAGTTTTAGAGTTGCGAGACTCTGAGACAAGCAGTGTTGAAACCTTAGTAGCCAGTTCTGAGTCTGATTCTGACCAGTCTTCAGATTCACAGTTAAGTTCACCTGACATTCAAATTGGTTGTAAAGATAAATGTTGTAATAGACTAAAATCCATTGCTGTCCTTACAAAACAGGAAGAACAAGAAGAACTACTGATAGACTTAATAAGCAAGGTTGAGAATCCTGATTTGAAATCTGAGTATTTGAAAATGTTAAGGAAAGTTATTAGCCAAGAGAGCCCGAGTCAGTCCGCCCCCCAGCCAATTAGTTTAAACACTACTTTAGAAAAATTTGCTAAAAAGAAAGAAGTCACCAGACAAGATCTGCAGTTAGAAGTAAAAATGATTAAAAAGAAATAATTGAATTAAAACAGATGAGTCATAAATTACAGAGTGAAAATTATGCAATCAAACAAGATTTAGTTCATATAATGGAAAAAGAATATTCTGAGTCTAAAAGCCAGTCTGGAAGTCCACATAACTCTGATGATGAACCTCCAGAAGACCAACAAGTAGTCAACTTAATTAGACAAGTCAACTTTAGAAAATGGTATTCAAAAGTAACAATATTTGTCCAAAACTTTGAGTTTACCACAGTTGCCTTATTTGATTCAGGAGCTGATCTTAATTGTATTCAAGAAGGTCTAATCCCTACAAAATTTTACCAGAAGTCTAGAGAATCCTTAAGTACTGCTTCGGGAAAATCTCTCCAGTTGAATTTCGAAATACCAAAAGCCCATGTTTGCCAAAATAAGATCTGTTTCAAAACCTCATTTGTGTTAGTTAAAAATATTACTGATGAAGTCATATTAGGATTACCTTTTATTGCCTTATTGTATCCCTTTCAGGTAGACTATGATGGTGTCATTTCTACCTATCTAGGAGAAAAAGTTAGATTTGAGTTTTTGTCTAAGCCAGAATTGCATAATCTGAGAGCCTTGCAAAAACAGTCGGTTTCTAAGTCAGTACAAATTATTCGAAAAAATAATCAGTTGAATTTTCTTAAAGAAGAAATTAGATTTAAAAGAATTGAACAACAGCTTAGTGATACTTCCTTACAGTTGCAAATTCAGCAGTTTGAAACTAAATTAAAAAATGAGATTTGCTCTGAGTTGCCTAATGCTTTTTGGTATAGAAAACAACATGTTGTCTGTCTTCCTTATATCAAAACCTTTAGTGAGAAAAACATTCCCACTAAAGCCAGGCCAATTCAGATGAGTCAGGAAATAATGGAGTTCTGTAAAAAAGAAATTCATGAGTTGCTTCAGAAGAAAATAATTCGCAAAAGCAAGTCCCCTTGGTATTGTCCTGCTTTTTATGTCCAGAAAAATGCTGAACTAGAAAGAGGAGTCCCAAGATTAGTTATCAATTATAAGCCACTTAATTCAGTCTTAGAATGGATTAGGTACCCCATACCTAATAAAAGAGACTTGATTAATAGATTAGGAAAAGCAGTTGTTTATTCTAAATTCGATATGAAAAGTGGTTTCTGGCAAATCCAAATACATGAGTCAGATAGGTATAAGACTGCATTTGTCACCCCTTTTGGTCATTATGAATGGAATGTAATGCCTTTTGGTCTGAAGAATGCCCCTAGTGAATTCCAGAATATTATGAATGAGATTTTTAATCCTTACAGTCATTTTTCAATCGTCTATATTGATGATGTTCTCATCTTTTCTGAGTCAATAGAACAGCATTGGAAACATTTGCATAAGTTTCTTCAAATTGTCAAACAAAATGGTTTAGTTGTTTCTGCCAAGAAAATCAAGTTATTCCAAACCAATATCAGATTTCTTGGTTTCAATATCCATCAGTCACAAATCTCCCCCATTGATCGAGTCGTTCAGTTTGCTGATAAATTTCCTGATCAAATTCTTGATAAAAGTCAACTCCAGAGGTTTCTAGGATCTCTAAATTATGTCTCTGACTTTTACAAAAACCTGAGAAAACAATGTAAGCCCTTGTTTGATAGATTGCAGAGCAATCCTCCTCCATGGTCAAATACTCATACTGAGATTGTCAAGCAAATCAAAGCCCATGTCAAGACACTTCCATGCCTTGGCATTCCTTCAGTTGATTCCTTCAAAATAGTTGAAACTGATGCCTCTGACAAAGTTTATGGTGGCATTCTGAAACAAAGAGCCTGTCCAAATTCTCCAGAACAGATTGTTCGTTTTCATTCTGGAATTTGGACCCAATCGCAATATAATTATAGTACTATTAAAAAAGAAATATTAGCTATTGTATTATGCATCAGTAAGTTTCAAGACGATTTGCTTAATCAAAAATTTTTAATACGAGTTGATTGTAAATCTGCAAAACATATTTTAGAAAAAGATGTTCAAAACATTGCATCTAAACAGATTTTTGCACAATGGCAAAGTATTTTAAGTATATTTGATTTTGATATTGAGTACCTAAGAGGAAGTGAGAATTCAATTCCTGATTTTCTTACTAGAGAATTCTTGCAGGATGCTCAATGGCACCTAAAAAAGACAAGCAAAAAGAATCAACCAGCCAATCTAAGCCATCTCAGTCGCCCTCCCAGTCGCTCCGAATCCTTCCTTCATCTATGAGTCAAAATAAACCAGAAATTCCCAAACAGGTGGTCCCTTACCCTGGTTACCCACCAATTTCAGTTGCCACACCAATATCAGTTGCCAACAAGTTTTCTGCTTTAGGTTCCACAATTGGCCAAATAAGCCCTAGTTACCAATCGACCCTAATCTTTAGTTATGATCCTTTCTCAGTTGATCCTTCAGTTGGTCCCTCAGTTACCTTCAAAAAGTCATCTCCTTATATGCCCAAAAGTACCTCTCACTTATTTGTTCTTGAGCCTATTTATGATATTCATTCTGATCCAGTTGAAATAGCCAAACACTATTTTCCTCCTGGATTCCATTATATGCCTCCTAGCCCATACAAGTCTCTCAAGTATTATAGAGATATATTACTTGAAACTCAGTCCGTTGAAATCAAGCCGATAAGGGATCGAGATCATCCTGAGATCATCCTTTATCATTCCCTTTATATCCATAAGATCATAAGCCAAGAATCCTTCAGTAGCCACCCTTATGAGTTGAAAACCCTTCAGTCAAAATTGCAATATAATTATTCTGATTATATTGAAGCCTGGTACTCTATTTTCCTCCATCAATCTGAGGATTTTAGTCATTCCTGGTTTATAAATTTTGACAATAAATTCAAGTCTCCTCTTCCCTTCTGGTTTCTCCACTGGTGGGAAAAGCATGGTCCAGTTGATGAAATTCTGCCCATCTCAGTTCATGAGCTAATTCGTCATTATACTAAAAAAGTCAAGTTCTCCAAAGTTGATTTATTTTTCCCGAAACAGTTGCTTTTTATTGCCAGATACAAAGTTCCTTGGATCCTCAAATGGTCCTACAAAGTTGCCAGAGATACTACCAGAGTTCTTGCCCGCCAATTCTCAGTTAAATGGTGGGACAAATTTGAAGTTGACAGAATTGCCAAATATGTATACAATGATCTGCCCCAAGAACCTATTCCGCATCCAATCTCCCCCACTGGTTCGACCCGATCTTCTCTTTCAGTTGAAGGAAAATCGAAGACCGAACTCCAAGAAATTGCCCGTCAGTTGATAATCCAAGCCTCTCAAATGGATGATGATGAAGACAATGATTCCCCTTCATCGTCCAGTTGTCAGCCCATGCAAAGCCCTGCCAAGAAAAAGTTTTGGTATAAAGATAGTCAAGATCCATACGATGCTTATGATTTGAATTCTGACTAAGCATCACAGTTCCAGACACAATAATTGCCTCTAGTTGCCGATACAATAGTTGCCCCGGAGTATGATTGAAGTATCTTCAAAAGCAGTCAGTTGCCCGACATTTCACCTTGAGTAAAAGAAGAAAGTTGCCAAGTAAAAGTCAAAAGTTACTAAAGTTATTCCTTCTCCAGACATAATTGAAAGTTGAATCAGGTTGCTCTCGTGCTTCCACAGTTGCCTCTCCATTATTAGAATTGCTTTCGGTTACCCTAGTCACTTTTCAAAATAACCCTAGTTGCTTTTGTATACCATAGTTACTTCCCTTAAGCTATTTAAGCCGGCCTTGGCCTCAGTTGTATCCAGATTACAATTTACATTTCAGTCTTTTAAAGATTCTCTCTGAACACTTTGGAGAAATCATCTTTGTAAACACTGAGTGTTTTGTATCTGGAGTTTGAAGTTGCTATCTTGAAGTTGATGTTGTGAGTATAAATAAAATTTGATATTTTCAGTTATCTTTATTTTGAGTAATTTCTTATAAGCATTATTTTAATTGCATAATTGCATATACCAATTATTTGCTTGCTTCCGTTCCCTTCACCTTCATGGTATCAGAGCCCTAAGAGTTACTCTAAGCCATATAATGGAATTTACATATTTTATCAATTGTAAATTGTAACTGAACCTTGACCTATTTGTTCGTTAGTAAAGATCATTAGTTATGTTTTGACATTGCCTACATATAACTGAACCCCAACTTAGACAAAGATCGTTTCCTCTTCTAAGAAACTAGTGTCCATTTGTTTTATTTTATTTCTCTTCCTCCTACACTACTTATAGAGGTTCCTATCTTCTCTTCGAGTACGAAGAATAGAGAAAAATACTTGGAAAAAAAAATAATATTGAAAAAGCGCTAATCAGATAGTAACAAACAAGAGGGAAAAAAAAAGAACTAAGAACCATGACAACAACAATAAACGAAAATTAAAAGACTTTCAACATTTCGTTTCATTTATATGTAGGCAATGTCAAAACATCAATTAATCAAATACTACTTGGATTGTCAAACCTGGTCCAAGCACATATACATGTATTTTACCAAGCTTTTCTAGTTTGACAATGTTTGAGAAAACAATAATAATGATATACTTGTTGTTGCAAGAACATAAGAAGCAGATGGTAATACAGGGAATTGGAAGCATTGTATAAATTTTCATAGTTGGGTACATACACCCTGAACTTAAAGATGATCACCATGTTCTACATCTCGACCACCAGTTCTGCTACCTGATGTAGATATGCAGGCTTTGGCATTCATGGATCAATGGGATAAACAGAAGTAAATAAGCACGTTTGTAATGGTGTCATAATCAGAGGGTTTATCTTATAATTTCTAATAATTGTCAATGCCATTTTCAGTTACATTTTCGTGGCTTTATTGCTGAGGGCAATATACAGCTTTTTAATCTGAATATGTAATAAGACTTTTGAATATAGAATTGAACCATTTCAAAGGAGTTTCATCTCTCTTTGTGTTAAGTGCCTTTCTCTTGAGAGATTGTTGCTTTTGTTCCTAGTTCTCTGATTTTCAGGGTAGTACTAGAAACATAGCAATCTAGGGTTTTCATGTCTCTCCTTCTACTTGGAGACAGTGGACCCTAATTTACCTGTGTTTTGCTTGGCCCTGCATCAATACATTTAGGGTTCACAAAGGGCTCAAGATAGAGTAGTTGTATTTTTCAGATGTAAGGGACTACTCGCTAAGATGTTGATCAACTAATTCATCCACTAAAGCACCACCTTAATGCATTATGAGAATCGACGCCATGGCCACAATGTTGGACGATGCCAATGTATCTCCCAAGGGTCCAAGCTCCGGGCAGTCACCCCACTCCGATAGCCCAAACGTGAGTGGTGAAGAACCTGTTTGCCCTTGTTGACGCAGAAAAATGGTTTGGCACTTTCCCACGCAACTTAGTGATGTTGGGCCTTCGGTATGCTCTGGGCCTCGGTAGGGCGTTTGATCTGCAAGATAACAAACGCTCGGTAAGACCTAGGGCACCGGTGTGGTACCGGCCAAAGACTCTCCGATGCTTAAGTAAGTACGGATTTAGTAAGATTGAACTACAGATCAATAGGCAGTATGCCGTAAGTTCTGATTGATTACCTTCAAGTTGGGATAGTTGTCCTCTTTTATAGGCCTTGGGAGGTGTGCAAGTTGTTTAGAATTTCGATGTGGGACTGTGGACTCCAATTGTGGGACTGCCACGTGTCCCTGGGGGTGAAGTTGCCCTAATCGTGCGATCGGTAGGAACAGTACCGAAGCTAGGTGTCGAAGGCTTCCATAGCTCCAGTTTGGTCCACGTGTCCGATGCTTATTGGCTGTTCATTTTGGTATAAACAGTCCTCTTCCCACGATATAAAGATCATAGTCATTTCCCATGGAGCTACATATATTTCAAAACAAAGAATAAGTTTTATAGAAAGTGGGTTGGATATTTATGCGATTTTTCTCACCACTTGAACTTAAGGTGTATTATCACTACACTTCTCAATACTTGACATGTGTCTATGGGTATAATCATGGTTCCACAAATACAAATAAGAGAGTTAACTATGGTTATGCCCATGGATACATGTCAAGTGTCGAAAATGGTAGTTAGGATACACCTTGAGTTAAAGTGGTGAGTAAAAATATTTCCAAATTTTGATAACATTTATGACATTCTAAATTTTGATTCAAGCGTTTTGACTTTCACCCACTGTTCGTGTCATAATCTGCACTTTTATCCAGGAATTTAGTCCCGGATGAATTTATTATGAGCTAACTTGTGGCTTGTATGACCTGATTTCATGAGCATTGCAGAAGTGATTAGCCTGAGTGGAAGTCTTTGTCCCTTATCTTGGCATTTTATCAGAGCACGCTTAACTGGAAGTGCGCTTGGTAGACAGCAAATGGTAGTTCGGTCAAGCAAAGCATGCTTCTTGTTTTGTTTGTGGAAAAATTAATTCACTCTAGCTGTACCCAACAAATCTGAAGAATAATTACTCGTCAAAGTAATCTTCATCGACGCCTCTCATTACCATCCTCTTTTCTTTCTTTCTATTATGATACTCATTACCATCCTCTTTTCTTTCTTTCTATTATGATCTATATTCATCATGAACGTGAAGAATTGAAGTTTCAAAGTAATGATAGTTGTATACATTTTACTCCAATTTCCTATTCAAAATTTTGATTTAACATTCGTGACATTTTAAGGCCCGTTTGATAACCATTTTGGCTTTATAAAAAAATAAAGAATATGAAACTCGTTTGGTAATTGTTTTCAATTTTTAAATAAAAGATTAATTGAAAATTGTTTATAAGTTGTTTGATAATTGTTTTCAATTTTTGGTTTTATGTGAAACTTGGAATTTAGGATGAATTTTTAATGAATTTCGAGGCTCGGAATGCAAGAATTTGTCGGTCCCTTGGGTCAGACTAGAGGGTTTAAATGTTTTTTTTAGAACTAGTTCCACAACAAACAAAATAAGGAAATCAAAACTAAAAAGAAAAAAGAAGAGTTGAAAGTTCATCACTACAATATATTTTATTAAACAGGATCATCTTATTTTTGTGTCATGATCAGATACGGTACTCAAAGTACCATTCAGAGCATAGATCAGTTGCTCAAGTGTGATGTTGGGACCTAATCCTTTGAATTCTCTGATACTAAAAATGCATGATGACACTATAAAAGCAACGAAAAAAAAAATATGACAGTGTGGATTGGAACCTAATGCTGCAAAACCAAAATTCCTTATTTTATTTTTCATTCTTCACTTTCATAAATCTCTCTTAGGTTCAAACAAAAATTGCTTTCAAAAGAGGAGAGTTATAAGCTAACATTGATGAAGTCGAGGATAACTGCTGCATCGGAACTCAACTTCATTTCCACTAACTCATTTGCTACAAGCATACATTCTTTGTCTACATCATCACCACCTAATACTTAGATTCATAATGTAGTAAAAGAAAAAAAATGTAGACTCCCTGTTTGTGACCATTATACATTTGGTCATTAAGAAATTGGTCACTACGGACCTTTTTTCTTGTAGTGAACATTTACAAGTACAAACATCTAAGAAGAATTAGAACAAGGCAGACACAAATGAAGTGAAATACAACCAAAGCAGCACATATCCTAATCAGGTTGTGAAACCATCAAGAGCAAGTAATTCACCAAATGTTGTCATATGTAATGGCTTTGACAAATGCAGCCTCTGAGTTGATGAGAGGAGCTGAGAAACTTTCTTCATCGTTGGACGACACTGTGGACTAGGATTCAAGGATGCAAATGCTATCTTCACAAGAGACACCACCTCCTCTGCTTCTTGTTTTGTGGGTGGCGAGATGCGTTGGTCGAGAATGTCTAAAATTGGCATTTCTGGGGCAGGTGATGCAGATGAGGATGACGATGATGCCCTGGATGATAAAGATGAGAAAACATCTCCTGGATGTCTTCCCATAATTATTTCTAGTGTGACAACTCCAAAGCTATAAACATCGCACTTCTCGGTTACTTCCATTGTATATGCAAGCTCTGTTCAGAAACAGTTCACACAAGAAATTGTATCATGCATAAATCGTACACACCAAGTACAAAAGACAGAGATTTCAGTGGTCAAAACATTACCTGGTGCCATGTAGCCATATGTGCCTGCAGCGGCAGTCCAATTAGTTGAGTCTGGATTTAAAAACTTAGCAGTCCCAAAGTCTGAAACACATGCCTCATATTCAGAATCCAACAAAATGTTCTTGCTCGAGATGTCACGATGTACAATCGGTGGTAAGCAATCATGGTGCATGTAAGACAAGGCATGAGCTACACCTTTAACAACATTCACCCTTTTGCTCCACCCCAACACTTCAGCTTCTTCATCTTTGCTCAACATGGCAGCCAAGCTACCTCTTTCAAGATACTCATACACCAAAAACAAGTGTCGTTTGTGTGCACAGAAACCATAGAGCTTCACAATGCTTCGGTGTCTTATCTCAGTGAGTGCCCTTACTTCATTTAAGAACTCTTTCTGAAGATTTGTCTCTCCATCCCACAACAGATGGAGTTTCTTCACGGCCACTAAGTTGGCAGATGACAAATTCACTCTATAAACGCTTCCATGTACTCCCTTCCCAATACAATAAGTGGAATCAAAATCTTCTGTTGCTTTTATGATTTCCTCATACATTGATTTTCCATCAAAATTTAAAACAGAAAAGGAGATTTCTTCATGCATGGTGTTTTGGTCTTTATCCTGATGCGTATTCTTTCTTTGCACTACAAAGACAATTGTAAAGAAAGCCGATAGAAATACAAATACTGCTAGAAGAGAGAATATTAATTTGAAGTGCTTTTTTGAGCCACGTTCATTGCAGGGTGGCAGAGTGCCAACTGTGCCACACAATCCTTTGTTCCCTTGTAATGCTTCTGGCAGAGCTTCTCGAAATGCGCTGATGTTGGGAAGGGGACCTTCCAAGTGATTGTAGGATATGTCTACATACAACAAGCCGTACATGTCTTGAAAACTTGTTGGTATGAAACCTGAAAGATTGTTGTGGGAAACATTGAGCGTCACCAAACTCTCCATGTTGCTCATTTTTATGGTATCTTACCTTCAAGTGAGTTATGACTTAAATCCAGGTTCGTCAACTGAACTAACGCCCCCAACTCAAGTGGAACTGCTTGAACCAACTTGTTGTTGCTCAAATTCAAGTAGTGCAATTTGAACAAGTTGCCTAGAATGCCAGGAATTGAATCATGGAATTTGTTTGTAGACAAGTCAAGATATTCAAGATCAGTCAATGATCTGAATTCTGACGGTATACGACCCGAAAGGTGATTTCCATTCAACATCAACTTCTCCAAAGAAGTGAGTCTCCCAAATTCCTTCGGGATCGTGCCAGCTAAATTATTCAAAGAGAGATCAAGCTCATGAATTTGGGTTGCATTTCCGATCTCAGTTGGTATGGTCCCAGTAAGGTTGTTTCCCGCAAGTCGTAGGATTTTTAACAATGGGCATTGACCCCATTTGCATGAGATTTCACCATACAAATTATTGTGGCTTATATCTATAAAATCAACATTTGGATAAATACCAAAGTCTTCAGATATATTGCTTGTCAATTGGTTCCTTTCAAGACGGACTCTGAATAAGCTTGTGCATGTTTTTAAGCTTTTGGGTATTGGACCAGTGAAATGGTTGTCACTTGCTGAAAAGTTTACGAGTTTTCCACCTTGGCAAATATTGTGGGGTAAATGACCAGAAAATTGGTTTGTATCCAAATACAAGATAGTCAACTTTTCGAGATTCTCTATCTCTTGAGGGATGGGGCCGGAAAGTTGGTTATCTCGTAGGTTTAAATTTTCCAAGTTGCTTAGGTTATCAAACGAAGCAAGAATTGAACCATTAAGCTTATTCACGCTCAAGGATAGCTCCACAATAGATTTCAAGTTCTCTATCTCTTTGGGAATAGAACCCGAAAGTTGATTGTCATCCAAGTACAGAGTGTTTAACTGGCTTAAGTTACCAATATTTGGAGGGATGGGACCACTTAAAGTATTATAGGACAACTCAAGATCTACAAGGGACTTCAAGTTAAATATCTCAATAGGAACAGTGCCAGAAAGTTTATTTTCAAAGAGATAGAGATAGGTAAGGTTTGTTAGATCACCTAGTGATCTTGGAATTGAACCACTGAGTTGATTTGCACTCAATTCTAGATCCACAAGAGATTGCAAGTTCCCTATCTCTTCGGGAATCAAACCAGAAAGTTGATTGGTATGCAAATACAAAGTGTTTAACCTTTCTAAGTTCATAATATTTTGAGGGATGTAACCACTTAAAATGTTGGAGGACAACTCTAGATCTACAAGAGACTTCAAGTTACCTATCTCATTAGGAATAGTGCCAGAAAGTTTATTGCCATAGAGATAAAGATAGGCAAGGTTTGATAGATTACCTAGTGATCTTGGAATTGAACCATTGAGTTTATTCTCAGAGAAAATTAACTTCACAAGAGATTTTAAATTCCCTATCTCTTCAGGAATAGAACCAGAAAGTTGATTGCCATAGAGATAAAGATGAGTAAGTCTTGTTAGATCACCCAGAGATCTTGGGATTGAACCGTTGAGTTTATTGTCATTCAAATATAGCTCCACAAGAGATTTCAAGTTGCCTATCTCATTGGGAATATCCCCCCAAAATGCATTTTCAGCGAGCTGGAGAAATGTAAGATTTTTGAGGAGACCAATTTCTGGTGGGATTCTCCCAGACAACTTATTCTCAGAGAGATCAAGATAGTAGAGTTTAGAGAGGTAACTGATTTCAGGTGGGATGGCATCAAAGAGTTTGTTCATATTGAGATCAACATGTTCAAGATTAGGGAAAGACAAGAATGGAAATTCATGTAGCGTACCTTGTATACCATATCTGGAAAGGTTTATCATGCTGACACTTCCAGCTGCATTGCATGAAACACCAGTCCAAGTGCATGGGCTTGTTTTTGGTTTTGGATTGCTGCTGGAAGAGTTGGTGGCATTAATATTATGAGTGGGAGGGTACCAGGTGAGATTATTGAGGGCTTGATTTTGAAATAAGCTGGCTTTCCATTTGAGAAGAGCCTTTGCTTCAGTATCAGAAGCAAAAGCAACCCAATTTGGTGATGAAACATACAACAAGATAACAAGGCAACATGATAGAAAGCATACTTTACCATAACTTAAAGATCTCATGGTTATTGTTTTATGCACTAAAAGTATGGGCAGTGCCTTACTTATAGGGCAGTGCCTTAGCCTTTGGGATTCAGAATTGAAAATCTTCTGGAATCTCTTCTATCTCAATTATACAATGGTTGGAGTCTTCCATACACTTTGAGTCAAAGTCTATCTCTCATTCGTTAAAGTTGCATTTGCTGCTTGACATGTGTCCCACCTAAATGCTTGACACTAGTGTGTTAGAAGAACTAAACGCAAAATTGTCGTTTGTTGTTTTGATTTACCATACATAGGAACAGGAATAGGAATGTGAAATTGATGCTTTGCTTTCGTAAACTTGTTTTCTAAAATTTCCTAACCTCATAATTATTGCGTGAGCTTGCCATTGTTAGAACTACAAGGAACTTAAAATATTTAAATGAAAATTGTTAGGTTCCAATAAAATTGTCTAAGTATAAAATATTAGAACTCCCATACACTGAAATATAGGAAAGAAACACACAATTATCTCCTTCAGTCAAAGTCTCCATCTGTTATCTTTTTGATGAAATGAAATTGATGGAAGTGAGAGCTTAATGGATGTTATTGGTGGATCAGCAAAGAAGGTTTGTTGTATGCTTCACAGAAGGGGTTGAAATGTGTCCCACATTGAACTGTTGTTGAGTAAATGGATGATCAAGAAGGCCAAAGAGACCTGGCAGTGGCTGTCACTTCACTTTGGGTTTCCTTCGGGATAGTAGGGCCACTGCTCTCTGAAAATGACTCTGCGCGTCGGATTAATTGACTTTCTCTTCACCTTGGGGCTCACGCACACGACTGAAAAGATCATTCAATATTCTGTGTTTTTTCTTCTTTTATTTTTGAAAATGTATTGATTGTTTCATTTAGGATGCGTTAGTTTGATGGTTTGATTTGAACTGGATTGGACCGAGACAGTTCTTATGAGTCACATCCGTCTAAATGAGACTTGTCAGACTATAAAAAATGAAGCAAATTCATTCATTTCCTTTTTTTTTTACACAAAGGCGATAAACAAGTACCCAAAAAAAAGAAGGAACTAAGTCCTGAAGGATTAGGTGAGTATTCTACACTAAACGGGCGTAATGGTCGTTGGACTACCAAAGTGGCCTACCTTCTCAACTGTAATGGTTGTCAGACTACCTAAACCCTAATTCATTCTTTTTAAAAATGGGAAATATCACTTTTGGTTTGTGTAGTTTGCAAGTTTTTCCACTTTGATTCATGTAGTTTTAATTTTGTCAATTTAACCCATGTAGTTTCTATCACAATTCAAGGACACATCCAAATTTCCATCCAAAATACCGCTCAGTAAGAGACACATGTTTATTCCGTCAAGAAATTGGAAGTGTCCTTAAATTGCAATAAAATCAAACTACCGGGGTTAAATTTCCAGAATTGAAACTATAGGGAAGAACATGGAAATTTTGTCAAACTACATGGACGAAAAGTGAGTTTTTGCCTTTTAAAAACCAAAAGGATAAGGCTTGTAACTCAAGTGGTTAAGCGCATTTACCCTTGCACCCGAGATCCTAGTTCTATGGAAGAAAAAAAACCAAAATGATAAAAAATGATGTTCATCGTTATCCACAACTTTTTCAAGTACATGGCCGCTTAAGGATGCGAAGATTGTAAGTTAGTTTTGTTTCAAGTACTTGTGCCAAACGCTATTTTCAATGTTTTGATTTTGAGAGAAATTGTATTGTTTTGTTGGTTGGTATGAACATTGAGCCTATGTATTATATGCTGGCCTTTGCTGCTCAGACACGAAACAGAAGTGACCAAAGTGAAAGCATAAAGAGTATCTAATTAACACCTTATTTTAACTGTAACATTGTAGATAGAAACAACTTGTTGGAATATTACCCTTCGTTTTTCTCACAAGGAAAAGCATTTTTTAACTGGAAATCACCCTTATTGAAACATCCAAAACTATGTGAACCAAATGAAAATCGAAATCATATATTACATGACCAGGAAGAAATTGTCAAATGTCTTTGATTTTGCCCGTATGGAAATAGGAACGAAGAACATTAAAGTGCACAAGGGGGCAGGAAATAGATTCGCAATAACACAACGTCCAAGAAGAATTGGAAGAACGTGCAGACACAGAGTGAAATATTATTATAGGAAAGAAGCACATTTTCAGGTTGCAAAGTCATTGAGAGCAAGCAAAATAGAATATTACGGGGTAATTTTCATTGTATTACTTCCTTGAAATATATACATATATAATCCTTGTTCTACAAGGAAACACTACTCAGTAAGGACACAACAATAAATCCTTCCTAATAAAGGACTCCTAGTATTCACAATATATTTACATACTTATTTAAATAACTCACGTTTACACTCCCCCTCAAGTTGGTGCATATATATCACACATGCCCAACTTGTCAAGTGAGTTACCAAACTTTCGGCTACATACTGCATGAGTAAGAACATCTGCAAGTTGTCCCTCTGACTCCACAAATGGTATTGATACAATCTTCTTCTCAAGCTTCTCTTTGATAAAATGACGATCAACCTCTACATGCTTTGTTCTATCATGCTGTACTGGGTTATCAGCTATGTCCCTTGCTAACTTGTTATCACAAAACAACTTCATGGTATCCTTTGGTTTAAACCCAAGTCCCAAAAGAAGTTTTCGTAGCCAAAGGATTTCGCAGATTCCTTGAGTCATACCTCTATATTCGGCCTCAGCTAAAGACTGTGACACCACCTTCTGTTTTTTACTTCGCCATGTCACCAAATTCCCTCCAACGAAGGTATAAACAGCCCTCTTCCCACGATATAAAGATCATCGTCATTTCCCATGGAGCTACATATATTTCAAAACAAAGAATAAGTTTTATAGAAAGTGGGTTGGATATTTATGCGATTTTGCTCACCACTTGAACTTAAGGTGTATTATCACTACACTTCTCAATACTTGACATGTGTCTATGGGTATAATCATGGTTCCACAAATACAAATAAGAGAGTTAACTATGATTATGCCCATGGATACATGTCAAGTGTTGAAAATGGTAGTTAGGATACACCTTGAGTTAAAGTGGTGAGTAAAAATATTTCCAAATTTTGATAACATTTATGACATTCTAAATTTTGATTCAAGCGTTTTGACTTTCACCCACTGTTCGTGTCATAATCTGCACTTTTATCCAGGAATTTAGTCCCGGATGAATTTATTATGAGCTAACTTGTGGCTTGTATGACCTGATTTCATGAGCATTGCAGAAGTGATTAGCCTGAGTGGAAGTCTTTGTCCCTTATCTTGGCATTTTATCAGAGCACGCTTAACTGGAAGTGCGCTTGGTAGACAGCAAATGGTAGTTCGGTCAAGCAAAGCATGCTTCTTGTTTTGTTTGTGGAAAAATGAATTCACTCTAGCTGTACCCAACAAATCTGAAGAATAATAACTCGTCAAAGTAATATTCATCGACGCCTCTCATTACCATCCTCTTTTCTTTCTTTCTATTATGATACTCATTACCATCCTCTTTTCTTTCTTTCTATTATGATCTATATTCATCATGAACGTGAAGAATTGAAGTTTCAAAGTAATGATAGTTGTTTACATTTTACTCCAATTTCCTATTCAAAATTTTGATTTAACATTTGTGACATTCTAAGGCCCGTTTGATAACCATTTGGCTTTATAAAAAAATAAAAAATATGAAACTCGTTTGGTAATTGTTTTCAATTTTCAAATAAAAGATTAATTGAAAATTGTTTATAAGTTGTTTGATAATTGTTTTCAATTTTTGGTTTTATGTGAAACTTGGAATTTAGGATGAATTTTTAATGAATTTCGAGGCTCGGAATGCAAGAATTTGTCGGTCCCTTGGGTCAGACTAGAGGGTTTAAATGTTTTTTTAAGAACTAGTTCCACAACAAACAAAATAAGGAAATCAAAACTAAAAAGAAAAAAGAAGAGTTGAAAGTTCATCACTACAATATATTTTATTAAACAGGATCATCTTATTTTTGTGTCATGATCAGATACGGTACTCAAAGTACCATTCAGAGCATAGATCCTTTGAATTCTCTGATACTAAAAATGCATGATGACACTATAAAAGCATAGATCGTTTGTGTGCACAGAAACCATAGAGCTTCACAATGCTTCGGTGTCTTATCTCAGTGAGTGCCCTTACTTCATTTAAGAACTCTTTCTGAAGATTTGTCTCTCCATCCCACAACTGATGGAGTTTCTTCACGGCCACTAAGTTGGCAGATGACAAATTCACTCTATAAACGCTTCCATGTACTCCCTTCCCAATACAATAAGTGGAATCAAAATCTTCTGTTGCTTTTATGATTTCCTCATACATTGATTTTCCATCAAAATTTGAAACAGAAAAGGAGATTTCTTCATGCATGGTGTTTTGGTCTTTATCCTGATGCTTATTCTTTCTTTGCACTACAAAGACAATTGTAAAGAAAGCAGATAGAAATACAAATACTGCTAGAAGAGAGAATATTAATTTGAAGTGCTTTTTTGAGCCATGTTAATTGCAGGGTGGCAGAGTGCCAACTGTGCCACACAATCCTTTGTTCCCTTGTAATGCTTCTGGCAGAGCTTCTCGAAATGCGCTGATGTTCGGAAGGGGACCTTCTAAGTGATTGTAGGATATGTCTACATACAACAAGCCGTGCATGTCTTGGAAACTTGTTGGTATGAAACCCGAAAGATTGTTGTGGGAAACATTGAGCATCACCAAACTCTCCATGTTGCTCATTTTTTATGGTATCTTACCTTCAAGTGAGTTATGACTTAAATCCAGGTCCGTCAACTAAACTAACGCCCCCAACTCAAGTGGAACTGCTTGAGCCAACTTGTTGCTCAAATTCAAGTAGTGCAATCTGAACAAGTGGCCTAGAATGCCAGGAATTGACTCATGGAATTTGTTTGTAGACAAGTCAAGATATTCAAGATCAGTCAATGATCTGAATTCTGACGGTATACGACCCGAAAGGTGATTTCCATTCAACATCAACTTCACCAAAGAAGTGAGTCTCCCAAATGCCTTCGGGATCATGCCAGCTAAATTATTCGAAGAGAGATCAAGCTCATGAACTTGGGTTGCATTTCCGATCTCAGTTGGTATGGTCCCAGTAAGGTTGTTTCCAGGAAGTCGTAGGGTTTTTAAGACCATCTCCAACCATATTGGGGCTAAACTCAAATTTTCACCCTCCAAAATACAACTATTCATGTATTTTCAGGACTCAAAATTTTTTTTCCTCCAACCTTGTAGACTCAAAATTTTAGTCCGCAACTTTATTAAATTGTTTAAGAATGATTAACCCCTAAATTTTGTTTCTTGTTAATTTTTCTTGACATTATTTTTGTTTCAACACTCGTGATTTAATTTTCTAAACATTTTAACCTAAAAAAATTAAAATTCCAAAACATAATTGAATTTCACTTAAAAAATAAAAATAAGTACAATACCATACGTATGCCCGGAATAATTCGAACTCTTCATTGAATTATGTAAGTGTGTGTTTAAATTATCTAAGCATTTTTAAATAAACGACAATCATTAAATTTTGCCGTTGAGATTGCTTAAAATTAATCATGATTATTGATTACAAATATAGTTGTTGGAATATTTAAAATAAAACAAAACAAAACAAAACAAAAAAACAAAAACAAACCAGCAATATCAGATTTTTGGCACAAAGTTGCTGCCCAAACAGTGTAACCAAATCTGGGCCCAACAAACATTGTGCAGCACATGGGCTTCAGTCAGAAAAAAAATAATAAAAAAAGCAGATTTTGGGCCCACAAAATTATCAGTCCAGGCAAAAATGGGACTGGAATTCCACCCAAGATTTGAGATTTCTCAAATTTCCACCCCCCAAAATACATGAGTTGGAGATGGTTTTTGGAGGCTAAACTCAAAATTTGAGTTTCCACCCCAAGGGTTGGAGATGGTCTAACAATGGGCATTATCCCCATTTGCGTGAGATTTCACCGTACAAATTATTGTGGCTTATATCTATAAAATCAACATTTGGATAAACACCAAAGTCTTCAGATATATTGCTTGTCAATTGGTTCCTTTCAAGACGGACTCTGAATAAGCTTGTGCATGTTTTTAAGCTTTTGGGTATTGGACCAATGAAATGGTTGTCGCTTGCTGAAAAGTTTATGAGTTTTCCACCTTGGCAAATATTATGGGGTAAATGACCAGAAAATTGGTTTGTATCCAAATACAAGATAGTTAACTTTTCAAGATTCTCTATCCCTTGAGGGATGGGGCCGGAAAGTTTGTTATCTTGTAGGTTTAAATTTTCCAAGTTGCTTAGGTTACCAAACGAAGCAAGAATTGAACCATTAAGCTGATTCACGCTCAAGGATAGCTCCACAATAGATTTCAAGTTCTCTATCTCTTTGGGAATAGAACCCGAAAGTTGATTGTCATCCAAGTACAAAGTGTTTAACTAGTTTAAGTTACCAATATTTGGAGGGATGAGACCACTTAAAGTATTATAAGAGACATTAAGATAAGTAAGAAACGCATTTTATCCTTCCATTGATTGAAATTTGCTCCATTGAATTTGTCTAACTTGCAGACATCTTGATTTTTTTAAATAAACCAAAGGATTAGGCGAGATTAGCTCCTCAATATCGGTCATCAAATGCACAAACATCCACCACCCTCAAAGAGGTGACAAGAAACAACAAGAGATACAAGAACAACAGGGGGGGACCAAACCAAACCTTACAGAAGAGAAAGACAATGACAGAAAGGCACAACAACATGCTGACCTAAGAGACTAAAACTCTGAAAGAGTAAACAAAAGAAACTAGGAGAACGGGTAATTAGGCATGCCCAGCCAGTCCCGCTGACAAAAAGGTAAAAATAAAAGAAGGTGCAGTATCCCACCAAGTTAAACCAAAGCCCAAAGCACCGTGATTTGCCAAACCATCAACAGCATGACTACGCTCACGAAAGATATGAGAAATCTTAAATGACATGTGTTGGAGACAATGCAAGCAATTTTACCAATCAACTTGTAGACGCCAAGGGACCAAATGTGGAGAGCGAAAGAATTTAGTAACTAACAACGAATCAGTTTCAATCCAAATATTATGCCAAGCATGGAGCCAAGCAAGCTCAATAGCCTTAATGACCGCTAAAACTTCAGTATGAACTGCATTAGGAACATCTAAATTGGCTGAAAATGCCCCAAGAACATGGCCCTGATAATTGCGAAACACACCACCACTACCTGCTTTACCAGAGTCTCTTTTGTGAGCGCCATCAATTTTAATTTTGACAAAGCCAAAACAAGGGGTATGCCATGCAACCTCAACAATTTTGGAATTGGGGCGGGGATGATAGTGCACCCCAATGGAACGAATAATACACATATCACGCACCTTAGTTAACATATGACCCCTAGCTAGAGGACTAGAGGCACACACATGATTAATAATGGTACAACAGGTAGAAGAAACTGTAGAAACCTTCTCCTCAAACTGCAACTTATTCCTTAAATCCCAAATTATAGCCACACAGTAGTTCCGAGCATAAGAAGCCACAGATCCATGAGTTGAGGCCTAAAATGAGCAGATAGGCCGGAAGAAAGAATAATCGCTAAAGGCCCCGAAGTAAAGTGCAGACCAAAAAAAATAAACATAGAACTCCATATGGAACAGGTAAAGGGGCACTCAGAAAATAAATGATTAATATTCTCCGGAGCCATCCTGCAAAATAAGCACATAGAATCAAGGGCAATACCACGCTTTTGAAGAAAATCCTCAGTGAGAAGCCTGCCATGCATAACTTTCCACACTAAAAAATGATTTCCGAGGCTCAATAAAAGGTTTCCAAAAATTAACTTACACCAAGGAACCTCGACAAACTTAGGCCGTGTGAATTCATAAGCATCCTTAGCAGAGAAGCCGCCAGACGAGGATGGCGCCCAAAGTAACAAATCACCTGCAGCAGGATCATGAAAGGAAGAAATATCCATAATATGCTCACAAATACCTGGAAAGTGCATAGTTAGGAGAGGCGAAAGGTGCCAAACACTGGAGGGAATGATTTTCCCCACGAGAATATTCGTCAAAGATTCCTTCGTCTTCTCCGCTTCTCTTTCTCTCTGCAAAACAGATCGGAGTAAAAGGACCACACCCGGGGGGTGTTGGCCAAAGGCCCTCCGATGCCTAAGTTAGGTAAGGTATTTCAAGGAAAACCGGGTGGCCGGAGCCGTGTGTGGTGGCCGGAGCCTTGTGTAAGGGAGAGAAAGAAAGTGGTGGCTAGGGTTTGTGAGAAATGATTTCTGCAGAGTTTCAGTAGGAATTTAGACGTACCTCCACCATTGTGTGTGGCTATGCTTTTATAATGGTCTTGGAGGCTAGGGTTTCAGAGGAATAATTCCGTAGATGGAAGGGAATTATTCCTCCCCTTTATGGAATTGATTTGATTAATTAGGGATTTGATTTATTAGGGTAAATCAAATCCCTAATTGTGGTAGGTATCAAATCAAATCCTATTTCAATTAGGTAACTCCTCATTTAATTGAGAATCGGGGTAGGAATTAGGAATCAATTCTCAACCCAATTAGGTAGTCTTCAATTTAATTGGGTAACCCCCAATTAAATTGAGTAACTCCCAATTAGGTTGATTAATTCCCAATTAGGTCAAATAATCCCCAAATGGAATGAATTATTTGACCTAGGGTTTTGACTTAATTTGGTTACCACAAACACCATTTACACAATACTAAGAAACCAATTCCCCCATGAGCGGTCGTAAAGAAGGGTGAAGACCAAAATAATTAGCTAAAGGTTGACCAATAAAGTTATTCCGCCAAAAAGAAGTGCTCCTACCATCTCCAAGAAGAGGAACCGGATCAACTATTCGCCTAGTTGATCTGATTCCTAGTTTTGAGGGTATTTGATTACATATTTTACGATGGAACTCCTATAATTTTAGAGTAATGCTATTCTTACCACATTTGTATACCATATTCTCATACCACCTTATGTGGCAAATGAAATGGACATCCACATCAATTAAAAAGTGTCAATAAATCATAAAAGAAAAGAAAATGTTACATAAATTTAAGGTGGTATGGGAATGTGGTATACAAATGTGGTAAGAGTAGATTATTCTTTTTTTATTTTGTATGTGTAAGTAAATGCAGGAAAAGTAAGAAATTGGAATCATTCTAATACCCATGTGTTAGTAAACACAGGAAACGAATGAATTGGAATGATTTTGATACCTCTTTCTCTCTTTTAAAGTAAGTTTTCTTATTGTTTTATTATTACTAAAAATAATTGAAAGAATAAAATTTTGAATAAGAGATGTGGATGTCTGACTCAAGCTACCATCTAAATTAGTTTACAAATTAATGTATATAGAATTGTGGTATGAGTTAAAGAAAGAGATATAAAATTATGGTATATGAGTTGTATTATTATTGGTGCTTGATATGATATAAGAACATGGTAGGCAAGCTTAGTTTGCGCTAGGCACGCCCTCAGTAAGTGTGAGAGTGAAGGGATCTCCCATTGAATTGAGATTAATATTCAGGTGCCAGCTTATATATGATAGAGGTAATGAAGAAAGATTCTGCTACTTTTGAGGAAAGATTTGCGGACAGATACTGCATACAGTTGTTCTTGATTTTGATCTATAAAAGTCAAACTGCGCAGCATTAAGACAAATGCCGCCCTAATTAGAATCTTAAATTTTATATGCCAAGTTGCCTGACCTTTCCTCCAATCATCAAATTGGTCTTCACCCCCATCTCCACTTCTCCACCTACCATTTTTATGTTTTTTAAACATTTATCACCCCCTGTTCATTGGTCAAGAATAAAACCCTTATCTTGGATCTTGGCTTTCCCTACACATCGCATTCGTAGAATCGAACACTTCACTTATAGTTAATAAAAGGCTTCGTCAAGTCTCTGCAGCTCTGAAAGTAGTTAGGCCATGGATGCTAGTCCTCCTCCTTATAACCCCGTGCCGGTTGCGTACCAGGGAGGTGCCGGCGCGGTGCCAGTATGGTTGAACAAAGGGGACAACGCGTGGCAAATGGTAGCAGCCACACTCGTCGGCCTCCAAAGCGTGCCGGGTCTTGTCATCCTGTACGGAAGCATAGTAAAAAAGAAATGGGCAGTGAACTCAGCTTTCATGGCTCTCTACGCTTTTGCGGCCGTCGTAATCTGCTGGGTGTCGTGGGCTTACAAGATGTCGTTTGGGGACAAGCTCCTACCCTTCTGGGGCAAAGCGGGCCCTGCCTTGGGCCAGAAGTTCCTCATCAACCAGGCAGCTCTGCCCGCGAGCACGCACTACTTCAGCGACCACAAGACTGTGGAGACTGCTGAGATCACACCCTGGTACCCGATGGCGACCATGGTGTGGTTTCAGTGCGTGTTTGCAGCCATTACATTGATATTGCTGGCGGGGTCGGTGCTTGGGAGGATGAACTTCAAGGCGTGGATGATGTTCGTGCCGCTTTGGCTTACATTTTCGTACACTGTCGGAGCGTTCAGCTTGTGGGGTGGAGGGTTCTTGTTCCATTGGGGTGTCATGGACTATTCCGGTGGTTATGTCATTCATCTTTCTTCCGGGATTGCTGGCTTCACCACTGCTTACTGGGTAAATTAATTAAATAATTAACTACGCTATTTCTAGTTTTCTCTCTCTCCATTAGTCAACGTCTACAGGCCTGGTAATTATTGATTAAATAGTGCATTAATTCCTTGTAATTATAAAATAGCGGCTTTAATTTCTTTCTTTTTCTTCTTTGGATTTAATTGCGGCTAAACTCACACACTACATGAATATTAGGACTCGAATTCAGAACTTTTTCAAACCGCTACATTAGGATCAATAGGATCAAATTGATGAGATTCAATTACAAAATTCCCTGAAAAGGTGGAAGAAGAAAGGAAAAGTCCTCCCTTAGGTTGCTTTAAAACTGGCCTCTTAATTCTTCAAAAGTATCTGTGGAAGAATCATGCATCATCAGAATCCTTAGACTTCGCATTTCATGCCTTAGACTTCGTGGATAGTGATCACATATTTTCTATCCGCAAGCTATCTTTTATAGTAAAGTATAGGATCAAATTCTTCAGATTCGAATACAAGATTCCCCATGAACGTGTAAGAAGAAATAAAAAGTCTACTAGGTTGGAATATTATTATTTTAATTGGGTTACAAAGTTATAATATTAACGATGATGACGTACAAGTAGTTTTATTTTATATGTTGTCCCATTTTTAAATACTATTTTGTCCTATGTATATGGATCACAATATTTATCAATATGTATAGTTCAGGTTAGGAAACGACAAAAAGTTGATATGACTAGGAGCTTAATGAATTAATGAAGCATGGATGCATTAACAAGGGTGGACCATATAGATGTGGACATCAAAAATAAAAACAAAAACAAAATTGAATATATGAAATGCGACGGACGTGGTGTTTCATTTTTAGTTTTTCTCTAATAACATCTTACGGAAATCATAGTCTAAATTACTTTAAGTTATTCTAACATACGAAAAGGTTAATGGGTCTAACCTAGTGGAACAGAGCATTGACTTGCAGATCAGTGATCTTAGATTCGAACTCTCATAACATTTTGATAATGTGTGTGTGAGAAACTTCATTTTCCTTGTAATTTACACTATCGATTGTATTGCAATATATTATATATATATATATATAAAAGAGAGTATTAATTAGTTATTATTGTTTGTTAATTCATAAAAATGAAATGGTTATGATGAATAGGTAGGACCAAGGGTGAAGAAGGACAGGGAGAGATTTCCACCAAACAATGTACTTCTGGTGTTAGCAGGAGCCGGGTTGCTGTGGATGGGATGGGCAGGTTTCAACGGGGGAGATCCGTACGCGGCAAACACGGACTCATCCATGGCCGTCCTCAACACCAACATCTGCGCCGCCACGAGCTTCTTGGTTTGGACTTGGCTCGATGTCATCTTCTTTGAGAAGCCTTCCGTCATTGGAGCTGTCCAAGGAATGATCACTGGCCTCGTCTGCATTACTCCTGCTGCAGGTACGTATTACGTAAGTTCTCAAGTTGACTTTTTTCCACAATTAAGCAAAGTTGAATTATATGCCTATCGGTCTAATTTAGTGACAAAGGACTATGATTTGCAAAACAATGAGATTGTGTATGAGAAAACTCCCCTCTCCTTTTCAAACTTTAACCAAATAAATAAATAAAACAAAGCAAAGTTGACTTATATTTATCATCCCAATTAATAAAAACAAAATTAATATACTTACTTACTTGTCACAAAACGCGTTGCCTTCCATTAATTAATCCAGGAAAATAAAGTTTATTTGACTTTTGACTACTTATATTTACATTCTCTCACAGGCCACGTTCTAGTTTTATTTGGTATCCTACTTGGATCCAATTTTATAAACTCAAAAACAGATTTGAAGTTTAAAACCACAAAAATCCGTTTGGTATACCCATTTTTAAAAACTCAAACTAAAAAAAAATTCAAAAACACCCCATTATTAAAAACAAAAAAATGAGGTTTTGTAGTTTTTTTCTCTCTCTCCTCCCTCTCATCATGCTCTCTCTCTCTCTCTCTCTTCTTCCTCCCTCTCCCTCTCTATTTCTCCTTCTCTCTCCTTTTCTTTTGGGAATTTAGGGTTTCTAATTTTAATTTCAATTTTTTTAGATCTTAAAAATAGTTTGGAGTTCAATACTAAATTTTTTTTAAAATCTTAAAATCACTATTTGAAAACTCATATTTTTTTAAAATTATTATTATTTTTTAATTTTTTTTTTTGGAGATAAAAAAAGGATACCAAACCAAGGCCAATTTATATAAAATTATTATATATCTCTATATCTTTCTCTAAAATATTTTTTTTATTTTTTTTTTTTTTTTTTTTTTTTTTTTTTTTTTTTTTTTTTTATATATATATTTACCCAGTTTTTAACAGGAGAGGTGACTATTGAGAAAATAAGAACCTTGTGCGAAGGAGATATAAGGTGACATGTGATGCATTGTATAAGTTTTAACACCTCGCATGACTCATGGCATGTTGTGTTGACCATGCACAATCATTTAATTAACCATATTAACTAGCTAGCTTTTATTTTAGTTTTGTTTTGTTCATAGACTGATACAATATTATTGTTTAAATATGTAAATTAATTAGGTCTTGTTCAAGGATGGGCCGCTATAGTGATGGGAGTTATGTCAGGCAGTGTGCCATGGTTCACCATGATGATAGTGGACAAGAGGTGGAAACTGCTATCCGCGGTTGACGACACCCTTGGTGTAGTTCACACCCACGCCGTGGCCGGTCTTCTTGGCGGCGTTTTAACGGGGCTTTTCGCTGAGCCTGAACTATGTGCACTCTTTTTGCCCGTCACAAACTCGCGCGGAGGCGTGTACGGAGGCTCAGGAGGAATGCAAATCCTCAAACAAATTGTAGGAGCCCTATTTATCATTGGATGGAATATTGTGGTCACCTCCATTATTTGTCTAGTCTTACGGTGTATAGTTCCGTTGCGCATGCCAGAGGAACAGTTGCTGATTGGGGATGACGCAGTGCATGGAGAAGAGGCATATGCATTGTGGGGTGATGGGGAGAAGTATGATGTTACTAGGCATGAGCTTTACTCCGATGATACGTCACACGCTCAAAAATATCCATCCAGTGGTGCCACTCAGGTGGTCTAACTCAAAGTCATATATTATTTATGTTAATAATCTGTTCCAAAAAGAAAAAAGAAAAAAATGCCAAAAAAGAAAAGAAGAAAAAACGAAGTACGAAAAATAGGTGTGTTATTGTCAATTATTATTTTATTTTCTGGTGGTCTTTTCAATGTTTTATGTTAATTGCCTATTGCCTATGGTAATTATTATGCACTTTATTCAGCAAAATTTGGAACACCAAACCATCTTAAACATGTTTAAGATTATTAGCCCCTTTTTTTAATTTACAAAATATAATCACTAGAGCCCTCTCGAATAGTGTTACCCTTACTTGAACCCTAGCATTAGTACTTGGATCTTTATTAGTAACTACAAAGGCTCCATTTGGTGGAAAGAGACTTTCATGCAATAAGGATAACACTTTTTGTTATCTCCGACCAATAGAGCAATAACATTGGGGATAATTTTTCCATGTGTCATTGCATTATTAGCAAAACAAACAAGGATAAATCAACCCTTTGCATAATCCTAAAAGAAATAATGTTTTTTTTTTTTATTGTTTTGTTTTTTTTGGATAAAACACTGGATTGGATCCATAATCCTACTCTTGTGTTTAGTGGCCCAAGTCCACTTGGATTGGATTACTTCTAAATTCTATTCCTGTCAAGCTCAATTTTAGTAGGATTAGGAATCCCTAAAAAACTAAGGGTAGACATTTAAATTGGAAAACCGAAAAACTGAGCCGACAAAAAACCGCAATTTTGTATGGTTCTAGTTCTGATTCTTGTAGTGAAAACCAGATTGACTACATATTTTTAAAATTTTTAATAAATATTTAACCCCATTGCTAAATTTGTAAGCCTATAACTAATCTTTCTCTAAATCACCTATATTTTTTAGGCCTAATCACTTTCCTTTGCATTAAATTAGGTTCCTTGTGAAATTTTAAAATTCAAATTTTTTTTTTTTAAAACAAAGATTTCAGTCCAAAACCAACTTATGGGCAAATCAGACCGCAATGAAATAATTTTTTTTTTTTTTTTTTTTTTTTTTTTTTTTTAAACCAAACCAAACCAAACCAAATGAATAGTGCTAGTTCCGATTTGAGGTGAGAACCAGATCGTGATAACCCCTAATGAAAACTATGGGATAAACTCGGATATGCTACGATCGAGTGCAATCCAACCCCGATAAATTAGGTCGCAGTCGTCTCCTCCAATCTTCATCCCCAACATTAAGCCTCCATCACCTGGACGATAATTGAGCCATCTCCCACAAACTTGAGCAATTTCCAGCAAAACCCACCCATCTCTTGCCCAAACCATTTCATCACTGATCATATTTCTCCTATGAACTTCTTCATCATAGGTGATCATTTCATCACTGAGATTCTCAACATCTTGTGTTTTTGTTTAGATTGTATGTGAGTTTTGATTATTAAATTCTTTGACAATATTTGAGTAGTTTATAGGTTAGGATAAAGCTCGAATTCACCGGAAAATTTTCATTTTTTCTATAAATATTTGACATACAATATTGGATTTTTTTTCATTTTCTCTTTTACATTTCCTGGGTTTTTGTAATGTTTGAAATCTGTGTGTGTCTGGGACTGCAATTGGGTATATTCTTTGAAGGCCCAATTTTGTCTTTTATAAATTTACAACTGCTATTAAATTTCTAATATCCATTTAAGCAATTAACAGAGCGGAGATGATTAAATTTGTTTAAATTTATATTGATTATGATTATTTATAAATGTATATAGATTATGGTTATTTATAGTATTTTTTTGGATTTATAATTTTATTTTAATTTATGGGAATTTGACTTTTTATCTCTAGGTATTGGAAAATTACTGTTTTTATTTATTTTATTACAAAATTGTTATTTTTCATGTAGAAAAATTGTAGTTTAATTTATTTGTATAAAAGTTCAAACTTAAAATGGCAGGTGTAACTTAATCCAGATTGACACCAAACATAGGATTTGATTGGTGTTATCCACTCCAATCCAATGCAATTCAATCCTACTTCATAATCCAATTCAATCTCGGTCCCCAAACAGACCCAAAAGGTTCAAAAGACATATTAACGACACAGTTAAACCTTATTAATTCCCTTCCAAGCAGTGCTTGAACCTTACTTGAATCTCTTAATTAGCACCAATGTTTGCATAGAGGGATTCAATTAATGTGTAAATAGACATCAGTTCAATCCAAAATCAAATTCAAAAGATATTTAACCCCAATTTATAGACCTTAACTATGTACAAATGGTTCAGTCCTAAGGAAAGAGAGAAAATACTAAGGAACCCCTTGGGGTCAGTGGCCTCTCCCCTCCTCCAACCTCCCCCCTCCTATCCTCCCCTCCCCTCCCCTCTCCTCTCATCTCCTTACCTCCCTTTTCCCCTAGATACTTCTTTGTTATTTTTGTTTTGTGGTGTGAAATCAATAGTTGTGAAACGATGTAGTTGTTATGATAGTTGTCATATTTCAACCCACGTACATGAGAATTTGGCTCCACTTGTCATCCTTCAACATGGTTTGGAGCCACAAGATGGGAAAAATGTAGGGTTGCGTCGCGTTTGGGTTTAACCGGTGACGCTATGACTCTCTTCCGGCTGTCAAGGATGTGGAGTGGTGGCCTTGCTTCTTAATTTTTTTTTGTCTAATAATTTCCACGTTTCCATGAACTGTATAGCAGTTTGATGCGTGTGTGTTTTTTTTAAAATTTAAAAAATTTATGTTTAGGAGGTTTTTATTTCTTTTTAGCTTTTACTGATTTGTCATTTTTGCTAATGCACATCGAATTTTTATTGCAGGTTCGAGTAGGTGTGCTTCTAGTTGCTGAGTTGGGGATTATAGTAATTTTGTGGAGAAGATTCGTGTTGTTGTTACATTTCATCACTGGAGAAGATTTACCATTATTCAGAACCATAATTGCTTTGTACTTTTTTCATAAAAAAAATATTATCGAATATTCAGAAGGCATTTAATTCCCTTTTCTTGAATCATTGGTCATCTATGTTGCACGGGTACACTGATATGATACGATACGATTCACCGATAAGGCAAAATTCCAAAAAACTAGGATACGGGTATAGCATTGATACGGTGATTAAAATAATATATATTTAAAATTAATATAAATAGAAAAAATTAATATTACATCCATCATAAGTGCAAAATTTAAAACTAAACACAAAATACAAGTCTCTATAAACAAAACACAAAATACAAGTCTTCATAGGATTGTTCAAATCATAAGAATAAAAATAAAAAAAGCAACACAAAAACAAATTAAAGCATTGAGAAGCCACTTCTCAAATTTCTAACTTCATTAATCATTGTTGTGGTAACCAAATTAAATCAAAACCCTAGGTCAAATAATTCATTCTATTTGGGGATTATTTGACCTAATTGGGAATTAATCAACCTAATTGGGAGTTACTCAATTTAATTGGGGATTACCTAATTAAATTGAACGTTACCTAATTGAGTTGAGAATTGATTTGATTCCTACCACGATTCCCAATTAAATGAGGAGTTACCTAATTAAAATGGGATTTGATTTGATACCTACCACAATTAGGGATTTGATTTACCCTAATAAATCAAATCCCTAATTAATCAAATCAATTCCAAATAGGGGAGGAATAATTCCCTTCCATCTACGGAATTATTCCTCTCAAACCCTAGCCACCTCTTCTCTCTCTCTCTCTCTCTCTCTCTCTCTCTCATTTACATAAGGCTCTGGCCGCCCGGTTTACACCATAAACACATCTCCGTATCCTAATTAGCTAGTATTTTTCTTACAAACTCTTGAACTAATTTAGGCATCGGAGGGCCTTTGGCCAACACCCCCTGGGTGTGGTCCTCTTATTGGTTCTATTTTGCAGGGAGAAAGAGGCGGCGAAGAAGAAAAGGGAATCTTTCCAATCGAATATTCTCGTGGGGAAATTTGCTCACACAAATTGGTGCTTTCATTGAGAGCACGAGTTATACTCAACGCGTGCTCAAGGAATCCGTTCCTATTATTTTCCAATCCACCAAAGCCTTCCAAACAACCATGGTTGGAAGCAAGAAGACGAGAGGCAAAACCGCCGCGATGGCTAAATCCATGGCGGTCCAAAGCCACTCCACCCACGATCTCGAGATCGACATGGTGGCACCACCACCTCTCACCACCGCACCGACCACTGCCGCCGAACATGGTGGAACCTCCCATCAAGGTGGGCTCGTTACCACCACCGACTTAGGCCTGGTCTTGGAGCAACTTCAAGCATTCCCTCCCTTGCCTCCACGCTCGACGCACGCTCCTGCGTACACCTCCAATGAAACCCTAGCCCGTGTGCAATTGGGCTCCACACACTTCTCTCCTCTCGATCCACAAAGTCAAGCAGATCTTAATCTGAGAGTTGACCAACTAGCTCAGAGAATGGACGACCAAAGCAATCTAATAAGGCAACTCCTCCACCAAATAAGCTTGGCTCAAAACCTTGGCCTTAGACAATCGGGTGAAGAGAGAAGGATGAACGAGTGCATCGGCAGGCAGCTCGATGGGTACCAAGCAGGTCGAGCAGGAGTGAGCAGACAAGGCGAGGGACAACAACATGATCGGCCTGTCGACATGTCGCAAGCATCTGCAAGCCACACTCAGAGCATATTAAGCTTAAGGAACAACGTGCGCGAAAGGCTGGGCCCACGACTTGACATCCGCGCCCGCCTGGGCTTCAAGGAAATGTATATCAAAGGCTAGGCCCCCAGGGAGGTAAGCCAGACAACCATCGCAGCGAAGATCATGAAGAAAGGTGCTCAGCTGTCCACTCGCAGATGAACATTCACGAAAGGCTAGGTCCCCAGGGTGGTCAGCTGGATAACCCTCACAGTGAGGACTATGAGGAAAGGCGCTCCACTACTCACTCTCGAAGAGTTGATTCTCGTCGGCAAGCTACAAAAAATCATTCGCAAGCGCAGTCCACCAACACGCTGCCTAAGCAGCGTAGGAGAGAAGATCGACCTTTGCAGATCAACGAGGAGGTCAATCAGCATTGCCAAAACCGCTAAGGTCGCCAACGTGATCGACCAGCGATGTGTGCGAAAGACGTTGAGAAGCTTGTGAACAACCGACTTTGAGACCTGAAGACCGGTGGGAACGTTGAAGATGCACTACTTAAGGAGATGGACCAGGCGAACTCTACGCCTTTCACCCCTGAAATTGAGCAGGCTGCTCCCCCGAAGAGATTCTCAACGCCTTCGTTTACGCACTTCAAATGGGACTCCGGTCCCGAGAGCCACCTAAAACACTTCAAAAGTGTCATGATTCTCCACAAGGCTGACGACGCGCTGATGTGCAAGGTATTTGTAATGACCTTGCGAGGAGCAGCCTAAGACTGGTTCCACACTCTACCATCCAGGTCGATCAGCAGCTTCAAGGAGTTGGCTTACGTCTTCATCAAAGAATACACCTCTTACCGGACGATCAAGAAGAACCTTGACCACCTGTACAACCTGTGCAAGAAGTCTGACAAATCCCTTCGAGATTACATCAACAGATTCAAAGCAGAAAAGGCCAACATTGTAGGATGTGACGACCGAATCACCTCATTTGCTTTCAAGAAAGGCTTTCTAGCTGAACACGACTTGTACCGCGAGCTGACTAGACAGGGAAGTGGGGAGTCTCCGAGGAAGGGGCCAAGGAAAATAGAACAGGTTCGGAACGCTACGCGCTCTGGGATGACGATCTAATCGCTGCAAAAAAGTCTATTAAGCAAGAAGATCAGCTGACTAAGCAGGCAGGCCAAAGAACCGAAGGGTTTAGCAACAGGAACAAGGACAAGCGCAGGTCACACCCACAGGGGGATGCTACGGCAGGAGAGAACTACACTAAGTTCGCCATCCCCATACATCAAATCTTAGCCCAAGTGAAAGACAAACATTGGGTAAGAAGACCACCACCCTTGAAAGGAGATCCAGACAAGAGGGATACTAGCAAATATTGTGCCTTTCATGGGATGTACGAGCATACTATGAACAACTGCTTCACTTGGAAAGCGCACCTTGAAGAACTCATGAGGGAAGGTCACTACACAGAATTCATCACGAAGCAGGCCATCCAGCGAATTGAAGATCAAGATACCGCCAAGGAGCTGCCCCAGAAGGTCATAAGGATTAACACAATCCTAGCTAATGCTGAGGAATCAGGGCTGACCAGGAAGGAAAAGAAGATGAAGATCAAACAGGACAATCCCTGGGTGCTGTGTCGGCCAGATTAACAGCGATCAGGCAATGACAAGGAAATGCTCTGCCCAAGGGCTAAAGAAAAGCAAACAAACGCAGTTCCTCCCTGTGAGCCAGCCAGATCTGAAGGAGGTTGAACAACCGAATCTTGCTCTCTTATACCAATCAAAGCGTCAAGACCAAGCCCAGGAAATCTATCTAGAGGACTTTCCTGAAGAAGGATGGAAACTGAGGAGGACGTCGAGTTAATACCCTTGGATCCTGACCAGCCAGACAAAAAAGCGCGGATCGGCTCGCACCTAAGCCCATACGAGAAGGTGGAGCTTACCATATTCCTCCAGAACAACAAAGACATGTTTGCAGGGTCGCCGTCAGACATGCTTGGCATCGACTCGAACATCATCTGTCACCAACTCCACGTCAACCTTGCATGCAAGCCAGTGGCGTAGAAGAGACGCAACTTCGCACCCGAGCGAGTTGCTATCATCGAAGCTGAGATTGACAAACTCCTAGCTGCCAGCTTCATTGAAGAGGTCTCCTACTTAGAGTGGCTCGCCAACGTTGTTCTGGTGGCAAAACAAGAGAAGGGCAAGTGGAGAGTCTGCGTCAATTACACCGACCTCAACAAAGCATGCCCTAAAGACAACTTCCCATTGTCGAGAATCGACCAACTCGTGGATTCCACTTCTGGCAATCAGCTGCTCAGCTTCATGGATGCCTACTTTGACTATAACCAAATCCTGATGCACGAGGATGATAAGGAGAAAACCTCTTTCATCATCGAGAGGGGGACCTACTGCTACAAGGTTGGGCTAAAGAACGCTGGAGCAACCTATCAAGGGCTCGTGAATAAAATCAAAGCTATGGAAGTCTACATGGACGACATGCTGGTCAAGGCCCCAAAGCGTGAAGATCACATCAAAAACATCGCTGAGGCATTCAGCCTGCTCGGCCCATATCACATGAAGTTGAATCCAAGTAAATGCACATTTGGTGTATCCTCTGGCCGATTCTTAGGATACCTAGTTACACAACGAGGTATAGAGGCACACCCACGTCAAATCAAAGCCATTCTCGAGATGAAGTCACCTTCCACAGTGAAGGAAATACAAAGTCTGACAGGTAGAGCAGCGACCCTTAACCGATTCATCTCGAGATCTACCGACAAGTGCAGACCATTCTTCAAAGCTTTGAAGAAAGGACAAAAAGACAAATGGGATGAAGAGTGTGAAGTAGCTTTCCAGAATCTGAAGACTTACCTCACTTCACCTCCTTTGCTCTCAAAGCCCGTTCCTGGTGAAGATTTGTTCGTGTACCTGGCAGTGTCCAACTCAGCCATCAACTTAGCTCTCATCTGAGAAGAGCTGGGGGCCCAACATCCGGTATTCTACACGTCAAAAGCTCTCCTCGATGCAGAAACTTGCTACTCGAAATTGGAAAAGCTCATTTTGGCCCTTGTAGTTTCCGCGAGAAAGCTGCGACCCTATTACCAAGCTCACCGAGTCATTGTCATGACCGACTTTCCTTTAAGATCAATCCTCCATAGCCCTGACGCTTCTCAGCGACTCATGAAGTGCGCTATAGAGCTAAGCCAATATGACCTCTTCTATAGGCCAAAAGCTGCAATAAAAACCCAGGCTTGAGCAGACTTCGTAGTAGAATTCACCCCATCAGTCGAAGAAGAGAAATTGGTCAACAAAAAGAAGGAAAGTTCAAAAGCAGACGGGACCTCCGCTAAACCAAGCCAACCCAGTGACATGTGGCAATTGCGCGTAGACGGAGCGTCGAACTGAAAGGGAGCTGGAGCGGGTGTCGTCATCACCACACCAGATGGAACCCTGTTGGAGCAAAATATTACGCTTGGCTTCCCGGTTTCGAACAACAAGGCAGAATACGAGGCATTGCTCGCCGACCTGCGCTTGGCAAGAGAACTCGCAATCAAGAAACTAGGCATATACTCATATTCCTAGTTGATCACGAATTAAGACTCAGGTGAATACATGGTGAAGCACCCAAAGATGATCTTATACCTTGACAAAATCCAAGAGCTATTGAAGGCGTTTCATACCTTCACCATCCAACAAGTACCTCAGGTAGAGAGCGCGCATGCAGACTCACTGGCCAACTTAGGGTCAGCGCTAGATACCTAGTTCAGACGCTCCATCCCGGTTGAACACCTTGACTAACCAAGCATTAAAGAAATAGAACCAATCGACACAATGCAGATTGACGAGGACCCCAGCTGGCAAGACCTCATCATCGACTACTTGATGAATGGAAACCTGCCATCGGACAAGTCCGAAGCTAGAAATGTCCAGCAGAAGGCTGCTAGATACTATATGCATGGCAACAAGCTCATCTGCATATCATACTCCGGCCCTCATCTCACCTGCATATAGTACCCTCAAACACTCAAGATACTACATGCATGGCAACCACTCTGGGAGCAGGTCATTTGCCCAGAAAACTCTAAACATAGGCTACTTCTGGCCTATCATGCACCACGACTCTGCTAAATATGTTAAGAAGTGTGATCACTGCCAGCAATACAAGCCGATCCCTAACCTGCCTGCCGAAGTTTACCATCCGCAAAATAGTCCATGGCCATTCATGCAATGGGCCATCGACCTAGTGGGTCCCTTGCCACCGGCACTGGCCAAAAAAGACTTGATGATCGTCGCCACCGACTACTTCACTAAATGAATCGAGGCTGAAACTCTATCCTCTACTAAAAAAGTCGATGTGGAGCAATTCATCTAAAGAAACATCATCTGCCGGTTTGGCTGCCCACAGTTGCTGGTTACCGACAATGGCTCACAGTTCATTGGCAAGCAAATAACCGCAAAATAGTTGCCCATAAGCAGCGTCCTTCGGGAGAGGCAGCCCGTAAGAAGCGTCCTAAGGGAGACGCAGGGTGTGCCAGGAATTTATTAAAGGGAGGTCTCCATGCCTCCTGCGGGAAGTATCTAGGTTCCTATCCGTTTCCTAAATTAGGCAAGATAGTCATACAGTTGTCCATAAGGAGCGTCCTCAGGGAGATGTAGGGTGACGACCAGAAGCGTCCTTCGGGAGATGCAGCCCTTAAAAAGCGTCTTAAGGAAGATGCAGGGTGTGCCAGGAATTTCTTAAAAGAAGGTCTCCACACCTCATGCAGGAAGTATCCAGGTTCCTATCTGTTTCCTAAGGAAGGCAGGATAGTCACACAGTTGCCCATAAGTAGTATCCTTCGAGAGACGTAGGGTGACGACCAAGGCATCCTACGGGATGTGCAGAACACGCCCGGAGTCCCTTAAGGGGGACCCTGACACTCGCCAACTTCCTAAGGGGAACCATCCTAAGGGATATGCAGAACACGCCCGGAGTGCTCCAAGGGGGACCCTGACACTCATGAGTCTCCGAAGGGAGATATGCAATCAAGACACAGGCTGGTTACTTAAGCAGTTCACAAATCAATATGCAAATTGAAGTGAAAAAATAAACTAAAATTTCCATAACAAGCTGACTAATCGGCCAAGTTCAACAAAGAGAATATGGTCAAATAAGACAAATTATTCTAAGCAAGAAAGCAAACTACAAAAGCTAAAAAGAAACAAAGAAGTCTTCATCTACTCAGGGACGCCAGCAGGAGACCTCTGAGCTGCAGCCTCTTCGGCCTCCGCCTGATCAGCTACTCCTTTAGCGGCTCCATCTGCTTGCTCCGCGACATTTGCCATCATCTCATCTATTGCTTCCTCCTCTGCTTCATCCTCTCCGGCTGCCTGCTCTTCAGTTCCTCCTTCCACAAGGGGTGAGTCGGGGCAGAGTGTCTCGATGTCTATGTCGTCAATTGCATACAAGGGAGTAGTCTCATCTGCGCAGTGCAAGTAGCCCAACTTGTACACATCAATGATGGCTTTAGACTTGGATTTTTCTGCAGACTTGTGGTATGCATGAAATCTAGCCAGGAGCTTGTCATAGCTAAGGGAGATGTCAGCATTCTTAAGCTCAAGACAAAAGAAGGCATCTTTTCGACTAACCAAATCAGCGGCAAGAGAGTTTAGTTCAGAATCCTTCTCGGTAAGGGAGCTTTTCAACTCAGATATCATCACCCTCAAATCAGACGTCTTCTTCTCATAACGGGCCTGCTCGGTGGAAAGCTGGCTGGCCAATTCAGCGTTCTTCTTCTCCAACTCACTGAGCTAGGCAGAAGAGGGGGCAACAGTAGATGAGTTTCAGATAGTCTCAGCAACAAAAACCAATTCTTTTTGAATCAGATGGAATGTTGCTTCCCTTTGTTTTTCCAAGGAAAGGCTCGAGAAAGTGTCAAGATCGCCGGCCTAATGGATGTGATCAACCAACTCAACACAGGAAGACGGGTTTGATAGGAGGTTCTTCTTCAGCATATCAGACATGCTTGCATCCCCTGCAGGGCTGGACTTGTCCACTTTGGGATCAGCCACTGAAGTTGCAGAAGAGCCATTCGCCCGGGGAGATGACTCTCTCGTCTTCTTAGCTGCCTCCATCCTCACCTCCAATGAAGTCAATGATGCTGAATCACCTCCAAGCTTGAATGCTCGTGACTCAACAGCTAGATCATGAGCAGACTTCCCGCTTCAATTTTCATCATTTTACTAATGCAGACAACTCGAACTTCGAAGAGGAATATTTGCATCTCTTTGACACTCGGCAGAACGAGATAGGGCATGAGCTATTCCAGGAAGCAGATCATGGTTTTCAAGCTTGTCAACATGAGACTCGGGTAGAGCACCCCGAACAGTGCGCATACCACCAACATTCCTACTATCTACACAAACAAGATGTTTAACCCTGGTAGATGACGATGAAACAGCTCTCACTTGGGTCTTCTCAGCAGAAGGGATCCTTGGCTTCTTCCTCAATGGGGAAGCATCTTTCGCCAGCGAATTCGCAGCTTCATTTCTTGAAGACTTGACATCAGCTTTTCTTTTTTAAAGGGAGTCCGGCAGAACTCTCCTCTTGCCCAGCCAGCAAATCATCCAAGTCTGGACCATTATGCTTCCATCTCTCAATATCCTAGGCAGGGAGCAAACCACCAACTTCCTCCGGATACCCACTTAGCTGACGAGGCCCAACGCATGAGGCCAAACCTGTGAAGACCTGCGATGATAGGCAGTAGCTGGTCCATCTGCGCGCACCTGCCCCACCACAACTGCCGCCCACTGCCAACCGTCGCATGTCACGACAACAACTAGCCGGACTTCCCCCAGCTGACCTTCGCCACAAAAAAGAAGAAAAGAAGAAGAAAAAGAAATATACGTGCTCGACTTACCTTGGGATGCACGACGACTCCTCTCTTCGACAAGCAGTACAAATTCTCCAAGATCTATCTCAAGCTAGAAAGTAGAGAAGTTAAGTTTGTGATGTGAAGAGGAGTGAAGAGAAGCCCTACATTTACACAGGTTGGGCATCCTAGGTCAAGAAGGAATTGCAAGGCCATCCCTATTGGGAACCCAACTCCAAGAACAGTCAAAAGCTCACTTCAATTGGGAACCCAATCTGCAAAAAGAGTCCAAATCCAAGAAGGAAGCCTAGTTACAGCTGGACAGCCCAACAAATAATTCACATCTCCTACATGCCACCGCGCACCATGCAGAAGCTGGGGGGCATTTGTGGTAATCAAATTAAATCATAACCCTAGGTCAAATAATTCATTCCATTTGGGGATTATTTGACCTAATTGGGAATTAATCAACCTGATTTGGAGTTACTCAATTTAATTGGGGATTACCCAATTAAATTGAACGTTACCTAATTGGGTTGAGAATTGATTTGATTCTTACCACGATTCCCAATTAAATGAGGAGTTACCTAATTAAAATGGGATTTGATTTGATACCTACCACAATTAGGGATTTGATTTACCCTAATAAATCAAATCCCTAATTAATCAAATCAATTCCAAATAGGGGAGGAATAATTCCCTTCCATCTACGAAATTATTCCTCTGAAACCCTAGCCTCCAAGACCACTATAAAAAGATAGCCACACACAAGGGTTGAGGTACGTCTAAAATCTCTACTAAAACTTTGCAGAAAAACCCTAGCCACCTCTTCTCTCTCTCTCTCTCTCTCTCTCTCTCTCTCTCTCTCTCTCTTTTACATAAGGCTCCGGCCGCCCAGTTTACACCATAAACACATCTCCGTACCCTAATTAGCTAGTGTTTTTCTTACAAACTCTTGAACTAATTTAGGCATTGAAGGGCCTTTGGCCAACACCCCCCCAGGTGTGGTCCTCTTATAGGTTCTATTTTGCAGGGAGAAAGAGGCGGCGAAGAAGAAAGGGGAATCTTTCCAATCGAATATTCTCGTGGGGAAATTTGGTCACACAATTGTCATCACAAGTAAATATGATTGCTTGTAATTCCTTCTTCCTATTTCTTCTTCTTTTATAGTTATTCTTTGTTGACGTGAGTCTCCTAATTAATCAAGGAGATTTATTTCCTTGATTAATTAAAGGATTTACTTTCTTTAGGAGATACTATCCTTATGGAGAAGAATAAAACCTAACCCAAAGTATTCAAACCATATTCATATTTTAGCATGCTATTAGTGCAATCGATCCAAGGTATTTCTCATATTCAAATCCAACACCCTAAATCAAATTCCTCATATTTTTCCTCAAATCCAAATTCCACATCCGGATTCTGTATTACTTGTTCCATCTTTGGACCATAACTTGCTATCTGTTGCACAACTTACTACTACTTTGAGGTGTACTGTAACATTTTGACCGAATCATTGTGTTTTTCAAGACATCCTCACAGGAAAGACAATTGGTTGTGGTACTCGACGGGGCAAACTCTATTACTTAGACTGGGCACCAGATAGTGAGGTCAAGGTTGGTCAAGCCTTCACAACCAGTGGAACTCATTCTGAGGGGGAGAGAGAGACAAAATTTGGTTATGGAATAAACTTCTTGGGCATGCCTCGTCGGTTATCTTAAGAAGTTGTTTCCATCGTTATTTTCCAGTCTTGATGTTTCCAGCTTCCAGTGTGATACTTGTGAATTGGCTAAGAGCCATTGTGTCCCGTTTCCATTAAGTTCAAATAAGAGTTTGGTTTCGTTTTCCCTTGTTCATTTTGATGTTTGGAGACCTATTAAAATTGCCACTCCGACAGGGGCGCGATGGTTTGTCACGTTTATAGATGATTGGCACACGCATGACTTGGGTTTACCTTCTCCAAACTAAAAGGGAAGTCAGTTCCAGGTTTCAACAGTTTTATCAAATGGTGGAGACTTAGTTTCATGCCAGAATTCAGTTTCATAACCCTAAACAAGAATGCTTGGATGTAAGCCTGCTGACATACCCATTGAGATGAATCACAAGTTGTGTGAAGACATGGACCAAGAACCAACCAATAAGGAACAGTACCAACGCCTTGTTGGACGGTTGATATACCTGGCACACACAAGACCAGATATTGCATATGCTGTGAGTGTGGTTAGTCAGTTTATGCATTCACCCAGTGTTTCTCATATTTATAATGCAGTTGATCGGATCTTAAGATACTTAAAGTCAGCCCCTGGGAAAGGATTAATGTTCTAAAAAATGGAGATCTTGAAGTTGGATACAGATGTTGATTGGGTTGGTTCCATTACAGATAGACGCTTTACTGCCGGTTACTTTACATTCATAGGAGGTAACCTAGTCACTTGGTGAAGTAAAAAGCAAAATGTGGTGTCTCGGTCTAGTGCAGAAGCAGAGTATCGAGGAATGGCTCACGGAGTTTGTGAATTATTGTAGATCAGAAGACTCTTGACAGAATTGGGCTTCAAGCCAGAAAAGCCAATGGAGTTGCATTGTGACAACAAATCAGCTATCAATATTGCCCATAATCCAGTTCAACATGATCGAACCAAACATGTTGAGGTGGATAGACATTTTATCAAAGAAAAAATTGAGAAGAAGATCATCTGCCTACCATTTGTAAAATCAGAAGATTAATTGGCAGATATCTTAACAAAAACTGTTTGTGGCAGAGTATTTCATGACTCACTTACCAAGTTGGGCATTGGTGACATATATGCACCAACTTGAGGAGGAGTGTTGACGTGAGTCTCCTAATTAATCAAGGAGATTTATTTCCTTAATTAATTCAGGGATTTACTTTCCAATTCTATATAGTTGACAAATTATTGTATAATTAGGAGATACTATTCTAATTGATTAATGTATCTATTTCTTTGTAAAGCACTCATGTAAACTCCTATATATACCTCCTTATGGAGAAGAATAAAACCTAACCCAAAGTTTTCAAACCATATTCATTTTTTAGCATTCTCTCCCAAATGAAATGAAGACCTAGCTTCTATCAAGAAGAATTAACATTATCAGAAGACAATAGGAGTATCGACATATCGGATACGAGTATCGGAGTATTAGATATGAGCACACCCCTCTAGTTAAGAGTATCGGTGCAACATAGTTGGTCATTAAGGTCTACAAGAATCGATTAAATGTCTTTCCAACGATCAAGTTTTTTTTCTAGTTTTTGGAAATACTTAATAGTGTTGTTTTTGTATCCAAGTTATTTTAGTTATGTGAGACAAATTGTATAGAAAAGTGATAAAGTTTTTTCTAGTTTTTGGAAATACTTAATAGTGTTGTTTTTGTAGCCAAGTTATTTTGGTTATGTGAGACAAATTGTATAGAAAAGTGAGAAGTAGAGAAAGAAAATAGAAATTGTTCTTAAAAGTATCTTTTGTGCTTCATAAAGCACCTGTACTGGTAATTACCATAATAAGTGTATAGGTTACAAAACATAGAAATTGTGGAGATTATATGAATGTTATGGTGGTCACTTACATTCTATATTGTTTACCTGAACTCTACCTACTTGAATAAAGAAATGTATCAAAGATTGGTTGGACAATTGATTTACTTGTCACACACACCTCGTGGCATATATTGTGAGTGTGGTTTAGTCAATTCATGCATGCTCACAGTAAAGATCATGCAAATTATGTAAGTCATTTATATACTTAAGTAAAGATGAAGACTGGAAAAGATGAAGATTAAAAGCATCTTAAATCAATCCCACTCAAAATTTAATCAACAATGTCTCATAGACCACATACATATCCACCCGAGCAAATGTAGTGGTTATACGAAATGAAGACTTATCTTTGGCTATATGATATCCCACAACTTTCTTTTCCTCTCTTCTCTTATCTTTTCACACAAATATACATTTATACTATATATGGTACAATAATTAGTAATATTTGGGTTAATTCTAAATTAGGGAATGTAGGAAACAACTACTATCTTGCCTTGGACAATTGTATAGCTTCTTGATCATGTGTAGACTCTTCAGCCCAGGCAAACTGGTGATGAGACAGGAGTGAGAATTCGCGATTCCTTACATCCTCAAGCTGCTCCCACTCTGCCCATCTCTCTGCTAGATCCACTCCCTGCAGCAATCTAACCACTTGTGCCATTGTCGGACGGTCCTCGGGTGAGCTTTGAGTGCAAAGCAATGCAACCTGAATGACAGTCTCAACCTCTTTTGGATCGTGCATCTTCATGTTTCCATCCACAATGTCATCAAGCCTATTTTCTCTCTGCAGCTTCTTGATCTGTTGAGATCATATTTACATAATTTAATTAAGACATCAAATAGGAAGCAGCAACAAAGCATTGAAGAAGACTGTATTTGCAAAAAACTTCAATGTGGTTGAAACTTGTTTCCAAAATATCGAGCTACATTGGAACCCGAGCAAGATTGAAGTTAAAGGTGACAATTTACACAGGCATCATGGAAAATGTCAAACAAGAATTATCTACGACTAGTTTCTTAGATAAAATTAATCCCTAGAAATGAACATAAGCTGATTCTTACTAGACTATATAATAGTTAAGAGTTAGAAAGCCCCCTCCGCCCTCTCTAAGAAAATTTGGCGAACCCTATAACAGTTCCCTAGCCATCCCGCCTACTCCTCCAAAATAAGGTGTAGCTGCTACTTGTTCCCCAAGAAACACCATAGTCACAATCACATCACACACTCTCATGATGATCAATTGAGCATAAATATATTGCAGTTAAGTTTCTTTAGCCCAAATTAAGTACTGCTTGTAACACTCTCATTCACCCAATGTTAGACAAGGTCCCAGCCCAAATCTATGCAAATATTCTACATATCTAAAGTCGCCTGGGATTTTTGGAGCATGCCATGCCTGACAATCTTCTTTCTAGCATCTCCATTCAATCCTGCCAATTTGTGGTCTTGTGACTTCCTCCTCATAGTATTATCCCTAGCCTAGAGAAAAGGTTCCATTGACCCATAATTTCTACTACTAGTTCATAAAATTGAATAGTGGCATGCTCACCAACTAAAAGGGGTAGACATCCTTTTCTAACAATCCCATGAAGGATTATATAAATCTTCAGAGAGAGGCAGAGAAAACTTGAGAAATGAACTAATTATGTACTCGCTCATCAATTATGCACATCGATTATCAGGGAGAAAAAAAGCAGAAAAGCAAAAAACTTGACAAACTAACTGATAGAAGATAGAAGATAAAAGATAAAAGCTGCCATAAAGGAGAGGTACCATTTTAACAGATAAGAATCCCGTCAAGTATAGATATGTCCAAAGAGTTCAGGAAGTCATATAGGAGACTATAAATCTTACATGATCAAGCAGAAGAACATCCTCCTCTTCTTCAAGCCGAGCAAAATCTATAGCACGCTGACCAGTGACAAGTTCGAGAAGTGTGATACCATATCCAAAAACATCAGTCTTTTCTGACGATTTTCCAGTGGACAAATATTCTGGGGCAATATGACCCATGGTACCACGCACTTGAGTGGTAACGTGAGTTGATTTGTATCAACCAGCTTTGCTAGCCCAAAATCTCCAAGAACGGGCTCAAAATTATCATCTAGAAGAATGTTTGCAGCCTTTAAGTCACGGTGTATAATCTTAGGATTACAATGCTCATGTAAATACTCTAAGCCATGGGCTGCACCAAAAGCGATGCGTTTCCTTGTTGACCAGTCCAAGCCTTTCTCACCAGGTTTTAAATCTAACACATATATCAGGAAGAAAATGTTATGAATTAAAAATATTGAACAGTAGATATATGAGAATCATGATATGCCATTCCAAAGAATTAAGTGATGATTAACCTTCAAATGAACAAGCATAAAATACAAATGATGTAAATCCCATCTCCCCTCTTAAGAAGTAGGGAGGGGGGTTGATGTTCAGGATGTCCTTACTTGAATATTGAGTTGGTTGAAGAAAATAGAAATTTGGATTTGGGAATTTGAATCACAAAATGGTGGTTATATATCAATTCGTGCGATGAAAGACCTCCTCCATAAGTATGGGCTGGAAGGTGAGGTTGACCGTACGATACCTAATGGGTGTAAGTAAAATTACCAAGAAAAACAACAAAGGAAGTAGGGATTAGGGAGCATCTCAGAAAAAATTTCAAAGATGGTACCTCATGTCATAATATGTTGCAGAATTCTATTGCTAAATTAAACCACGAAAACAGAAGTAAAATTACAGGCTCTCAAATGAAACAGAACTTGGCAACAGCAATGATTTTTTCTTTTTTCTTTTGGGACTGAAGACTGAATTAGGGCTTCTAATCACTTACCAAGCACAAAAAGAAGTTCAAACCATGGTTGTAAAACATGCCCGTGTTCCGAGCCACTCACACTGAAAAATGCAAAGGGGAAATAGAAAAGTAAACTTAAGCAATGCTCTTTTAGGACATACCTCTCAAGCGATACGCAACACTAAGATTTTTCATGAATGGATAAACAAGGATTCTCTCGGATGAAGTTGTACAAAATCCAATCAACCGTAAAAGATTCTTGTGAACTGCAACACTAATGAGTTGTACTTCTCTCAAGAATGCAGCCTCTCCACCAGGACTGTTATAATCTGTAAGGCGTTTCACTGCAACCTTTACATTGTCTGAGAGGACACCTTTATAAACTCTTCCAAAGCCTCCTTGTCCAATTATGTTGCTTTCATCGAAGTTATCTGTAGCAAGCTGAATTTCACGCCAAGAAAATCTTCTTAACTGGCCAAAGGAAATTTTGCACTCATCTTCACCTAAAATTACATTAAAATAAGAAAAGGGGGTGGAGTAGATATTAGTTTGACAAGATTGTGTAGCTCGTGATGTGACTTCAGGCATTTGGACTTTTGAATACAGATTAAATGAATACATAAATCAAACTTGGTAAGTGATTATTTACACATCTGACTTACAAAGGGTGGGGATCGATTCTAACTTAACTAGATTGAGATGATTTCAAATTTAAATTTCCATAACGATGCTTGGTACAAACTGAAAGTGATCTCAAAAGTAAAAGGTAAGGAAAATTTACCTGTAACATCAACAAAGACATCATTTGTTAGTTTGTGCGTGCGATAATATCGATAAGCGAAAAGAGCCCCAATCAAAAGAATTACTGTTACACCACAACTTGCCGAAGTTATAACCGTTCCAAGTTTTGATTTCTCGGTTGAAACTGCCAAATTTTAAAATATTAGGTTATTCCTAGGTAATTCAAACATAGTTGGTAAACTGAAATAGTAGAGTTGTACAAAGAATAAACCTCGGAGAACAGAGCCAGAAGCACAAGGCTGCTTCAAGCTAGAACCACAAGCAAGACGTGCTCCTGTAAAACTATAAGGACAAAACAATTAATAGCAAACCATTAAGGATATATAATATAACTACTGGACAAGTATACAGTAAGTTGCAAATTATAGAATGTAGACGCAATGCTGAAGGAAAATATTATAATAACGGAAAGGTCATCTAGAATCAAATTACACAACATTGGAACCAAAGGAGTTTATGCCATTTTTTATTATAATAAGTAGGAATTTAAGCATTTGAAAAATAATATATATACATCCAAAATGATACTTGTGCTTGATGAAACTATTATAAGTGGCAGTCCAGAAGTCAGATCCTATACCTCCAACTTACTGTAATAGAAGAAGTAAACTCGTCTCTTAATGACCATAGCACCATTTCATGATAAAGACATTATCATACATCTTTAGTGCTGGAACTCTCTCAAACGTCTTACTTAGAATTCTAGATTTTTAATGGGCTGGTCAGCCCGGTCCTACACCAACAGTAGGGGTGGGCGAAACCAGACTGAACCAGACCGAACCGGCTGGTTTGGTTAGGATTTTGACAAAAATTAAGGTCAAACGGTTCAAAACCCAGCTCAGTTCAGCTGGTGGTTTCAATTCCCTCAGGAACGAGAGAACATAACCGAATCGATTCCCACTCTTTTTATTAATTCCACCCGTATCCCTCCTATAAATCATCTTTTTCCACTAGCTGTAGCCACATAAACCTGTCTCTCCAGTGAAGGAATTAAACAAAGACATTCTTTGCATAACTCCTTTAGCATGCAGACAAACACAAATAAGGATGTATTTAAAAATAATATATATTATATGAGTATGATATATATCCAATTTTCTATAACACGGCTAACCGTACTTGCGGATAACCAAGGTTGCCCGGCCAGTGCATCTTGGTAAACTAGCCGTGCAAAATCTGGTTATCCACAAGTGTGGTTAACCATATTATAGAAACACGGATGTATATAAGTAATCCCCATTAACTCTCTTACAATAAGAATTCGTAATTATTGCTGATGCCAATACATCAATACAAGGGAATATAAAAGGAAATGAGAATCAGAGTTTAATGGGATTTACTTGAATTTTGGAATTGTAAAGAATTGCATTGGAACTCTTCCGGTTAACTCATTCGATGAAAGATCCCTGCCCAAAAAAAAAAAGGAATTTATAAATGGTAAAGAATTTCACACAGTGTGCAAGCTCAGATGGGCATGCAATTATATTTAGGCAATAATTCAAACGGCAGGATTGCGAAAAAAAGGAATTGCTTACAGTTCAGTCAACCCACTTATATTTGAAAGTGAATCCGGAATATGTCCAGATATGTGGTTACCCCTCAATACCCTGAAGCACAGGTGAGATGATTAATTTTTCTTTTCTGGAGAACAGGAAAGTGTTCACAAGATAGTACTTTGCAATATAAACAGTTGTAGAACACTCAGATAAGACAACAACATAAGTAACTGCTACAGATCAAGGCAATTCCCCAATAAATACAAGAACGTTTTACATATATAGAAGAATAAGAAAGTTGGAATCTTTTAGGAATGGAAATGCAGCCTTACAAATGCTTTAAATTGGACAGTTGACCCCAGGTATTGGGTATAGGACCTCTGAAATTATTGTTTGCAAGATTTAGATTCTGTAGATGTGTCATGTTGGCAAGATAAATGGGTAACAGGCCTGTTAGACTATTATCCTGGAAGTCCCTGCATAAATAAAGTTATTTTATCAAAATTCATGACCGGATGCAAAAAAATATATTCTTCAGAATTAAACAAACAAGAACTACAATAATGAAGGCGTTGGTATTATATTCCACTTTTTTCTATGACTCAGTTGACAGTATGTAAAGTTACAATGATAAAGGGAAAACTTAAATTCTCCCTCTCTCTCTCTCTCTCTCTCTCTCTCTCTCTCTCTCTCTCGGTACCAGAGCACAAACTAGTGATCCAAATCAGGTTTCAGCCAATGGAAATAGTTATGTTACATTTTCTGACACCATCAGCCCCATAATACTAATGCATCAAGAAGTTGACTTACAGGCTAGCCAAAAATTTCAGTTTAGTAATCGAAGGAGAAAGCGTTCCAGAAAATCCATTTGATGCCAGGCTCCTGCAAAGTAGTACATTCACAAACTAATGTACTGCAATGATAAATGATTTTCAAAGATGGCGATATTAATAAAATATATATTTTTCATGATCATAAAAGTTAGTTTAACTTACAGGGATATGACATTTCCATTTCTACAAGTGACATGAGACCAGCTAAAACAGGGGCTAACGAGATTATAATTCCAATCTGTTATTCGGCCACTGGAATCATTCAGTGCCCTAAGCAAATCGATCAATGCTTCGCCTGCACATTATTATCGTAAGTGAAGAACGAAATTGTATGTAGAGCCATAAATGGCTGGTGAAAAGAACTTCTGTTTATATTACAATTCTGACAAATTAAAAATTAAAAATTCTTGGGCTTTTTCATATATGTCATTCACTTAGACTAGTTATCAAGATTGAAAAATAGATGACAACGCTCTTAACTAAGTAGTGAGAAAAGTATCACTTAAATCATATCCGCATTGATAATTTCAGAAACAACCTCATTTTACAACCAGAAATAAATCTTGCTTAAAAACAAATAAAAGTTAGATATCACCATACCTTCAACATCTGGATCTGTAGATGCAAAACTGACTCTTAACAAAGTGAGTAACATTAGCCAATTTATGATTGGCTTTAAAAGATGCCAGCTAGAAAATGCTCCAGACATGTCTCCTGAACTACCGACGATTATTCACCCACACACCTCTAGCCTCTTTATGGGAAGACTGCATAAATAATATTTTTAAAAAAGCATTTTCAGTTGAGAGTAGAAGAGATTCCTGCCTGGAAAGCAAAGAATTTTTTTTATAATTGTACAGATGGAACTTAATACATCTACTACAATGAAGGAGAGGGGAAATACACATGTTTTGGGGGTAAAATCCACAACAGAATTAATAAAATATAAAATCAGCGCATTATGTTCTGGGGAAAATACACATGTTTTTGGGTTCATTCCTGTAACAACTACTTCTGTTTATGCTGTTGACATTGCTTACCCTCATAACTTGTGGGGCCTTTTCTGGACCACAAGCATTTGTTACCTTTGGTACTAGCCCTGCAATCTAGTAGCTCAATGTTTTAGGATTATGTATCCCAGCTCTCATCTACTGACTTGATTTTGGACATGGAATATTATGTAACAATACGATTATGAGAATTTTATTTTTTCTATAACTCTTATGTTATACTGATTTGGAATTTTTTGTCCACAAGTTTGCTATTATAGTAATTTGATTTTGGACATTGATGTACTAACTATGCAATAATAGGATTGCATGATCTCCTTTCTACAAATTTGCAGTTATAGTGTTTGGGATTTTCTAAATGTTAATTCTCTGCGTGGAAGTATTTATGAGACTAGGAGTTCTTGCAGTGATCTAAACTCACTTCAAAGAAATGATGTGACCAGAATTCCAAGTAGTTCACCTCAAGTGCACTTAGAAACCCAGAAAATTAGAAATCATTTTGGTATTCAACCCGAGATTAAAGCTTCCTCGAAGGTGAATGAAATTTTCATATGCAACCTGAAAAGAAAACCCTTTTGGAATATCATTGCCTCTTCAGACAGAGTAACCTAAAACAGTCATTCTAGACACCGCCAATTTCTGTTGGCTGAAGAGGAGAATATGAGTTTTTACAATCAGACCCAGTCCCAATTTCTAATACAACCCAACCCAGATAATTGAAATATAGTTACAATATAAATAATGAAAAACAAAACAAAACAAAACAAAAATAAAATAAAATGGAACATACAAAACTAAAAAAAGTGAAAGAAAACAAGAACTTACTAGTTTCAGCCATGGCTGTTGCAACCCACCAGGAAACAAGATAGCATGGCTCAAGAAGGAGAAGAAGTTAAATAATGTGATTATTGTTATTATTATTGTTGTGATCATGATTGATTGTGAAGATATGAATTGAGTGCTGCTGGGTTAGTGCAAGGGTCCACAAGGCACTGAGAATAAAAAATAAAAAATAAAAAAAATAAAAGGTGGGAAGAATGAAGAAAGAGGAATTTGGGAAGGCCAGTGGCAGAGAATAATATGAGAGAGAGCTACTTGGGGTTGGACTAGGGGGTTATGCTGCTGTGGAGTGTGGAGTTTGGAATGTGGAATAAGAATCAGAATCCCACTAATTACTGGGTCACTGGGCTTTAAAGTGATAACAACCATTATCTTGTTTTCTTTTATTCAAATAACAGCCATTTGGCCTTATCAGAATGTCTTTTAGATGCAATTGCAGTGTTAAGTCACCTCGCATGATTGTTTGGTAAAGTCGTTTTTACATTTCATGGCAATGTAAAATCTGTTCTATGTTTGTGCAAGGGAAATTACCCTTACAGGACAAGTCCTATATGTTCGAATTTGTCTTCCTCCGAAGATAGTGTGTCCGCCTCCTTGTTCCCGAGTTCGTCACGTAAATTAGAGTAATTTAGTATATTATCGCTTTTATTACACAATTTTAGTTTTTAAAGTTTAATCATGCGCTCTCGAAAGAAACCACTCCCCAACTTCCATTTTCTCCATCTCTCTGTCGCATCGCATCCTCTTCCCCGACCCAATTTTCCCCTCCCCATCGCTTTTCCTGTCCAACCCTCTCTCTTTATCCTTGTCCGCTCCCTTCCTCTCTGTATGTTTTGCGTTTTTCAAGATTTCATCTATTTTAACCACCACCATTTCTATTGATTGTTTTGTTGGGTTTCATCTTTTTTGGCGACACCGGCCGGGGAAATTTCTACAAGAAGTGTTGGATAAAACTGAAGCTCTAAGAGTATTTGCTTGCTTAAACGTTGTGAAAATACCTGTAGGATGTCTATATATACCTAGAGAAGGTTAAATAGGCTAATTTGAGTTTTTTCAATAAATAATAATCAACTTTCGAAGCAGGATTGATATGAGTTATCAATCCTGAAATGTGCAGAGCTTAAAATAAAAGAACACACCGAGAATTATTTTACATAGTAAAACCCCACCTCTGGGGAAAATCCACAAGACTCCTCAGTCCAACACAAATCCACTATAGAACGATAATTACAATAAGTACTCACACACTTATACTAGACACATTCTAGATAACGTTTATTGACTTCTTCGTAACTCAACTTCTGTTATGGGATGATCTTCGACACTCCTTATGTTGAACGCAATATAGGTCATGATTGCTTCAAGCTCACCGGAGTAAAACCGTCACCACGGTCTTGGTGCCCTCAACTGTATGAGTCACCGAACAATGCAAATGAATGCAATATGAACTATTAAAGTGTTTCATAAATCACCAAGTAAACATGGAATACTTAATGATTTATCTCAAATATATGCACAACAGCTTTCTTAGGAATTTTACATGCTCAAACAAAATATAGGACCGCTCACCCAAACAAAGAAGCACATCATATTCTTATACAAACCTCAATCTCCTTTTTGCAAGAGAAGAGCACCAAGCCACGTGCTCAATCTCTTGCCATTAATCATATTTGATTCACTTAGAATCCTATATCAATTCGTCAGCCCATGCAGACTTCCTATCATGAATATAAGATCTAGATGCCTTGTGAATAACAGACCCACACTTCTTATATGGTTCTAAGTAATGACGCCAAACAGGAGACCACAAATTCTATTCAATCATGAATTCAGATTTGATCCAATATGGACTCTAAGTGATTGACGCCAAAATAGCCACTCTTTTATGGAGAAACAATATCTCCTAAAACCAATTAATAGACCAAACAAAGATAATATTTTAACTTAAATCAAAATAGAGGCCAACTAGGAAAGTAATCTCAAGAGATAAAATCTAATCCTATTAAAAATAAGATTAACATAAAAAATACTTGAGTGAAAAACTCCAACTAGGAATCCTATAATGAATGCATGATTATGTCACGATTTACCTGAAGTCAAGTTTCCCATATTGGTCAAGTCATGTCTCGGATGTATGGGGTTGAATGAGTTGTGCAAAACGTCCAGTAACAATTCTTCACACACTAATTTTCAACCTATGCTAGAGTCTAGGAAATGACAACACTATTTTCATACTAACTTGTTGAACACAAAAGTTATGGCTAAAAGCTTCAAACTTGATAAATTGAACTAAATGTAAGAGTACACCTTAAATAGGAAAACAAAGCTACTGTTGCAAGTAACATGATCGCTACTTAGCAGATTTTGTGGAGCCACAATCCACGATTAAAAACATGAAAATAAACATGGTTACCCACACTAACCCATGACTCCTACAAACTAGGAATTCTCCTATAGTCCACTAATCTCCTAACCATAGGCGACAATTATTATTAAATAAATAATTTAAAAACAAATCTTAACACCCTCCCTTAAACTGATTTCTACAGAAAACAGTTTAGTATTTAAACTTCAACTCTAGTACAGTGCTGATACCCTGCCTTGAACAATGACATGTGAAGAGCAAACTCCAAGTCTGCTTTTGAGCTTCTCGAACAATGGTTGTTTGAGAGGTTTAGTTAGGTATCAACAGCTTGATCTTCACTCTTGCAAAACTCTAACTCAATCACATCATCTTTGCAAAGATCATGAAGAAGTGATAATGAACATCTATATGTTTGCTTCTCCCATGCATAACTGGATTCCTTGAAAGCTTTATGGCAGAAAAATTGTCACAAAATATTGTTGTTAGACCTTGCTGCTGATGACCAAGAACTTCAAGCATCTTCTTAGCCAAATGGCTTGACAGGAACACGAAGCAGCTACAACAAATTCAGCTTTAGTAGTGGATAGTGTCATGATCTACTACTTCTTTGAGGACTACGAAACAACACCTGAACTCATCAGGAACACATGCCCATAAGTGTTTTTTTCAATCATCAATATCACCTGCATAATCATTGTCAGTAAATCCGAAAAGACTTGGTTTTTCACCCTTTTTATAAAGAACACGAAAATCAGATGTTCCCTTTAAGTATCGAAAGATTCTCTTGGCTGCCTTGAGATGCATTTCAATAGGATTCTCCATGTAACGACTTGTGATACTAAAAGTATGCATGACGTCAGGCCTTGTTGAGGTCAAGTACATTAGACTTCCAACTATTTGCTTGAAGTAAGTATTGTTAATTCTCTCACCATGGGGATCTCTTGTAACTTCAAACCAATTTCAGTTGGTGTTCCAACTAGATTGCAACTCATCATCTGCAAACTTTCAAGCATTTCAAGAACATATTTCTTTTGACAAAGAAAATTTTCAGCAGCTGATTATACTACTTCTATGTCAAGAAAGTAGTGCATCAGTCCCAAATCAGCCACATCAAACACATTTATCATAGACTTTTTAAACTCATCAAACATATCACAATCATTTCCAATGTAATTCAAGTCATCAACATAAAGAGACACGATGAGCATTTTACCTTCATCACCAACCTTAACATACAAAGTATGTTCATATGGACACTTTTGGAAGCCTTGTTTGACAAAATATGCATTTATGCAGCTATACCAACCTCGTGGTGCTTGTTTTAGCCCATAGAGTGCCTTCTTCAATCTCAAAACTTTCTTATGTTTTCCTTCATGTACATAGCCTAGAGGTTGATCTACAAATACTTGTTCTTTCAATTCAACATGTAAAAAGGCAGACTTTACATCTAATTGAAAAATAGGCCAAGAGCTTTGGGCAGCTAAAGAGATTACTAAATGAATTGTATCTTGCCGTGCAACAAGCGCAAACACCTCTTTATAATCAACTCCATATTCTTGCTTGTGTCCCTTAGCCACCAAACGAGCCTTGTGCTTGTCTATTTCACCTTTCTCATTCAATTTGGTTTTAAACACCCACTTCACTCCAATAGTTTTCTGACCCTTAGGCAAATCAGTCAGCTCCCATGTATGATTCTTCTCAATAGAATTGATTTCAGCCTCCATTGCCTTTTGCCATTTTGTATCTTTGACTGCCTTTTCAAGGGAGATAGGATCCAAATCTACAAACAAAGAAAATGAGCAGTAGTGTCATCATCTGAGAGTTCATATCTAGTTACATAATCAATCATCCAAGCTGGCCTCTTCCTTGGACATTGGTTTTCGGGTGGCTGCTCATTTGCCAGTGGCTGCTCGTGTTCTTTGAATTTTCCATTCCAATCCCACATCTTTTCTTCATCAAAGATCACATCTCAGCTGATAATCACTTTCTTAGTAATTGGATTGTACAATTTGTAGGTTTTGGAGTGTTCAATAACTCCAAGAAACACACACTTCTTGCCCTTGTCATCGAGCTTTTTTCTCTTTTCATCTGGAATGTGTGCATATGCTATGCATCCAAACACTTTGAAGTGGTCTATGGTTGGCCTCCTTCCACTCCACACTTCCTTAGGTGTCATATTTTTAACAGAAAAAGTAGGACATGTGTTTAAAATATGAATGGACCACAGAACTGCTTCAGGCCAAAAGATCTTTGGAACTCTTCCCTTGACCAACAAGCTTCTAACCATGTTGAGAATGGTTCGATATTTCCTCTCTGATACACCCTTCTGCTTAGGTGTATATGAGGCTGTGAGCTGCCTTCTTATGCCTTGTCCATCAAAAAAACCTCAAACTGCTTTGAGCAATACTCTAGACTCGACCACGATTTGTTTGAAGGGTTCTAATCATTCCAATTTCGTTCTCAACAAGTGCCTTGAAACTTTTATATGCATTAAAAGGTTCTGATTTTTCCTGCATGAAATACACCCATGACTATCAACTAAAGTCATCGATAAAAGAAACAAAATATTTGTTTTTACCATTTGAAATTGGATTAATTGGGCCACATATGTCTGAATGCACCAAATCTAGCAGATTATAAGTCCTCCACGCCTTTCCTTTTGGGAATTAATCTTGGTGTTGCTTGCCAACAATGCAATCTTCACAAATTTTGGATGGTGATGTGATCATGGGAAGGCCAATCACCATTTGCTTTTGACAAATTGTCCTCAATCCATTGAAATTCAAGTGACCATATCTAAAGTGCCACAACGATGACGAGTCATCTTCCTTAGCCATCAAACAAGCTTGAACTATCTTTATCTTCAGCAGAAACAATCTGTTGGTTGTCTGTTGTAAAATTATTGCAAGCGCACAATCCGCACAAGTGATATAGAGATAAGTGAACTGTCGTTCCCACAAAGACTGTAATTTCCTTTTAAGTACCAATTATGATTCATTCTGAAGTTTCTTTGAACAATTAATTAATGAGAGTAATTGATTTATTAAACTAAATTTAAACAAATATGAAAAATAGCAATTTAATTAATGGTGGAAAATCAAGTTGATGAGACACTAGAGCATCCGATTTTACCATAACCAATTCCACTTAATTCTTATAGCCAATTAACATTACCCATGTTGACAGTTGGTTTCTCCTAATTCATTCGATATCCCCTCTCGGACTCAACCAAAAGTATTCTTAATTAACAACCCATACTCTCACGAGCAATGGATTTAGAAAATCAAGAACTCATTAAGTTCTATGAGAACCTGCAAGAAAACTACATGAGTCATGTTAGTACCTCTCGAGCACTCATTCAAGACATGGTATTTGTTACAAGAAGCAAACACCGAACATCTTTGGCAGATGGATTTGATCACTGGATTCTCCATAGCAACCCCTTCGTAAGCTCAAAAAGCACTGCAGCAGCAAACTTTTGGCTCTCTCTCTGATATATTTTTGGGTGTATGAAAGTTGTATATGGCAGGAGATCGTCCATAGAGAGAGCTTAGGGTGACCTTATATAGTATCAAACAACTAAACCCTACTCTAAAAAGGTCTAGAAAAATTATCCTAAAGCAAAACAAAATCCCAAACAACTAAGGAAACAAACTAGAAAAGAATCTTTCTTTGACTTGGAAACACGTTAGCCAAATTTCATGCACCCTTTGGGGTCTTTCCACTTGCTATAAAATTGTTGAAAAATATGAGAAACGTAGCTTGATCTCTAAGCTTCCAAGCATATATCACACGCCACTAGGAAAAATCAGAAAAGATTTCAAATCTTCAATCTTCAACAGCGGTGCAGTTCTGACTGGATTTCAACTTAGGCTGTCTTGACTTGCATGTTTGGAGCATTTGGCTTGGTAGAAAATTATGAAATTTTGACACAAAGATCTTCAATGTCTTAGCTTTCTTCTCCAATTGGCTTGCACAAAATTCATTCGAAAAGTTTATTTTCAGTCGAAATCCTTCCAAGAGCACAGAATAGCTAAAAATAAGGAAAGTAAGGTAATAATGCTCTTTTTAATTAACTTTCCCTACAAAAACCAAATATAATAGGTATATAAATATAGGAAATAATGCACTTATCATTTTCATTTGAACAACGGCAATGGCACCCCTTGCTGGATCATATATTTCACATGCACCTTTTTGAATTGTTATAACATAACCCTTATCTTGTAATTGGCCAGCACTCAACCGGATAGTCTTCAAATCAGGAAGATAAAACACATTCGAAATTGTCTCAACAAAGTCATTTTTAGTCCTAATTTGAATATCACCCTTTCCCATCATAGTTACTGTTGAACAATCCCCAAAACTTATAGCAGTACGAAAGACTTACTACCACTTACATGGTTGCTGCAACCTGTGGCAATATACCATACATCTAGCTCAGGTTCCTCCTTGGCATGGAGGGCCATCAAAAGTGTTTCTCCTTCCTTCTTTTCAGCAAAGTTTGATCTTTCCCCTTTTTCATTGTCTTTAGGCAGCTTCGTGTAGCACTCACTTTGATAGTGCCCAAGGTTTCCACACCTATAACACTCAATTTTGGACTTGTCACTTTGTCCTCTTCCTCTGTTTTGGGAATGGTCATTGATAAGTGTATTATTTCCTATATTTTTATACCTCTTATATGTGGGTTTTGTAGGGAAAGTTAATTAAAAAGAGCATTATTACCTTACTTTCCTTATTTTCAGCGATTTTGCTCTCTTGGAAGAATTTCAATTGGAAATTGACTTTTCGAACGAATTTTAGCGCAAGGCTAATTGGAGAAGAAATCTAAGACATTGAAGATCATTGTGTCAAAGTTTCATAATTTTCTACCAAGCCAAATGCTCCAGACTTACAAGTCAAGACAGCTTAAGTTGAAATCCTGTCAGAACTACACTGCTGTGGAAGATTGAAGATTTGAAGACCTTTACGATTTTTCCTAGTGGCGTATAATATATGCTTGGAAAGCTTAGAGATAAAGCTACGTTACTAATATATGCTTTGGGAGCTTTCAAATGTGTTCTTGTGGAGATTTTGAAGATCAAGTCCATCGACCAAATCGGTTTTATGACAATAATTCTCTTGTTTATATTTTCTTTTGTCATGAACTAATTTCCTTTGCTAGGGCTAAGATATAGCCTAGCCATGAATACTTAATTTTTATAGTTATATTAATTTATTATTATTATCCCATGTTGAGTATTTGTTGCTTTTCTTAATCCTTTGAAAATTTGGCCAATATTTAATTGATTTGATGATCCAAGCTGAGACCGAGAGGAGATGTTTGGTGTTTGCTTCTTGTAACAAATACCATGTCTTGAATGAGTTCCCGAGAGGGACTAACATGACTCATGCAGTTTTCTTGTAAGTTCTCATAGAACTTAATGGGTTCTTGGTTTTCTAAATCCGTTGCTCGAGAGAGAATGGGTTGTTAATTAAGAAGACTTTTGGTTGAGCTCAAGAGGGGATATTGAATGAATTAGGAGAAACCAACTGTCAACATGGATAGTAATTAGGGTTAATTGGCTATAAGAATTAAGTAGAATTGGTTATGGTGAAATCAAATGCTCTAGTGTCTCATCATCTTGATTTTCTATCATTAATTAAATTGCTTTTTTTTTCATAATTGTTTTAGGTTACTTAAATCAATCAATCTTCTTAATCAACTGTTCAAATAAACTTCTGAATTAATCATAATTGGTAGTTAATAGGAAATTACAGTCTTTGTGGGAACAACACTGTACTTACTTCTATATTACTGTGCGGATTGTATGCTTGCAATAATTTCACAACAAGTTTTTAGTGCCGCTGCCGGGGACTGTTTTATTTTCTATTAATATCAATATATTTTAATTTTGAGTTTAATTTGAATTTCTTCTTTTTGTTTTAGGTACTTTGATCTGTGTATGCACTATTCTCGTACCCTAGAACTCATACCACTTGACCCAGAAATCGAACGTATGTTTCATAAGCGGAACAAAGGAAACAAAAAGCACACTTTGGTGGAACCACCACTCACACCTATGGCAGAGGAAGCAAAAAGAGCAGTGAGGGAATTTGGCCCCCCAGTGGCAACTCCCTTAGCGATCCAACGTCCTGCTATTCCAGCCAACAATTTTGAGATCAAACCAGCCATGATCACCATGTTGCAAAATTCATCCGTATTTTGTGGTCCGCCAAATGAAGATCCAAATATACATCTTGCAATATTTTTGGAGATTTGTGACACGTCCAAGTTCAATGGGGTAGCTGACGATGCAATTCGTTTAAGGCTATTCCCCTTCTCCTTGAAGGATAAAGCCAAGCTTTGGTTACTGTCACAACCACATGACTCCATCCGCACTTGGGATGATTTATTTAAGAAATTCCTTGCTAAATTTTTCCCACTAGCCAAAACTGCAAAATTCCGACAAGATATTTTGTCATTCACTCAATATGATAAGGAGCCTCTATACGGAGCCTGGGAACGATTCAAAGATTTATTTGCGCAAGTGTCCTCACCATGAGCTACCAACCTGGTTCAAGTTCAAACTTTCTACAATGGGATGAGTCAAACAAGCATGACACTAGTTGATGCAGTTGCTGGATGGGCTTTAATGGAAAAAATGGTTGCCGAAGAATTTGAATTATTGGAGACCATGGCATCCAACAACTACCAATGGCCGAGTGAGAGAATGAATCTAAAGCCAGTTGGGGTCTTGGAAGTCGATGCTATGGCGTTGCTAACAACACAAATTTCTAACCTTACTAAAAAAGTTGATTTTATAAGTGTTAATGCTATAAACACTAATACTAATTTTGGTTGTCAATTTTGTGCAGGCCCTCATCCAAGTTCAGAGTGCACCACAGGGAACCCATTCGCGTCCGCTGAGCAAGTCAATCAGGTTGGAGAATAGTTTCCAAAATAGCACGATCAATAGCCTGGAATAAATAATTCTTCACCTTTAAATCTTTCAGCCTTTGATCATCAAGTTTCTTCTATTGTTGTTGTGTCAGTAGTGCTCCTTCTTCTGGCACTTCATATCCCGTCTCCGCAAGATCCCAAAATTCTTTGGACCTTAGAAAAGTCTCCATCAAGATGCTCCAATGATCATAGTGACCATCAAAGCGAGGTATGACTGGCTGGACAAAGGTCTCTACTAGCTTGTCAGTCGGCAGGGATTCCTATTGCTACAAGATACAAGAAGTTGTTGCTGTTTGGGATTTTTTAATTTAGGCCCAATGGGGCTCTGATACCAGATGTTGGATAAAACTGAAACTCTAAGAGTATTTGCTTGCTTAAACATTGAACACAAAATCTGTGGCTGAAAGCTTCGAACTTGATAAATTGAACTAAATATAAGAGTACACCTTAAGTAGGAAAAACTAAACTACTGCTTTAAGTAGCATGATCGTTACTAAGCAGATTTTGTGTAGCCACAATCCATGATTAAAAGTATGAAAATAAACATGGTTACCCAGACTAGCATTACTCGTACAAACTAAGGATTCTCTTATAGTCTAGGTATCACTAATCTCCTAACCATAGGCAACAACTATTATTAAATAAATAATTTAAAAACAAATCTTAACAAGAAGTGGTGCGGTTTTTGCACAAAGTATGATCGATCAGAGTAGTTATTGCCAGTTTTATTGTGCAAGGATACAATTCGTTGGGTGGTAGTTGCTTAGTCAAGAAGTGAAAAATCTTTTTGAATGAACGTTTGATTGTTGTTTCTGAAGACTGCCCTTAATGGGTTTATTATCGTTGATGTTTCGGTTCGTTTTGTTGGTATAGACAATTGTTCCATCTCGTTGTGCTGTTATGCAGTTTTTGGTCTGTCACGTTTTACTGTCGATTGGTTTTGTTATGTTCTTTTTTGGTGACATTTCTCCATGAAGCATGATCGGTCTTGGAGCAGTTATTGATGGTTTGTTTGTGCATAGATACAATCGTTGGTTTACATGTTTTATAACACTGATCTTTCCTCTACTTTTTCCTTTTTCTCCAGTCACATTTCTCTTTTCTCTTCTCTCCTCCTTCCTTCTCCTTCTTTCTCTTTTCGCGTTCTTCCGTCTCCTTCTTTTCTCTTATGTTCTTCTTCCTATTTCTCCTGTCCCTTTTCTTTGTTTCTTACTCTTTCTTCTTTTTCCTTTCTCTCCTTCTTTCTTCTCTGTTTTTCTTTCCTTTATTTTTCTTCTTTCTCTCCTTTTTCCTTTTCTGTTTTATATCCTCTTTTTTTCCTTTTTCCTTGTTTCTCTTTTTTTTTCCTTTTTCTTTTAGTTTTGTTTTTTCCTCCTTGTTTGTTTCTCTCTACTTCTTTTTTCTCTCTTTCGTCCTGTGGCTGTCACATATCGTGAATTTTGCAATTGTGTTCGAGTTGTTGATCTTCATTGCCACGTCCTTCTTTAGCGCAGGGAGTTGTTTTTCTTTCTCAGTATTCCTTCATTTGATTTATTGTGTAATGAGCCTTGATTTTGGCTTAGCCCAAGTGTCTTTTTTATTTTTTATTTTTTTCCTGCTCATACTTATTTTGTTTTTCTTCTATTTTAGATCCATGTTTACGCTAGCATTGCTTATTTGGTTGCAAGTTTCTGGTGCTGCCAATGTTTTATTGATGTGCAGATTGAAGGGATGTATAGGCTTCCTATTCTTTCTTGTTTCCCCTTGAGTTGTTCAGGCACAAGTCTTTTTTTAAAAGATCGTGCATTTGTTCCTGTCTCTCATGCTTGTGTTTTGGATAATATTGGTTGTTTTAGTACTATCTTTGTACACTTTTATGGTACTATCTTTCTTCCTCCAATAGAAGAAATTGCTGAAATACCTCCGAATTAAAAAATCAACAAATTTATCACATTTTTAAAAATAAAAAAAATCAAAACAACCAATTTGACTTTTGTTAGTGAGATCCTAGCTTAATTAGGAGATTTATTTCCTAGTTTGTTAGGACTCTATTTCTTTCCTTTTTGTACAGATATTGTGTATTTAGGATTTTATCTTATTTCTTTGTATAACCCTACTAAGGTTGTAACCTTTTATTATAAATACCTCATTTTGGAGAATGAAATACATCTGAAAACATTCTACCCATATTGTTTGACTTGGTTTCAAAGCCGACTTTCTGGTGACCTGTGTGTTGTGATGTAGTGTTCATGCCTCTACTATGTTCGTGTCATTCCTGTCTACGTGCATCTGCCGTATTTGTACTTATGTTGTGCTCCACTGTGCACTCTTACGTATTCGTGCCTCTAATGTGTCTGTGCCTGTCTTCGTGCATTTGTCGTATTTGTGCATCAACTATGTTTTGTTGTGTACTATGTTGCTGAAATACCTCCATTGTTGGTGTTGTTGTTGCTACTTCTGCAAATTTGTGTGTTTCTGACTATAGTCCAGGTACTGGCTCCAATACTTGGATAATTGACACTGATGCTTTTGATCATATGACTTATGATGCTAAATTTTTTGATGAGTTGTCTAGTAACACCTATGACCCATACATAACTAGTGCTAATGGCTTGCTCTCTCCAATTACAAGCGAGGGCACAATCTCTCTCACTCCCACTTGGTCCTTGTCTCGTGCGTTACTAGTTTCCAATATCCATTGTAACTTGTTATATGTTGGTCGATTAGTTAATAAACTTAATGCTTCTTCTACTTTCTATCCTACACATTGCCCTTTTCAGGATCTCAAGACTCACGAGACGAATGGGCATGGTAAACGGATAGGGGGGTTATAGAGATAAGAGAGCAATGAGGGTGGCATCAGTGGGGTTGCCACTAGCTAGGGTAGAGAAGAGAGAGAGAGAGAGAGATCTCAGGTATTTTTGTAGGGTTTTGGAGCTAGGTAAAGAAGTACCTTGAATGATGTATGAAGCCATCTATTTATAGGAAGAAGTTTATTCTTTCCCCAAATTATAGAGATTGAGTCCATTAGGAATTTGATTGGGATCCAAATCTCCTCATTTGATGATGATTATATCTCCTCGTTAGGATAATTTCTAAATTAATGGTATTGTCACATTAAATAAAGATAATGTCCTATAATTAAGATATTATCCCAAATTAATTAATTGGCCAAATAAATTGGTTCAATTAATTAATTTAAGAGATATTCTTCTTTTCCACATGGCGTCCTATAATTGGAAACGAAAATATTTGCTCCCACAAATGCCCCCTAACTTCTGCATGGTGCTTGTGTAGCATGCAAAAGATGAACTTATTTTTCGGGCTCTCCAACTATGTCTGGGCTTTCTTCTGTGAGTTGGACTCCTTTTGCATATTGGATTCCCAATTGGAGTGGGCTTCTGACTAATCTTGGAGTTGGGTTCCCACTTGGAGTGGGCTTTGGACTTGCCCCTTGCTCAAGGTAAGCATATCAGTATTGTGGAAGTCGTCGAAGGGCTGGTAGCTAATGAGGCTGCAATTGAGGAGGATGATGCTCTAGAGGGCTCATCTGGTGAGATGGCGATAGAGGCCGTGGAGCAGGCAGTTGAGGCTGCTGAGCAAGTGGCTAAATAGGATGGGGCGTTGGCGCCGAGCAGGTAGCTGAGGCTGCTGAGCAAGTGGCTAAATAGGATAAGGGTCGCTGGCACCGAGCAAGCAACTAAGGTAGCTGAACAGGTGACTGGAGCTGCTATGCATGTCGTTGACTAGAGGCCACCTACATTTGGAGGCGTGTCGATGAGAGTGGCTTGTTTAGCCTACGTCCGGAGACGTGTCGATTAGAGTGGCTCGTTTGGCCTACGTCTGGAGACATGTCGATGGGTGTGGCCAGTTTGGCCTATGTCCAGAGACATGTCGATGGGTGTGGCCTATTTGGCTTACGTCCAGAGACGTATCGATTGCTCTCGTGAACACTCTATTGGAAAGAAAAGTTTGAACTTGTATCACTACTACATTTTACAAATTGCGTGACGAACAATTTTTTGTCTTGCAAAGAGAAATCTGGTCGTGCAAAAATACGCGCGACAAAAACTTTGTCGTGCACATTCCATCGCGCAATGGTCGTAAAGAAATGCTTTGCGCGACAAATACTGTTCATTGGTCCCGTGAAAATAGCGACAGGGAAACATTTGTCTCACATACTGTACTTCTTGCCAATCCTTGTGCGACCATACATGTTTCGTCGCCCATGTTTAGCGCGACGGAAGGGATTGTCGCACAGATATTTGGGGACGAGAGAATCCTTCGTTTGTCAAATCTCTGCGTGACGAAAAATTTGTAATCGCACGAAACTTTGCGTGACGACAAACATTTCGTTGCGCGTTTTGTGGGGACGAGAGACATCTTTGTGTTGCAAAACATTTGGACGACCTATGCGCGACGAAGAATACATTCGTCACACAAAACATATATTTTCAAAGCAATTACCGTAACGACAGTTTTTCGTCGCGCAAAATGATATAAATTATTTAATTATTATTTTTTGTTTTTTTTTTTATATTTTGTTAAAAAAAATTAGGAATTTTTAATAAAATGAAATTGCAATAAAAAAAATTGTAGAAAACCAAATTTCAGGAAAAATATATATATATATATATATATATAGAATACAAGAAAAAAGTTTAAAATATAATGAAAAAAGTAAAATATAATCAAAATAATATTCCAAAATCTATGTCGTCGTTTTGCAAATGCGGCTCAAAAGTCTGGACATGGTCGACAAGAGCAGAGGTCTGGTGGCCATGCTCGGATTGGATAGAGTCGGAGGTGGACGAGGGACCAACATTCGAAGCTGGAACGCCGGACCGAACGATCGATGCTAGAAGCTGTGACATCAAAGCAGTCACTTGGTTTGACTGTGACATCTGGGTACTATATGAGGCGAGTTGGGTCTTCGGCTCGGCCACCTCTGTTGTCAAAGCAGTCACTTGATTTGATTGCGACGATGAAGGGCCTATAGGTTCCCGCCGCCTGGCATTCCCTATCCCGAGAGTTTGATCCAAGGTCTTGGTTAGGATCTGAAACCCCGCATCTTGTGGAGGATCCACGGACTCAAGTGGAGTGTTAGGAGGAAGCTGAGAGGCAGACTCATGAAGAACCAACTGGCTCCTCTCCAGCATCGTCGCCTGTTTGACATAATATAAAATATTAATTATAACATTCATATAGTAACTATGACACTTGAAGGGACTCTGCCAACTCATTGCCATCTCGAACATAAACGTCGCCAAAGATGTCGATTTCCAAAAATTTCCCGCCCCCCCCCCCCCCCCCCCCCCCCCCCCAATTGAACAAGAGATGAAAAGTGTTAGTACGAAAAAAAAATATATTAATGACATTAAAAATTTAATATAAACAACTTTATTACCCGCCGCCGCGCCTCCATCCTATATGAGAATGGCCTGGGACTTGAATGGTGGAGAAGCGTCTTCTTGTTCCTATTGCCCTTATTTGCTTTCGCCGCCTTCTGTTATACAAAAAATAAACATATTAGTTGAAATTGAAATGAAATATAAATAAATAAATAAACATTAGTAAAAAACGTGTAATAATATTAAACTGAATTTATAAAATAAAAAAAAACCACATAATCAAACTCCTGAAAATGACCGCAGAGCCAAGTCCAACTATCCTCCCGCCCCTCCAACTCTTTCAGGCAACCCTCCTGAAGAGCAACATGCGGATCATCAAATGCCTAAAAATGGTGGTGCAGATCGCTCTTCCATTGCTTGTACATCTCAGCAAAGAGTCTGTTGAAGTACGCCACCGACTCGTCATCGAGGTCCTCTAAATTGTAGTTCGTTTGCAATAAATTAATTACATACATTAAGTAATTGAAATATAGAAAGTTTGAAAGAAAAACATTTAAAAGGTAGGATACATACCAACAACTGTCCAAGCACCTCTGTTCGCATCTCTGACCTTCCAAGACTTCTATTGCATCGGGCAATAGGTCCGAATGACGTGACCAATGTCGTGGGCCAAAGAGCTATGCAATTCGGCCGTTGATGCAGCCCGATGTCGCCCATCGTATCCGATGCTGATACGACTGTTGGTCACTCGGGTGACCTTCGCCGTCTTCAATTGCCGACAAGGTCCCCGGGTGTTCTTCTTGGCCATAAAGAAATCGAAAGTACACGCTCAATAGTAATCATACAAAAATGTTGGACAACAACAAATGGTGTTCAAGGCAATCTTTACCTGGTTGTGATCCTGACGCACCAGTACTGTTTGTCGATGCTGTGTCGCTCATGCTGGGGGGGGCGGTGACGACGTCTGGAGCTAAGAGGTTGCGCCACAGATGACGGTGATGACGTAGGGGCATGGGAGACCGCGGGATCACGAGGCAACTGCTCCATCTGTGCTGGAGCAGTGATAGCAGCAGGCTAAGCCGGAGAAGGACAACTCTGTCCAGTGGTCACCGCCTTACGGCTTCGAATAAGGTTTGACATCTTGCCCTAGGAACACCATGTAACATTTATTAACTTTTTTGGTAAAGCATGTAACATAGTTAATCTAATTGGGTTAACGTGTAATGAAAAAAAAGTAAATATTTCAACAACAAATAAAACAAAAACATATCAAAATTAAAAACATAATTTTTTTTTTTTTTTTTTTTTTTTTTTTTTTTTTTTTCAACAATCTTAACTAATTTTAATTAAAGCATATCTTTCCCTAGGGTTAGCGATTCTGATCGAAAATCCGCCAAATCCTATACGATCCTAAAAATACAAGGTACAACATACGTGATTTTGAGTTTGATCTAACGGTCCAAACATATCAAACCTGAAAATAGCAAAATAGGCGAAATTCGTTCGAGCATATCTTGCCCTAGGGTTCGTGATTGCGGAGTATCCGAGACTCCGATCGAAAATCAGTCGAATCCTATACGATCCTAGAAATACACGGAACAACATACGTGATTCTGAGTTCGATCCACTAGTCTAAACACATTAAAATCCGTTTGACACTGAAACGGTAACCAAATTGAAATCCGAACACACCTATGCGCTCGTGACAACTAGGGGATCGCAGTGGGACACAATGTCCCTCTGCTACAACATCCACATGCCGCCACACGCGCTGACAGCGTGTGGAGTCCAAAGCAATAATGATCGCCGAAAAATTCTCAAAATTACTGGCCAAGCTTCCTACCCTAGGTTCAAAACATCAATTGGAGCCACTTTGGTTCTTGGGCCTACCCCGAAAAATGGCCGGAAGTGGCCGGAAATTGAAACAAAAAATTCATAAAATTCTATCCAACCATCAGCTAGAGCACGAAATTTAGTCGAGATGCATACCTCAATCGTCTGGTTTCGTGGCCGGAGGAGAGAGAATTCGCCCGGCGAAAATTGGCCCAATTTCGATGATGTTGCGGCGGCGAGAAGGGTGGGCTTCGAAGGGGTGGTCGGTGGAAGGGCTATGTGTGGGTTCAGGAGGTAGGACGTGGCGGTTATGGCGGGAGGGCACTCTAGAGAGAGAGAGGGAGACGAAGGGAGGAGATAGACCAAACCAGGGGTCTGTCGTGTTTTTTAGAAAATTTACAGGCCTTTGCGTGACAAAGGTTTAAATCGTCACGCAACATATATTTTTTTGCCCTTTGCATGACGAGAAAGTTAAAACGGTCTAGCAAAAATGTCACGCCGCTCAAAATTTCAGACCCTTGTGCGACTAGAATGGTGAAACCATCGCGCAAGGCCGTCACCTTGCCCAAAATTTCACACCCTTGCGCGACTAAATGGCAAAATCGTCGCGCAAGGATGACACGGAGCCCAAAATTTCAGACCCTTGCTTGACAATCAAACTGTCACGCAAGGACGTCAGGCCGCCCAAAATTTCAGACTCTTGCGCGACGATTATGGACAAAACCGTCACGCAAGGCCATCATACAGCCCTAACGTTCAGACCCTTGCGTGACGGTTAAGGAAAAACTGTCGTGCAAGGACGTCATGGCGCTCCAAATATCAGACCCTTGCGCAACGGTTAAGCAAAAACCGTCTTGCGAGCACGTCATGACACTCCAAATTTCAGACCGTTGCGCGACGACATCATTTATCTGTCACACAAAACGGAAACCCTGATTCGTGAACCCTAAACCTTAAACCCTTAGCCCTAGGCCGCCACAGTTATACCAGATTGCGATGAAGCCTCCGTCATTGCTGCACAACGCATTATTCCTTTCGTTGCGCAAAGATTATTTGCGCGACAGTTTCCTCCGTTCCACAAACTTTTGCACGACAAGGAGCGTGCTTTCATCGCGCAAAGGTTTTTAAAAATCACATTACTAAATTCCCTTTTAAATGGATAAAAAGTGGATGTTCCTTGCCATTATTTTGAAAAAATGATTAGAATGTGGATCATAAGGTCTCAATTGAATTAGGATTGACCATTTTCAATTTAACAAAGACTTAATTACTCATCCACAACATAGCCGGTATATTATGTATACATATGAAGTTAGAGTACATTAACTTGTACAAACTCACCACAAATCAGTATAAAATAGTGTCTCTTAATACGTGCAACAATTCATAATTATATATTTATATACGAACAACGTCAATGAGGCATATTGTTTATATACGTATATTTCCTCCTTGTACACACATACATTATATAGATGGCATGCACATATATATATTTATATATAAAAAACCTTCATATTTATATACACATTATACATACATGGCCATTATATATTTATATAATTGTATAACATATAAATTTTATAAAATCGTATTAATAAATTCCCTTAAATATTTATATATTCCTATATTTCTAACATATACACATGAAAATATAAATATAATATATATATATACACATATACAGTTTATATTATAACTTAGTATAATGTATATAATATACATTGTCTATATTTTATATATTTATTTATATATATACAATTTATATATATATATATATATATTTGCACGATGACGCATATATTGGTCGCGTAAGCAGCTCTTGCGTGACGAAAAATCTCTATTGGTTGCGCAAAATGATCTTGTGCGACGAATATTTTTGTTTGGTCGTGTAAAGCCTTCTTGTGCGACGTGTGTTCTTTTTGATTGCGCAAAAAATGTGCGACAACTGTCAAAAAGTTTTTTTTTTTTTTTTTTTTTTTTTTTTTTTTTTTTTTTTTTTTTTTTTTTTTAATTATGGAGAATAATTACATTGACTTGTAAGGCTTGTTTCTCATATTCATATTTTTTGTCCTTCTATTTTGCTAAGGAAATGTTAAAGTTTGTTTCTATTTCATTATGTTTTTTATTTCTCACTGTCGCCTAAAGCCCAATTTATTTTAATTTCTCATTTTCTTTTGAAGATTCTGCGGTGCATATATTCAAATAAGCATATTTGGCAAAAGCTTTACATAAACATAATTAACTTACAAAAAATTACATTGACTATGTTTTACATGGGAAGTCGCAAATAAATTGTACTATTCATCATCTGAAGTATAATAACTTTCGTTATCGTCGCTATCCTCACTTTCGGTCTCCCAATCCTCCTCCTCTATAACTACATCATCGTCATTGTGGTGCCCCACTGCAACATCATAGCGCGGAAGATCACTGAGATCAATTGTAATTGACTAAATCGGTATTTCAATTGAAGAGACTCCTTGTATCTGAAACGGTTCTTGTATAACACTTGTATCTCGAAGTGTTTCCACATCATTTTCTATTGAAGATTCTGCGCGTTGGTCAGCGATGTTGTCGGTTGAGTCTAATCCTAGTATAGCATACACGTTCCTCTGATCCATCTTTTGAACAACTTTCCAACCGCTCCTTGCTTTAGGGTCATCTAGATACACAATCTGTGTAGCCATGTTTGCTAAACTGTAAGGGTCGTCATCATACCAAATTTTGTTAATGTTCACAGATAGTAAGCCATGGTCGATTTTAACACTTCCCTGCCTACTTGGGTTTGTATCAAACCATCGACACTTAAACATGATGACTTGGTAACGGTCTTTGTAAAGCAATTGCACGACAATTGTGAGTTTGCCATAAAAATCAATGTCCGTACTTTCGCCTCCTCCTGAGACATGGACATCACTGTTTTGCGTACACAACCTATCATCTCGTGCAGTCCCCAAAAACTTAACGCCGTTAACATGACAACCCGAGAATAATTTAGCCGGAATCGGCCCGAATGCCAAGTTATGTAACTCTTCATTGTAAGTAGGGGAATTCGATGATTTCAACTTATTCACTTAATATTATACAAAACGGAATATGTTAGTTTGAGAATATTAAATAGTAGAATATATATGTGAAAAACAAAACACTTATAACTTACATATTCTAAAAATCATTGTGGAAACAATTCACGGTGTTTCTTGGCATACAAATGTGATGGATGTTCTTGCTTCATCATCTCTTCATGTTCATCTAAGTATGCCATTATCTCATCACAATTGTTCAGTATGAACCAATGCGCTACGTCCATGTCATTTCTAGAAAACGACTCCCCTCGTGCAGGATCTCCAAAGGGTCGTGCGCTTTGGGCAAAAACAGAAAGTTTTTCATTTCTCACACCTCCATCATTATTGCGCTGAGGACAATTGAAAGCCATCTCGACATCTTTTAAATACATTCCACAAAAAGTAAGCAACTCATATTGAACCCATGCCTCTATAATTGATCCTTCGGGCTTCGCCCTGTTGCGTACAGTTTTTTTCAGCTCGCCGAGAAGCCTGCAAAAATAAAACGATTCGATTCAAATTATCAAGCATGGGATAATGATGCATAAAAAAATGATGAGAAACAAGCGTACCTTTCTATTGGATACATCCAACGATAGTTGACAGGACTAGCAAGCAATGCCTTTTCTGGTAAGTGAACCATCACGCGGATCATACTTGTAAAGAAAGCTGGAGGGAATATCATCTCAAACTTGCATAGGACTTGGACAATGTCATGCCGCAACTAATTAATGTCTGTCTTTCGCAATGTTTTCACCGTGAGTTGTGAAAAAAATCTGGACAACAACATGATTGGTTTCACTACATCTTGCGGCAATAGGTGTCGAATACCCACAGGAAGTAGGCATTGCATAAACACATGACAGTCATGGCTCTTTAGTCCAGCAAATTTACCCCCGTCAACATTTACGCAACGCACAATATTAGAAGCATACCCATCAGGAAACTTTACAGACGATACGAACTTTAGAAAAGTGAAGTGAACCCACATAACTGCTGCCCGTAAAGTGAACATCTTCCCAGTCTATTTATCGAACGTACGCACACCGTTTGTCCATAAATCCTTCAGCTCATCAACCAACGACCTTAAGTACACATCGATTGACCTGCCGGGATCCTCAATTATCAAAACAATCATCATCATGTATTCTTTTTTCATGCATTTCCAAGGCTGCAAATTATATGGGAATACGAAAATCGGCCAAGTGCTATGGTATTGGTTTAGAACAACGTACGGATTGAATCCGTCAGTGACAAGTCCCAATCTAACATTTTGGGAATCAGCAGCAAACTCGGGGAACGTTCGATCGAACTTTTTCCATGCCTCCCCATCTGCAAGATGTCGCATCACATCGTCGTCTACCCATTTTTTCTTATGCCATCTCATGTCTGTGGCAGTATGCGTCGACATATACAATCGCTGCAACCTAGGTTTCAGGGGCAATTAACGCTTAACTTTTTGTGGGATCTTAGTCATTCTATTCTGAGAAGTCATTTTGAACATCGACTCATTGCATATAAGGCATGTATCCAATGTTTCGTACTCTTTGTAGAATAACATACAATTGTTTTTGCATGCGTGAATTTATTCATAACCCAATCCAAGGCCATTCAAGACCTTTTGCGCGTGTCTATGGTCTTTCGGCAAACAATTGTCCACCGGAAGCATTCTTTTGAAAAGGCCCAAAAAGTAATCGGAACATTGGTTCGACATACGATACTTTATTTTTCCCTGCATTAGCTCCACAATGGTCGTAAGAATGGAAATACTATCGCACCCCGAGTATAACTCTTGGTTGGCATTTTTTAACAGTTTTTCATACTATTCGAACTCCGCACTGTCTATTGGTGTAGGCATGTCATCTTCCTCTTCTTGATTGATGTTGGTCAATGCAAATGGAAAAGCATCATTTATAATATCCATGACTTGTTCATTAGAATCCAAAATAGGTTCAACATTGTCCACTCTTGTGGCCCTTGAAGAGGAAGCTTTGTCTAATTGTTCCCTGTGATGGTTCCAATTGCTATATGTCTCAATCATTCCACTTCTTACTAAATGAAATCGAACATTTTCAATTGTCTCCCACAACGTGTTGTTACACCTCATACATGGACATCGAATTCTAGTTGCATCTGGTTGTGTGTACGTGCAAAGTCAATAAAATCATCGATTCCATCCAAGTATTCCTCTGCGCATCTATTCGGATTCTGTATCCTCCTCCTGTTCATAATTCCTAGAACCACAATCAAAATACAACAATCACAACCACTTCGGGAATGCATAATGCCTCTCCGGTAAGGGTCCTATCCCATTCGGGAATGCATAGTCATGTCACATAATTTACAGCTACATGAGATTAGATTTCCATGTGGATAAATTTCGGCAGCATCTCGATACAGTTCTTGAGGTGTACCGTAGGTACAAAATAACTACGTACCACCCGAAAAATGTATAGAGATGACATCGAAATCACCAGAACTGAAACCTAATCATGTAGCCCTAAATTACGTGACATGCCTATGCATTCCCAAACTGTCCAAATAATGATACAATTCAAGAAATAATTGGACCGCAATCATGCATTACGCATCCATGCACGAAATCCAACTACTCTCAAACAGGAAACTAAGTTTTATTAAAATGAAAAAAAAATGTACGAAGTTAATTTCAATTAACTTCGTACATCACAAAACATTGTGCTCCGTCACACACAATTTAACAAAATAAAATAAAATATAAACATAACAACCTGAGTTTAACATAATGTAATTAATTTAAGTTATTCAAATATAAAACAAATAAAATACCTTCTCAATCGTTCTCCACCAACCGCTAATCACACAAAATATCCATACAGAGAATGAAATTAATAACATTAGTATGAATTTACATGAATACTTTCAAATTAACGACAAAATATACTTACCTACTGAATGTAGTAAATTCCTAGCAGAAGCAGCAGTAGAGGAAGCGGGAGCGGGAGCGGGAGCAGCAGAGGTAGAAATTCTCAGCTTTCTACCTCTGCCACGGCGTAAATCAGATTTGAAGACAACTAACTTTTGCGCGATGAAGAGGTACTTCGTTGCACAAGAATTCGTCGTGCCAAGCACAAGTTTCGTCGCACAAAACTTTCACTTTTGTCGTGCAAGTCCACATTTTCATCGCATCAGTTTTCGTCGCGCAAAGTCTACATCCCGTAGCGCAAGAAGCTGTTGACATCTAATTTTATGCAACGAAAACGTCCACTGGTTGAGCAATTTTGGCTCGAAAAGAATAATTCCCACGTTTTTTTTGCGTGACAGAAATGCTCTCTTGTCGCGCGAAAGTTCCTTTTGCGATGAAGTATTTCGTGGGGCAAGGTTTTGGCGTAACATAAATATTTCCTTGCTTATATTGAGCGACGTATTTCCCTTTCGTCGTGCTAAGTTTTTTACACGACAATATCTCTCGTCGTGCAATTGTTTCGCGTGAATAAAAGTTGGCCCGCATTTTTTCTGCTTGCTTTGCGCGACGATTCATGTTTGGGTCGCTCGAATTGTATTTGTGTGACGACTTTTTTCATCGCGCAAATGTGATAAGAGTTTGCGCTACCATACATTTTTTTCATCTCGCAAGTAACACTTGTGCGACGTTTCCTTCGTCTCGCAAATAGTAAAATGTAGTAGTGTATTGATGTTTGTGTGACTACATTGCTTTTTTAAACAAAAGAGATGAGTTGCATGGGTAACATCAAAGGTAACTTGTCTTCAATGGAGGTGAGGGAGGCTTGGCCACTTGCTTGGAGCCGAGCTAATAGGTGAGGAGCTTCATGGATAGTACCCTTTGAGGTGATGGGGATTCCATTGTCTTAGAACTTCCTTTCCTTGAAAGATGACGATAGGATCGCCTTCCATGACTAGGTAGTTGGTTGTCCCGCCGACTAACAAGCTAGTAGTGATGGGGATTCCGTTGTCCCGCCTAGGCGATGTGTTGGTGGACTATGCTTACGAGGGATGTCACATCCTGGGATCGGCTCCGCCGTAGCACGATATTGTCCGTTTTGGCCCCCTATCTGCCCTCACGATTTTGTTTCTGGGAGCTCACAAGCAACTTCCCAGTAGGTCACCGATCCTGGGATTGCTCTAGCTCCCAACTCGCTTAACTTCGGAGTTCCTATAACTTTGAAGCCAGTGAGCTCCCAAAAGGCCTCGTGCTAGATGGAGGCGGACATGTACATATAAGGCACATCACCCCTTCTCCGTTGGTCGATGTGGGATGTTACAATCCACCCCCCTTAGGGGCTTGACGTCCTCATCAGCACACTTGCACCACACGACAGAGTGGCTTTGATACTAAATTGTCACATCCCAGGGTCGGCTCCATCGTAGCACGATATTGTCCGCTTTGGGCCCCCCTTTCTGCCCTCGCGATTTTGTTTCTGGGAACTCACGAGCAACTTCCTAGTGGGTCACCCATCCTAGGATTGCTCTAGCCCCCAACTTGCTTAACTTCGAAGGTCCTATGACTCCGAAACCAATGAGCTCCCAAATTGCCTCGTGCTAGATGGAAGCGGACATGTACATATAAGGCACATCACCCCCTCTTCGTTGGTCGATGTGGGATGTTACAAGGGATTCCCTATAGCTTGTAGATGGGAATTGGTTCTTCGAGAGTGGGTAGTGAAGCGTCTTTCTTCACGATCCTCATTGTGAGAGTCGTCAGGTTGATCTCCATGAGGGCCTAGCCTTTCGTGAAAATTTTCCTACGGGCCCAAATAGGGGCGAATGTCAAGTCGTCATCGAAGCCTTTCGCGCGCATTGGTCCTTAAACTCAATCTAGATGGGAGACTTCGTTTGCTCTGAGTATGGCTTGCATATGCTAGTGACATCTCAGCAAGTTGACCACATTGTTGTCCCTCTCTTTCTCTGCTTACTCCTGCTCAATCTGCTTGAGACCTATCGAACTGCCCACCGGGGTGTTCGTCCATCCTTCTCTCTTCGCCCTGTTGTCCAAAGCCAAGGTTTTGTGCCAAGTTTATTTGATTGAGGAGCTTCCTCACCAAGTCACTTTGGTCGTCCATTCTCTGAGTTAGTTGGTCAACTCTCAGATTGAGGTCTACTTGACTTTATGGACATGGAGGAGAGAATTGTATGGATCCCAATTGTGTGGACATTGATTTGATTAATTAGGGTAAATCAAATCCCTAATTGTGGTAGGTATCAAATCAATTCCTAATTGGGGAGGAATAATTCCTTTCCATCTACGAAATGATTCCTCTGAAACCCTAGCCTCCGAGACTACTATAAAAGGATGCCACACACAAGGGTTGAGGTACGTTAGAATTCCTATTGAAACTCTATAGAAAATCTCCTTCACAAAACCCTAGTCATCATATTTTTTCTCTCTCTCACACAAGGCTCCGACTACTCGTTTTCCCTACAAACTCACAACCTAGCTTAGGCATCGGAGGTGCTTTGGCCAACACCCCCTAGGTGTGGTCCTTTTACTTCGATTTGTTTTGCAGGGAGAAAAAGCAGTGGAGAAGACGAAGGAATCTGTCAATCGAATATTCTTGTGGGAAAAATTGCTCCCACAAATTGGTGCTTTCATTGAGAGCACGAGTTATACTCAACGCGTGCTCAAGGAATCCGTTCCTCCTATTTTCCAATCCACTTAAGCCTTCCAAACAATCATGGTTGGAAGCAAGAAGACAAGAGGCAAAACCGCTGCGATGGCTAAATCCGCAATGGCCCAAAGCCACTCCACCCACGATTCCGCAATCGACATGGTGGCACCACCACCTCTTACCATCGTGCCACCTACCAGACTCACAGTTGAGACCATCGCACCGGTAAGCTTGGCTCAAAACCTTGTCCTTGGACAACCTGGCGAAGAGAGAAGGATGGACTAACGTGCCGATAGGCAGCTCGATAGGTGCCAAGCATGTCAAGCAGGAGTAAGCAGACAAGGAGAAGGACAAAGTGATCAGCCTGTCGACATGTTGCAAGCATCAGCAAGCCATACTCAGAGCAGATTGAGTTTAAGGAAGAACGTGTGCGAAAGGCTGGGCCCACGACTTGACGTTCACGCTCGCCTGTGCCCGCAGGGAACTGTACATCAAAGGCTAGGCTCCTAGGGAGGTCAGCCAAACAACCATTGCAAAGAGGATCGTGAAGACTGGCGCTCAGCTATCCACTCGCAGAGGAGCATTCATGAAAGGCTAGGCCCCTAGGGAGGTCAACTGGATAACCCTCACAATGAGGATCATGAGGAAAGGCGCTCTAATGCTCACTCTCGAAGAGTTGATTCTCGTTGACAGGCTATAGAAAATCCTTTGCAAGCGCAATCCACCAACACGCCGCCTGGGCAGCGCAGGAGAGGAGGTCAATCAGCATAGCCCAAATCGCGAAGGTCCCCCACGTGATCGACCAGCAATGTGCGTAGAAGACGTTAATAAGCATGTGAATGATCGACTTCGAGATTTGAAGACCAGCGGAAATTTAGAAGATGCACTATGTAAGGAGACAAACCAGGCAAACTCTAAGCCTTTCAGTGCCGAAATCGAGCAGGTTGCTCCTTCTTAGCGATTCTCAACACCTTCGTTTACACACTTCAAAGGGGATTTCAATCTCGAAAGCCACCTAAAACACTTCAAAAGTATCATGATCCTCCACAATACCGACGACGCTAATGTGCAAGGTGTTTGCGATGACCTTGCGAGAAGCAGCCCAAGACTGGTTCCACACTCTGTCGTCCGGGTTGATCAGCAGCTTCAAGGAGCTCGCTTATGTCTTCACCAAAAATACACCTCTTATCGGATAATCAAGAAGAACCTTGACCACCTATACAACCTGCGCAAGAAGTCTGACAAATCCCTTCAAGACTACATCAAGAGATTCAAAGCAGAAAAGGCCAATACTATAGGAAGTGACGACTGAATCGCATCCTCTGCTTTCAAGAAAGGCCTTCCAGCTGAACAAGACTTGTATCGCAAGCTGACCATCACTCCCAGCCAGACTCTGGTAGAGGTCTTCGTGACCGCAGAACGCTACGCGCTCTGAGATCGAATCGCCACAAAGAAGTCTATTAAGCAGGAAGATCAACCGACTAAGCGGGCAGGCCAAAGAAGCGATGAGTTTAGCTACAGGAACAAGGACAAGCGTAGGTCACACCCACAAGGGGATGCTACGACAGGAGATAACTACACCAAGTTCACCATCCCCATACATCAAATCTTAGTCCAAGTGAAAGACAAACCTTGGGTAAGAAGGCCACAACCATTGAAAGGAGATCCGGACAAGAGGGATACTAGCAAATACTGTTCCTTCCATGGGACGCAAGGGCACACTATGAACAACTGCTTTGCTTGGAAAACGCACCTTGAAGAACTCATAAGAGAAGGTCACTGCACGAAATTCATTGTGAAGCAGGCCATCCAAACGGATTGAGGATCGTGACACCGCCAAGGAGCCACCTCAAAAGGTCATAAGGATTAACACAATCCTAGCCGACTCCAAGGAGTCTGGGCTGACCAACAAAGAAAAAAAAGAAGGAAGATTAAGTAGGCCACTGTGATCTCCCAAGTCTCGACTGACCTTCCACCGGCAGAAGACAATCCTGTCATCAGCAATCAAATCACTCAAGCTATGGCCAACCAAATCCATGTAGACGAGGGCAGCGCAACCAATATCCTGTAACTGGCAGTCATCCAGCAAATGGGCTTGGAGACAAAGATCAATAAATCAGCCAGATTGTTGACTGGCTTTAATGGTGCGACAACGGTTACCATGGACACGATAGACCTCGACGTCTACTCCCCACCTGTAATCAGCTTGCAAACATTCATGGTCATTAATGAGGTCTCACCCTACAACGACATTCTAGGCAGACCATGGATCGGCAAGATCAATGCCATCACCTCCGCCACACATTAGAAAATTCGGTACCCAACCCTTGGGGGCGGTGTCAGCCAAATCAACGACCAGGCAATGGCGAGAAAATGCTCTGCCCAAGGGATGAAGAAAAGCAAATAAGCATAGTTCATCCTTGTGAGTCAGGCAGATCTGAAGGAGGTTGAACAACTAAATCTTGCTCACTTATAACAATCAAAGCGTCAGGACCAAGCCGAGGAAGTCCGTCCAGAGGTCTCTCTTGAAGAAGGATGGAAACTCAAAAAGGACGTCGAGCTAATACCTTTGGATCCTAACCAGCTAGACAGAAAAGCGCGAATTGCCTCGCACCTAAGCTCAGACGAGAAGGTGGAGTTGACCACCTTCCTCCAGAAAAACAAAGACATGTTCACATGGTCGCCATCAGACATGCTTGGCATCGACCTAAGCATCATCTGCCATCGACTCCACGTCAACCCTACTAACAAGCCAATGACATAGAAAAGACGCAACTTCGCTCCCTAACGGGTCGCTATCATCGAAGCCGAGATTGACAAACTCCTAGCTGCCGGCTTCATCAAAGAGGTCTCCTACTTGGAGTGGCTGGCCAACGTTGTTCTGGTGGTGAAACAAGAAAAGGGCAAATGGAGAGTCTGCGTTGACAACTTCCCATTGCTAAGAATCGACCAACTTGTGGATCCCACTTTTGGCAATCAGTTGCTCAGCTTCATGGACGCCTACTCCAACTAGAACCAAATCCTTATGCACAAGGATGACAAGGCGGAAACTTCTTTCATCATCAAGAGAGGGACCTACTGCCACAAGGTCATGCACTTTGGGCTGAAGAATGTCGGAGCAACCTACTAAAGGCTTGTGAAAAAAATCTTCAAGGAGCAGATTGGCAAAACTATGAAAGTCTACGTGGATGACATGCTGGTCAAGGCCCCAAAACGTGCAGATCACATAAAAAACCTAGCCGAGGCATTCAGCCTACTTTGCCAGTATCACATGAAATTGAATCCAAGTAAGTGCGCATCTGGTGTATCATCCTATCGATTCTTAGGATACCTAGTCACACAACGAGGTATCGAGGCACACCCAAGCCAAATCAAAGACATTCTCGACCGAGCAGCGGCCCTCAACTGATTCCTCTCGAGATTTAGCTACAAGTACAGACCATTCTTTAAAACTTTGAAGAAATGACAAAGAGACAAATGGGATGAGGAGTGCAAAGTCGCTTTCCAGAAACTGAAGACTTACCTCACTTCACCTCCCCTGCTCTCAAAGCCAATTACTGGTGAAGACTTGTTCGTGTACCTGGCAGTATCCCACTCAGCTGTCAGCTCAGCTCTCATTCGAGAAGAACTGGGGGCCCAACATCCGGTATTCTACACATCAAAAGCTTTCCTTGATGCAAAGACTTGCTACCCGAAATTGGAGAAGCTCATTTTGGCTCTTGTAGTTTCAGCGAGAAAGCTGCAACCCTACTACCAAGCTCATCGAGTCATCGTCATGATCGACTTTCCTTTGAGATCAATCCTCCACAGCCCTGACGCGTCACAGGGACTCATGAAGTGGGTTATAGAGCTAAGCCAATATGACCTCCTCTACCAGCCAAAAAGGGCAATAAAAGCCCAAGTTTTAGTAGACTTCGTACCAAAATTCACCCCATCAGCCAAAGAAGATAAGATGGTCAACAAAAAGAAGGAAAGTTCAAAAGCATACGAGACCTCTGCTGAACCTAGCCAACCTAGAGACATGTGGCAGTTGAGCGTAGATGAAGCATTGAACCAAAAGGGAGCTGGAGCAGTGGTCGTCATCACCACCCCAGATGGAACCTTGTTGGAGCAAGCGATCACGCTTGGCTTTCCGACCTCGAACAAAGAGGCAGAATACGAGGCATTGCTCGCCGGCCTGCGCTTGGCAAGGAGCTCACAATCAAGAAGCTAGCCATCTACTCAGATTCCCAGTTGATCACGAATTAAGCTTCAGATGAATACATGGCGAAGCACCCAAGGATGATCTTATACCTTGACAAAGTCCAAGAGCTATTGAAGGCGTTTCCTACCTTCACCATCCAACAAGTACCCCGGGCAGAGAATGCTCATTCAGACACACTGGCCAGCCTAGGGTCAGTGCTAGATACCCAGTTCAAACGCTTCATCTAGGTCAAACACCTTGACCGACCAAGCATTGAAGAAATAGAGCAGATCGACACAATGCAGATTGATGAGGACCCTAGCAGGCAAGACCCCATCGTTGACTACTTGATGATTGGAAATCTGCCAACGGATAAGTCCGAAGCTAGAAATATCCAGTACAAGGCCGCGAGATACTACATGCACGGCAACAAGCTCATCCTCAGATCATACTCTAGCCCTCATCTCACCTGCATAAAGTACCCTTAAACACTTGCGGTCCTCTGCAAAATTTACAACGATGAGTGTGGCAACCACTCTGGAGGCAAGTCACTCGCCCAGAAGGCTCTGAACATAGGCTACTTCTGGCCTACCATACGCCACAACTCCACCGAATATGTCAAAAAATGTGATCACTAACCTACCTGCCGAAGTCTACCATCCGCAAAACATTCCATGACCATTCATGCAATGGGTCATTGACCTAGTGGGTCCCTTGCCACCGGTGCCCGCCAAGAAGGACATAATGATCTTCACCACCGACTAATTTACCAAATGGATCGAGGCCGAAACTCTATCATCTACTAAAGAAGCTGATGTGGAGCGATTTATCTGGAAGAACATCATCTGTTGGTTTGGCTGCCCATATCCACCCCGAGGTATCTACAAGCAGATCACTGCCTTCTTTGCGAAATACAAGATCAAGCAGCACCTATCCACCCCGAGATATCCACAAGGAAATGTACAGGCCGAGGCATCCAACAAAGTCATATTTGACTGCTTGAAGAAAAAGCTAGAAGGCGCCGAACGGAAATGGGTTGATGAGCTCCCCGGAGTACTATAGGCCTATCGCACCACCAAACGAAGATCGACTGGTGAAATCCAATTCTCCTATGGAATAGAAGCGATCATTCCTCCTCACATCACTGTTCCCTCCATAAGCCTTGAGGTGGGCAGTGTTGATCAGAACTTCGAGCAGATGAGGCTCAACCTAGACTTACTTGAGGGTGAGGCATCCAAACCATGATCCAAGTCGCCTCTTTTTAGCAGCAGTTGAAGTCTTACTACAACAAAAGAGCTAAGGTCAGACAGTTCCAACCAAGCGACCTCGTGCTAAGAAAGGCTTTCATAACTGCACCAAGACAAGTGTCAAAAAGATGAATCCTAACTAGAAGGGCCCTTATGTGATCAGTCGGTCCGAGGGTAGAGAAAGCTACACACTGGACACCATGGATGGGAAGGAAATACCACGACAATGGAACGCTTACCATCTCCGAACTTTTACATATCTATGGCGGCTTCATAGTGCAGATAGCCCAACTTGTACGTATGTATGGTGGCTTCAGACTTGGATTTTTTTAGCAGACTTGTGGTAGGCACGAAATCTAGCCAAGAGCTTGTCATAGCTAAGGGAGATGTCAGCATTCTTGCGCTCAAGATGAAAGAAGACATCTTTTCCACTAGCCAAATCAGCAGCAGAATCCTTCTTGATAAGGGAGCTTTTCAGCTCAGATATCATCGCCCTCAAATCAGACGTCTTCTTCTCATAACGGGCCTGCTCTGCAGAAAGCTTGCTGGCCAGTTCAACATTCTTCTTCTCTAGCTCGTTGAGCTGGGCAAAAGATTGGGCAACAGAAAATGAGTTATGGATAGTCTCAGCAGCAAAAACCAATCCTTTTTGAATATGATGGAGTGTCGCTTCCCTTTGTTTTTCCAAGGAAAGGCTCGAGAAGGTGCCAAGATCGCTGGCTTGACGGATGTGATTGACCAACTCAACACAGGAGGATGGGTTTGATAGGAAGTTCGTCTTGAGCAGATCAAACACGCATGCATCCCCTGCAGGGTTAGACTTGTTTGCCTTGGGATCAACCGCCGACACTGAAGAAGAAACCCTTAGCCCAGGCAGACGACTCTCTCATCTTCTTAGCCTCTTGTTGCGTCTACCCAAGTGCAAGTAGTCACACGTAGTAATAATCTTGGAAGTCCAAGTATCGTATCCTCAAGGAGCAGGTAGGCAAATATCTGCACACAAAGAAATAATTAAACGTACCACAATAAAAGTGACAAGCAAAATGGAAAAGTAATTTGATTTGATTGTTGTGGAAAATTGAGTTTAAAAATGAAATATCAATAATGGAAATGCTGAGGCATCAAGGTTCAATTCTTTAAACAAAATATGTTTCATGCTCTTTAATCCAAATTATAACTCGATTAAAATCATCATTGAGAAACTTTAACCGGAAGATAAAGAAATTAAAACCAATTTAATTTTTCAATGTAATCTTTTATTAATGATTGTTCAGAAATGGAGTTGCTTAATATCTACTCTTTTAATTTAAAAGCATGCCAAGTCAGTTCTTAACAATGAGAAAAATATAATTGAACTCATGAAAAGATAATAGCACTTAACATCAATCAAAATAAAAGGATATGAAAATATTGAACAACCAAAAATAAAAGAATTTAGCAATTCATACCGTATATTGGATTAAAGAACAATTCACAAACTTACTCAAAGAACATTCCCTTTAGCCTTAGCTAGAGTTCTAGCAACTCATTACAAAGGAAAACATAAACTAAATGGATAAAGAAATATGTCGTAGGGGTGCCCTTGCCAAATAAGTTGATGGGTGATTTATAGTAGTCAATGAGGTGAGTGGGAAGTTAATACATTCATGGTGGGTGATGAAGGGTTTAATTGAGGGATTAATTGGATTAAACATGTGTTGATGGTGAAGAGTTAGTGGAAAAGAAATAACGGTGAGGTAAGTGGGCGTTAAATGGCTATGAATGACATAAAATAGGCTCTTTAGCTTCAACGGTTTTGTCTTCTCTTCTCCCTCTTTACTTCTCTTTATAATCACAATAATCCCACAATCAATTCTTCAATTAAATCTGCCAGCAATTCTCTTCACACCTAGCTTGAACTTGGACAAATGTATGTCTTCATCTTTTGGTTTTCCAACTTCCTACAGAAGATAAATTCACCTAATAAGTTCACCAAATTAATATAGAAAATTCATAAATCCAGTTGGTGAGAATAAAATGTAACAACAAGTGAAATTATATTCATTAAGCCAAAATTATATCATAAAGTCTCCAAAATAATAGTAAAAAGATGTAATTTGAGACTCTCATCACAACCCCCAACCAGCTTATTGCTAGTCCCTAGCTATTCAAGCGACTAAAAGAAACTCAAATTTAAGTAAAAATGACAAAAAGAAAAAAAACAAATAAAACAGCTAAACCACTTTCGTGGGATACGATTGCATTTAGCGTATGCAACAAGCCTTTAAACCCTTAGGTGACCCCTAAAGGACGAGTTGTAGTCTCGTGAGGGTTTCCAGGGATGATACCCACAAACATCAAGTATGAGGCTAGCACAATTATTCAGAAACATGAAATAAAATAAAATTTGGAAAATAATTTCAACATCTGTCACCAACAAAAAGGACAAAGCACAAAGTCCAAATTTTCAATTCATGAACAACGTTAAAAGTAGGGGTGGGCACGGTTCGGTTTGGACCGGTTTTTGGAGAAAAATGGAACCTGATCCAATAGTGCAATCCGGTTCGGTTTGGACCGGTTCTGCTCAATATCCATACAGAAATCCGAACCAAACCGGACCTGTCCGGTTCTAGTTCGAATCCAACGGTTCCGGTTTTTTTTTTTTTTTTTTATTTTAAATAATAATAAACAAACCTGCCCAAAATGAATTTATATACTAACATACCTCAAATTTGAGGTTCTATCAAGCTTTCAACGCATCAAAATGAATCTAACTTTAACAAAAATGCAATCCAAATTCAATCAAACTTTAACATATAAATTACAACCCAAATTCAATCAAACTTCAACAAAAATGCAATCCAAATTCAATCCAACTTCAACATATAAATTACAACCCAAATTCAATCAAACTTCAACAAAATAAGTTCCAAAATAAATTACTAGCCAAATACAACCCAAATTCAATTCAAATATACATTACAACCCAAATTCAATCCAACTTCATTAAATTCCTCCTAACATTGAAAAGTAGTTGGAGCTATGGTGCTAGGTGTGGATGAACTCATAATATCTACATAAAAAAAACATAAACCCATTAAAATATTAGTCAAACATACACATTATATAATACATTAATAAAGCATATAAAATTACAAAGACATACCTAATTCAATCGATTCATAGAACTCCATCTCTTGAATTGTTGGCTCATATTGTAAAGAGGAAATGTCATCCGACCTTAACCAATTTTGAGAACAAATTAAGGCCTCCACAATCTTAGGAGTCAAAGAAGCACGAAATGAATTAACTACCCGACCACCCGTGCTAAAGCATGATTCCGAAGCCACCGTTGATACCGGGATGGCAAGCACATCCTTTGCAATAAGTGCCAACCCCGGATACTTAACCCCATTCAATTTCCACCACTTCAAAACATCAAATTCATCAACCACATCTTCAATAGGGTCGGTGATGTACCTATCAATCTCATGCTCCAATACCACAACATCATTTGCTCGAGTCTCTTTTCTCCAATTTTCGGTCATTTGCCTTCGTTTCTTTCCCCCTCGGCTACTACTTGTACTCATTGTAGTAGTATCACTAGAATAATAACTACTACTTTGAGTAGGTGGTGGTGGTGGTGGTGGCATGGCATATTCTTCATAAAACTTCTTTAAAATCTCTTTGATCTCATTCTTCTTCTTAACCGCATCTTCCGGGTTTTCAAACCGGCTTTTCAAGATAAACTCCAAGTTCCCCCAATTTGTATCGAGGGTCAAGAACAAGAGCAACCATCAAAATTTGGTTCAATTTATCAAGGTCACCCCAATACTTTTTAAACTTCATCTTCATGTTAAGTGCCATGTCCTTCAAAACCTTGGAGGTTTGGGTTTCACTTAATATTTCCTCCTCTTCCATCAACAAATCCTCAATTTCTTCTTCCATTGCAATCAAGTCATGAAATGTGGTGTGGGAAGCGGGATGCAAAGTGACACTCATCTTCAATGTAGCATCATAAAATACCTTCAAAAAATTCACAAAGGTACGAGCATTGTTCCAATCTTCATTAGTTGGTGGTCCTTCCCTCTTTCTAGGATAATGAGACATAACCACCCCATCTTCAAGATCCGGTTCATCTTCACCAAACCAAGAAATATATGGGCCTTCATCATCTTCTCCCATTCTCCAAAATGCCTTTTCAAACTTTAAGGCGGCTTCCAACATCATATATGTGGAATTCCACCTTGTTGGCACATCCAACACCACAAGCCCTTTGCATTCAATTTGCTCTTTCTTAACACAACTCTTAAAGTCCTCCAACCTTTTGGGAGAAGATCTTACATACTTCACAGCATTTCTTATACACACTATGCTTTTTTCCAACTTCTTCAACCCATCACGAACTATCAAATTCACAATATGAGCACAACACCTAATGTGCATATACTTTCCCTCTAATAAAAGACTACCATTTCCCCAATGGCCCATTTTCGACTTCAAGTAATCTATAGCCTTTGTGTTTGAAGAAGCATTATCGGCCGTGATGGTTAATATCTTCTTCAAATCCCAATCAAGCAAGCATGACTCAAGGAGTTTACCAATTGAGTTCCCCTTGTGATTGGAAATCACACAAAAGTTCAAGATTCTTTTGTGCAAGTTCCAATCACCATCTATGAAGTGTGCCGTGATGACCATGTAATTGATGTTTTGAACACTTGTCCAAGTGTCCGTTGTGAGGCATACTCTATGTGGTGCTAATTCTTCTTTCAATTTTTGTTTCATGGCATCATACATTACCATGAAATGCCTCACAAGTGTCCTACGCGATGGCACTTGAAAATGGGGGTTCAAAGAATTACAAAACCGCCTAAACCCTTTTCCTTCAACCACACTAAACGGCATCTCATCCATTACTACCATCTCTACACATGCCTTTAACCACTCTTCTTTACCATGCATTGTTGATGTAAGAACCCCATGTTCTTGGTCAAAAGACAAGAGCTTTTGCCGTTTATCTTTAGGAACCCTTCCCGGATATTTCTTACATAAGTTTTCAATATGTTTCCTCAAATTTGAGGTCCCATTTCTAGTAGAGTCTGCTGCATAGCTCATAGTGCAATACTTGCACCTAGCTCTCTTCTTAGTGGTTGCATATTTGCTCCCATCCTCCTTCACACTCTCAACCACTTCTTCATATTTCTCAAAGTGATCCCATACTTCCGATTTTTCTCTTTTTGGGCCGAAATGAGGTAATGGTGGAAGACCACTCGGTTGAGGTGTACTTTGAGTTAGTGTTTGAGGGTTAGGTAAAGTGGATGAAGGTGTTGAAGAAGATGCGGATGCGGATGCGGATGTGGATACGGATGCGGATGATGAACCAACTTCACTATTAGTAGTGGGATGTACCTCTCCAAATGGGTTTGACTCATTCATGATTTCTTTAAGAAACAAAAAAAAAAGCAACTTAAACATGATACTAACAAAAAACAAGCCCTCAATTTAAAAAAAAAACAGAAAATTAAATATTATACAATCGAACTAACAAAACAAAACACTTGAGTAAAAAAAAACAACTATGTCTCATTTCCCAATTACAAGTTGTACATACAGATATAATCAAAACCAATTATCATACAAGCTATACAAATTTCAATTGCAAAATATCAAAATTTCAGCTGTAAACATCCAAATTTCAGATATAATCAAAACATACAGATATAATCAAAACCAATTTCAGCTGCAAACATCCAAATTTCAGTTGCAAACATCCAAATTTCAGTTGCAAAACATCAAATTCAAAATATCTGAGAGAGAGAGAGAGAGAGAGAGAGAGGAGAGAGAGAGAGAGAGATGAAGAATACCTGAGATAGACAGAATTGCTGCTGATGGAAGCTGCGAGAAAATTGATGCTGGTCTGCGTGAAACCAATGAAACTTCGAGCCTATGGAGGTGTATTTACCACCGTGAGCTGCTGCTGAGAGGATGATGCCAACCCTAGACATTAGCATGAAGGAAGGTATTAGTATCAGCACTGATGAAAGAGAAGAACCCATAAGCTGTCAATAAAAGAAAAAATGGTTTTTTTGGTCGAAAACTACTAAATTGGTATTTCACCTTCTTCTGTGTAAGAATTTCACCACTTAGGCTTGTAAGAACCCATTCCCGATCATGAAGCAAACCTGCTAAAAAACCACCGAAAAAATAATAAAATTCCATTAACCAATACACTCCCAGATATGACAAAGATTCTACCCATCAAACAGGGATATTCAAATAATGGAACATACAGTGCCTCTAGGCCCTCTATATATTGTCACTGCATTAAGATGCATACATTCATACATACATACATAATAAATAACAAACGAAATTTTGCTAATTTCCTGGAGCAGCACATACTTATAAGAAATGAACAGAGTATACCAAAGAAAAAAGGGAAAACAATTATAAAATCATAAGGTTCAATCTACATTCTTGAAACTGTGAAACACATCCAGCTTTATTAAGTCACCAAGGTTCAACAACAAAATTTGGTTATGGTAAATGTTAATACAGGTTATCTTCAAGAGATAAGTACAATTCCAATCTTCAAGAGATAAGCAGAGTTTGGTAAGGACGAGACAAATGCAGACTGTATCCGTGACTTGAATCCATGACACCGAGTCACTTGGGACAATATCATTGCAAGAATTTGCACCTCAAATTGATTCATGAAATCTAACCAGAACTGATATTTCATAAAAACTAAATAATAAGAAATAAAAAAACAAGAAGCCATTGATATTTCATAAAAACGAAAAGATAAGAAAGCAAAGAGAAAGTTATTTTCAGATCTAACTGATTAACAAGGTTAGGATACAACCTTTGCAGGTGATACACAAGTAAACTCAGGAATCGAGCACGTTATGTCACTCATAAGTCTGCACGTTGCTGATTTTGAGAAAAAGAAAACTTGTCAGAAGATTTTGAATTGCAGGAACTCCATGGAAAATTTGTCAAAAAATAAAAAGAAAAGACAGAATCTATCTAACCTGCGTCACGACATGGAACTCCATCTCTTGAGGTCGGATGACATCTCTTGAATTGCAGGCTGCGTGAGTGAGAGAGACGGCGGCGCGACGGCTGAGAGAGAGAAGAGCGACAGAACGACGGCGGCGACTGGAAGAAGAGCGACGGCAGAGAGGCGTGACGTGATGGCTGAGACTGAGAGAGAAATAGAGGTTTGGAAGAAGGCAAGGAACGAACGAAGGAAAGGAACGAACGAACGAACGAAGAATGAAGGAAAGGAACGGAACGAACGAACGAAGAAGAAATGAAATCGAAGAAGAGAGGAACGAAGACAAAAAAAACCTAGGTCGTTTCAGTCAGTCAGGGGGCAGCTCTGTATGAATGAAGGAAAGGAACGAACGAAGAAGAAATGAAATCGAAGAAGAAAGGAACGAAGAAAAAAAAACCTAGGTCGTTTCAGTCAGTCAGAGTCAGCGTCTTTTTTTTTTCCTCTGTGATGCGCGCCTATGGTAGTAGCGTAGACACCCAATCAAACTTAGCCAAGTATAAAAATATTTATATAATTTCAAATATAATATAAAAATATATATATATTAATTTTATTGGACCGGTTCGGATTGGACCGGTTCCTAAGGGTGGAAAACCGAAACCAAAACCGGTCTGAACCGGTTCGGTTTGGATTTTTCTCGGTTTTTGACTTTTTCGGTCAACACGGTTTTTTTCGGTTTTTTCCGGATTGGTTTGGTTCGGTTTTACAGTTTTGCGGTTCCAATGCCCACCCCTAGTTAAAAGAGAGAACACTTATTTAACATTTCAAGTTAATCCCACCTCGAAGTCCCAAATCATTTATAATTAGCTAGCAAAATTTTCACATGTTTCCTTTGGTGTAAAGTGAACCAACACAATTGAGTGGCATTACCTAAATTCCAATCACACCAACCTTTTGATCTCAAGAGTTGTTGAACTCCCTTGCGAGAAACAAACCAAGGTTTTTATTTTTATTTTTATTTATTTTTAATATACTATTTTTTTCTTTATGTGGGCTGTGCAATGCTTAGCTCCATTAAGCTTTCTAATTAACCCATATAGCGAGTGTTAGGCTAGCGACTCTCAAACCAAAAAAGCTTTAAGGCACTAGGTGTAGAGACACCCCTAAGAGCTTACTAACTCGAGTTAAAAAGGCTACGAAACTAAACTAGCCACGCAAAATTATTCACACCCAGAACTTCACCGTTTGACGCAAACACTCACTGCTGATTAGGCAACAGGCTCGGTTACTAAGTAGAAGCTTGAGTAGAACACTATTATTTCATGAACCTTTTTATTTTATTTTAAACCAAGATGAGTCAAAAGCAAGGTCGTCCAAGTTTACCAAAGACAAAAGATTAAGCACAATTGGTTTTTAACTTTATACCCCACAAAAGGTGTTAGTGTGCTTGTGTAAATTGTCAAAGTATAACTCATGAATCATCCACTAACTAGAAATAAATGAAAAAGACACAGAAGTGGGATAATTATCATATAATTCATATGTTCTCAATCTTAAAATCATTCATGAATATCAAATAAATCTAAGTGCAATGTAATCTTGTCACAGACAGACTGTAAAAAACAAACAACACAGTGCACTAACCTCATAAACAATTTTTTTTCTTCACACTTTTCAGTTTTTTTTAAAATATTTTTTTTACAATTTAAATAAATGACGAAAATAAACAAAAATAAACAAAAACAAAATTCAAAAACAAACCCAAACCAAAAAAGAAAAACAAAAATGAAAGGAAAACTAACATGTTGCAACAAGAAAATAATACAATAAACACATCTTCTCCACCCCCAACCAAAGATTGACATTGTCCTCAATGTTTAAACATATAAGCATAATAAAAAGAAGAGGGTAGCGTTACCTGAGAATTGACATCCAAAGTGAAAGCCTGCAACGTGTTAGTGTAAAAACAAAACAAAAAAAACAGAAATGTTTTTTTTGTTTTTTTTTTTTTTTTTTTTTTTTAAAAAAAATTTCTAAACTAATTATATACAACAAATGGACTAAGGGAAGTCCAATCAATCCTGGTAAACAGGTTCGTTCAAAGAAACTGTCTCATCTTCTGGAACACATCTCCCCAAGTAAGGTTTAAGTCGTTGGCCATTAACCTTAAAAATATTTCCATTCTTGGGATCCTCAACTTCAACAGTCCCATATGGGAAAACTTTTTTAACAATGAAAGGCCCTGTCCATTTAGTTCTTAATTTTCCAGGAAACAAATGAAGTCTAGAATTATACAAAAGAACAAGTTGAGAAGGCTCAAAATTTTTCCTCAAAATATTTTTATCATGAAAAACTTTAGTACGTTCTTTGTAAATTCGTGAGTTCTCATATGCATCATTCCTGACTTCCTCAAGTTCATTCAATTGGAGTTTTCTCAAGGTACCTGCATCTCCAAGACTAAAGTTAAACAATTTGATAGCCCAATATGCTTTATTTTCTAATTCAACAGGTAAATGACAAGGTTTACCATAAACTAGCCTATATGGAGACATACCAAGAGGTGATTTGTATGCAGTACGGTATGCCCACAAGGTATCAGTTAGTCTCAATGACCAATCCTTCCGGGTTGGATTCACCGTCTTTTCCAAAATTTGCTTGATTTCCTTGTTTGCAAGTTCTGCTTGGCCATTTGTCTGTGGATGGTATGGAGTGGAAATCTTATGGGTTATCCCATATTTTTTCATCAAAGCTTCAAATGGTCGGTTGCAAAAATGTGATCCTCCATCACTGATGATCGCTCTAGGAATACCAAACCTGGACAATACATTTTCTTTCAAAAATTTCAAAACAGTTTTATGATCATTCTTCCGACATGGTATGGCCTCAATCCATTTTGAAACATAATCCACAGCAACAAGGATATAGAAGTAACCAAAAGATGGAGGAAAAGGACCCATAAAATCAATGCACCAACAGTCAAAAATTTCAATAATTAAAATTGGGTTAAGAGGCATCATATTACGTCGAGTAATTTTTCCCAACTTTTGACAACTTGGACAAGTTTTGCAAAATTCATACACATCTTTAAAAAGTCTAGGCCAATAAAAACCACATTGAAGAATTTTGGCCGAAGTCTTTTTGGAAGAAAAGTGACCTCCACAAGCCTCAGAATGACAAAAAGATATGACACTAAATATTTCATCATCAGGAACACATCTACAGATTACCTGGTCAGGACAATATTTGAAGAGATACGGGTCATCCCAAAAGAATTTTCTCACCTCAACCATAAATTTCTTTTTATCTTGTGAGGTCCAATGAGGTGGAATAAGACCTATAGCAAGAAAATTCACAATGTTAGCAAACCATGGTAATGTAGAAACACTAAACAATTGTTCATCAGGAAATGAATCTTTTATAGGCAAATATTCATAAGGCTCCTCAAAAGATATCCTAGAAAGATGGTCTGCAACAAAATTCTCCACTCCTTTCTTGTCCTTGATTGTAAGATCAAATTCTTGGAGAAGCAAAATCCATCTAATCAATCGTGATTTGGATTCCTTCTTTGTCAATAAATACTTCAAGGCCGAATGATCTGTAAATACAACAATTTGTGAGCCCAAAATATATGACCTAAACTTTTCCAATGCAAAAACTACAGCAAGCAATTCTTTTTCTGTTGTAGTGTAATTTTTCTGTGCACTATTCAAAGTTCTGCTCGCGTAGCAGATGACAACAGGCTTCTTGTCTTTTCTTTGGCCTAGCACTGCACCAATAGCACCATCACTAGCATCACACATTACTTCAAACGGCATGGACCAATCTGGGGCCTGCATTACAGGAGTTGATGTTAGCATTTTAATCAATTTCTCAAATGCTTCTTGACATGCATAATTCCAATCAAATTTAGCATCTTTCTCCAAGAGATTATTCAATGGCCTTGCAATCGCACTAAAATTTTGTATGAATCTCCGATAAAAACCTGCATGTCCTAAAAAAGATCTAATATCTTTAACAGTTTTAGGAATAGGCAGATTAGCAATTAAATCAATTTTTGACTTATCTACTTCAATTCCTTTGTGAGAAACAATGTGTCCAAATACTATGCCAGATGTGACCATGAATTGGCATTTCTCCCAGTTAAGCACCAAATTTTTCTCCTTACACCTGATAAGAACATTCTCCAAGTTAGATAAACAATCAGAAAATGAATCACCAAACACAGTAATATCATCCATGAAAACTTCTAAATATTTTTCTACCATGTCACTAAATATGCTTATCATGCAACGTTGGAATGTAGCTGGTGCATTGCAAAGACCAAAAGGCATTTTTCTAAAAGCGAAAGTTCCAAATGGGCAAGTAAAAGTTGTTTTTTCTTGATCTTCTAATGAAATCTCAATTTGATAATATCCTGAATAACCATCTAAAAAACAATAATACATATGCCCTGCAACTCTTTCCAAAATTTGGTCAAGAAATGGTAAAGGAAAATGATCCTTTCTTGTGACTGAGTTCAATTTACGATAATCAATACACATTCTCCTTCCAGTAGTGACCCTAGTTGGTACCATTTCTCCATTATCATTTTCAACTACTGTGACTCATGATTTTTTAGGAACAACCTGTGTAGGACTTACCCATTTGCTATCAGAAATTGGATATATGATACCTGCATCCCAAAGTTTAAGTACTTCTTTTTGCACGACTTCTTTCATTGTTGGGTTAAGTCTACGTTGAGCCTGCCTAACTGGTTTAGCATCTTCTTCAAGAAAAATTTTGTGTGTGCAAACCAAAGGACTAATACCTTTAATATCAGATAAAGTCCATACAATAGCAGTCCTATGATCTTTCAAAACTTTAAGTAACATACCTTCATGCAAAAGCTCTAGTTTAGAAGATATTACCACTGGATAGGTCTCATCTTCTCCCAGAAAAGCATATTTAAGTCCAGCAGGAAGAGGCTTCAATTCACACTTTGGGGCTTCTTCTCTTGATGATTTTGTCTCATCACTCACAGTTGCCAGCTCCTCATATATTGGTATCCAACCATTATGTTCTTGTACCTGCGCAAAATCCAACAAAGAACAAAGATATTGTACTTCAAAATCTTGTGCAAAATTACAATCCCCATTTACTAAACAAATTTGCAATGGAACAGAAGGAAAAGAAGAATTAAAGCAATTTTGAACAATCGTCTCGATCATGTAAACTTCTTTGTCATCTTCATTGTTTGCTGGCTGCTTGCTATGTTGAGCTCCAATGTCATGTTCCCAAATGATAGTTGCATAAGTCCATTCCTGCAATTTATATGAGCATTAGATGTAGCAAGAAATGGTCTTCCAAGAATAACAGGAATTTGAGAATTAGAATACACAACTGGTTCAGTATCCAAAACTATAAAATCAACTGGAAAATAAAATTTGTCTACCTGAACCAGCACATCTTCCACCATACCTCTTGGGATTTTGACTGAACGGTCAGCCAATTGCAATGTTATTGAGGTGGGTTTTAATTCACCAAGACCCAATTGCTTATAAACCGAGTAAGGCAACAAATTAACACTAGCACCCAAATCCAATAAAGCTTGTTCAATGATAAAATTTCCAATAATACAAGAAATTGTGGGACAACCTGGATCTTTGTACTTGGGTGGAGTATTAGTTTGAAGAATTGCACTTACATTTTCAGTTAAAAATGCGGTCTTATCAACATTGTGCTTTCTTTTGATAGTGCATAAATCCTTTAAAAATTTTGAATATGAAGGAATTTGTTTTATAGCATCCAAAAGAGGTATATTGATTTTCACTTGTTTAAAAACCTCCAAAATTTCAGGATTTTGATTTTTCTTTCCAACCTTAAGTGCTTGTGGGAATGGAGCAGGAAAAGGGCACTTAACAATTTCATAATCATTATTTTCTTTTTCATTATTTTTGTATTTTTCTGAATTCTTTTTATTTTCAACTGTTACTAAATCATCTTTCCCAATTATTTTTCCACTACGAAGAGTAGCGACAGCCTTCACATATTCATGCTTATTTTCATTCAAAGAAGAAGAAGAAGAAGGGGTATTTACCTCTAACTGTGCATGTGGATTAGGTTGGACTTGAGAAGGAAATTTACCCTTTTCTTGAATTGACAGTGAAGAAGTGAGTTTGGAAAGAGTGCTCTTAATCTCACCAATGTCTTGTGCATTCTTTTGATTTGTGGCAGTTTGGCTTTGTATGAATTGCTTCATAACATCTTCCAAATTTGATGACGATGATTGTCCTTCCACCTGTGGAGAATAATAAAAAGAATTAGATTTTTGTTGAGGCACATTATTATTAGTATTATTTCTCCAACTGAAATTTGGGTGGTTTCTCCATCCTGGATTATAAGTTTCAGAAAAAGTGGATGGTTTTTTAAATTGATTCACAAAGTTTGCTTGATCATGCAACATTTCTCTGAAAGCTGGAAGTGTTGGACACTCTTTTGTTACATGTCCCATGACCCCGCAAACTTCACAAATCTCAAAAATTTCTTGACTTGCAATTGAATTAACTTTTTGAGGCAATTTTGATTTTAGAGTTTCAACTTCCCTAGCCATTGTTGCCAATTGAGCTTTGAGACTATCTTCCTCCTTAAGGTGATAAATACCGCCGCTAGAAGGATTAATGGAAGATTTTGCCTTTTGGGAATTAGGCTCAAATGTGTTGGGAGTGCTCCAAATCTGAGATTTCTCTGCAATTTCATCAAGAAAATCAAAAGCATCTTCAGGATCTTTATACATAAAATTTCCATTGCACATCATCTCAATAAATTGTCGATCTTTAGGTGTTAAACCATCATAAAAATGACTTACCACCCTCCATCTTTCAAAACCATGGTGAGGACATAACATTAACAAATCTTTAAATCTTTCCCAAGCTTGAGGTAAAGACTCAGTATCTTTTTGAGAAAATGTGGTCATCTGTCTTTTCAAAGAATTTGTCTTTTGAATTGGGAAAAATTTCTTGAAAAATTCAGTTTGCATTTCAAGCCATGTTCCAATTGTTCTTGGCCTTAGAGAATAAAGCCAAGTTTTCGCTTTATCTTTCAGTGAAAATGGAAAAAGTTTTAGCAAAACTGTATCAAGCCTACACCCTTGTGTTGGAAAAGTTCCACAAACTTCCTCAAACTCACGCACATGTGAATATGGATTTTCAGATTCCATTCCATGAAAAGTTGGTAAAAGTTGTATCATGCCCGGTTTAAAATCAAAAGTTTGACCATTCAACGGAAAAATGATGCAAGATGGCACACTTGTACGAGCAGGATGCAAATAATCATGTAATGTCCTAACAAGTGGATTCTCATCATTATGAACACTATGATTATCTTCATCATTTTGGGGGCCTTCCAATGCATTATTATTATTATTATTCTCAGCCATTTGTGATGAAATTTGGTCAAATTGAGGTTTCTTTGCAAATCTACCAAACCGATCACGATATCTCATAAACAAAATAAAGAAGTAACAAATAAATAAATAAAATCTAAACTAATTTTTTTAAATTTTTTTAATATTAAAAAAAAAACTAAGACAAAAACAAACAAAAAACAACAAAAATAAAAACAAAAATGAAAAATTGAGTTTGATAAGCCTTACCGAATTAGCTTTGGAAACTAAAACCGCAAACCTTAACAATGAATTTCCTTGTACTACTTTCCGCTTCACCGCTCCCCGGCAACGGCGCCAAAAACTTGTTGCGTCTACCCAAGTGCAAGTAGTCACACGTAGTAATAATCTTGGAAGTCCAAGTATCGTATCCTCAAGGAGCAGGTAGGCAAATATCTGCACACAAAGAAATAATTAAACGTACCACAATAAAAGTGACAAGCAAAATGGAAAAGTAATTTGATTTGATTGTTGTGGAAAATTGAGTTTAAAAATGAAATATCAATAATGGAAATGCTGAGGCATCAAGGTTCAATTCTTTAAACAAAATATGTTTCATGCTCTTTAATCCAAATTATAACTCGATTAAAATCATCATTGAGAAACTTTAACCGGAAGATAAAGAAATTAAAACCAATTTAATTTTTCAATGTAATCTTTTATTAATGATTGTTCAGAAAATGGAGTTGCTTAATATCTACTCTTTTAATTTAAAAGCATGCCAAGTCAGTTCTTAACAATGAGAAAAATATAATTGAACTCATGAAAGATAATAGCACTTAACATCAATCAAAATAAAAGGATATGAAAATATTGAACAACCAAAAATAAAAGAATTTAGCAATTCATACCGTATATTGGATTAAAGAACAATTCACAAACTTACTCAAAGAACATTCCCTTTAGCCTTAGCTAGAGTTCTAGCAACTCATTACAAAGGAAAACATAAACTAAATGGATAAAGAAATATGTCGTAGGGGTGCCCTTGCCAAATAAGTTGATGGGTGATTTATAGTAGTCAATGAGGTGAGTGGGAAGTTAATACATTCATGGTGGGTGATGAAGGGTTTAATTGAGGGATTAATTGGATTAAACATGTGTTGATGGTGAAGAGTTAGTGGAAAAGAAATAACGGTGAGGTAAGTGGGTGTTAAATGGCTATGAATGACATAAAATAGGCTCTTTAGCTTCAACGGTTTTGTCTTCTCTTCTCCCTCTTTACTTCTCTTTATAATCACAATAATCCCACAATCAATTCTTCAATTAGCAATTCTCTTCACACCTAGCTTGAACTTGGACAAATGTATGTCTTCATCTTTTGGCTTTCCAACTTCCTATAGAAGATAAATTCACCTAATAAGTTCACCAAATTGATATAGAAAATTCATAAATCCAGTTGGTGAGAATAAAATGTAACAACAAGTGAAATTATATTCATTAAGCCAAAATTATATCATAAAGTCTCCAAAATAATAGTAAAAAGATGTAATTTGAGACTCTCATCACCTCTGCCAACCTCATCTCCAAAAGAGTCAATGATACTGAATCAACTCCACGCTTGACTGCCCATGACTCCATCTTTTGACCGATGCAGACGACTCGAACTTCGAGGAGGAATGTCTGCATCTTTTTAACGCTCGGCATAACTAGATTGGGCACGAGCTACCTCACGAAGCATATCATGGTTTTCAAGCTTGTCAGCAGGAGGCTTGGGCAAAACACCCTGAACACCGAGCATACCACCAACCTTCGTGCTATCTGCACCCACAAGATGTTTGACCCTAGTAGATGATGATGGAGTAGACCCTACTTGAGTCTTCTCAGCAGAAGAGAACCTTGGCTTCTTCCTCAATGGAGACATATTCTTCGTCTGCGAAGAAGTAGCTTCATCTCTTGAGGACTTGGCAGCAGCCTTTCTTTTTAGGAGAGATTCAACAGAACACTATTCCTGTCCGCCAAGCAGATCATCAGGGTCAGGACCGTTCTACTTCCACCTCTCGACATCCTTGGCAGGGGGCAGACCACTGTCTTTCTCCCAGTACTCGCTCAACAGCCAGCGCCACTTGAGAAACCTTAGAGGGATGTTCAAAGCACGACAGACCTTAGCCATGTCCTGTCCAAATTCCAATTTCTTGCTGATGTCATCCGCTACAAGCAGAAAACAGAAGTTAGTTAGCCACACTTCAAGAAATTCAAATAAAAAGAGCATATAAAAAATTGCAAAAAAACGTACTGTTGCAATAAGTGATGGGAACAAGTGGACCATCACCAACGTCACCTTGCCCAGCAGATGCTCCAGCCCAATCTGCCACCTCTTCTCCAGGCCCTACCAACGCGAAGGCCCAGCTCGATCCTCCAGCCCAGCCACACCTCTTCCTCCTAGCGCTCACCCTGCCAGACCCATCAACTCCGCTCCAACCCTCCCAGGCCCATTTAGCGCATGTGGCCCATTCCTTCCACCTGGCCCTCTCAATCCAGCACCAGTGCACGTGGCCACAGCTTGCCCAACGCAAGCCCACATCGCACGTTGGCCCAACTCCGCTCAACTCCAAAGCAAGGCCTAGTGCCTCGTTTCTCGAGCTCCTGGCCCAACACCTCCATGCCTCCACTTTGAGCCCACGTTGCACACCAAGGCCAACACCTTCTAGCCATGCTTCAGGCCCTAACACACACCTCCAGGCATGCACCAGCCCTTCCACACTCCAACCACCCCTAGCTGCCTCACAGCTTGCTGCCAAAGGTCATAGCAACACAAAAGAATTTTTTCCAATCAAGTTACCTTGAACGGGCAGGCTAGGAAATTCTCCAAAGTTTTCTCTCTCACTGACGAAATTGGAGGAATAGATTTTTTGATGTGAAGAATAATTTGGAGGAGCCCTATATTTATAAGGATTAAAATCCCTTGATCTACAAGGAATCTCAAACTCTTTCCAATCGGGTGTTCAGAAAATTAGCAAGTCAAACACCTTCTCCACTCAGGAGTCCAAATCCAAGAAGGAAGCCCGGTTACAGCTGGACAGCCCAACAGATAATCTACTACATGCTACCACACGCCATGTAGAAGCTGGGGGGCATTTGTGGTAACCAAATTAAATCAAAACCCTAGGTCAAATAATTCCTCCCATTTGGGGATTATTTGACCTAATTGGGAATTACTCAACCTAATTGGGAGTTACTCAATTTAATTGGGAGCTACCCAATTAAATTGAGAGTTACCTAATTAAATTGAGAATTGATTTGATTCCTACCACAATTCCCAATTAAATGAGGAGTTACCTAATTAAATTAGGAATTGATTTGATACCTACCACAATTAGGGATTTGATGTACCCTAATTAATCAAATCAATTCTAAATCAGGGAGGAATAATTCTTTTCCATCTACGAAATTATTCCGCTGAAACCCTAGCCTCCGAGACCATTATAAATGGATGGCCACACACAAGGGTTGAGGTATGTCTGAATTCCTACTGATACTCTGCAAAAATAATCCCTCACAAACCCTATTCCAAATCGGGGAGGAATAATTCATTTCCATCTACAGAATTATTCATCTGAAACCCTAGCCTCCGAGACCACTATAAAAGGATGGCCACACACAAGGGTTGAGGTACGTCTAAATTCCTACTGAAACTCTGCAGAAATAATCCCTCACAAACCCTAGCCGCCTCCTACCTCTCGCTTTTACATAAGGCTCCGGGCGCCCGGTTTACACCATAAACATATCTCCGTACCCAATTAGTTATTGTTTTCTCTTTCGAATCAATTGAACTAACCCCCCGGGTGTGGTCCTCTTATTTGTTCTATTTTGTAGGGAGAAAGAAGCAGCGAAGAAGAAAGATGAATCTTTCCAATCGAATATTCTCGTGAGAAAAATTGCTCCCAGATAACCCTACTAGGGTTACAAGTTACAACCTTATATTATAAATACCTCATTTTGGAGAATGAAATACATTTGAAAATATTGTACCCATATTATTTAACTACTTTTGCTGTTAATTTTTTCTATTCAAAAAATCACATGCTTGGCATATGATCCATATTTCTCTTCATTTTAAAATTAAATCAATTAATATAAAATAATAATACTAATAAATGAAAAGTCCTTGAAACTTCGCCATTGAAGAAACTCCGTAGTGTGCTTATGGCAGTGGAAGTGATATGATGGGCAAAAATTTTGGTAGTATTATCAATTTCAGAGAGTAGAGTTACTTCTTCCATTGCCAATGATCCAATATTTGGGGTTTGTTATTCCTCAGATGTTCCATCATTCAATTCACACTCTCTGCATCATAATTGGCTTGCTGGGTTTGAGTGTCACGTGCGCGCGCGTGTTTTTTTTTTTTCCCTCTTAATTTTGTGGGTAAGGGTATAATTGGATTTCAAAGATTTAAAAAAGTTTTGTTGGGTTAACTCGAATGATTTTGGGGTTTGAATAGAAAAAAAACTATTTTCCTAATTTATGAGTAAATTAAAAGAAAGGGAAAAACAGCATCCACTAGTGCAATATGTCACACATCCATGTAAGGTATACACAATGGAGATCTACACTAACACCCCTTGAGATTTTCGGCTTTTTCACAAAACTTTTTGAGGTTTTAGAAATTATACGAACACTTCCCTGAAATTTTAAATTGTTTTCACAAAACTCTTTTTCATTGATTTTTCATCCAAAGATTGATGCTTTTATACAAAAAAAATTCTCCAAATGACAAAGTTGGCCTTTGAGATTAGATGGCATATACTTCATTGGGTTTAATTTTGTCATTTACAAAAAAAAAAAAAAAACAAAAACAAAACAAACAAAAATCAATGAAATCATTAATTTTTGGACAAACAATCAACGAAAATGGATTTTGTGAAATCAAACTGAAACCTCGGGGGGTGGGGTCATGTAATTTTTCAGACCTAAGAGAATTTGTGAAAACACAAAATACCTCAGGCGATGTTAGTATAAATAACTCATATAAATAAATGAAGAAATAAAACCTACAAACGATGAACATGTAGTTTGCGCAAACTTAACCTTCAGCTCTATACAGCCCATCGAGGAAAGTAGTCACAAACAACTCACTGCAGTTACACCCTATAAGCATGGTGATAATATGCACAGTAAATGTCTCTTGAAGTGGTACAATTTCAAAGGTAAAACATGCTTAGTCCATTTAATTCGATGCCGTGCACCCAAAAACAATATATCACCAAAATGAACGCCCTTGCCGCATGTACTACACTTCACTCCAGTGGATTTACATCTATAACGCTCTGCAATTCATCTATGTGAGTCCACTCTGTCAATTACATCCAATGCTTTTTCCTTATCAATACCGAAATCAACGACAGGAACCCCAGACGAAAGCCTACTGAACGGTAACAATTTCCTGCTTCCTCGCCTAGGTGAGTAGCTGTTACTCTTACTCAATCTGTTGTGCTCCATCAAACTAGAGTTCACAGTGTCAAAGTCCTGACTCTTACTAATTCCTGGAATCCGTCTTCTTTTACTGACATCCTGCAGCATCTCCTGATCTTCATTTGTTAGCACACTTGACTGAACATTGATAGGCAAGTCCTTGGGCTGCTTATTCGCCAACGGGAGGGGTGTGCCAGCTGTGGACTTGACGGGTGACCTCATGCCCTCATTATTGGCAGCAGACTTACTTTTACAAGCCAAATGGTGAAGCCACAAGACTAGTTTAAGTATACAGACTTCTGTTTTCTCCTTATTTGCATGGTGGAATGTCTCAATTCGAATCACATCAGTCTGCAAAGCTGCCTTTCGGTTCGCCCCAGAACTGCATAACCGAAAATATGGTTAACTAAAAGAACAGTAAAAATCATCAAAAAACCCAAAAAGAAACAAGAAAGGAATACAGGACAAATGATAAAAAGTCAAAGTAAGAAACAAGCAGTATATTGTTACTCACCCACTACTCGCCCACTCTCCTACCCAGCCAAACCATGATGAGCTCTGTTATTAGTTTTTGTAACCAAATCAACAAAATGATGATCAATAACAAAGAAAGTTATAAACTGCAGCTGCAAAAGAGTTTCACGACACAAAAAGATACAGGTGTTTTGCAGAACAGCTGGCCATCTTACTTGGCTGTGTTTGTAGCAACTGGAACAAGCCAGTGTAAAGTTTTCTCCATTTCAGCTTTGATTTCTGCAATAGTGAGCTGCAGAAAACAATTTAGTCGAACAGCTTAGTGGATACAAATTCTCTTCAAAGAATGTTTTGCCACAAACCCAAAGTACACAGCCTGTCCGCAACAATCAAAAGTCTGTAATTCACATTCTAGGTCATATTATGAAACGATATATAGGACTATAGGGTAATGTTCTCTTGCATACAAATACTTCTGTTACCGAATTTGAACATTCAAACAAGAACCAACCTGATCAATGGTCCAAATTCACATTCTGGCAAGAGAACATTTCCTTAGGAATATATTATGTATATATAACTAAAGTTACACAAATGAAAAATTACCTCTTCTTTAACATGAAAAGACTGTAATTTGGAGCGTAAAGATGATTTTATATTAGGCGGCAAGCTCTGGTATAATGTATCCCTTGTATTTGGAGGCATAGAACTTGACCGGGCTACCTAAATGCACCAAAGCAGACTCAGAAAAAATCTGTGTTCCTTGTTAATTTAAATGCCCTCAGGTTGAATTAGAATACATCAAAACAACCAGAGTAACTGTTGCAACAGTATAACTTCATATTTTCATTAATATTATGTAAAATGCACAACGAGAAAAGAGAAGAGAGATAGTACACTCACAAGACTATCAATTTGGAGGACGATATTTGCATAATGTAAAGAAAGTCCAGCTGGTCCCAATCTTTGATAACTGTTCATAGGTCCCTCCACTGGTTTATGACCATCTGCATATGTAAATGAATAAGTCTCTTTATACTAGTTCTCCAAACAACCTAACCAAATTAACTCTCTGATGGGCTAGTTTTTCCTTTCCTTTTCTTTTTTTTTGTTTGGGGGTGGTGGTGGTGGTGGTGTGTGGTTGGTATTACTCCAATAAGTAATCGGACTTGTAAATAATCATTTGTCTTCCACTAGGAAAATAAAAATAAAATACAATCTGAAAGCATTAAAATTGGAAGATAATCTAAAGTTTTCCAACAATGCCAGTTGCGGCTTGTGAACAAAACTCATGAATTACTTCATTAAAAGACTTGTGACAAGCTCGTTGAATAGTTATCTATTCTCTGTATCAATATCTTTTTCTATTGTATAACTATATTATGAATGAAACGCCATTAATTAAGCTAATGGCTGTTAAGTTAAGAAGAAAATGGCTTGTTAAGTGATTAAAAAAATTTATTAATGACAATCAAAGTAAGATGAAATTGAACCACAAACTTAACTATTAAAACAACGTAAGCAATAATTCTTTGGGCTTGACTAAATTTCAAACTTCACTCAAACTCGATAAATATAACAAGCGCAAGCTTAAGAATCATTAAGCAGGAGCAGCGTATTAAATATTGATGTCAGCGGAAGTTTGAAATAAAGAAAAAAATAGACAATATATTGATACTTTCAAATTTTCTGACAGAAATATTAGGAAAAGATATTGAATAAATCTTCAAAAGAAGTTTATTTAATCAAATTATCTACTTGGTCAATATATATATATATATATATATTGTACAATTTAAGTGCGTAATAGATTTATATGATTTAGGGTAAAATACAATACATACCGACAAGAACTGTTACCAGGATCAACAATCATACTCTCTAAAATGAATAAAGTTTTGAACTACATCTTTCTAGCTTGTGCTACAACTTGTGTACCCTATATAATATTGGACACTTGTGTTCAAAAGAGATTGTCTTTGGCAATTGGTTTTAACATTGTTTGAATTTATCAATGTACTTCTGAGACAAACAGTATGAAACAAGGATTAATAGACTTGCAATTTTAAGAAAATACAAACTTCCAAAAACAACATATCATAATAACCTAGCAAAACGTGACAAAAGCTATGTTAAAGTTAAAGCATGCAACGCAAAACCAATCGGAAATGGGTGGAGATGCTCAGGATATTATGTCTTGTGGTGCAAGGCATGAAATACTCAATGTGAGATTTATATTCTCAGCATGCCTCCTCACATATGGCCTGGCTGAACCAAACACATGGATCAATTATATCAGGTGATGTGATGCATGCATGTGTGGCCAAACATGGTCTAACATAAGGATGAATTGTGCGCTCTGATACCATGTTAAAGCTAAGAGCATCCAACCAAAACCAGTTGGCAAGCCAGGATATTGTATATTGTGGTGCAAGGATTGACATACCGGAGTTGGAATTTGTATTCTGAACAAGCTAAAATAGAAATTGGGATTACACAGTAGTAGCAATTCTTACATATGAATACTCTAAATCTTATATATGATCGTGAATTACATGCTAAAGTACTTAGAAATGCTATTGGAGCCTTAAACAATATACTGTTCAAAGATGAAGATGAATCATGTAACAAGGCTATATGCTTAGTTTAAGACCTTTAACAGATACATACCAGCACTACCAAAGACAGCATGTATCTCTAGATGTAAGAAGTGGACGATATCAACAAGCTTCTCTATCACCTGTATTTCAAAATGTTAGATTTTACAGAGTATAAACTGTTACTTGTATGCTATTCCTTGTTTCCTTACTCAATGTAGTAGTGAAATAAAAACCAAAAACATAAACATCATATGGCAAAGCGATATTAACAATGCAGTGCCAAAAAAAGATGAAACCAAAAACCCAATGGCCACGTATTTAATATTTTTAGGCGGACGGAATTTTTGGATATGTGCTAAGCTTCCAATTTATAATCATTCAACTATCTTTAGTATAGCTTTTTTCCCATTTGTTCTATGCTCTGGAATGCAATTAGCAGTCAAAATTTATGGTACAAAGTATATCTGCGTTTACCTAAAAGGGGGGAAATAGTCTGCCCAGAAAAAGAAATGTTAACAGATAAGCAAAACTCTTCTGGGAAAATTGCACAATACTGCCTAAAATATTGGGCCTCATTTGGTGGCTCAGATTTGTCCCTGGATACTCTTTTGGATATGTGCTAAGATTTCCAATTTATGATTCAACCATCCTTAGTAGAACTTTTTTGTCATTTGTAATGTGCTCTGAAATGCAATTAGCAGTCAAAATTTATGGTGCAAAGTATATCTGAATTTACCAAAAAGGGGGGACAGAGTCTCCCCAGAACAAGAAATGTTAACAGATAAGTCATACTCTTTTGGGAAAATTGCATGAATACCACCTAAAATATGTGGTATGCCCAATTTCCACCCTCAAAAAATAAATGACTGTTAGATTCAAACACTGAATTTTGTCACAATACATCACCTAGGTCCGTTTCTATTGACATTTTTGTTAAATCGAGCCATGTGCCGCACATATCAGCTTTTGTTGAAAGAATACTTCATCAATGTCATTTAAATTTAAATAAAGGAGAAACAAAATAAAAACATATACACATTACAAAACAAAAGGCCTAAGCCCAGCTCATACTCTCTACTTTGGGGATTAGAGTACTAAATAATATTTTCATTTCTGACAAATAAAAGAAATATCTTAGGAAGTACACTCATATTTTCCTTGTCATATATATTTATTACCAACGGATAAATTATCAATATCATTTGAGCATTGCACAGATTGAAACTTTTAAAGATACTAGTAGACAGTGCATAATAGGAAAGCAGCAATATATAAATGCAATAACGGGAAAAGACAGGTCACGGAAAACTAAAGATAGACAAAATAAAAATCAGTGCCTAAAATAGCAATTAAATGAAGTTTTTCCATGGTTACCTCTTCCAAACTTTTGGACCAAAGCGACTTTTTCTTTAAAGTTTTAACCACTTTCCTTTGGCTTTTTAGTTCTGCCCTCAAGTCACCTATGAGATGAACAGAAACATTTAAAAAATTAATATGCCTTACTTAAGTGACTCTGCTACAATCATCAATATTGAAAACAATGACAGCCTAAATCATGACTTTCACATGCACACAGAAAGTAGCACATGGTGATAGAATCTAGGGTCTCAAGTATAAGATTCATCTCTCTTTTACGTACTGCACATAATACAAAGAAAACAAATCCACTAGTCACTTTTGTGCTCAAAGTAAATGGAAAGACAGAACTAGGAGACAACAAAATATGTGAAAAGAAATAAATTTTACCTCTGTTCAAGACCTTAATGACGATGGGCCAACAAAGAAATTTACTTATTTTAGGCTGCTTATAAGAATAAAATTTACTTTTCTAATGTAGTATTTTGGGAATTTAATTTTTCAGGTTTAATTATAGTGTCTTGCAGTATTTTGTCATTTTTGTCATTCTACTATTTTGGAATGCCTTTCTAACTGATTTTCACTCCTCAAAATGATCTATACATCTAGTCAGTTCTGCTACAGTTCAACCTGTACAAATAAATGTCCAAAAGATAAGAATAGGAAGCATTTCATCACCTCTTTGAGTAGAAAGTGAAGTATCCTCCTCCTGGCACTTGCGATCATAGTCTTGTTCAAAACGGTCCAATGAATGAAACTCATGGTATAATTCCTGCATTTAAAGCATATTGATGTTTTGCTTTTCAGAAATCAAATAACATAAAATTGAACACCGAGCTCAGTGTTGGATACAGTATTTCAGGATGAAAAGGAAGAAACATTTTTAAAGTACTCATATATTAATTAGAATAAAAAACCCCATACCTCAAATGACCTTTACAGATGCTCTAATATCTTACTATTAGTAAGTAAAAACATCTAAAACTTGTTTCTCTTAATTTGAGCTAATTGGTAGTTACAAACCATCAGATTCTTAACTTAAGAAATTAGATTATTAGCAGCCAACACTCACGACAGGGCAACAAACATAAATATGCCCTTTAAGTGCAAGGGTTGTGGCATCTTACAAACGATGACTAGTGATGATGAACTAGTTTCTGACCAGACGGCAGCTGCGGATGGCTGAATGAAAGAAGAGCATCTTTCAAGAGAAAAGAAAATAAACATTTCTTGGAAAGTAGGGCAACATGTATTTATGTTTTTTTTCTCTGTAAGAAACCAACATTTTACTGATAAAATGAGAGGAATATACATGAAAGATGGGTGAGAGGTCAATCAAATATAACTTAAGATCCTCGAACAAGAAAATATATTACACGGTACAGAACTCCCCCAAATGAAGAAGAATTAAATGAAAAGGAAAGTCTTTAGAATGCTGAACTGAATGAAAAGCTAAAAATTTAATCCCATTCCAAAGTTACTCCATTTCCTTCTCCGAACCCTCAAAAACCCTTATTTATTTCCAACCAAACAATCCAAAACTGCATAGTGAAACTGCAATGTAAAATATATGGTCAGCGTTCTCACCCTCCTATTTACACGACACACCCCAATGTGAAGATAAGCATGCAAAGGCTCTCCTTCTTCGATCAAGTCGCCCTCCTATGTCCCCTTATTGTTTCACAAACTTTTGTTTTCCCTTGCATCCTGTTAAATGTTTTCATGTTTAATTATCATAGACTGGTTTGTTGCATTTACTTGAGTTGGTTCACCTTTACTCAAATTAGTACATTGGTTGGTTTTCAGTATCTTTTTTTTCCCATTTTTATTTAGTGATTTTACAAACATATGTAAAATAAGCTATAATTATTTATAAAAATAAATAAATATAACAATCAAAACCAAAAACAAAAGAAAAGAGGTTGTAAATGGCATATTTGCTCATTTCCTTGCATAGCAAGCCCTCCATCAATAGCTCATTAAATCATCCAAACGATTACAGAAATGCAAACTATTTTTCTCTATTTATTGGATTGCTCTAGTGATGTATGTAACTTTAATAACTCAACAAATTAACTTCCATTTTGCAGCTCATAAAGGAAATACAAATTGCTCTGTCCTGGTGAAACAAGATGATACTTACAGCAGTACACTGCACTAAAGTCATGAGTTGCTGAATTATCGAGTTTGCATCATCCTTCTGAGGAGTAAGTTGCCTGCTGATTCTGTAGAACAAATTAGATGTCACCAAGTAATAACATGGCTCATGGATATGGCATTCCATAAAAGAAGTAAGGTGCCACAAAAGATAATGTGAGGCAAGTATATTACTTGTCAAAATATCGGTCCAAGTTGTGCCACTGAGGATCTTTGCAGCGATTTCCAAATCGAACCACTTCCCCCGAAAAAATTTGTAATTCTTCCCTATAAATGAAGAGTAAAGTTCTATTATAAGGTAGAATAAGGAAATAAAAAATCATTTGAAGCTGACTCATTTGCAGGACAAAATGAGATGGTAAGTATTTGGCACTAGATTCAGTATCCACCTTTTGTCAGCTGCAACAATCCTTAACAGTTCATCCATATCTTTCGACACTAAATGCTGCACACCTTCTGAAGGAAGCACCACTTCTTTCAAATGCCTAATACTTCTTTTTGACAGGGATTGCATAAGATTGGAACCCTTAACGATAGTGTTGGCAATCTCAAACGATATAATTGCGATTTCATTGCCTTTGGCAGGTGCTGCAGCAACGAAGCCGGTGCCAGAATTCAAATTTGTCATGCTGCTCCCAAGTGTGTCCAAGACCTGCACTGCCTTTCCAAGGCCAAGAGTGCCAGCTCTGCCCAAACGTGAACTCACCTCAGAAACCTGCAATATTGTAACAGCTATATGAGGACAAGGGCTTCTTCTACTAAATTTATGTGAACCCATTACGGGTTTTTAACATTACAACATTTATGTAAGTAAAATGACAATATTTTTCTAAAAACATTAAGTGATTCCACAGAGAGTTAATAGAATTATTAGCTAAGAAATAATGGAATTAAGTTCCCATTTGAGCCCCTATATGCCAAAAATGTGCAGCAGCCAATCATTTTATTTATATAACAACACATAATAAGTGAGTAGTAAAGTAAGCTATGGGTTGTGAGAGAATCAGCAATGGAGGAAGAAACAACCTTAGCGACGGCGGCCTGCTTAGAGCGAACAGAGCCGGATTTGTGGGAGAAGGAGGTGGGATATCGCGGAATGCCATCATAGAAATCATCGTCAGACTCATAAAAAAGCGGATTCTGATTGTCGTTTTTCTCTGAAAACTGTTGTTCTTCTTCTTGTTGTTGTGGAGGTGGAGGCGGAGGCGGCTCCTCCTCCTCTTTGTGTTTCTTCTGCAAATGAATATCCATGGGCGGCGGCAGAGTCACACTCACATGGTTGGTCTTCAAACGGGAATTCAGATTCTGATTCTGATCAAATTGCCGATTCACATCCCAACCCGCGCTCTCCACACTCGAACTCCTCGTCTTCTTCGAACAAAGCCCTCCCATTTTTTCTGCTTCTGATTATCACCACAATCACTAGCAGCAAAAGAAGCTTCTTCGATTGGGATTGGGATTTTGATAGATGAAGTGATCAAACCCCAATTCCAAAAGGCACCAAAGTAAAAGTCCACCAATAGAAGCAGAAGCAGAAGCAGCAGCCAAAGAGAGGAGGCCGGTTGGCTGGCTCTTGTTGCTTTTAATTTTTTATTAGAAGTTGGAATAATTAGAATAAAAAAAGAATACAAGAAGAAATGCATAATTCGGTGGAGGAGTTAAAATTCCGCAGACGTCTTCTCTCTCTCAGAGAGGGACTTCGGACAGTCAGTCAGACCGGGAATTGGTCAATATTCAAACTTTGCGCGCTGACTAATGTTCGTGGCCCAACTGCCCTGCCCATTGGCTGGCTTTCCAAATAATATTAATAATAGGACAAATTATGTAAAACCCCTAAACTATTGGGTGATTTTCAAGTTCATATCCAATTTTAGATATATTTATGAGTACATATTTAAACTTCCGGATGAGGGAAATAAACTTAGGATTGGATGAGAGATGAAGGAAATAAACTTGGGATTTTGACAAAATTCAAAATTTCTAAAGAGTGCTGTTATTTCCACCTACATGTCCTATTTTCCCCACCCAACATATAAATTTTAAAAAATACAATCTTATTTTTTCACCTACCAATATTCCTAAATACCCTTTTAATTATTACCTCATTTCCTCTCTCCTTTTATTCTCTCTGCTCACGTCTTCTCTTTCTCTCTGACGGCCCACACATCTCTCTCATTTTTGTTGTATCTTATTTTCCATCTCTCACGCTTTATCTCTCTCTGTCTCTCATGTTCACTATACATCTCTCTCCGCCTCAATGAAAACCACACCATCTCTCAAATCAAACTTCCCCTAGTACAGCAAGACTTGTCCTTCATCAAATATTTCACCATGTATTTCACTCTTTATCACATCTTCATGCAAAATATCCCCCACCAAATCATTGCATTCCTCAAAAACCAACGACTCATTAACCCCAAAAGCCTTCTTCACCTTCTCATGCCTCAAAAAACTTCTCAGCCAAACTAGTTTTGTAAGGAACGTTCTTTGTGTAATCAACAGAGCCCAAATCGTAGAATTGTTGATTCATCCCCAAGTTTTTAGATTTTTAATTTGTTTAAGAAAAAAAAAAATCAGAGTCCAAGAAAAACTCATCTCCCTTTGCTTTAAGTAATCGTAAAGATCTTAGAAATTCTGTTCAAATAGGATTTCCTTACTTTTCGCCAAAATTGTTCTCTTCAACATTGATTCTCTTGTTGTTTTCTTCTTCATAAACAATTTGATTGAATGAATAGAAAAGAGAAGAAAATTATTTGAGAATTAAGTTCTGAGAACTAAAAAGTCATAAGAGGAATCATGAGCAAGGAGTTGTAGCTTTCTTGTGTTTTTTTTCTTTCTATCAAACAATAGGGTTTGTGAGAACTTGAGAAGTCTACCTCTTTTCATTTTTTTCTTAAGTCCTTTTAAGTCATTTTACAATATGGTTAAATTTGTCTTTAAAAGTTTAAAGATAATGTGGGTGGGAAAATAGGACAAGTGGGTAGAAATGGCAGCACTATTTCTAAATTGACATGAACCAATTCCAGTGTTTGGATAAAAAAACATAGAAATTTAGAAATTCCACGTAGAAAAAAACATGGAATTTGGATATCATAAATCTCAAGTTTAAATTCTATCTAAAAGTCGTCATTTCTAAAGTTCCAAGAGAGATTGAGTTTAAAAAATAGATAACTTTACAATTAAAGGTTAAATTCTGTGTTTTAAATCAGTCACCCAAACAAGAAACTTTACAGATTCTAAAATATTATGGCCTGTTTGGTAATGATTTACGAGCCCATTTTCTATTTTCTCAAAATGAAAATGGTTGAGAAGGCGTTGGGTGGCCAGCATGAGAAAACAATATTCCGAGAATGAATTCTAAACCATGTACAAAAAGTGAAAACACTGAAATAACGTTTTCAGCATTTTCAATGGAAAAGCGGAAAACGATTTTGCGTCTCTCACTACGATGGCTCTTCTATTTACCTCCAGCACCCCATTTATCTAAAGCTCTCGTCAATTTCCCACACTATGTCTTCTAATAAATTTCTAATTTTTCTTTTCTCGGTGAAATTACTGGATCTTCTCATTCATTTTCTCGTTTTCATTTTCTAAAAATGTTCTCCGAAAACATTACCAGATGGGCCTTTAATTTCCATCATTTTAAATTCCGTCATTTATGAAATCCTTTGTCCTTTTAAATTTTCTCATCCAAACGCACTATTAGTGAATCTATTAAATGCTAATGTGGCGAATGTGGGTTCCATTTTTTTTAATGACGTGGACTTACAGGTGGACAAATAAATAATAAAAAATAATTTCCATGTTTAAAAATAATTTTTAAATCATAATAAAATTTAATTTAAATTAAATTAAAAAAAAAAAAAAAAAAAAAAAATCTCTTCTCTCTTCTACTACCCAACCTCTCCCTCCCGACTCAACCCTAATGATGGGTATATTTTATATTATATATTTAACCCCATTTTTAGTATAATTTGGTTAATATTTTTGAAGAATTTTGATACTTTGAATTATATTTCAAATATTAGACTTTTGACTTCCTCTAGAGCAAAACATAATCAAATGGACGAATCTTGGAGTAATTCCAGTTGGAGGACGTTCGTGAGTCACTTAGCTTGATCGTATCAAAATTTCATATTTTTCTACTAAACAGTTATTTTTTGACAATAAAATAAAGGGTAAACTACCGAAAACCCCATGAACTATATCGACTATCGAAATATCCCCCCAGGATTATTTTTTCAGCCAATTTAGCCTTCAAATTAAAAGAAATCACCAATTTCACCCATGTCGTTAGTTTTTCCCCAATTCCATTCAAATGCGCATAAAAAACACCACGTGAAAGGCACGTGAGGCGTCTAATTAGGGTAATATCGCCATTCTATACCCTCAGCCCTCAGCCCCCTTTTATCCGAACGAAGCCTTTGTTTCAGACATGGAGATTCGACAGAAACCATCCCTTCTTCACAGAACCTAACCCTATTTGCAAGCGTTCCAACCTTCTCACGTCGTTGATGTTCATCAATTTCATGAAGATGAGAAGACATTGCAGTTGAAGATAGGATGCATAGGAACAAACGTGTAGCTTCTACCGAATCAAGTTCGACCACTTTTATTACGGAGGATGATATGGTGTGTATCTGCCGGTGTGGATTTGAGGCTGAAACGATTGTTTGCTGGTCTGATGAAAATGCAGGGAGGACGTTATATGTGTGTTGTAGAGAGAAGTATGGTGGTGGCTGTGGTTGGAAGGCTTGGAAGGACCCAAAAATGTTTGAGCAGGCCAAACATGTCATATGTCGATTGTTGAGATGAATCAACTCATTAGAAGAGAAAAGAGCTAAAGACAAGAAGATTGTGCAAGAGCTAAGAGACAGAGAGAAAAAATTTCGAAGGCTGCTGCTGACTTGTTTGGTTGTGATTCTGTTGTTGTTTGTTTTATTACTTAGCTTTTCATTTGGTTAAAGTAGGTTAGGTTTTGATTTGGTTCAATGTAGGTTAGTTGATTTGGTTGAATGTAGTGGCCTTGTTTTGGCTTAACCAATGCAGTGGCGTTTGGATTTGGTTCAATGTACATTTTGAGGTTAAATGTAGATTGCACAATTTCTGGATGAAGTTTGAAGTTTGGACCAAATCTGAATTTCATAGAATTGTCTTTTAAGCTTGTTTAAATTGGATACTTACCCTTTAGCATAAGCCAAGGCAAAATACTCATAAACTACAAACATAGTACAACAAAAGCAAGGGAAAGACACTAATCCAAAATTACAACAGAAACAAAATTCATTCAAAAGAGCCATCTGTTCAAAATATATATTCCAACCCAACCTAAATTCCATCCAAAATAGCCATCAGTTCAAAATACAGTGGGGGAACTTCTACTACAAAATATACATTCCAACCTTGCTTAATCATCCAAAATCCATCCAAAACGAGCCAAATGTTCAAAATACACACATCTACCAGCCCATGTATTAAAAATATACATTCCAAAATCCATCCTAATCCATCAATGTATTTTACCTCCATGACCTTGCCCTTTTTGCAGGGGATTTGAACCTTTTCCTTTGTGGCCTGGAAGTGTTTTGATTGATATTGCTTGGACCTGCTTGTAAGCTAAATTACAAGGAGCTGGTTGTGAAGCAGCATTGGTTCCACTTGATTGGGTAACAATATTGGTCGGAGCCATTTGGCTTCTAGTGGCTGCAGTCCTTGTCAACCCTCCTCTAATTGCCTACAAATGAAATTAATCACAATTAAAACAATTGAAATGAATCACAATTTCACATCATTTACCTGTTCCTCTTCAGATTGATGGACTGAGCTAGTTCCTCTTCCTTTTCCTCTCCCTCTGCCTCTTCCCATATTGCCATCTGCCCTTCCACAATTAGTAGCATTATGGCCTTCTCCTCCACAGACTGAGCAATGGATTACAATTACATATCTCCTAAGCTTAGTGGCACCCTTTGGGATCTCATCAATAGGTCTAGTCCTCGCCTTCTTTGGCCTACCACTCTGTTTGTGATACAGTGGGGGTTTAATTGGCCAATACCCTGATTTTCTCCATAATTGTTGGCTTGGCATTGGTGAAATGTAATTGCTATAAGCCCTATCATAAGTTTCTCTCTTATGCACCTCATTCACATAAGTTATTGGGCTCCTCTGTTGCCTTGATATAGCAGCTATGTCATGGCAACATGGGATGCCACAAAGATCCCATTTTCTACAAGAGCATGAGTGAGTATTTAGATCAACTGCATATTGCCCACTAAGCATATGAGTGACTTGAAACCTGTTTCCACCTGCATTCTATGCAATGCATGAGCCACTCTCTTTCAAATTCTTCACAATAATCTAAAATATCCTTGGCCCAACTCTTTGAGTCCATTTCACCTTCTTTTGTCTTGCAACTCTCAACATCAAATAGGTTCTGATTGTTTCCACCATCGTGATTATTGGTTTATCTCTTGCGTCCAAAATTGCTGAATTGAAGCATTCACATAAATTGTTCAGCAGTATATCACACTTGGGCCCATAGTAAAATGTGACCTGCTCCAATGAATTGCAGGCATATCCTGAAGTCATGCATGAGCTGGGGCAGATATTTCCATAATATTGTCCATCTCAACTTCCTACCAAGGGAGTGTTGTACTTCTAGTAGTAGCCCATAGCCTCTGTTTAAGTGTCAAACTACCATGCCTAGCAAGTTTGAAATTATTGTGAAGATGCCTTACACAATGCCAATGTTCAACATCTGGCTTTAAAGCCTCAATTAATTGCCCCAGTCCCTTTTGTTTGTTAGTGATAAAAACTCACCCATTTTCAATGCCTCTTGTAGGGGCTTTTTTCTTCCGGTAGCTACTACGGGCCTGACTGCCGTAAAGGGCAAAATGGAAGAAATTGCCCCTTGAGCCTGAGTTCGAAAATTAAGCCCCAAAATACCTCGAAAAGGCAGTAGAGCCTTAGGAAGTATTTTGGTTATCTTCACCAACGAGAATAATAGTAACTTGCAGATAATTTTGGCATGCTTACAGATAGCTCAGCATGAGTGGCATGTGGCATGGGAGCAAAATCAACATGGGTTTAGCACTAAGAGAGAAATTAGGCTTGGTTTATGAGAAAAGAAAGTGTTTAAGTAAGGAATGAGGTGTTTTGTGAGGAATTCGACTAGGGAAAGAGGAAAAAGAAAGGCAGAGTTCTTCTGGCAGCTGCCAGAAAAACAAATTGGGGAAGAAGATGAACAGTGCACGAGCTTGTTGAGTTTTTGCAAGTTAGAGAGAAAGCTTGCTCTCTGCAGGTTGTGGGTTGTCTCTGTTGGGTAGGGGAAGGTTCAATTTATAGCTGCTGGAAATCACCATTTTTCAAGAAACCCTAATGGCTTCTACTTATTTTGGCTAAGTTTTTTCTTCCTTTCTCCTCCTCTTCTCTGACTTCCCTTTCTTGGCAAAGATTGCTTCTGTCTATTTACATGAATTCAGGGGATTTGGGGGCTCAACATCCTCCTTTCCCGCAGCTGTGCAGTGGGAGTTTCCACTCTTGGTTTGCTGTTTTTTCTTCTTTCCTTTCCTCTTCCTTGGCTGAATCTGATGAAGGAAAAGAAGTGAAAATATATGCTGGTCCAAAGGGTGCTTTTGACAGGGTGCAGGCCAGCATTCCTTGGTTCTTTGGGCGTCTCTGGCTTGGAACTTGCTCCCAGCAGCTTTGCTTGATGAGTCTGCCAACCTCGTGTTCTCTGTTTTTCAAAAGAGCTGAAGCTCTTGTGGGCTATTTTGGGTTTTTCTAAGGGTCAAGATGGCTTTCTAAGCAAATGGGCTTTTTGTAAAACATTGGGCCTCTTGATTGGGGTTATTTTTTTGGTTGGGTTATTTCTTGGTTAGGTTATTTTGCTTGGGCCTTTGGGCTGCTTTTCTCTCTTGTGCTTACCCATATGTTTGGGCCTAAGAAATGGGTTTGAGTCTCGAGGCTCCCAAGCAACCCGAGACTTTCCATTTCTCGGTCCATCAATGGGTCTCATGTTGATTTATCACCATCCATGCCACAACCCACTCAAGCAAGCCCCGGGTTTTTTGAGTGGCTTGGGCCCACCTAGGCTTGTGGCGTGATTAGGTGCGGAATGATAATTCCTTGCTTAGCGTGGCGTGTCGTTTGGCGTGACATGTGTGTAAGCGCATATGATGAACGTTCGCATGCCCAAATCGGGTTTCTTCTTGGTAAAGCATCGCATTGGGCCGAGAATTTATTTAGGCCCAACCGTGAATATTTTGGGCCTCAACACCTCTTACCCCAACATCATTGAAGAAAATCTCTAAAAACCATGTCCAAGTGTCTTTACTTTCTGTCTCCACAACAGCAAAAGCTATTGGGAACATGCCATTGTTGGCATCAATCCCAACAATACTTAAAAGTTGTCCTGGATGCTGTCCTTTGATGAAAGCCCCATCAAAACCAACCATGGTTCTGCATCCCTCAATAAACCCTTTCCTTAGTTGATCAAAACATATATAAAACCTCTCAAAAATTGGATCATCTCCCCTCAATGATGTCTTCACTAAAACTATGCTTCCTGGGTTTTGCCTCTTATGCTCCTTACAATAATCCCACAGCTTTGAATATTGTTCTTCAATGCTTCCTTGAATCCTCTCCTTTGCCAAATTCTTTGCCTTATAGCATTGGTCCTGTAGGGGCTTTTTTTTCTTCCGGCAGCTACTACGGGCCTGACTGCTGTAAAGGGCAAAATGGAAGAAATTGCCCCTTGAGCCTGAGTTCGAAAATTAAGCCCCAAAATACCTCGAAAAGGTAGTAGAGCCGTAGGAAGTATTTTGGTTATCTTCACCAACCAAAATAATGGCAGCTTACAGGTAATTTCTTCATGCTTACAGATAAACTTTTGAGTTTGGCATGAGGGGCTTGTGGCATGGGAGCAAAATTAGCATGAGTTGAGCACCAAAAAGGAAATATGGTTTCCTAGGGAGAAAAGGGAGTGTTTAAGGTGAGGAAGAAGAGGTTTTCAAGCATATGTGGCTAGGAAGAGAAAAGGGAAGAACTATGTTCTTCTGGCAGCTTGTCAGAAGAAGAAAATGGAGGAAGATGAACAGTGCACGAAATTGCTTGTTTTTGCAAGTATGAGAGGAAGCTTGCTCTCTAGTTGTGGATGATCTTTGTTGGGTAGAAGAGGCCCTAATTTATAGCCGCTGGAAGCTGATATTTTCCAAGAAAACCTAATGGCTTCTACCCATTTTGGCTAAGCTTTTCCTTCCTTTCTCCCTTCATCTCTTCAATCATCCCTTTTTGGTGAAATCCACTCTACCCATTTGCATAAAATCAGGGATTTTTTGGGAGCTCAAAGCCCCCTTTCCTGCGGCTGTTTCAGACTTCTATTTTCAGCCATCTTTCTTCCTTCTTTTCTCCCTTTTCCAAGGCTAGGTCTGATGAGGGAAGGAATGGGTATGCATGCTGGTTCAAATGGTGATCTGCGCTCCAATATCCCTTGGTCATTTGGAAGTTTTTGCTTGAAACTTGTTTCTCCCATGTGCTGGAGCTTTCCAGCAGCTTTCACACATGGATATTTTGGCTTTCAACGTGGCTTTTGTTTTCAGCTAGGTGCTGAAGATTTGCAAATATATTTTTTTTGGGTTGCTTGGGCCTTCTATGACAATAAGTTGGTTTATCAAGTACATGGGCTAACTTTATCAAGTATTGGGCTAGTTTGGTTGAAGTGATGGGCTATTTTGGTTGGAGTAATGGGCTATTTTGGTTGGGCTACTTTCTCTTTTGTGCTCACCCACATGTTTTGGCCTAAGAAATGGGCTTGGGTTCCGAGGCTCCCAAGTAACCCGGAACCTCCACTTCTTGGTCCATCAATGGGCCTCATGACAATTTATTACCATCCATACCACAACCCACTCAAGCAAGCCCCGGGTATTTGAGTGGCTTGGGGCCCACTTAAGCTTGTGGCGTGATTAGGTGCGGAATGATAATTCCTTGCTTAGCGTGGCGTGTCGTTTGGCGTGGCATGTGTGCAAGCGCATATGATGAACTTTCGCATGCCCAAATCGGGTTTCTTCTTGGTAAAGCATCGCATTGGGCCGAGAATTTATTTGGGCCGAACCGTGAATATTTTGGGCCTCAACATTAGCCCCCTTGATTATTTGGGGCCATGAATGTGTATTGAAATGGTCCGAATAATCAATTTTCAGCCCAAAATAAATTACCGTGGCATGGCATGGCATGGGTTTAGGAGCAACTCAAGGATAACAGGTTAAGAGTCTCTGAAATTACAGCCAGGTCTTTTCCGGGGAGGTTGGAGGGGTCACAATGGTCCCGCTTAAAACCCAATCCTTCTTAAACACCGAGGGTGTTGCCTTGAAGAACTTTCCTAGACACTGTAATTTTGGAGGTCACTTACTAGAGTTACCAAGAGTTGACCTTATTTTGTGGCATGATATAGAAGAAAATGCTTGGTGGATTAGCTCAAGATAACTACTTAGCTCGCATGATTTATTTGCTTGAGTGACTAGAGAGGCTTGATTTTGCATGATTGTGGTTTGCAAGAGTTGCATTGACTTGTGTATCTAATATTAGTTATGTATGCTTGATTTTGGCTTGCATGATTTGCTTTGACTTGTATATTTGGTATTTGGCTTGATGCTTAGCATTGGCATGTATGCTTGATTTTGGCTTGATACTTGGTATTGGCGTGTATGCTTGATTTTGGCTTGCATGCTTGGATGCTTGGTTTTGGCTAAGGTAGCATGGTTTAATATGGCTTTTGGGACATTTAGCATGGTGGATGTCATTTGACAGTAGCCGGACGTGCTAGTGGATAGTGGGGATCCAATCTTAGAGTTGCGGATGCAATAAGCTTGGATTCACCATTGTGTTTGATTTTACAGCACCAGCCTCCGAACACTTTGAATTTAGAGGACAAAACTTCAATGAAGGTGATATCGTGCGACATTATGGCTAGATATTGGAAGAATGCTTGAAATAGGGCATGTGCTGGAAGGATATTTAAAATATAACAAGTGCTGGAAGGATATTTGAAATAAAGCAGGTGCTGGCAAGGTGTTTGAAATAGGGCATGTGCTGGAAGGATGTTTGAAAACATGGCAGGTGCTGGAAGGATATTTGAAACAGGACAGGTGCTGGAATGGGCCGAATAATTAAACCCGACCCAAAAAATCAGATTTGTATTTGTAGAGAACTTCTCTTCTTCCCGCGTGCAAAATGACGACGTGTCATAATTGGCCCCAGCGGTTATTTGCAGTTTCCCAATGCCAAACGCCTTCTTCCTTTCTTTTTTATTATTTTCTTTCTTTCTCTTCCCTTTTCTTGCACCAGATCCAACTTCTTCCTACTTTTCTTCTCTTCGTTTTCCCTTGTTCCCCCAGCTCAAAACTGAGTGAGAGAGTAAGATCAAGTGGAAAACATCTGCCTCCAGCCGCTGGGAAAAGAGCCCAAGTCGATTTCAACCCCTTCAGCCCTTCTCCCTTCGAAGAAGCCCTTCTGCCGTTGCTAGAAGGGACCTTTTTGTGCGGTTTTCCTCTATGATTCTCAATTTCGCTCCCTTCTTGGTATATTCAAAGTCACCCGTTGGGATTTTAGCAAGGTATGTCCCTTCTCTAGCTTTCTCTTGGATTTATTGAAGAATTTGCTGGGTTCCCTTCATCCATGAATATTGCCCTTTGTTTTGGTTGTCAAGCATCAAACCCTCTTTTGATCTATTTTGTTATTGCAGCAACGTGAGTGCTTACAACGTGGGTGCTAGCAAGGAAGGGCTCGCACTAATCTTCTGGGATTCCCTTTTCTTTGATTTGCTCGAGTTGCTGGAAGGGTGCCAATTTCCGTGTGAACAAAACTGTTGGTATGAGTTTCTACCTTTTCCTCTTCTTACTTTAATCTTGCTTTGACCTCTTTTTTGTATATAAAAAGGCTGAACTTGACATGATGTGCTTTATTTTCTGATTTTCTCTCATTATCTTCTTTCTTCTTCTTCTTCAAGACCCAAACCCGTGGGTATTGTGCATCAGTACATAAGTCATATTTCGGAAGCTCGGATCAGAAAACTTCCTCAATCAAAGTTGTTCATCTGCTCGAGTACTATAGCCAGTAAAATTTGCAGAATTTTTTGAAATTTTCTGATACCTCAAAGCTGGTTTGCAACTTCTGCATTCATCCATGGCTGGTGAGTTTTTGCAGATTTTTCTTCTGCATGTGTCTTTAACTTATGATACTCGTATGATTGCGCTTGCTTCACAAAATTTGCTTGAAATTATGTTGTCTATAACATATCCAAAATTGAGGATCATCCACCCATTCTAGTGCTCTCTACCTCCATTTTTCTAAAGCATGTTCATGAGTTGATGTTGATGTCTTTGTTGCATGCTTGTCTTCTATGCTTGAATGCTTGAGTTCCTCTGTATTTCCCAGAATTTGTGAACTAGAAATCGAATTCTAAGGATGAGCTTTTGATTTAGGATTCTAGCTTGGTGATAAACAAGAGTTATACAAGCTCACTTGGGTATGCATGCCAAGTGTTTGTCAAAATATCTCAAAGTAGCTTGCTAGCTGCTTTTTGAACTTTTGAAATGTTTCTTTTCGAATCTGAGTTGGAGCTTTTGAGACATAAAAATGGACTTCTCAATGGTTATGTTGGAATTGGTCTTGCATCACTTGAAGAAAAAATAAATTTTCGGTGGAATTTTAAAGTAAGGGTTAAGGTGCTGGAGCTGTACAGTTTCTGCTGTGTGGGCTGTCTTAGAAATCTGTTTGACATGCTTCCCTAGCTCGAAATGCAACGAAATTTTGGAAAAATGAAGCTTGATATGTCTAGTTCTAATCTGGAAAGTCTGGGATTTGTTGGTTGTAAGCTTGATTTATAGTGATTTTCTAAAGGTGGGATATTCTAGCTAGGATGGTTTGGAAAGCTTGTGTATAAGTTTTGCTTGGCATGTTTCTTTTGCTTGGGAATTTAGCATGTCCTTTCTGTTGGTATTGAGTGCTGATCTGAGTATTGCTAGAGCATGTTCTTGAGCAATATTGTCGTGAGAGCATGAAGTGGAATGGTATTGTCGCAAGAGCATGAGTTCTTCAATTTGCTTGAAATGCCCAAATTGCTTGGAATGCTTGAATGAAATGAAATTTCTTGGTATGTGAATTGGTATCACACCTTGTGAATTTTGTCAAATGCTTGATAGATGAGTTTGCTTGCACTTTGAGAAAATTATGCTTCCGGCACATCCGTTTGTGTATGAGTACCTTTCCGGCGTCTGATTTTGGCTAACATATTCTCTTGTTTTAAAAGCTCGACAGCATGATAAAGCATGAGAAGTCTAATTTGATAGCATGAAAGTGAGTCTTGGTCTCTTGCAACTTGTCTTTGGAAAACATTATGCTTTAATAGCGATTCTACTTTCGGCACCCCCTTTCTGTTTACTAGTTCCCTTCCGGCACCTGATCTGGCCAACGTACTCCCTTATGAACATATCTTTTTTTGCAGGCTTTTGGGGATATGTACCTCACCCTAGCCAGGGCGGAGAGAGAGGTAGACTTGGCGAGAAGCCACTCTGAGACAGCCAAAGCCACTACCGCCGAGGCTTAGGCTGCCATCCGGGAGAGGAATGCACTTCAGCTAAAGGTGGGGAGGCTGGTGTGGGAGCTAAGGGAGACAACTCGGCGGCTAAAGGCGGTGGAGGAGGCTAGGCTCAAGTCTGAGAGGAGGAGGACCGAGGAGCTGAGCGTGGCTTGTGCCGAGGCTGTGAAGGAGTATCAGGGCTCAGACAGGTTCAAGAGCCTTGTGTTGGACGCGATGGTCGAGGAGCAGTATGGGAGGGAGAAACTGGTTGCGAGGTTTAATCCAGAGTTGGATATAAACTTCGAAACCAGTGGTGTTCCCCCTCCCATTCTTTCCGGTCGGGAGTCACTGTTTACAGCTACTCCGTCTGCTGAGGCCACGAGTCCCTCTGAGGCCGAGACGAGGGGAGGTGCTGATGCTAGCGGAGGGGAGTCGACCGTGGACCCTGACACAGCTGCCGAGGAGGAGGCGGACGACCATGCCGATGCCTAAGCGCTTGTTTATATTTTTGTTATGATGTACCCAGTTGTTTCAGACGTAGTCTTTTGATATGTATGGATATTGCCTTGCCCTAAGGCAGGGTTACTTTGATTTTTATGATAGCCTGGTATCTTTTTGCTTTATGCATTCTGCCAACTTCTGAAGTGTGAATGAGTAGAAATGGGGCCTAGTTGGGTGCTTCTATTAGATGGGTGCCGAAGGGCAGAAAGTACAATGGTAGGTTTGAGTCAAGGCTCAAGACCGAAGTATAAGAAAACATAATGTCCTAGGGTCTAGGTATGTTTACTTGTAGTAGTACTTGAGATGGTCAGCGTTCCAAGGATGAGGCAAGGTTTTGCCCTTGGGATCCCGAAGCTGAAAAGTCTCAGGGCGGCAAACCTTAGTGATCTTATATGGACCTTCCCACGTAGGGCCCAGGGTACCTTCATTAGGATTCTTAGTGGCCAAGGAAACCTTGCGCATGACCCAGTCCCCAGTTGTGAAAGCTTGGGGTTTAACTCTGGAGTTGTAGTACTTGGCAATACACTGTTTGTACGCGACATTGCGCATGTTGGACTAGTCACAAAGCTCGTCAATGAAGTCGAGGTTGAGGGCCAACTGCTCGTTATTGGCCTCGGCCTCATAAGTGGAGGTTCGGTATGTGGGCTGGCCAATCTCCACTGGTGCCACGGCTTCAGTACCAAAGGAAAGAGAGAACGGTGTTTCTCCCGTTGAGGTACGGAAGGTGGTGCGGTAGGCCCAAAGAACTTCTGGGAGTAGCTCTGGCCAGCAACCCTTGGCTTTGTCAAGCTTGGTCTTCAGGGTCTTCTTGATAATTTTGTTTACGGCTTCGACCTGGCCATTAGACTGAGGATGGGCTGGGGAAGCAAAGCAAAGTTTAATCTTGAGGTTGGAACAAAACTGCTTAAATTTTGCGCTGTCAAATTGCCGGCCGTTGTCTGTGACGATGGCGTTGGGGATGCCGAAGCGGCACACGATATTTTGCCAGACGAACGTCTCAATGCGAGCCGCGGTGATGGTGGCTAGGGCCTCAGCTTCAGCCCACTTAGTGAAGTAGTCGACGGCCACGACTGCGTACTTGACCTAGCCCTTGCCCTCGGGCATAGGTCCAATGAGGTCAAGTCCCCACTGGGCGAATGGCCAAGGACTGACCATGGCTATTAAAGGTTCAGCTGGGAGTTGAGGGATATTGGCAAACCGCTGACACTTGTCGCACTTCTGGGTGAAGGCTTGGGCATGATAGGTGCCTCGTGCACCAGGACATTTTCGTAGGTAGTGTTCAGGGTGGTGAAGACCTCGAACCTAGGCTTAGGTGAGAAGGGGAGTGGAGCCCGATCACCTGCCCTGTGTGGGTTGCCCCTGCTGGACTGGTGGTGGTTGTTATGTCTGCCCCGCTTGCTATTGTTGAAGGTATGCTGGTAGTTATCCTTCCGCTTGGGGTGCTGGGTACCCTAGGTACTTGGAGCGGGAGTAGAATGTTGAGGCGGGGCTGAGTTGGGTGCTGAAGCAGGTGAGGGATTAGCGAAAGGGTGATGTCGGGGTGGCCGGGCCGCGCTTGGAGTTGAAGTACTCAACTTTGGCATGAACTGTTGCTTGCTTCATTAATTCAGCATATGTGTTCCAAGGGTTACTGTGCACTAGGTACCGAAAGTTGGACTCTCGGAGGCCACTCTTGAAAGCACCAAAGGTGGCACGATCATCGGTCTCTGGGCAGCGGGAGTACTCGTGGCTGAACCTGGCTGCATACTCCCAAAGGGGCTCATCCTCACCCTGCCTAAGCATGTACAGGTCATCCGCGGAGTAGAGGCGATCAGTCTGGATCATGAAATGGTCTAGGAAGGCCTGCTTCAGACTGTCAAATGTATTGATGGTGCGGGGGCTCAGCCTATAGAACCAATTCAGGGTTGCACCGCTGAGAGTGGATGGGAAGAGGAGGCACATGCCTTCGTCAGTTAAGCCTTTGCACCCTAGGGCAGACTGGAAAGAATGTATGTGGGTGATGGGATCCTCTGTGCCAGTGTAGAAGGCGATGCGGAGGGGCTGGATTTCCTTTTCCTGGTGGTAATTAAGGATGCGTTCGGTAAAGGGCCCAGGTCGTGGCTTCGCCCAGAGGGGTTGGTGGTTGCACTGCTGCTCATTCTCCAAGCGCCGGACCTTCTCAAAGAGAAGTCTCATTGCCGGGTCGGCATGAGGGAAAGTCTCGGGTGCTGGAGGTCTGGTGTGTGTGTGGCCAGGGGCTAGATAAGGGTCAGGTCCACCGAACTCCTCGGTGTGATAAGACTCGTGCTCTTCTGAGTAATCATGCCCCCAGTCATCCGAGTCCCCCATACCCTCTCCTGCGGGCACATGGGTTGGCTTTGGTGGGGGGCCTAGGTGTGTCACCTTTGGGTCTTGGAGATTAACGGGGTTAAGAAGGGGTCCTGTTTGACGGTCCAGGATACGGTCCCTGCAATCCCTGTAGACCTTCGTTGGTTCATGAGGCCGGTTCCTCGGTGGGGAGATACGGAGAAGTTGTGACCTGGTCGTCTTTGGATGGAGGGGGCCTTTACCCTTGCTGGGCCTAGGCTGGATTGGGGGACTATGATGGGAATGCTCCGGCTGGTTTGGCTGTGTGCGCTCAGGTTCCTGGGTAAGGCTGCGTTAGGAGCCCTGGGCTTGGTTCCTTTCCCAGTTACGCTTCAGGATGCGGTAGTCGTGCTCCAGCTCAACATTCTTGGAGTGAAGATTGTCACACCTCTCGGACATCTTGACGACACTGGCGCGGAGAAGCTCCACCTCGGCCTGGAGATTGACCTCCGCCGACGGTCCCCTCTGGGAGGTACCCTCCTGGGGGGTATTGCGCTGGGCATCGTGGCTATCCTCAGCAGGCATAGCTGAGTGTGGAGTGAAGAAGAGGCGACGGGGCCAGATAGGTGAAGGAGCTAGCTAGGCTGGTAGAGAAAAATGAGTTTTAAGTATTCGTTTCCCACAGATGGCGCCAAACTGTTGATGCTCTTTTTCGAAAAGGGTCAACTTAGAGATAGGGGTTTGTCTTTAGCAAGAGAAGGGCCTGGGCCTTTAGTAAAGGGCTAGCCTGCATAAGACAAAGCAGGAGAAGTAGTCATTAAGCTTCGGACACCGGTGTGGTGCCGGCCGAAGGCTCTCCGATGCTTGAGTCAGCTAGGGGTAGTGACTATTGCAAAGTAACAGTAATAGTGAGAGAGAAGTTACCCCTTTTCTTGGTTACTGTTCCCTATTTATAGGGAAGTAAAAGTAGGAGGTTTGCACAAAGTTCCGATGTGGGACTTTGTGCAAGTTGCTGTGATGATGGCACGTGTCTCCTGTGTTTAGGTTTGGCAGTTCGGAGCTTCGGCAGGTGGTTGTCCCTTCGGAAGAGCATCTCCCTTTGGCAGGGAAGAAGGCATGTCTGCCTTGGTGTTAGTCACTTTGGTGCTAGGCATGCTTGGTTAATCATGGTGTAAACAGGGAGGATTATTTTTCATATTAGGAAACCTAAAAACCTGGTTCTAGAAGAAAGCATTGGACCGCACCTCTTTCCTAAAAAGGTGGCGTCTGGGTCCTATCCTTGTTCCAAAAGAAATCTGCCAAACAAAACCCTAATTTCGTGGGTTTCTGCTGGACCCTTTTACCCTAGATCTACCACATATATAAAGGAGGGGTTGTCGCAGGAGAAGGGAGTTCTTTTGGTGTTGTAGCAAGAAAGGAGAAAGGGAGAAGAAGAACTTGGAGCTGGAACCTGCTGCATTCATTGGGTTTTTCAGAGTTCTTCCCTTGATTAGTTTAAATGTTTATTCTAGATTGCTTTTCAATTATTATGAACATGTGTGACTTAATTTCTTCTTAGTTAGAGGTGAATTCAAAGCCATGGACATATGTTTTATATGAATTGATTACTCCCAGTTATGGTTTCGTAAAGTATGAAGGTGATTTACTTTTCTGTTTTATTGAGGACTTATTCTTGTATGTTTTATTAAGGATGCATACTTAGTTTGCATGCAGGGATTTGATGCTAGAATATAAGGGAATTTCACCTAATCTTTATGAACTTATATTCACAAGTAGTAAAAGTCACTAGTCATGATTGCGTTAAGTAAATTCCTAGCAGGAGTATCATGCTTTTCATAGTTACAAATGCCTTGTCAAGGCTTATGATTTTCATAGAACTTAATGATATTTGATATGTATCTCTATCATGCTGTTCATATAGGGAACTTGATGAGTATAATTTGATTGCGTCGCTAAGTCCAATTCAATGAACTTAGGAAAATCTGAGAGTTAATTAGTGCATTCACAATTAATTTGGGGCTTTGTCATTCATACTTTATAGAAAGAGTAACTGGAGATCGATTTGTGGGCATATGTTCCATGTGTGGAGAAGAATCCTCTAGCTATCCCTTCATCCATATTTCGTTCACAACTTAGTTGTTTGCTGCTGTCAGTATTACTTTAGTCTAAATTGTCAAAATTCCCCCCCAATTATTGTTCCCTTAACTTAGTTTTCAGTTTAATAAGTTTAATTTGTGTTGATTAGCATCCCTCCTAATCCCCGGAATAGAACGATCCCTACTTACGCGTACTACGATTGCATAATTTATAGAGTTTAATTTGTGTGTTAGTTATTTCTCACGCCACATCCCGTCCTCCACTTCATAGTAGTGGGATCAAATGAGTGATTTGCGTCTCTCTCGCTCCGCACTTCTCTAGTGGGAGGGAAGCTCGATCATCCCACATCTTTTGGTTGTGGCATATGAGTTAAGCCATGATAAATGAGATTCCCACGTCTTTTGGTTGTGGCATGTGCATTAAGCCATGATAAATGAGATTTGATCCCCACAAGAATCAATCCATACCAATTTCCCACTTGGAGCACAATGGCCCCATGAAAAGTTCAATTTATTAAGGTGCAAGACATCCACTATACTTTATGTCTGAATCACTGTTTTTCTATTGGGCTTTTTAGTACCAATAGTGGAGTGCCTATAATCAAACTGCATATAACATATTTGATCTCATTCTACGACCCAAATAACTTAAAAGAATATTCAAGTGTTAAAACACAACCACGCTTTTCGGAATGAACACATACTAAACTAATTAGACAATAACAAATGGCTAATTGAGTTTTTTTTTTCCTCTCCAATTAGGCTATCCAGTTGTTTTTGTATCAATATATAATTATCATGGCGTATTTTTTTTTTTTATAAAAAAAAAAAAAAAAAAAAAAACGTAGGTGTTAGAAAAGGGTGCGTAGAAATAGATGCAGCAGCCAGCCAATGGGAAAATAAATAGGGAGGGAAAAGTAAAGGGTGGAAGCTAGAAGACGAAAGGCATGAGGTGGAGTTTGATGGCAGCAGCAGGTTCCCAGAAGTAGACGCCAGCACTCAAGCTTTGACTTCCTCCACAAATACCAGTTTTTACCTACTCTTCCTCAAACAAAACAATCCCAATCAAATATTTTTCTTTTCAATATTTATAATTTTATATATTGGAGGCTACCTCTTTGCTATATACAAATGCTCAACAGGAACAATAGTAAATGCTTTGCATTGACCAGTCTTCATAACACAAAACTAAAAAGAAAAAGGAAAAAAGAAGAAAGGAAGAAGAAGAAGAAGAAGAAGAAGAAGAACGAAGAACGAAGACTCAAGACTCGCTTGTGTTGCTGCTTGGCAATCGTAGGGGTGTTTGGTCGATGGGAAAGTGAGAGAGAAAGAGAGAGAGAAAAAGAGAGATGAGTAGTCGAACGAGCTCGAAGAAAGCAGCGGCGGAGGCGGCGGAGGCAGCGATACAGTCGATAGGGTTAGGATACGATCTGACGGTGGACTTGAAGCTCAAGTACTGCAAGAGGCAGCAGTCAGCGGTTGGGGTTGGGGTTGACTCTCGCTTGATCGCCATCGACGACGACCAAGTTCGTGAAATTGCAATTCCAGGCGCCGGTGGGCTTTGCATACCCAATGTCCCCAAATCCATCAAATGCGACAAAGGCGAGCGCATGAGGTTCGGCTCTGATGTTCTCTCCTTTCAACAGGTCCGTTGTTTGTGCTTTCATCATTTGTCTTCATATTGATTTAAAGTTTTATACTATCTTCATTTTTCATTTTTGTTTGTTCGTTTAAATACAAATTAATATATGAATTGTTGGTTTGATGTAGATGTCAGAGCAATTCAACCAGGAATTGACTCTGTCTGGTAAAATCCCAACTGGGCATTTCAATACAGCATTTGAGTTTACAGGAGGATGGCAGAAGGACGCTGCCAACACCAAAACACTTGCTTTTGATGGGATCTCCATCACACTCTACAGCGTCGCTCTTGAAAAATCCCAGGTTGCCTTGCGTGACCATATCAAACATGCTGTCCCCTCATCTTGGGATCCTGCAGCACTCGCAAGGTTTTACATATTAGTTCACATCTCATCTAACTGATCATCTGATAAATGCTCTACTCAACTTCACGAACTGATTACATTTTCCTCTTAATGTTTTCTTCCAGATTTATTGACAAGTACGGTACACATGTCATAGTCGGGGTGAAAATGGGCGGAAAGGATATGATATATGCCAAGCAGCAGCACTCATCACCTCTCCAACCTGCTGATGTACAAAAAAATTGAAGGACATGGCAGATAAGATGTACATAGATGGAGCTGGTCAGTCTAGTGTGAATTCGGAAAAATTCTACGAGAGAGACAAGGTTTGAAGAATTTCATTTTATGCTTAATACCATTCAATTCAAATATCAATGGGTCTTTTTGCTAAATGAACTTTCTGGTCATACCCCATGTTACTGAAATTTAACATATCAGTTTGTGTATGTATAGAGATAATTTAGGAGTGTTTTTGGACAAAGCACACTTTTGTTTGGTACACAGAAAATTTCATTAAAAACCCATGTGCTATTATCTATTCACTTAGAAGCGCTTCCTACGGAATCTCTTAGAGACTGTTTGGGAGTGCTTCTGTGCGAAATACTTTTACTCAGTAGCATGGTGCTTTTGTTAGAAGAAAATACACAATTTCTATATATGTTTTAGTCAGTAGCCTAGAAACCCAAGTTCTATATATGATCCTTGAAGGAGAATCTGAAAAATGGACATTCATGATCATTGGATTGCTATGGCTGTTTCACAATTGAGGAAGAAGTATAAATTACAATAAGTTTTTTTCACTCATTTATTACGATTGTAAAAGTCCAATTTTTTTCTTTCCATCAGTAAACTTCAGCGGCTATATTTTTTTCTTGCAGTATATATGTGGTATCTTTTTTCAGAAAAAAGGGCTTTCTGATGTTGATATGATGAAACTTTTCTTGAAACTTTCTTTGGTCCCTTTTTATGTACTTGTACCCATTTCGTGAAACTTTATCTGGTTGTTTTTAGAAAAGCTCTTATGTATGATTTCACCATAGAGTTATCTTGTTTGTTCTGGTGCTTGGATGTGTCTCATTCTAACTTTATTAGAATTGAAGTTTTAATTTAAAATTGAATCCTGTTTTTAAGCTTTTTATGTTACCGTGGTTCAATAATGTACTATGAAAATTGGCCCAATTTAGGAGATAGATTACTCTTTTTTGGGTTATAGCAGACATTACTTTTGCCACTTTTATACAATTGAAATCATGCCAGATTTGTATCATGGCATATCGTATAGCTACCTTAACCTCTGTCTTAATTTCGTTTCAGTTGGTCAAGGAGCGCGGGCGAGCTATCATGGACACAATCCCTTCCAGTTCGTACTCATGTGTAGAGGTACTTTAAGAAAAGACAGAACGAAAATCTCTATTTTAAATGTAAATTATGTCGGGTCAAAGCTCTTTCTTGGTACCAATTAGATTAAGTACTATGGAACTTTATGAGTTCTGATTGTTATTGAACATTTCTTTAACTGTTTATATCAGTAGCGACGTTGTGGTGCTTACCAGTCATAATTTTTTTTTTTAAACATTGAGTTATTGAACATTTCTTTAACTGTTTGTATCCTTATTCTTTTGTCATCTTTTGCTTATACTTTTGTCTTCTGTTGGTACGATTAATTGAAAATAGAGCCGTAAAATTTTGAGATGTAGGAAATTAAATCTTGGAGTTTTCTGAGGTTGAAACTGTCTGTACTTGAGTGGTAGATGATCTTTCTAGCTTACTGGTTTAATGTTCTCAAATGTTTAATTTGGAGTATTATCAAACTATAATATTGAAGCTCATATCTCTTATGTACTTTAGGTGCAGGATATTAAATTCATGTGCAAGAGGAAGGGTGGAAGCTTGTATAAAAATCTACCCTACAATGAGTGGTGTCACACAGTTCAGATTGAACCTGATGTGATCTCAATGTCATTGGTTCCTATTACATCGTTACTGAGTGGGATTCATGGGAGCGGATTTTTAAGTCATGCCATTAATCTCTATCTTCGTTGTAAGCTTAATCCTTCTCTCATTAGTAAATTAGTTTTCTAAACTTCTAATTGCATGCCTAGGGAAGAAGTATCCTCTAAAACTAATATCCAATAGTTTCCTTTCATTGCACAAAAACAATGTTATATTGTTGGTTTCAAACAGTTAAGAACATTCAATACAACACAATTTGCTTTGTATGAAATTTTGTTGTGTGTACCCTTGTATGGTTTTAATATTTTCCCTTTTATGCTTAGCTTTTATGAATATCTATCATGTTGTGCGTTACATCTGAATCCAGTACTTAAATGGAGGGGAGTTTTTATTTATTTTTTTTAAAAGGAAAAATGGAGGGGAGTATTAATGTGTCTTGTTGTGTGGTAGACTGAATGTACTTTGTTGGTTTTGCCTTCTAGCTTTTGTACTAGCAATTTTATAAGTATCATGCTTTATATAAGCGTATCTTACATGAATATAGTCTAGAGATTAATCTAAACAGTCTGAATGTTTAGATTTTGCATTTCCCTTGGTTCACATATTTTGTCTACTTTATTATTTTGTGTGTCCCAGATGTGTTCTCTATCTGGATTCTGTCTGTATAATAAGCAGATGGAGTTGGATTGAAGGATAAACATTAATATAGAAAAGTTTTGGTTTATTTAAGGACTAGTCAAACCTACCATTAACCTTCTATGAATTGATGCAAAACTTGTGGTTGTGGGTGGTTAGTTATTGGTCGGAAATGAACTTCAACTGAGACCTTTTGGTTATGCCACCCTAATCAAAATGGGCTTACTACACTATAGCAATAGTTCTTAAATATACTTATAATTTAAGTAATAAAATCCAATAAATGTGATATTGACGGTTTGTTGGCTGGTGATTATTTGTATAGCCATGTTCATGTTTCATCCGCAGACGAAATTTATAGATTCTCTCAGGTTACAACATACAAATATTATCTTCTTTTTTCTTTTTTTTCTCAGTTCTGAGTCCATGCAATAATCTTTTTAGATATCTAGTTCCATAAATCATATTGGGCATATGAGCTGATCCGCTGCCACTCTATAATATATATTTTTTTATTTTGGTTCCTGGTGGTGGGTGTCACTATGTTTTTTTTTCAATGCAATGTGCTTGTTTATTCTTTTCATTATTTTACCCTTTTGACAGATGTCTATTTCAGACCCCATACTTACGGTTCCTGGTGGCAGGTGTCACTGTTTTCTTTATGCAATGTGCTTGCTTATTCTTTTCATTATTTTATAACTAGCCTTTTGACAGATGTCTATTTCAGACCCCATACTTATGGTCTCTTGTAAGTTATAACAATAATAATAGATATGTTCATCCCATCTGCTTCCGTCCTGCAACTTGCAGCCGCGAGTTCATTTCTCTTTGCATTGAGAATTTAAGTAAAATGTTAAACGATTCTTTTCTTTTCTTTTTTATTGTTGGCAATTTTTATCAAGTGCAGATAAGCCGCCAATTGAAGAACTGCATCAATTTTTGGAGTTTCAACTTCCAAGGCAATGGGCGCCGGTGTTTGGTGAGCTTGCGCTTGGTCCTCAGAGGAAGCAGCAAAGTAGTGCATCTTTACAGTTCAGCTTCATGGGTCCTAAGCTTTATGTTAATACAACTCCGGTAATGGTATTAGTATTGTGTTTTCTTTGGAATTTGTCTTAGTATTGCAGAAGAAAATGGATGTATCGTATTGGTAGAAGAGTAATTGCACAATTCCATTAGTTAAAGTTGAACTCAAATGAGACTTGAAATCTGAAGTAAAGCTTATTTTTCTAACTAGTTGATTTCCATGTGCTACTTGTGCAAGGGTTAAAAGACAATAGATTAAGCTTTAAGCAGTTCCATAAACAATTTAGTGGATGCGTGATTATTCAGTTTTGTTAAATGAGATCATGCCGGGAAGAGGTATGAATGACAACTGATGAATGTATCCGTGTCATGTTCTCTTAACAGCAATGAATAGCTAAATAAGATTAAGTGGCTTATACTCTAAATACCAAAACTTTAGGATACCAGCTAGTCTCTTGTTTTCCCTCCCTATTCCCTTTGATTTACTATACTATCCCCAAATTTTCTTGGTTATGATATAGGGGAAATGGGTTAAATAATTTCCCAGGAAATGACATGGTTAAATTCTTGATGGTGGTAAATTTTGGTTTCTTTGCTGGTGTTTTGGGGAAACGTGCATTTTATTTATTTATTACTACTTGTGTTTAAAATAAAATTTATGCATTCTAGCATCATGATGATTTCTGATGAATTACATGACAGGTTGATGTGGGTAAGAAGCCAGTGACTGGTCTCCGATTGTATTTGGAGGGAAAAAGAAGTAACTGCTTAGCAATCCACTTGCAGCATCTTTCTACGCTGCCAAAGACCTTCCTACTCCAGGATGAAGTGAATGGCAATATTTCTCATCCTTCATCTGACCGGAGATATTACGAAAAGGTTCAATGGAAGAGCTTCTCTCATGTATGTACAGCTCCTGTGGAGGCTAACGATGATTTCTCTGTTGTCACTGGTGCTCACTTTGAAGTTGGAGACTCTGGCCTGAAGAAAGTTTTATTTTTACGGCTTCTTTTTTCTAAAGTTAGTGGTGCAACTAATGTTAGACAAGCTGAGTGGGATGGTTCCCCTGGCTTGGCACAGAAATCTGGATTAATTTCGACCCTTATCAGCACGCGTTTCTCGAGTGCTCAGAAACCACCTCCTCGGCCTTCTGATGTGAACATAAACTCCGCTGTGTATCCCGGGGGCCCTCCAGTGCCCACACAGACACCTAAACTTTTGAGGTTTGTTGACACAACAGAAATGACTAGAGGACCACAGGATTCACCTGGGTATTGGGTTGTGTCGGGGGCAAGGCTTATGGCTGAGAAGGGTAAAATATCTCTACGAGTCAAGTATTCTCTCTTGACCATGATTTTACCTGATGAGGAAGAGATGCCAGATAATTATTGAAAGCGGATGGCTAAAGAGTAACAAACATGAGACAGAGGAAAAGAGAATTACATCAGGTTTGTGGTACATTCTCGATGTTCATCATCACAGATGGAGAGATTCTGTTCAAAATTTAATGAGTTTGTTGTATATAACTTATCATAATATGTGCGTATGTGTAAAATTTTCTTCATTTGTTGTAGATTAACCTTTCTGGTGCTGATATTTGAATATTTGAATTGGATGAGTTAATTGGCAAAATTTGTTGTGATTTTTGAACCTCTTTTGTTGGATAGCAATTTCTTCATCACTTATCGATGCAATCCTTTTGTTTTTTCTTTTCTGAAACCAATTTTAATTTCCTTTTAAGCAGACAGTTTATAATGTATGAATACTGGACTGGAAAAATTAACATATTTGAGTTGATTATTTGGTTATTAAATGTAAGAAAAGGAAGGTGTCTTTAGTCTGGTTTGAAGGCATAATTTAGTCCCGAGCACTAGTTGTATTTGTACCAAGACTAGTGGCGGTGTTGATGAGCAGATGAATTATCATTTTGAGCATAGACATGCCATTTCCGATTGTCTATTTGCAGGAGGAGCATGAGTGTGATGTTTGTATGTCTTTTGTATTCTCCGTTGACTAGGGAAGGTCAGGTAGGGTGACACCTGGCGGGGATTAGGAATCCATTTCATGTTTGCTCCAGTCATGTAGCGACATCTGTTCGAGTTGGTGTGTTTAGGGAGGTGGTCATAAAGCAAGTTCCAACCACTCCTAACTTGCTTTAGTTAGATCATTTGGAGGGGTATGTTGGTGGTGCGTCGTCTTGAGTCATCTTCGTCAGGTTGGGTCAGGCGGTGACCGTTCCAAAATTTCCTTTAATTTAGGGGAAAAAAAAACAAAAAAGAAGAGTAAATTTACCATTTTGCCCTTGTGAATAGTGACTTTTGGAACTTTTGATTGGTACGTGTTTTGAAATTTTTTTCCTGTCATGAGTTCGTAGACCCGTACTATGTCCGAATCGGGATAATTTGAAAAAGTTATGGTCATAGAAAGTATAAGGGAAAAATCATCATTTTAGAAAACATGTTTAAAGCCGAGGTCAGACACACGCGTTCATTTTCTCCTTTCCCTCTCTCTCTCTCTCTCTCATCTCACTACACCTTTAGTGAATGGTCTTCCCGGCGAGATATCTTTGTTGTCCCACCACTGTCGTGTTAGGTATGAAACTTCATCCTCACATCACGATCTACACGTTGGTATAGTTGGCGACTGGCGATTCTAGGTTGCCCTACGCTTGGAATTTAGTCAAGCAAACTGTCACTTCCGGCAGCGCATGTGACAGATGTTGGTGACCTATTTACACTCCAATTAGTTGTCCTTGATGTCCCTAGCATAATGATATTCTCGGATTTGCGAGATTCGATCATTTGACCAACAATCAAGGTCCCATCTAGTATGAAATGTATGATCGGAGATGACCCGACTGTTGGATCATCTCCAACTTTTATTAGGTTGTTGTTGGTAATATTAGGCTAGATTGATGATTCTAAGGTTACGTGAAACGATCATTGTCCCATTTTGCGATCTATGAAGATTTGATTGTTAGATCGTGAACGAATTGTTAGAACGTGTTACTCATATTGTTCTTGGTCTAGTGGAACCTCCGGATTGGAAATTCGAGGTTGTGGTGTGATGTGGCTCAGACGGGGCCGGCTAACTCAGAGACCTTCCAAGGCCCCATTGATCTCACAAAATGTCCTAGGTTATCGAGTGGACTGCTATAACTTTATGGAAGAGATTTAGTATGCTCAAACGAAAGACCTTTTAACTTTGTTAAAAGTTCTCATTTTTATAATTGGCCGTGGATGTAAGAGTCATAACTTTGTTTTCATTATTGTATTTGCTTATGTAAGAAATATGCCTTAAATTCAATCATGAGATGTAATATTTATGTATAACTCACCTTAATACTTAATATTAATGGGCAAAATGTTGTTCTAAGTAACTGTCTCATTAAATGTTATTTACTTAATCAACAAGTCTGTGAACTATGAGATGAGGAAAGTGACTTAAAGACATTAAGTTCAGGAGACCTTTCCTTATAAGCTCACACCGTAAAGAGTTCCTAGTCATAGGCTTGTCAATAGGGCATTAACAATCCGCGAAGACCAGCCTACACTTTATTAGGTCAACTAGGATGATTGGCCTCAAGTTATTTGTGTAGAGATGCTAAGATAAGTGTATGCGTGTTCACTAGATAAGCAAACCATTGGTATAGTTGGTATAGTTCGCGACTGGTGATTCTAGGTTGCCATATCGCTTGGAATTTAGTCAAGCAAACCGTCACTTTCGGTGACGCATGTGACAAATGTCAGTGACCTATTTTCACCCCCAATTAGTCGTCCTTGATGCCCCTAGCATAGTGATATTCTCGGATTTGCGAGATTCAATCGTTTGACCAACAATCAAGGTTCCGTCTAGTATGAAACGTATGATCGGAGATGATATGATCGTTGGATCATCTCCAACATTGATTAGGTTGTTGTTGGTGATATTAGGCCAGATTGATGATTCTAAGGTTACTTGAAACGATCCTCGTCCAAATTTGCAATCTATGGTGATTCAATTGTTAGATCGTGAATGAATTGTTAGAATGTGTTACTCATATTGTTCTTGGTCTAATGGAAACTCCAAATTGGAAATTCGAGGTTGTGGTGTGATGTGGCTCAAACAGGGCCAGCTAACTCAGAGACCTTCCAAGGCCTCATTGATCTCTAAAAATGTCCTAGGTTATCCAGTGGACTGCTATAACATTATGGAAGAGATTTAGTATGCTCAAACAAACTGTGCTACATGTGCCAGATATACGAAGGACCTTGGTATCTAGACCTGTTCTAAGCAACAAAGGATTCAAACTAGTTTTCGAATCCAACAAAGTTGTACTAAGGGGGGAATGTTTGTGGGAAAAGGTTACCTTGTTGATGGGTTGTTCAAACTTAATGTATCTGCCAATTCTATCAATAATAATATAAATAAGGCTTCCGCTTATATTGTTGACTCTTCATCTATCTTATGGCATGCTAGATTAGGACATGTTAATTTTTGTTCCTTACATAAAATGTTTAATTTAGGACTGTTGCCTAAGTTAGATTCTATTGAAAATGTTAAATGTGAAACTTGTACATAATCTAAATTTGCTAGACAAAGTTTTAAATCTGTACATAATAGGTCCAATGAATTGCTAGGCTTAATTCATAGTGACTTGTGTGATTTTAGATCAACACCAAGTCGTGGAGGAAGCAATATTATGTGACTTTCATTGATGATTGCAGCAAGTACTGCTATGTATATTTATTACATAGCAAAGATGACACTTTGGATATATTTAAGACATATAAGGCTGAAGTTCAGAATCAACTCAACAGAAAAATTGAAGTCCTAAGATCAGACAGAGGAGGGGAATATGAATCCACTGCCCTTGATAAATTTTATGCCACAAATGGTATAATTCATCAAACGGTAGCACCTTGTACACCACAACAAAACGGTGTTGCTGAAATAAAAAAATTAGACATTTAAAGACATGATAAATTCTATGCTAAATAGCTCTGGGCTTCCACATAATATGTGCGATGAAGCTTTACTTATTGCAAATACTATCTTGAATCGAATTCCACATAAAATAAGTAACAGGTCACCATATGAAGTATGGAAAGGAAGGTTACGAACTTATAAGACCATCAAAGTGTGGGGTTGTTTAGCGAAAGTTCAAGTTCCTTTGCCAAAGAGAACCCAAAACTATAGATTGTGTCTTCATTGGATTTGCATCCAATAGTGCTACTTATAGATTTTTAGTATTTCATTTTGAAGTTTCTTATATACATGAGAATACAATACTAGAATATGTGGATGCAATATTCTTTGAGGACATTTTTCCTTATAAACAAGGTCCAATGTCAATAAAAAGAGAACTATTGATTATTCTAGAATAAATGAGCATTTTGGAATAGATGATGGTAATCCTACTTCATCTAGTTTTCAAGGAAATGAACAAGATCAAGAACCTAGAAGAAGTAAAAGGGACAAAAATACCAAAATATTTTGGACCAAATTTCTTGACTATGATAGCTGAAGCTGAGCCTCAAACATATAAAGAGGTGATATCAAGTCATAAAGCTCCATTTTAGAAAGAAGCAATCAATACTGAGATTGAATCCATTATGCAAAATCATACATGGGAATTGGTTGATTTACCAACTGGTAATAGACCAATTGGATACAAATGGATCTTTAAGAAGAAATTAAAACCATATGGTACAATTCATAAGTATAAGGCTTGATTGGTAGCCAAAGGATACCGTCAAAAGAAAGGTTTGGATTTATTTGACACATACTCACTCTTGACAAGGATAACATCAATAAGGATGTTGATTACTATAGCGTCAATTTATGACATGAAAATACATCAAATGGATGTAAAAACCGCTTTCTTAAATGGAGAGTTGGATGAGGAAATATATATAGAACAACCCAAGGGGTTGTTGGAATTTTAAAAGGTTTTAAAAATTTAACCATTTTATTTATTTAATTATTTTGGTTGTTTTATTTTATTTATTGTGGGGGTTATGAATATTTAATATTCAGGCTTTATTTCTGGTTGGTGATTGCCTTAATTTTTGGTTGGTGAACTTTTATGGTTGGTGAAGGTTACATGTTTTGGATGCCTATAAAAGGCCACTCCTCCTTCACATTAGATACACACACAGGAACACACAATACACTATCAGAATATCACATACACATTCTAATTCTCTCTTTTTCTATTTTTACATATATTCTCTACTTTATATTATTATTATTTTGGGCAATGGTTATGTGACTTGGATACCTATATCTGTCTATGAACGTGCTCATAGCGGATTTTGAGTTTGTGTATAAGGGGTCGTATCTTGGAGTCTTGTAGACCGTCAGTACCTGCACGTAGGGAGGCTACAAAGGCTTTAGGACAACGTCTTTGA